GGAAAAAATAAGATTCAGGTCAACTATGGGTGTTAATTATAGTAAGGAAAGATGTTGTGGTCAGTTCAAGAATTATTGCCTTTTGGATTCATTTGTCCATGCATTTGACCTCTTTAACGTTAATGCGATGATCAATTCACGCTGGAATTGGAATTAGGTGTGGAACTCTCCAAGGTATACCAAAAATTATGTGTTCGTCCATCTAATTCACACGCTAAGTTTGAACATATATGCGGTCAGAATTCGATTCTTGCTCTCTTTCGCCTTTGTATTTGAAAAAAAATGGCAATGACGGCATGCAAACATATTATTCCTACATTTTTAATGGTAATTTAGGTTGAATCATTATAAAAACTATACAAATGATGAAGCATGATGAATAGAGAGATTATTTATGTGGATAAATATTGTTCAAAGATAGATTTGGAGTCAATATTTGTGTACAATTTCAAAGGAGATTAAATAAACATGGGATCACTTTCGGTGCATTGTAATTTGACAGGATATCAATTACAGGTCCTGATTAAGTGGAGAGGAACTATTATCTTATCTTCCTAATTAGAACGATAATTACCAAGAATTACAAATTAGGTGTTTCGAAACTTTGACATGTTAAGGAAGAATATACTGTATTATCCTATTAACAAATCCGTTGAAATTCATTAGATTACTCAGCAAAATGAAGCATGATGGCTCTTGATCTTGAACCCCTATGTGCCCAAATTAAATATGTAATTTTAAAATGCAAGCAGTCCACTTGTAAGCGCAAGACTCGGCCATGGGCAGCCCCTATAGGTATATAGAATAACCTGGGATCAAGACCGTTGACGTCTAATAATTTGTCTTGGTCCATTCCAAACTATATATCTCATCCTAGACAACACTACGTGATATGTTTAAAAATTACTTTAATTTGGTGGTCAAATCAATCTCGATCGAGGATGAGAAAATTTGATGCATGATCATTTGATCTTAGGTTAAACTTATGTGCTATGAAACCGTGGATTATCAGAATAAATTGTACTCAAGTAACTTACCCTCCTCTCGCGTAGAACGAGTAAAAGGAACCATAATCCTTGATAGAGCACCCCTCCCTCCCGTTACATGCTACGCACCAAGCAATATGAACTTATACGTATAGTAAATAGATATATGTCTTTGAGTTCATTCATATGGTGGGTACGGAAATGTTATAAGCTTTCAATTACCTGCTGCTAGCTAGCTTAGTTTAGAGTTATAGTCCATTACCGGCCGGCTCCGGACCGAAAAGATCTGACGGAGTAATCCCTTATCTCGGATTGGGAATGCTAACGGAGCAGGAATTAACATCCTAATAGGTCAACGGTCTGTACTTTATTCATGCTTGTTAGGGTTTATAAGCATTATTTTAGTGTAACGTATTGTAACACAATTGCTTATGAGTTTAGTCTATACTATGGTCTAGGAAAGTTAATTTTATTAAAAGGTTTCCACTACGTATTTAAGCATTCATACAACAAATAATTTATTACAACAACTCAATTGTAGGCCTGTATATATTGCATTGCATGAACTGGATTGCGGGAGAACTCATATGCAAAAAGTCTTCGCAACTCTGAGACTTCTGCTAGATTCTTGGTTTTTTTATATTAGCATTGATGGGGCTATACAATTAAGCAGGTCAAGTATTGTGATCAAAGTATTACTTGGGAGTTGAGTTTCTGGAGTACGCGCATTTGATCAATAATTAATTAAAACCCAAAAAGGTGAGGTTTGCTTTCTTTTTTTCAAAGTTATATGCAAATGCAATTCCACGCACGTTCCTGTTGAAACATGAGTGTGCTACTTTATGATCAAATTTCAAAACTGAGAACCACATATATATATTTTTTTAAAGAAATAAATGCATTCAAACAACAAGGAAACATTACAAAAGGTCCTCAACTAACACATCTTGAATGATATTTGGAGAATTCTCATACTATGAAAACGTGTTTTCAATTGACAAAGCAAAGTAAGCTAATCTATGGGCCACTATGTTGGCCTCTCTAAAAACAAAATTAATATGAGTATTTTGCAACCTAGAAAACAGACTCTTGCAGTCTTCAACCAAAAAACCATAATCTGTCCAAGTCTCAAGCGCTTGAATCAAATGCTTAACATTCGCATCCACCAACTTTGCTCCCTTACTCGTGTCTTAAACAAATGGTAGGCCTTCACGGAATGTCAGCGTTTCAGCATGTGCATGAGATGCCACATGCTGAAACCTAAGGGTGGACACAAGTTGGGTTGGGTCGGGTTAAGTCAACTCAATCATTTTGTGATCGGATCGAGTGGTTCGGTTGGATTAATCCAAAATTATGCTCACTTTAAGTTTTGGTTCCAACCCGTATATAGTGATTTATGATTTTTTGAACCCAAGACCTGCTCAATATCAAATCAATCCAAACCAATCCTTTTATAATCGAATGAGACAGTTTGACCGAGTTTACCCAAAATTGTGTCCACCCCTATTGAAACGTCACTGCCCTAGCTGCCACAAACTGCCCTTCCTCATCCCTAGCAATCATTGATTGAGTTGTAGTAGTTGTATTCACTTGATTTGAGGAAATTTAATGCTCGGCTTGTATGAAATGGATGTGTGAAGATAATATATAATCGTAATAAATTTGATATATACCTAATTGTGGATATATCAACTGTGACAGTGTAGTCCTTTTTTATAAAAAGGCGATATAATTTTATTAGATAAGAAAGAATAAAGAGTATAAAGGACACATACTGTAAAGGGAGTTATCTCTCAATGACAATATGACAATAATGGATAAAACTTCCCGAGTGACCGGTGTAACCCTATATAACAAATATATTTGTAAATATCCTATCGGTTGTTCAAGTTTTTTTTTTTTGGTCAAAAAGAAAAAACTTGAAATAGGTCCTTAATTATAATTGATTTTATGTTGTTATCTTCAAACATAATATTATTAAATGGTGTTGCACACCAACTTGCTCGATTTGGTATGCATAAACATAATGTGGACAATTTTATTTAGTTTGAGGTGCCCCTGATCTAAATGATGACGCATTATTGTATGATTCTTTGAGTCGGGATTAGGCGTTTTGTCCCCCGCGTTGTAATTCATAATTTTATTAATAAGGCTTCCCTCCTTCCATCGAAGTTCTCCAAAAAAATTAGTCTAGGCAATAAATGTATCGCAGTGGTCGTGCAAATCATGTAGATTCTTAATGCCCTCAAACTAAAATTCCTTTTGTGGTTAGCAATGCATGTTAGATCTAAGACTCCAAGTCAACGAGCTAGATAGACTGAGATTTGCGTACATGATGAAGGAAGGAACAACCAACCAATTAATAACTAAACAATGTATGTTCATTAATCCAAATTCTCTTCCATTATGAAACTGAAAGTCAAATTGCTCAACAGCTTCCCACTAGATATTGTTTTATTTGAATCAGAGTCCAATAGCAATAAACAAACCCAAAAAAAGAAAAGAAAAAAAAAGGAAAGAAGTTTGGTGGGCCAATGCAAGCTGTCAAATGTCAATTGGTGTCTTCATTTTCATTTGTTAAATATGGACTTAATATCAAATTGTCAAACATCAAACCCAGCGGGATATTTTAAGAAATCTTTCTTCCTGCATGGATCAATAAACTCACTTAATTTCTCCACAAAAATAGTCGTAGGTAATTATAATCAAAGGTTGATCATAATGCAGGAAAGAAGAACATTTGGTCAAATATTCGACTTGAAGCACAAAACATGTCTCATAACTTTCTTCAACACGGTGTTTAAATTTTAAGTAAATTTAGGTTTTAGCAAAAAAAAAAATTTCACTTTTGAAAAAAGCCAAAGCTTTTCCAAAAAAGACAAAAAAACCGCTCAACTTTCAAATCAAAGACATGCAAATGTATTGGATTCCTTAGGAAATCTAAAAATAAATAAGGGCATTTTTGTCTATTTTTGCTTCTTTTAAAATTTTTCTCTCTCCTTTTGCTTTTTCCAAAATGTCCCTAAATTTTATCTCTTCATTGAGCAGATTCAAAACCTACATTTCGGTGGTGCGTCTATAAGTCCACCAAACAAAAGAAGACAATTATTCCTTAAATGGCTCTGTTTATATCTGGAACCAAAAAGAAAAAATGACTACGACCACCGACGGAAGGCGCTGCCGGCCATTGACCATTGTCTAAGCCTTCATCTGACGGCTCTCAAGGAACCTTCTGCGCAGCATGTAATCGAGGAGAACACATATTTTCACTTGATGAGGGTCCATATGTTTTTTTACTTTTTTTTTCTCTGTTGTGGAGGCCAAGGCCCAAAAAACTAACAAAAGCTAAAGAGCAACAGAGTTGGGCCAAGTAAACCACAATGAATAAAAATGGGTTTTTTTTTTTTTTTTTTTGTTTGGTCATGAAGCACAAAGCATGCTAAACCGTGAGGTGGGCTCCAAAGCATCGGGCACGGAACTTTTCTCTTGGGCCTCCTTATCACCTATGCAGTTATGGCATATGATCTTATCATCTCGAGACTCGATTAGCCTGCTAATGTCTAACAACATTATCTTGACCATTTCTCACAAATTTAGTCTAGAGGTGAGGTCCATCATCTTCTATAAACCACAACCCACAGCCGCTTGATCATTGGAAACTTTTGTTATTTTTTACTCAAATCAGAATCAACCCATCATGTTGAAGTTGAATCTTTGGTGATGTAAAGGGCCATGAGAGTCCACTGTAAACAACTGGTCTCATCTGCATGCTACAATTCAGGATTGTGATTACGTGTCATTGTGACGTGGAATTCAGTGGAGTAGTACAATCGTAAATCCAGGAACAGAAAGATCCAAGAGTATGTGATAGTGACCGCTTTCTCCACGCCGCTTTCCAAGAGTGCTGAGGTTAAGTCTGCAACTAAGATCGGCATATAAAGAGGAGAGGATCGAAGTTAATAGCTCAGGGACAAATCCAATCATATTTCATTTAGTTCTGCTGCGTCAGTCACCATGAATAGGATTCTGGCTTGCAGAGAACTCAGAGCCAGAGCGCCCCAGACAGCCTTGAGCTGGTTCAGTTCATTAAACATCTCAAGGTATGATAATCTGTTTCCTGCATCAAATATGATTTTGGTTCTTGGGTTTGTTTTAAATGGTAAAAATATATCTGGGTTTGTATTGCTTTGAGGATTATAGGCAATTTAGGGTGTTGGGTTTTCTTATATCTATTGATATCTGTCTGTGTTATGCAAAAAGAATCGAGCTTTCTACATTTCATTATCAACGTTTAGGATGATTGATTGATGTCCATGAGATTTTATTTCTGTTTAATTTAATGGATCCATGTTCTCATCCCATCGACTTCTGGAAAATGTAATGCATTTGGATTTTAATTCAAGACATGCTGCACATTCATGTAATTTTTTATAGGGGTGGAATATCTGTATCTGATGATGTATGTTTCTGTAGGAACTTTGATTTCTACCATATAACTGAAGAGTTTTACAACATATTTTGTATGTCTTATTCATAATGGCCTTTCTAGTGATAATTTTTGACAATTTCGTTTTCCCTCCTTCTATGGCAGATCTGTTCATGGGTTACCATTTGCAACCGTTGAGGCGGAAGAGATATCTGGTTCACAGCCTGCTGAAGTACTAAACTTGGGTAGGTTCCGACACTTTAGCAGTATGTGTCATTTGCCGCCGGAAATCGATTCCCATGAATAATGTCCTGCACTCAGAACAGTAATTGGTCTTGGAGTATAACTGGAGAGTAAAACCAGGAATTAAAACCTGATCCGTTAAGTGTTATTCCTTGGAATAGTTATTTTGCTTTTATTTGTTTGTATTTTCCTTGTAATCTTTTTAAAGAATGATCAATGGACCTCTCAGTAAGGTTAAAACCGACTGGAAAAAAAAGAAACCTGGTATTTGAATCTATTTAAAATAAAATGTTTTATTTCTTTAGTGCAGGGGAAATGGAAGAAAACTGCTAGATGGAACACAATTTTGGATCCTTTAAATGGGGAACCATTCATTAAAGTTTGTGAAGTAGATGAAACAGGAATTCAGGTATGCATGTAGATTATAGTGTACAAGTATCCTTTTGCTTTCTTTACAAATCAATCATTTCCTTTGTCCAGTGAATATAGTGGGTAACTGAGCACCCATCTTGGCTTATGTTTTAGGCACTTGTCAGAGTTCGTAATGTCTTTTCATAATGTCCTATTTCAATTTCACTTTGTATGCAACACAGTTTGCTTAAACTTTGACATGTTCTATGTCATTGTATACACACCTCAACTAAATTTGTTGGACTGCTATTGCAGCCGTTTGTTGAGAGCTTGTCCAAGTGCCCGAAACATGGCCTTCACAATCCATTCAAAGCACCAGAGAGGTTTGTGTTTATTGTATTCTGTTGCTTTACCCTCATTCAATTTTTTAGGCATTATTTGTTGCCTAAGATTACACACATAATATCATATCATGGTAGAGGATTACAATATTTTCATCAACTTTTCCCTTTTGAAGAACTTGATGGTGATATTCTATAAAATTTGAAACAAAAATTACAACTGATAGACCATTTATTGCAGGTATCTTATGTTTGGGGACATATCTGCAAAGGCAGCTCACATGCTTTCGTTGCCAAAGGTAACAAGTGTACAGCAGAAGGACAGTGTTCTTCTTCTTTTACCTCTTTCCAGTATTTGAATTAAGACTGATGCAGTTCGACGTTTTGACCTTTCAGGTTTCTGATTTCTTCACAAGATTAATACAAAGGGTTGCTCCAAAGAGTTACCAGCAGGCTTCTGGTGAAGTTTATGTTACTCAAAAATTTCTGGAGAATTTTGCCGGTGATCAGGTAAACTATAGAAACAAACATCAGCTTCACCTTTTATGTTTTCAGTAAAAAATGTGAAAGAGAAAAGAAAAGAATGAAGAGTGATAGGGGCTTAATTGGAGTTGAATGCCTTACAATTGATTGGTCCTGTACTTATTAGTGTCAATGCAGTACTGCCCAAATTGCCCCATAACTGTATGTCACACTTATCCCTAGCTTCTCCTGCACAGTTTAGGAGTAGAGTATTATTTATACTCTTGGGTTAAGCACAGTACGTTCCATTGCATTAACCTAATGGAATTTAAATTCACATAAAGTCCTTCTCAACTTTCTTTACTATCTTTTTTGACACATATGTGGCAGGTCCGCTTCTTAGCAAGGTCTTTTGGGGTTCCTGGAAATCATCTTGGACAGCAAAGCCATGGTTTTCGTTGGCCTTATGGTCCTGTAAGTGTATCTCTGAACATACTTGATTTTTGTTTGCAAACCTGAAATCTTAAGCTTTTCATACAAATTTTGTTATTTTCATAATTGGACATATGAAAGAATCTTCTTGCAGGTGGCAATTGTTACTCCCTTTAATTTTCCTCTAGAAATTCCTGTACTTCAGTTGATGGGTGCACTTTATATGGGTAACAAGCCAATCCTCAAAGTGGATAGCAAGGTATTCCAGTTTAATTTCTGTTGGTGGGTGGTATAGTTTATCATTCTTTAACATGACATTTGATGTCCATTATAATTGTTAGTTTACCAGTCCAATGATTAATATATGTTTGCAACTGAGCAGATAAAAACAACATGTGTATATATTTAAAAAGAAAGAAGCATCTGTACTTTGGATATAATTAAAACTGTGGGGGAGAGAGAGTATGATGCATCTGCCTAGATAGTCATTGGTTGACTAGTTTCTGAGTCGAAACCTCTTTCCACAAGTTAATTGGTTTTTTTTTAATTGGGTTTATTTAATCTATTGGAAACCCTTTTCTAGCAAGCCTTTAGATTTTGTGTTTGTCATGTGGCCCTTTGTGATCTTTCTCTGTGTGGATGGGTAAACTGTTGACCAAACATTTTCATTTGTAGGTAAGCATTGTTATGGAGCAAATGATGAGGCTGCTTCATTACTGTGGGTTACCAATAGAGGATGTTGAGTTCATCAATTCGGATGGGAAGACAATGAACAAGCTACTATTGGAGGTTGGTTCAAAGTACAATATTAAAGTATTTGCAGCTTATTATAATTTAGAATAGAGACTGCTCATAGCTTTCCTCCACATATTTGCAGTTCGTAGATGCTATGTTACTAACTTATGAGGTGCAAATTGAAATAACTTGCACAATATTGAAGTATTTTACTACTATTGCTTCAACAGGCCAATACACGAATGACCCTCTTCACTGGTAGCTCAAGAGTGGCAGAAAAATTAGCTCTAGACTTGAAGGGTCGTGTTAAGTTGGAAGATGCAGGATTTGACTGGAAGATCTTAGGGCCTGATGTTCAGGAGGTTTCTTACAAAAACTTTATGTTTTATATTATACAATTCTCTCTCGGTAGAGTAACATCTATTGTTGAGTTATCTGTTTTCGTTTATGTGGCAGGAAGACTATGTTGCATGGGTCTGTGATCAGGATGCATATGCATGCAGTGGTCAGAAGTGCTCTGCACAATCGATGCTCTTCATACACGAGGTAAGCCTCTCCAATTTTAAACCTTCTGTTTACAGTCCTGCTGAGGTTGTTATTCATATGTGTGGATCAAATATAGTAGTCTCACATCAACTAATGTGTTAGGAGTTTTAACTGGGACTGAGACCTTTCAAGGTAAAAGTATACACCAGCTCACCAGATGGTTAAATTAGGGTGCAAGGTGTGAACTAGGCCCCCAGTTAGTTGGTGTAGGTGTTGTATCAGCATGGTTTTAATATGCAGAATTGGAAGTCAGTCAAGGGTGGTGCAGGCGTGAGTTGCAGCTTGAGGTGGAGGTGCATGTCCATGTGCTCAGAGTTGCACGTGCCTTTGAAATATTGTAGCAACAAGTAGGATGATTATTCTTCTATAGGTCATGTGATGATTATGGATGGTATGATGCAAAATTGAAATTCATTTAAGGTGGAGACTTGGAGTAGTCATGAGTAGTATTGGCTCAAGGTGCTCACAGTTGCGTATGTTCCTCGATACAGGTGTACCTTAAGATGTTGCAGCAAAAATTTGGATGATAATTTTGTCATAGATCATTGCAAAAAACAATGGACAGATGAAAGGCTAATTGGTTTTGATCCACAGTAGAGATTATTAGGATGTGGCCTTCTAATGGTTAATGAGAAGTCCAATATTAAAACCCTACAGTCAAGCATACTATGTGGTTATCTTGGGGAGATATCTATCTTACATCCTGTTCTGTGGCTTACATGCCATCAGTGGGGTTTCTAGTAGGCTATTATTGTTGAGACTTGGACATTTTGAGTTTCAATCAACAAGCTGTCAACATCTTTTTTCCTTTTTCGTTGATACCTTTTTCATATTCTTATGCAGAACTGGTCTAAGACTTCACTTCTATCCAAAATGAAAGATCTGGCTGAGAGAAGGAACTTAGAAGATTTAACCATTGGCCCTGTCCTTACAGTAAGGACGCTACTTGTCCCGTTCTGTACTAATTTAAGTTATTTAACAACATATCTCTTTACACGCTTATGTTGTTGCAGGTCACAACTGAAACAATGCTAGAACACAAGAATAAATTGCTTCAGATATCAGGTTCAAAGCTACTCTTTGGGGGTGAACCCTTAAAGAACCATTCCATTCCACCCATATATGGTGCCATAGAACCTACAGCCATTTATGTTCCACTTGAAGAAATACTGAAGGGAAATAATTTTGACCTTGTGACAAGAGAAATTTTTGGGCCATTTCAGGTAACACGGAAAAGACACTACCTAAGTTCCTTCTATTTTTCTCATGTTTTTTGTAATTTACTGTACTTCATCGCATCATATTCTATGGCAAGTTTTTGTGGTGAGGATAATGGTATTTGATCATTCAAATTATTCATAACTTAGACAATTTGAAAATTGGTTGGTGCTTGAGAGGGCACAGAGAGTAAAATTTTGGGCTGCATATTTCGTGTGTGTGCGTGTGTGCTTTTTTTCTTTTATGTTATATTTGCTACTGACGTTAACATACTGGCTCCTAGGTTGTCACCGACTATAGGAGTGATCAACTCCCACTGGTGTTGGATGCTGTAGAAAGGATGCATGCACATTTAACAGCTGCTGTTGTTTCAAATGATCCACTCTTTCTACAGGCAAGATTTAACCACCGTCTCTATATCTGTACAATCACAAATTTTTCTTAAGTCAAACGACACGCTCAACATCATTACAAGTTTACAACTCTGGATTAAGAAGTTCTTAAAGATAGCTATTATATGCTTTAGAATGGACCTAATACAAACTAATGCACCTCATGAGCATTTCATTTGAAACCTACCTGGCAAGTCTTTTCGTGAAAGCTTATCGATTCACTTCTTCCTAAAAGGATGGATATTGAATCAACTTTGTAAATTTTTTTTTTTTAATACTTATTCTGAAAGTCTATTTGCAGGAAGTTATTGGGAACTCGGTAAACGGGACTACTTATGCTGGACTGAGAGCAAGAACAACTGGAGCTCCACAGAATCACTGGTCAGTACAAAATTTCTTAAACTTTTCGTACTTCATGTGAAGGTTTCGGAATGCTTAAATACGTCGAATGATGGTTTGTGACAGGTTTGGACCAGCTGGAGACCCAAGGGGAGCTGGCATTGGGACCCCAGAAGCAATAAAGCTCGTCTGGTCATGCCATAGAGAAATCATCTATGATGTTGGTCCACTTCCAAAGCAGTGGGAAATTCCACCTTCTACTTAGAGAGTCATTATGGACCAGATGAGAAGAACACGGGGCCTTCCGTTGTGAACAAGCATGTAGTTGTAGGTTCTGACACATCTGCTGATGCTGCACATAGTAGCTACCGTTGACCCTTAGACATTTCTCAGTTATGCAATAAAATGAAGGGATTTTCTTCCCAAGCCTTCTAATTGATTAATTGGCCCCTTTTCTTCTTTCCTTTCTATCATTTGAGAGAGAGAGAGAGAGAGCAATGCTGTGGCTATGTATTCATGATTTCTTCAAATTGCATCCAAAGAACCAAAAAAATTTAAAAAGAAAAAATTTTTCCAAGAAACTGATAATTCAAGTCTTCCCCCAACTGTACACATCACACATGGTTCGAAACCAATATAATTTATTCAATCAACATCCAATATAATTTAATCAATCCACATCCGATTCAATGTAGATTGGATTGTAATTTTTTCAATCCAATTCAATCATATTATTTGTTTAAATTCGATTTGATCTAATATAATTAATATTGGATTGGATTGAAAAAATTGGAAAAAAGACAATAATAAAATATTAAATATTTATCTTTAGGTTTAATCTAATCAAACATATTAATAGAGGTAAATATAAAATATAAATGAAATATTAAAGAAAATTGTTTTGATTATATAATATGTTAAACATAACTCCTAAACCCTACACCCTAAACTCTATTATGTCGGTTTTGAAAATTATGGATCTAATCCAATCATGTTGTTTGAAAATTATGAATCCAATACAATCCAATTCTCCAGATCATCGAAATCGATTGATATTGAATTAAATTGAATTAGATCAGTCGGTTTGGACGGATTGTATTGGATCTTGTACACCCCTAAGCAAAACAAGAACTAGATTGGTCTGTACCTTCTTTTTGGGTCTCACAGTCTCACTCCTTAAAGATTAAATGGGCCTGACGTCCGAGCCCAACACTGGCCCATATTGGGCTTTTTCTTTATCAAAGTGGCCCATATTAGTTAAAACGAGTCATAAACCCCTTTTTTTCTTCTTCAGCTTTGCTAACTAAAACCCTTGCTCAACCTCTGTTTCTCTGCGTTAGCCTACCATCTCTCTGCTCTTGCTGCCGCCGCACTTAGGCTGAAAGCTCCTCGCTTCTTCAGGCTCGCGAGTCCATCTGTATCCCTTTCCTTGTAAGCTCACGTCAATCTGTTTTCCTGTTTTCTTCTTTGTAATTTTTAAGCATAGCTTCATATATATTCTTTCCTTTTCGTTTGTGCTTTTAGATTTTCAGTCATGTCGTTGCTCGAAGTCATTGCAAAGGCCTCCGCCAAATCTCAAACTCAACATGTCCCATCAGACTACCCCATTGTTCTTGACCCAGATTCTATTTTTGCCAAACTGACGCCCAAACTTGATGACCCAAATCCCATGTCAGTTGCAATCCCCTTGAGCGGATGGCAAATTTCACAAACCGACTCTGAGATCATGGAGTTGGGAAAGAAATTCTTCACCAAGCTTAAAAAGAAGCTCAAAAACCCGAATAATTTTGCTAAAGCCGAGTTTTTGGCAACCTTGAATCCATTTCTTGAGAGTATTAGGGAAAAAGTTGGGATTTCGATTGGGGTTGATTCGTCTAATGATGCGTATACCCAGATTTTGATGAAGAAAGTTGGGTCTTTCATGGGCAAGGACGTTGCTGGTTTGGTTTTGGATGCCTGCGTTGGTTTGGAGATTTGGGAATTGGTAGGTAGTTTGATTGCAAATGGGCTTTTGCCAAATGCTTGTTATCAGAATTTGGTTCCAAAAGTTGTGGCAAAGAGGAGGTCAGATTTGCTGTGTCTTTGTGTTAAGCATGCATCGGATCTTGGGTCATCTGAGTTGCTCCTGATCTTGAAGTACTTTCTTGATCCACCTAAAGATGGTTATACTAGCACTGTGGATGTGAGGAAGGAATGGGAGAGCCAAGCCTTGTCAGCTGCTGAGAAGGCCACTGATAAGACTCTCTCCGGGAAGAAACTAGGCATTGCGAAAGAGGCTGCAGTTTTGCTTATGGTGGCATATGATGGGTTCTCTTCTGCAGAACTCTGCCTGCATTATCTATTGGCATCAAAGAATCTTGATGAAGTGATGTTGTCAGCCGCGATCAGTAAGTTGAGTGGTAGAGAGATGAAGAGTTTACTCCGGTATCTGGGGAAGTGGCTGAAGAAGTATGAGAGGTTTCCTCAGGTAGGTCCCTGTCACAAGGCATCAACAGCATTGGGTTTGAAGGCGTGTGATTGGGTTCCTAAACTTGAAGATGTTGCGAAATGCATTGGGGTGCTGCTGGATGAGAATTACTCTGCATTGGTGTTGCATCTGGAGTTTCACGACGAGCTGAGATCTATAAACGAAGTGGTTGCATCCTTGACCTTGGAAGCAAGGTTCTGCTGTTCTGTGGCCAGTGCAGCTGATACGTTGAAGGCTGAAGTTTAAGGCCACTGTGCTTCATCAATGTTCTTTTTGAATTGTACTATGGAATTTTTTTACAGAATGAATTGCAGTAACTATAAAGTTCTAATGTTCATGATTCTTTTGTTGGTGTGCATTTTGAGATGGATGTATCGTTTGATTTGTAATTTTTTTTTTTTTTTTTTTTTTTTTTTTTTTTTTTTTTTTCAACAGCTCAAATCTCCCCCCCCCCCCCCCCCCCCCCCCCCCCCCCCCAAATCCTTTTTTTTTGGGTCATATCCCTCCCCTTTCTTTGAAGCGTATAATTTATGTTTTACCGTTGACCAAACTAAGAATACAAAAAGAAAAACCTTTATCCATGAAAACCAAGACTAATAAATCTAGTTGAATTATGGCCTTCATTATCCAAGGGCAGTAAATGCATTAAGAGGCACCAAACAACCGCGAAAATCAAAATGAACATAAAACATTGGAGCACCATCTCACTGCTACGTGCTATGAAAATCAACACGAAGTTCTATAAATAAGATCAATGAAATTGAGTATGACTGAAAATCAACACTGGCTTGCCCAGCTCTTTAATCTTGATTAGATACATGGGATTTATACAAGTGGAACAGCCAATAAGCAAATAAAATCCACATAGGCCTAACTATATGTTCTAGCACTCATTTATCGTAACGCTGAAGATTGCCTGTCAGAGTTTCCTCATGGCATATGCTTGTCTTCAGCACACAAACTTCAGTGGCCAAAATTCATGTCATGAAAAATGGAGACGAATTCAACATAGCGTCTTACAAGTCCCATCTAGAGGGATGATACTCATGAGGACTGCTTTGGATTCAATTCCAATCTAGTTCAGGCCAAGCAACCAAACGAGTCCACATATAATTTGCTTCGTTAGTTTGCACTCTTAGCTTTATCTTCTAGCCATGCAATTCAGGAGACTAATTGAGAATGTTATTGAGGTTGTTCAGTCAATCAAACAACACCCTATGCTCTTTTATTAGTCCTAAAAAGAAAGGGCGTCCCCAACTAGAGTTTCTCCAAATAAAGAACCAACAACAGAAGCTGACTGGCTTGCCATCAAATACCTTCTGTAAGTGCAAAAACTCGGCCTGCCAAAGGAGAAGGCAACACTGATACAGCTTGTTCAATTTCCTGGTAAAACACAAGTATGAATGTCCAAAGTTCAATGATGACAAAGACACAAAACAGCAATGAGCCAGACCATCATACCTTTACTGTGTACCGAGCTGAAAAGTGAATAAGAAGAATTGCTTTGTTTTCAAACTTCTCTGCATGACTAATTATCTGGAAAAAAGCCATCCACATATGACAAGATCAAATATTGTGAGGAGCCTAGATGGATACATGATAAATCGGAGTTTGAAGAAGGCAAGCAGTAAGAAATCTAATGACTCTGGAGATGAACCTCGGATAGATGCATGTGTCCATACTCTCTTGCATGCTCCACTTTAACTGAGTCATCTACGAAGGTGCTCTGCATAAGATTTAGGAAACAAGTATAATACACTAACCATTTATAATAGCCTATTAGCCTCACACATGCTAGAAACTCTAAACAAGTAATGCACCTCCACAACAAGAATCTTTGCTTTCAGCACATCAATATTACTACTGTCAGTTATGAAGTCAGACATGGTATCTCCTGTAAAAGCCACTTGAGGTTCTGTAAAAGTGTTTGTAATCTAAGAAAAAAATAAACACCCAAAAAAAAAAAAAAAAAAAAAAAAAAAAAAAAAAAAAAAAGGTTGGGGGGGTGAAACTTTGAAAAAAACAACACATGAAAATAGGATAATTATTTGAGGTTGTTCAGAAATGGTTGGTGGAGCTTTCAAACCAAAAATGTCTAAAGTGTAAAATTGACAACATAAAACCAAAGAGTTGTAACTATGAATTTGAGGGTAAATATTTTTCCATATCATAGAACACATTTTTTTCCCTCCCTTCATCTTCTCCTTCGTTTTCTTTCAATAGAAATGGAACCAAAGAGTAACCAAACCTCATCCAACCCCTTAATCACATTTGTAAGGCAGCTAGATCTCCTTGTTGGTACATCCAGCTCCTTAATAATTATCTCAAATACAAGACACCGCTCAAACAAAGAAAGGAAAATCAGTCGGTACTTATCAATGAAAAAAGTGCAATCAAGTAGCATAAAGAAGAAACCAAAAACACAGCTATATAGGATTTTCAAGACCCACCTCAACACCTGATGATTTCAAGTTTTTAATTTCATTCCCCGAAAGGCCAATGTACTCCTGCTTAAGTTTCTGTTTTATAGAGTATACAACATAACCCTGTCATATATCATTCATAGCCAGTTAGTCCTTCGGTAAATCTCAAAATAAGTTATTGATCAGTCTTAATAGAATTCCAAAACATAACGTATTACAAATAATTAGGATACCTGACTTGGTATTACATGATAAGTCTTAAAAGCTTTTACTTTGAGATCCTTTCTCAGATAGAATTCTTCTCCTGCAAATATAAATTGCATAAGATAAACAGGAAATCCATTCTGCAAGTAGAGGGCACAAGAAGAAAAGTTGTCATTTGATGGCTCAATTTGAGTAACAATCAGAGATTACCAACATCCAAGCCAACTAGATTATGATTCAGCTCTGATTGGTCCATTTTTCTGTGCACCTCAAAAAGTTGTTCCACAACTTCTTTTATACATGTGGGTACAATGATTGTTGGGGGCTTCATACTGTACAATCCACGGGTTGCAACATACATGGGAAGTCCTCCCTGTCGTATAGATGTGAATCATAAGTAGAAGTGCAGAAACATTGGCCATGGTCAGATATTGGTCAATGAAAGGGATCCACCAACACACGGTGCTTAGGGAAATCAAATGATGAGATAATGACCCATTTTAGTCCCTTTTCCTTTTTATTGGGTTTCTGCGATGTGGGGGGTTCTAACTATAGTTTAAGATATTTTGGAACTTCACCATGGATTCTGGGACTATTTACATTAAGAGAAACACTATTAGCCTTGAATCCATTTGATTCCACACCCCTCAACACAAAACCATTTAATAACACCGAGCCCCATATCCATCAAAAACCTTAGGCTTTCCGCTCACATATCTTCATATACATGCTAGTTCCTTAAAAATTTAGATATGCATCCAAACATTAGAAGATTTCGTTATTTTTTACCAGTATCTAAGATAGTTAAGCTTTGAATTTAACTCCTCAAATTATCATGACAATTTGTATGTGCAGAAAATAGTCCAAAAAAATCATGAACAATCACGCAGTATGTATCCTTTAGCAGCCTTAGAAAAACCAATCTCTCATTTACTAAATATTTACTAAATACAATATATGCACTTCTACCAAACTGAAAAAGAATACCCAAGTCAGCAAAGAAGCCCGAATTCGTGTCAAATTGTACCGTTCAAGTGCTCCAATCACTGTGAAAGCAATTATTTTTAGATAGCAAACTAAAATCTTCCACCATCACAAGTACATAGAAGAAAACACGAACATCAGCAAGTCAAGGGAAAACAAAACTCGTCATTCATCAAAGAGAAAAATTAAATGAAAACAAAAACGCATAAATATAAACAGGCATTTAGAAAGAACCCAAAACGCAAATAAGGAGAGAGGAGATGAGAAAGGTATGCATACATACAATGTGATCCATATGAGCATGAGAGATGAAGAGGAAGTCCTGGGAGATAGCACGCTGTGGGCAGCGTCCAATATCGAAAGACAAATTAAGAGTCGGGAAGATTATGCAGGTTTCATGGCCTCCAATGGACAAACCTTCAACTGGGTAGCCTTCAATGGTCAAGCCTCTGGCTTTCTTTGAAGCTGGGTCTGAGTCTGAATTGGGTTTCTGCGTGACTTGCTCAGAGTCTCTGCTTCTACTTCCAGTCATAATAGACTAACCAAAAACAAGAACCAGAAAGCAGAGGAAGGCGATTGAGGAGGGATATATGAAGTTCTCAAAACTTTCTGAAGAGGAAGAAAACTGGTTTCTTTCAACGGAGTTTGCCGCTCGTCAATTAAGCCAAGCTCCTGGAGTAAAACAGCAAATTAGGGGATTTTAAAATACAATTTCGGTATAAATAAGTTCAGTGTATTTTAAAAGATTATTTAGGAATGTAATGACTTGTAAGATTTTATTTATGGATTTCTATAATCATAATTTTTTATTTTTGAATTTTAAAAGATTTATATCATAAAATTTTATAAGATTTGAAAGGACCACATGAATTTATATTATATGATTTATATCTCTCTTTTTGTTGTTGTTGAAATATGATTTATATCTTCTTCTTTTTTTTTGTTGAAATATGATTTATATCTAGGCTTTGGCTAATTAGGGGGAATCATTTTTGCTCACCATTTTAACTCAAGGTGTACTCTCACCATCCTTCCCAAAAGGTGACATATGTCCATGAGTTTAATTGTAATTAACTCTTTATTTGTTATTTGTTTAATGACATTATTATGAGAGAGAAACAATGCTTTAATAAGATTTTTCCTGATTTACTATTATTCTATTAATTAACCCAACAAACTTTCCACTTTTCTATTAATTATCAATTAAGCAAATAACAATCCAAATAATTAAAAACAACAAGACAATCATTACTCAAAAAATAATTGATTAATTCGACACTACTGAACACTTTGACAAAAACAAAAAAACTGAAAGTGACCCCTAAATTATTTGAAAGTTTTTTCATGTCGTGAAATCGGCAAACCCTAAGTTGCCATGTTCTTGTGGACGTAAATGATCTGACTTGTGTTAGTGATGATCAAAATGACATGATTGATGATGAGGTTACAAGGAAATCTATGGAGGCATATCATGATCGTTTGATTCCGGCGACTAAATCATTCATTGAGAATTTGGAGAAATTGAGAGGCTATGATGATTTGGAAGCTACAAGACATAAGTCGTGTTTTGTTTGCACGGAGGGCTTTGTTCATGAAGTTATTCGATTGCCTTGCTCACACGTTTTCCATGAATATTGCATCGTTCAGTGTCTAGAGATTAGTCATTTGTGTCCTTTTGTCCAGCCTCTGTTAGTTAATATAAAATAATTAAAAATATTTATTTTAATACTTAATTAAATTATATTGCGTTTTTCAATATACCGCATTATTTGGAAATGCGGAACCGCAACCGCAACCGCATATTGAGGTTGGTTTTATAAATTGCATGTTGCGATTGATTTTCGTGATAGGTCGGTTTAGATGCGATAAAACTTCAATCGGTATTTGTGGTTTTTCAGTTTTTTAGTCTAAAATACCAACCCTATATTACTCAATGATTTTGGGAGACGCAAAAGACAAAAATAAAAATCCTCTTGTCCGATATTACATATACAATGACTGGTTATTGATTGGATAGTCTGAATTTGTTAAACAAACTAGATGGCTAGATAGAATTGGAAAAAAAAAATTCAAAGCTTCTCAAGCCACCCCCTGTAATGATTATTGTTTACATCATAATCAACCGAGCATATCTAACCTCAAAACAACTAAATACCAAGGCAGACACGCCTTCTCTCCTGCCGAAGGAAGACACTCTTCCGAGGTGCCAAGCACCTGCTGAAACTCTCGACTGCCAAAGCTCACAAACTGCTAAACCTAATTCTCATGACATGTGTCACCACCGCGGCGACTTTCACAAAGTCCCACATCGGAAATCTACACCAACCTCCCACTTTCACTTCCTTATAAAAAGGGAACAGTACCCTAATAAGAGGGGTAACTACTTTTCTGCCTTTTACTATTACTCTGCAAAAGTTACCCTTCTTAGCTGACTTAAGCATCGGAGAGCCTTCGGCCGGCACCACACCGGTGCCCGGAGCTTAACGACTGCTTCCCCTATTTTTGTCTTCTGCAGGCTAGCCTTTATTGAAGTCCCAGACCCTTTCCCTGCTGAAGGCAAACCCTTTTTTTTCTAAGTTGACCCTCTTCGAAAAAGAGCATCAACAATTATCCCTTTGATCTCTCTAGCCTCTAGGGACATGCTTGCAACTTCTTGTGGGTTATCGTTGACCTGTCCTTTGAGATGGTCTCTTAGCATCCACCTGTGCAACGTCAGCCTTCGTTAAAACATTTTGCACATAACCAGTCATTGTACCTAAAGTTCACAATAGACATTAGATGGAAACTGAAGGATCGTTCTTCTATCACATGTAACTTTCAATCAATGAGTTCAATATGAGGCCTATATCAAATATACCAGATCAAAATTGTTTTTCCTTCAGCATTTCTTCAAGTGGAACATAAATTGATGTAGGTTATATGGCACCATATAAGATTGAAGGGGCGGCCTTGGGGTGGTGCAAATGGCGCTACCCCGATTTTTGAGGGCCCCAAAATTTTATATATAAACATTATATATATTTCAGCTCGTCAACACATACTAAAACTTCTTGAAGATCTTCCAACTTCTCACCAGAGAAGCCTGCAAAATAGAATATCTTGTAACCAAACAAGGAAATCCAATGTCCTAAAATGAGTTTGAATCGCAAGACCAAAAGTTGAACATAAATACTCCATAGCTATTACCTTTGCCAATACCCATCATGGATGGATCTCTGTGTGGGTTGTAAATCTTATCTGCTTTATTGTGTTCGGTTTCTTCTATCTTTCTGGTCTTCAGCTTTCCTATTTTCGTCCAAAGTTCTGATGTTGTTTTCATCATCTCTGTATAAAACAAAAATCTACTATAACTTTTCGTCTTTTAAGATACAACAACAAAAACTCAAGATCCAAAATAGTTAATACAAACACAACTTGAACGCTTAAATGTATGGATTTTCCCATTCAGTAATCTTGAAACAAGAAGTGGTGAAGGTAGCAGATTACTAAATACAAGTTTTCCTGCATAACAAATATGATTGTAACTTTAGCACTTTTAGGGTAGAAGCCAGAAAGTTACTAAAACTACAGGACAATAAAAACCTATAAGACATCTCTGCCTTGAGTTGAGATTTAACATCAGAACAAGGTCTAATCACCTAATATATTAGAAGAAAAACCTTCATAAAGCTAAATCCATGTCTTGTAGTATTATGAGTTAAAACGGATGCTAAAGCACAATATGAAAAAGTGTGAATTTACTATATTAATACCAGAAAATAGTGAAACATTCAAAATACCAGAAAATGCCCTTAATTAATGCAAACATTAAGAATTTAAATTATTAATTGAATGAGAATAATATAGTAAATTCACACTTTTTCTTATTGTGAGTCTTTGCAAGAAGATGTGGAGGGGATTAGAGGATTAGATAAGTAAATTTGGATATAGACCCAACACAGGCTCTGTGCTTCATGAACTGGAAGAGGAGGAGGAGAAGATTGAAATATTGAGGGGGCACAGTGAGAAGCTTGCAATTTCATTTGGATTGTTGAAGATGAGTAAAGGTGCGACTTTGAGAGTAGATTGTCACAATGCTGCTAAGTTGATATCCAAGGTTGTTAAAAGAGAGAGAGTTGTGAGAGACAATAAGCGCTTCCATCATTTCAAACACGGCCTTTGTTCTTGTGGAGATTATTGGTCAATAAATAATAAAAAAACCAACCAAGTTTTCAGAGCTGCGGACAGATACTTTCCTTCATTTGTACATCATGTAATGTAATAATAATCACATAAGTAGTGGAAATCAAAGTTGAGGGGTCAAAACTCTTTTCGACAATAATTGCTTGAAACATTATTCATTAGATCTATAATTTGCATTTCAATCTCTCAACTGTGTGCTTTGCGATTGGGAAAAGAATTACATTGTTTTGCTTGAAAGCTCGCCTCATTTGAGAAGTGGAAGATTGCCTTTGGACATAATCCATCTTGACTCACGGTCACAGGACTGCAACCTGAACCAGCTTCAATGTTTGTCCGTCTGAGGATTCAATACTTATCCAATTGCTTCCAACTTCAGACACGACGTAGTAGACATTGGGAGGAACAACTCTTATGAAGAAGTAAACCTCATTCGAGTAGTGGAAGAGGCCTATCGGACAGAATTCCCTCTGACTGACAGTCACTGGACTGCAGCCTGAACCAGCTTCAATGTTTGTCCATCCGAGGATTCAATACTTATCCAATTGCTTCCAACTTCGGATACGATATAGTAGACATTGGGAGGAACAACTTTTATGAAGAAGTGAACCTCATTCGAGTAGTGGAAGAGGCCTATCGGACAGAATTCCCTCTGACTGACAGTCACTGGACTGAAGCCTGAAGCAGCTTCAATGCTTGTCCGTTTGAGGATGCAATACTTATCCCATTGCTTCCATATTCGGATACGATGTAGTAGACATCTGTACGAACATCTTTCAAGAAGGCAGCAAACATCTTTCAAGAAGGCAGCAAACTCATTCAGACACTCTAAGGCCCTTATTATCGGACAGAATTCATATGACTGATACAACAATACCCTTTGAACAGGCTTCACTTCGGACATGAATCTGAGAAGGCTAAACTTATCCAACTGCTCCCAACTTCGGACACGATATAGTAGACATCTGTCCGAACATGTTTCATGAAGAACGGAAACTCATTCAGACACTATAAGTCCCTTATCGGACAGAATGTAGCTGAATGATACTGACGAGTAAACAGGCTCCTCTTCGGACACTCTCGAGGCCCTCTTCGGACACTCTCAAGGCCCATGCTGTGCGAGCTTCGTTTGCTCCGTTTGCATGCATTAAAATTTGAGATATTTAGTGATATATTCATTCTTAGCACTAATATTATAGATAAACCATACACTATTGAATTTCTATAAACAAACAAAAAAAAACCCAAAAAATGATAATTGGCCTTATTGAATTTAATATTGATTATTAAATTACTTTATTGCCCTATTGAGTGTTTTGAATATTTTTATGAGATTTTGGAGTTGGGCTTGTTTTAAAAAATTTATGGCAATTTTGTAATTTATAAGAAGTTAAAGCCTCTTTGTTATGTTGTAAATGGACTTTGAGTGTGTTTATAAAGTCAATTTCATATAGGGTATTTTTATAATTTGAGCCCCTATACTTGTTATAATAGTAAATCTCCCTTAAAATTTCAACTCAGAAAAGAAAGCGTACAAAAATCGCCAACACAAGCTGAAGGTTTAAATTTGGATTCAAAAGTGTTCAATGTTTTTGACCTATATGGATTTGTTTGTTTTCGATTTTTACTTTCTTATTTTTAATAAAAAGAATCAACAATGTTATCCAAGAAAACAACTAGGTTTTCTCCATTGTCAGCCAAATGTCAATGTGGCATTTTGACTTATTTGTTAAAATTGGTTTGTTTAATATTTAAAAAAAAAAAAAAAAAAAAAAAAAAAAAAAAAAAAAAAGTTTAGTTTAGTTTAAAACTAATTAAAACAGTGGCGGTTTGTGACTTTAAAAAAGAGTTTATTGCTTCTCAATTATTGAAGATTGGTGCATCTATCTATATATATAGAGCAAAAGGCAGAGAATAGTGAAACATTCAAAATGCCAAAAAATGCCCTTGGTTAATTCAAATATTAAGAATTGAAATTATTAATTAAATGAGGATAATATGGTAAATTCACATTTTTTAATATTTTAAAAAATATAAATATAAATAAAATCAGATAATAGTTCCTACTTTTATGGAACATAACTACCCATGTTATCTTTTCTTAATTCTAAAAATAAAAAATAAAACCAATTGGCACATGCATGAGCATATGCCAAGAGGCTAGTATTATTTAAAAATAAAAAAAGAATTATAACAGTTTGTTTAGTATTTAAAACTAATTAAAACAGTGGTGGTTTGTGACTTTAAAAAAAAGTTTATTGCTTCTCAATTATTGAAGATTGGTGCAATCAAGTTACCAAATTGCAGGTGGTATTTTACGGGAGTAAAACAATCGTCTGTATGAAAACAGAAAGACAAAATGCAATTCCAGTAGTATTTTCAGCGAATATGCGACAGTTAGACCTTTTAGCTTCGGTTTTTGACTTTTTTGCATTGGTTTTTATACTTCTCTTGACAAATTTAAAACCCCGACGCATGAAACATCTTTAGCACCATGAAAAACCGTTGCTAACGCCTGCCAAAGGTGCCTATTTCAGTGAAAGTTAGATGTGCCACTAAAAGTTGGAGGATTATTAAAAACTTCCCATTGAGGTATAACTCTAGGGGTAGTTGTAGTTCGGTTATAGCAACTTTTCAATAAAATTGTGAACCGACCGACATATTGCAGTATACCGCATGTCTGTATATTGCTGTCGGTATAGAGAATAACATAACATTACAAAACTTTCTATCAACAAAAAAAGAGTATGCTCATGCTTAAAAATAATGCTAAAATTAGCAGAACTTTCTATCATTGGCAATAATTCTTTAACTCATATATGGAGATAATGAACTTTATTATTAAAAACCAATACAATCCACAATCCTACTAATGCACAATTAATCAACTAAATACTTGATTGCAAGCTAGAGATTATCTCGGCTGACCCACTAATAACAACCTAACAAAATTACCAACACAACCGATGAGTTTGCAATACTAATTGAAACCTAGGTTCCTACTAGATTAAAGTTTAATTATTTACTAATTAAGTTATATTAATTCATTAAATATTCAAATAATATTTATTCAAGGCTGAGATTTTTTTATTAAAAAAAATAAGGAGATTTAGAGAGAGGAGAGATACACTTCATTAGTAATACATTCATGAGAGAGAGAGAGAGAGAGAGAGAGAGAGAGAGAGAGAGAGATTCATCAAAGAGCACTTACATCCCTATGGGCAAGGGCAATTATTATTCATTTTTATTTATTTTATATTTGTTTATACTTAAAATTTAAAAATTAATTTATTATTTAAACTTTATAGGAAAAAAAATCAGAATGTTTTGGTTTTGATTTCTATTTTTTATTAAATTTTAATTACATAAAAAACGGCAGTTGTTGGATTGCAGTGAAAAATTTTATTGGACCCCCCAGGTGTTGTCACGTGTCCTGTAGCAATGGAAAACAAATTTGAAAAGTGCGCGTCAACAAACCCAGCCAACAACACAAGCTGGATCTGCCTTTGGACTTGCCCAGGTTGATGGCCCCCACCTCTTGCCCGGGCTGCTTTTGCGTGCTAGCCTCTAGGGACATGCTTGCAACTTCTTGCGGGCTATCGTTGATCTGTCCTTTGAGATGGTCTCTGAGCATCCACCTGTGCAACGTCAGCATTCCTTAAAACATTTTGCACAAAACCAGTCATTGTACCTAAAGTTCACAATAGACATTAGATGGAAACTAAAGGATCGTTCTTCTATCACATGGGCTAAACCCTTGCAGTGGAAGTGCACTAAATGATGAAATCCTAGTCTCTGTTAGTTAATATAAAATAATTATAAGAATTTATTTGAATAATTAAGTAAATTATATTGCAGTTTGCGGTATACCGCATTATTGGGATATGCGGAACTGCAACCGCAACCGCATCCACCTGGGCAATGTCTGCCTTCCTTAAAACATTTTGCACAAAACCAGTCATTGTACCTAAAGTTCACAATAGACATTAGATGGAAACTGAAGGATCGTTCTTCTATCACATCTAACTTTCAATCAATGAGTTAAATATGAAGCCTATATCAAAATTATTTACCCTTCAGCATTTCTTCAAGTGGAACATAAATTGATGTAGGTTATATGGAACATAAATTGTTCGAGCCGCAAGAACATCCTTTGGGCTGTATTTTTATTATTTTTTTCTTTATAAAAACATTTTAAAAAACCAGCATCCAGCAGTATATATACCCTCATGCTTTCTTCAACACCAAAAGGAAAAAAAATAGTTAATCATCATTATTCATCAATCTCTTAGAAAACTATGTAGTGCATAGTGAGTTTGAGTAATTTAAGGTGACTATGTTACGTTGACGAACACTATGCTTAGAAAATGTGTATTAATTAATAAAAAATTATTAAATACACCATAATATTTTATTTATAATGATTTAGTACAACATTTTACACTTTAAACATTGTTCGTTAAATTACATAAGTTAATTGAGTATTAAGTAATTAGTTCATAATAGTAAAGAATAATAAATAAAAGGCTACGGATGTTAGATTGAGTGTCATATATGGATCGCTATGCCTTTCTCTCTCAACACCCATTTATTTTTTCAATAATATCGCATTTCCTTATATTATATTATATGGAAAATTGAAAATAATAGATAATAGATAATAAATATGTAACATGTCCAAAGTGTACCTTATAATTCATTTTTCATGAAATCTTAAAAAATGAATACATTGGTTTGGAGTTGATGACTATAGTCTTGGGCAATTCGAACACAGGACATGGAGTGATGATAATTGTTCTTAATTACTTGAACTATAAACTTTTGTGCGTAATAAAGGGTTAACGACCAAACAAATGACACATTTGGAGTTAATGACTATAGTCTTGGGCAAGAACTAAGAATCTGAAAGTGAGCACCCCTCAATTATTTGGAAGTTTTTTCATGTCGTCAAATCGGCAAACTTAAGCTGCCATGTTCTTGTGGACGTAAATGATCTGACTTGTGTTAGTGATGATCAAAGTGACATGATTGATGAGGTTACAAGGGAATCTATGGAGGCATATCATGATCGTCTGATTCCCACGACATTGAGGTCCGCATGCTAAACAATCCGGACATCCGGATAAGAGAAAGACTCTATTATTTATAAGAAAAAATAGGTTCATTATTGAATATGGTCCATTATAAGTAAATATACATAAATAGGTACATTATTATGAAGCCAAAATACAGGTACATTATTTATAGGAGAAAAATGGTGCATCATTGAAACCATAACAATAGGTACATTATTTATAAGAAAAAAATAGGTATACAAAATATTTCTAGGTAAATTAATGTTCCTAAAACAAATTAATTTCAAATCCATAACAATTATTAAATTTGAAATTTTGATATAAATAAAAGGAAATAATTAACCAATTAATATGAAATTGAAACAAAATATGATCAGGTTGTCAGATTTGGAAAAACAGAACAAGTTTTAATTATATATTTCATTTACAAAATATAACCAATAATAGTTATAAAAAATAATAATAATAATAGGTATCTTAGAACCAATCAATTTCAAAAGGCTTAAATGCTAAAATAATCCCTGTGTTTTATCTTGTTGGCCAATTTAGTCCATGTGTTTTTAATTTGGCCAATTTGATTCCTGTATTTAGCATTGTTAACCAATGTGGCACATTCTGTTAAAATTGCCGTTAAATAAACATAATAATTCTTTTTTTCTTCTTCTTGAAAACCTGTAAATTTTGTTGAAATTAATTTATAAAAATTGAATTAATTTAAAAACTTATTAAAACTTCATTAGAACTAAAACATAGCATTAGAAAAAAGATTAAAAAAAAACAGGATGGGCGCGGGGCTGCTCAGCGATGTGGTTGGGGGGAGTGGGGTGATGACTGCATGGTGAAGATCCTACTAGGAGATGGTCAGGAGTTCGGGATTGTTCTTGAGAGAGAGAGAGAGAGAGAGAGAGAGAGAGAGAGGGGTGGGTGGCTATGGCTTGGGGAGTTGGGGGTTTTTGCGTGTGGGTGAGTTGTTGTTGAGGAGAAAGGTGTTGCGGTTGAGATAAAATGGTGTTGTCCTTTGGTTTTTAATTGCCTTTAGCTTTATAGATTGAATTCAAATAATTATATTTTTTATTAATATTTTAACAGAAGTTTAACGGATTGGATTACATTAGCTAACGGTGCGAAACACAGGGACCAAATTAGCCAAATTAAAAACACATGGACTAAATTGGCTAACAGGTTAAAACACAGGGATCATTTTTGCATTTAAGCCATTTCAAAAACATACGGCACTAATTACACACCAAGTTTTAATAAATAAAACTCACCCACAAAACTTATGCAAAATTGAAACACCATTATGACATTGAATAGCAAACAATTTGTTGGAAAAAAAAAAAGGTTAAGATGCAATTAGGGTAATTTTAGGAATTGAAAAAATATAACATATAATATGTTAAGCTTGATTAGGTAACTTGTTTGGGTGGATCATAGTCACTGGGTTTTACTTATAAAAATTGGGTTTAATCTATATATATAAAGCAAAAGACAGAGAATAGTGAAACATTTAAAAACCCTGAATATGCCCTTTGTCAAAGAAAAAATTAGAAGCACACAATTTTAATTAAAAGAGGGTGAAATAGTAAAACACGGCTGATTTAAAGCAGAAAAAAATTAATTAAAAAAGGGTAAAGTGAAAATAAACGTGTTGAAATTTTAATTTTTTAAAAAATATGAAAAAGAAATAAGAAGAAAACGTGCTTAAGAAATGCCAAAAATACTTGGACAGAAAAACCCCTGAAACAAAAAAACCAATAGCTTATGTTTTAGAGTTCGGATGTGTAGTTTCGTAAACACGCAATAAAATAAGAAGGAAAAAAAGATACAAACCCACAAAACTCAGCCAGATCGTGTGAAGAGCAGTTCCTTTCAGTTTCCACCCCAATATCATCCCTGGATCAAGCATCAGTTCATTTCAGTTGCAGAAAACTTTTTCTTCGGTGCTCTCCTCTTGTTCTTTGCTTTCCTCCTCTCTTTTTTTGGTCTCTGTTTTCTGATGCTGTATGAACTCAAGACAAGAGGAAGGGGGAAAATGGAGAAATTAATTGCTCAATTGTTTTGAGTGTTTCAATCACCATTACAGGTACGTGCTCTCATCTTCTTCTCTGTTTTTCTCCATTTAAATGATGATTTGGGCAATTTCATTTGTTTATTTAGGAATTTTGTGCTAGGAAGTCCAGTGTAGCTTGGCATTGTCTTCGATTTTTCTGAAGCTACTTGGCATCATGTTGGTTGAAAATTAAATTCTTCAGTATTTTTAAGATTTCTATATCTATTCATTTTTCCAAGCACGATATTCATTTTTCTTTTAATTTTTTAATTGTTAAAGTAGATACAGTTTGCTGCAGGAGAAAGCAGCACAATAGAGACTCAAAACAGATAGAGGGATGGGGAAGCATCATGGTGAGTCAACATGAGCATTGATCATGACTTCTTCTAGCAGTGAATCAAAGTCGCTCTTCTTCGTGGATAAGTCCAAAGGTACCTCCTGTGACCTTCATACCTGTATTAGTGACATAATTGTCTTTTTCTCTTTCAGTAATTCAATTGCTTCTGTAAATCAATTCCCAATTTCAGTTCAGCTGCCATAATTAGGTTTTTTTTAGTTTAGGTAAGGTCACTTTGTGTAGTCTCTCTAAGTTTACATTTGTATTGTTATGAATTTCTGATTTTAGTTTTGGAATAGATTTATATATTTATTACCATTTATTATTTCTAATGAAAGGGTATTATGCCAATGTAAAAGTTTATAACAATACGTTTCGAAGTTCACATTCCATCAACAGCTAATGCATATGGAGTTATGAATTTAATTTTTGGGATGATTTGTGTAGCCTGTAATCTTTGAGAATGTTTTGTTTAAATGGGTTTTATTTTTGGTTTGGTAGAGTGCATTTTATTGTGGTTTGGTTGTTTTGGATGTCATTGTAATTCACATCATTTCAGAATTCAGACTACCCTCAGACCCATCTCTCTCTCATAAATTAACTCCTCTGATTTTCCTTTTATCTCTGTCATTGTAATTTGCGTCTTCTGCTTTTACATTAAAGTCTGCCTAAGTTTTCCTGCGTCTTGGAAATGAAAGAGAAAGAGGGAGGAGGCGAAATAAAAGACCCTATCTACCTCCCAAAAGCAATCTCTCTCTCTCTCTCTCTCTCGTTTATTTCATTTGGTTTTTCCTTCGGACTTGCATTATTTCACTTCGTAAAAACAAATGCAAATAAAAAAGCTAGGGATCAAGTTCATTCCAGTTGTCCCCCTCTCCACGAAAGAGTTAATTTGCAACCAACTAATAATTAATATTAATATTAATATTAATTAATTAGTATATCTTGATGCGACCAACCAATAATTAATATTAATTAGTATATATCTTAATGCAACCAACCAGGGCCGAAAGTGTGTGTTGGTGGTTAGTATATAAACATACGTGTGTGATTCTTATTCTCTCTGTTTTATTTTCTTTCTTTTCACTCTTCTTCCTTTTCTCTCTGTCAATGTAGTTTGTATCTTTTGCTTTTACATTAAGATATGCCTGAGTTTTCTTGTTTCTTGGAAATGAAAGTTCTCTCTCTCTCTCTCTCTCTCTCTCTCTCTCTCTCTCTCTCGTTTTCTTGTTTCTTGGAAATGAAAGAGAGAGAAGGTCTGCCTGAGTTTTATTGTTTTCTTGTTTTTTCACAAATTTCAGGTTTGAATGAAATAAAGAAACTCATTCAATTTCAAGGGTTTGAGAAATTTTTCACCGAAATGCATAAATATTTTTTTCATCTATATACAAAAAGGGAAAACTAATTATGACATGTTTTGTTTATAAACCTGAAGAATTCTTCATAAAAATACCAGAAAATATTTCCATCCCCTTCCACATTCGTCTCCAATGTCGAATGCCATTGTTTGTTGTCTTCCTGCTAAAAAATTTAGCCATGAACAAATAAAACATTTCCGCTTGCCAGTTCTCCCCTTCCAAAATGATTTGAATTACCTCAACCAACGTATTCTTTATCCACTTACAATTAAATTTTGAGAAACCATCCAACCTTTGATTTATATCAGCTCACAACACAAATCACTTCAAAAGAATGAAGTTCAGATTTGGTTGGAGCACTATAATGCTTTTAACAAAGCATTACATAAAATTATAGAACAGAGTCAGATTCCTATTGTCCACTTGAACAATGCGAAGCATCTTCGGTATCTTTATTTTCTGTTCTTCCCGGAGAAGAAGAGAGAGAGTCCCACAGTTTCTCCAAAGAAGAATGAAGGCTCTGATGGCAGTGGGTCGTCCGACTCAATCGGAAATAAATTGAAGAATGTGACAACATACATGGCGGAGTATCCAGATTTTCCTATCACTTTTGATAGGAATTTCTGGAATATTCGAAAAGTTGTAATAGATGACGAGACTAAGTCATTTATCTCTAATGTGAAAACCATCCTGTTTTTCACAGACATTACAGTCATTCCGAGGAAGAAGAAGAAATTTGACCAAGAGTTCAAAAAATAGAGGTAGTTTTTTCTTTTGTGTCTGTGAGTCTGCTGCATGTCTGTAAGTTGTGTATTAGAACTTAAAATTTCAAAGTCAGAAATTTTTATATTGGGCATCTTATGTAAGAGCTTCTTTATTATTATAATATCAATTTCTCTTTATTTAAGGTTTATAGTTAATTGGTTTGAGAGTTTGCTTGGTGTAGTTTGGGATTGATCAGCCTATTTATAAGGTTTATGTTTAATTGGTTTGAGGGTTTTTTCAAGAACAACAATTAACCCTATCAAAAACCCTCAAATCAATTAAGGTAGTGTTGTTGTTCTTGAAAAAACCCTCAAACCAATTAACCATAAACCTCATAAATAGGCTGATCAATCCCAAACTACACCAAGCAAACCATTTAACTATAAACCTTAGATAAAGAGAAATTGATATTATAATAATAAAGAAGCTCTTACATAAGATGCCCAATATAAAAATGTCTGACTTTGAAATTTTAAGTTCTAATACACAACTTACAGACATGCAGCAGACTGACAGACACAAAAGAAAAAACTACCTCTATTTTTTGAACTCTTGGTCAAATTTCTTCTTCTTCCTCGGAACGACTGTAATGTCTGTGAAAAACAGTATGGTTTTCACATTAGAGATAAATGACTTAGTCTCGTCATCTATTACAACTTTTCGAATATTTCAGAAATCCCTATCAAAAGTGATAGGAAAATCTGGATACTCCGCCATGTATGTTGTCACCTTCTTCAATTTATTTCCGATTGAGTCGGACGACCCACTGCCATCAGAGCCTTCATTCTTCTTTGGAGAAACTGTGGGACTCTCTCTCTTCTTCTCCGGGAAGAACAAAAAATAAAGATACCGAAGATGCTTCGCATCGTTCAAGTGGACAATAGGAATCTGACTCTGTTCTATAATTTTATGTAATGCTTTGTTAAAAGCATTATAGTGCTCCAACCAAATCTGAACTTCATTCTTTTGAAGTGATTTATGTTGTGAGCTTATATAAATCAAAGGTTGGATGGTTTCTCAAAATTTAATTGTAAATGGGTAAGGAATACGTTGGTTGAGGTAATTCAAATCATTTTGGAAGGGGAGAACTGGCAAGCGGAAATGTTTTATTTGTTCATGGCTAAATTTTTTAGCAGGAAGACAACAAACAATGGCATTCGACATTGGAGACAAATGTGGAAGGGGATGGAAATATTTTCTGGTATTTTTATGAAGAATTCTTCAGGTTTATAAACAAAACATGTCATAATTAGTTTTCCCTTTTTGTATATAGATGAAAAAAATATTTATGCATTTCGGTGAAAAATTTCTCAAACCCTTGAAATTGGGAAATAAAAAAAGCTTTATGGGTGTTTCAAAAAATGTGATTCAGACGAATAAAGCAGTGGTTCCGGGGCAAGTGTGTTTGACAAGGGCGAGGATTGTTCCAAATCCGAACCACCAGCAGGACGACGATGCCTCCCAAACCTTGTCCATGTCGCCGGCAAAGCCAAAGGCAAAGGCAAATTACTGGTAGCTGCACTCACACCAACCCCAACCCCAATCCAAAGCATCCAAACAAGAACAAGAAGTTGCCCTTTAATGGCTACTTCCCACCCCAACGCTGAAATCATCGCCATTAACAAGAGCTGCCCTTTAATTGACCATAAAATAAACATCTGCCCTTTAATCCCCTCCTCCTCCGGCGACCCTTGCCTTGATCTCTTTTCCAACTCCCTCAGAGCATTTACCGCAGTTACTAACCCCTGCCTTAAATATCTGGAGCAAGTGCTTCCCTTGGCCTGGTCCGACAACCCCCTTACCACCCTCAAGCTTATCTTCAGCGCCGAGTATAAGTATTTTTCTTACAAAAAGTTCGACACGGCCATCTATTGGCTCCACCAGAACCGCCCCAAGACTCTGCTTAGAAACCTCCACTCTATTGCCAACTTGCCCAAGGTTCGCAGATTGGATATCCTTGTCCAAATTCTGCACGTCATTGTGGTTGAGAATCGAGGCGGCGGCCTATACGACAACTCTGCTGCGAGTCTGCATCTTCATCCTGAGAGGTATGACCGTGACCCCGATTATAGTTTGTTACACGACCGGGTTGTAGATATTTTCGTGGAGCATTTGAAGTCTGAGATGGACAAAATGAAGCAGCACAAGCTGAAACTGACGCCAGCTGATTACTTAACTGATGGTGACAACGAGGAAGAGGAAGAGGAAGAGGAAGAGGAAGAGGAAGAAGAAGACGACGACGATGATTATTATGATGATGACGATGACGGGGAAGATTATTATCCTAATCTTTTTGTATCTGCTGCAGTGTGTTGTACTAACAACGACGAGAACTATGATGACCTCACCGAAGTCATTTTTCTGCGTGAAAGCATTGCGAGGAGGCTTTGCCCGCCAGAATCAGATCAATCAGAAGCGTGGGAACGGCTAAAGAAGTAGTTTTTGGTGCCCTTGACCAATTACTACGTTCGAAGAGCCTGCCGTCGCTGTAGCCGTCGCGGTCTCCTTGGTGTGGAAGGCCCAAGCCTGCTTAAGAAGTATTTGGAGGAGGTGCAAGGAGCAGCAGGAGGCGGCATTGGCACAATAAAGCCGAATGCTTTGCTTCCGAATGAGATCATAAGATATGTACAAGATAAGGATGTTGGGGAAGTGGCGGAGCTTCACTGGAAGGCAATGGTGGAGGACATAAAGCAACAGCAAATCCAGGAGGGGGACGGTTTGGGCAAATTCAAAAATTCGTTGGTGGTGGGCCAATTACCCGAGCGTTTTGCGATGGGGTTGGAAATTCTGGTGTCTGAAGTGAATGAAGAGCCATGGAAAGGAAAGATGATAAAATACACTAGTGATGGAAAATGTCAGCTAGACTTGATACAAGGACATGATCTTAAGTCTAAGTTCAAATTCACGAGCAGATACTTGAAGTCCGATGAAGGATGTTATAGGCATATATTAAACGTGGCCTCCAACACCAGGCAGCTGGAGAAGATGTTTGATTTGATTGTGGAAATAGGTGTGGATGAGAATTTGAAGGCAGAGCAGATGATCAAGAAGGTGATTGTGTTCGCTGATGACCTACCACCACTATTTAGCCGCTCCTTTGAGTATGAGTATGAGTTACTACGGAGCTTGTTTGAGGCAATACAAAGCAAGTATGAGGACAAAGGGTACGGGGATGATGCGGTGCCACACATTCTGTTTTGGAATCTCTTGCACTGTGGGGAGCCTACCTGGATTTGTAGACGACATCCAGGTTTCACGCTGTTGAGTGGCTTATCCACTCATTTGTACAAGTCCTTCATGGACAATGGTGGAGAATTGGACCTGCACCATCTCATGGAAGCAGTCATCAGTGACAAACAGTATCAAACTCTCACTGTGGTCGACTGATAGAACAAAGTGGAGCTAACCTGTTCCAAGGTGGAACGAAAAGAACAAGGACAATCCAATCCAACTGCGCGCGGCATTGCAACTTTTCTTACCCCCCCCCCCCCCCCCCCCCCCCCCTCCATCCAAAAAATTATGCCCCTAAAGATAAGAGGTAAGTCGTGTGTTATTTGCAAGGAGGGCTTTGATGACCATGAAGTTATTCGCTTGCCATGATGTCAAGATTGTTAAACGTTTTGTTTGTTTTTGTTTTTGCTTTATAATTTGCTTGTCCCCGAGAATGAACAGCCAGCTCTTATCGAAAACATATTTCGTGTGCTTGTCGAAAAATATTCTTCGAACAAGACGAACACCATGCTCCCCATTGTTATTGGCATGGTGCACGCCATTTGTCTGGGAGTTCCACATGCCATAACTCATATTTTTGGGGAGGTTCTTGTAAACATAGTCGGTGAAGGGGATGAGACATTTTTGGTGCACGCCATCTGTCTGGTATAAATTATTCAACATTTTTGGTGCACGCCATCAGTATGGTATAAATTATTCAACTTGAAGGTGATTCTGAACTATTCAAAGATTGGAAGATCATCTCTCTTTGATGGTGCTTTTGTTACATTCCTAGAGATTATCTTGAATCCTGATAAACCCTTTTTGTATGGGCTCAAAATGTTTTTTGTCCAATCCCCTCAATAAGTTTTCTTGTTCGAGAAGTAACTAATTGACTTAGGATAACTCCAATTTTAGTTTTTCTCTTTTTAACGTTTGAGAGGTTTATTATAGGATAAGTAACTATATTTTTCCAATCAAATTAAATTTGGTTTCAATTAACTTGATTTATTTTATAATAAAAAATATAAAGAATCATTTGGAAATATCTTTCATATATCATTTCGAAATAACAAAGAAAAAAAGAAATGAAAAACACCGCATGCTATTTACTAAACAGAAGAGTCAAAACATACTACAAATAAATCAAACAACTTGAAGCCAATCCTCCCTAAGCCATCAAGAAGCCAAGGAGGTCCTTTACCCAACCAAAAACACGAGTCTTAACAGTGTTGAACTGTCTTACTTCCATGACTATTTGACTAATCAAATCCCTTGCTTACCTAGTCAAGATATGTTCAACCAAATCATATGGGAGATGTGGACTAAATGAAATACGAAGTATTGAAATCATGGAAGCCAGGTTGACAATGAGCTTAGGAAGAAAAAAAAGCTATCGGACATTCAATTCAAGTGAATTCGCATGGAGACTCTCACCCCAGCTGATTCATTCACATATATTCAAAATATGGAGAGAGAGAGAGAGAGAGAGAGAGAGAGAGAGAGAGAGAGAGAGAGGACAGTTATCCTTGAAGCTTGAGTGTTTCCATATTAACAACCTTTGTTATTGTTACTCTCTGGCAAATGTCACCATTGGATTATTTTCAATTCATCCAACGGCTGAGATTTGTTACCACTTTTTGCTAACTAGTAAACTATATATACTCATATACTGAGTCATACATACATTATTCATTATACATATACCAAGATCTGATCCATATACCCGTATTCGTGATCAAATTCTTCCAACAATTTGCAAAATTAGTGACATAATTCAATAAGGAAATAATTTCGAAAAGTTTGGCAAGAAAAACTTAATACATAAAGTGATGTTATCCACAAATATGTATTTAGTTGATATCATTTTCAATGTCAAAAATAGGAACACACACACATATATATATATATATTCTTATGAGAAGAGACACACTCTGAATTTTACTCTATTTTCTCATCTTCTTTCTATTCAAACCTTTATTATATATGTTCTTAGAAAAATTATTGCTTTACAAAAGTTGACACTTTCACATATGTATATCAGCATCATTGTTTGAAATCTGAATAGATAGAATTGAACACACATGATGATCTATAATATTTGATAAACCATTGATGAATTTTGTTAAAGCATATTTTGTAAAAATTTTTTTTTGGTTGATGCAAATACTTTTCCATTGGTCCATTAATACACTGCCACGTGGATGGCGGTTCATGACAAAATGCCACATCTTCGCACGTGCACTGATATTTTACCGCTTTACCTTTCTCCCCTCCAACAGTCCAACTGCAAGTCCAAAACAATTTCCGTTTATTTTTTTCTTGAATATTCATTGAAGGACCATGCTTTCTGCGGCAGACTCATCTTCCTCTTCTCTTCTTAATTGAGTGGTTCGAAACCCTAACAGCTCTAAATTCTATAGATTCTAAATCTCAATTTTTAATTTTTTTCAGCTGAGCTAGAGTTTCTGACCTCAAATCGGAGCTCATGGACCCTCAACACCAACAATGGCGTCCTAGACCGCCAATCCCAGATTCCGTCTGCCCTGTTTGCACTATTTCTCACTTCCCCTTTTGCCCTCCACATCCACCCTTCAATCAAAACCCTATCTTCCCTTTCGATTCAGGTCACTCTTTCCAAAGACCCGGTTTTGACCCGTATATAGGACCCGTGGGTACTCAGAGCCCATTCATGGGTAACCCCACTAATGGGTTTGAAAATCCGAGGCCGTGGCAGAGAAACCCTAATTTTGAAGCGGACACCTATGGCAAATTTCCGTATAGAGATGGCTTGGCGCCACCGCCACCGCCACCGCCACCATATGAATATGGTGGCAATGCGTACGTTGGTGATGGTGATAGGAACTTTAAGAGGCCGAGAGTCGATGTTTTGGGTTTAAAGAGCGAGTTTAACCCGAAAAATGCGAGTCTTACGCCAGAGGATGAGAGAAGATTGAAGCTAATTCGTGATCACGGTGGGGTGAATTCAGTTTCCGGTAGTCGTACCGTTCCGAATGGCGATACGAATAGGTATGCTGAAGAAAGTAAAGTTTTTGAAGGGGATTATAGTAAACCTGGTGTTAATAGGAGTTTCCCCCATTCTCAAACTGAAGAGTTTAATCATTCTGAAGTTGGTAATGAAAATTACCATAGCCACAATCCTCAACAGTTTCAAAGTAAAGATTCTAGGCCTGTGAATGAAGCACAACATTCCCATGTGAATAGTTGGCAAGCACATACTGGGACGAGTGCACCATACTATGACCATAACAATCAGCTACCACAACCCTATGGAATGCAGAGACATTCTGTGAGGCATCACCATGGCACTCCAAATACGAACGAACATGGAGGCTACTTTCCTTCCCCTGGCTTGGTTTCTAACAATGCAGGTCATATGCCAGCTGCTCGGCCATTCAGTGGGCAGCCTCCTCTTCCCACTTCTCCACCACCTCCTCTACCAATGGACCCGCCATCAAAATCGTCTTCTTTATTGTTTCCTGTTTCCTTTAGTTCCTCATCAATGATGCCTTCAGCCTATCCACCAATTCATGATGCCCGTTCCCTGGCGCAGCCTTATTTCCATAATAAGCCATTTTCACATGCTTCTACTGGTTTTGCCATGGAGGTATAGTTGGTTCCTCATATGCTTTTGTGCTTTATCTTGAACTGTTGTTTGGGTTGCGATTTTCTTTTGGGCTTCTAGCCTTCTGATGAAAACCATTTTTTCTTTCGTAATTCCCAAGGAATCTCATGTTTCCCATCAAATATCATCAAGGCAGTATGGAGAGGGACATCCATTTCCACGGAAGCAGTCATCTTTGGATAAGCCAAAAGTAATTGATGCTTCCCACTTATTTAAGCAGCCACATAGACTCACTCGTCCTGATCATTTTGTGATAATCCTACGAGGGCTTCCAGGTACCAAAGTTTGTATGTATAATATGTTTTGTAAGCATGATGACGTGACTGCCGAAAACTATAGAAGCTCTCTTACCATCTCACTTGCTTTCTGTGTTTTTGACCTTTGGCCGTATTCTGGAAATCATCTGATGCATTTAATATCAGGTAGTGGAAAGAGCTACTTAGCAAAGATGTTGCGCGACCTAGAGGTTGAAAATGGTGGTGATGCTCCACGAATTCATTCTATGGATGATTATTTTATGACAGAAGTGGAAAAGGTTTGTTGTTTCTTCTTTTTTTTCCTTCATTTACAATAATGTCCTGATTAATTCATGTAGAATCTTTTTCATGCCTCTTTTTCTCTGCCTCCTCTTACTCTCTCTTGGGGTCGTCATTAGTGTTCTTTGAATACTTGAGAGAATTTTAACTAAGTGTTATCTTTTGTCCTAAAGGTTGAGGAAAGTGATGTTTCAAAATCTTCAAGTTCAGCCAGAGGCAAGAAGCGAGTTTTGAAGAAGGTGATGGAGTATTGTTATGAACCTGAAATGGAGGAGGTAATGCAATTCAAAATATCCGAAACTTTTTAGAAATTTGGTTTGATATGTCTTTCATGTTTTAATTTCTTGGAATTTTTTGTTCTATGATTATGTTATCTTTGGAGGGAGGTTTATGTTGATTCTGTCGCATCAGGCAATATTAGCCGTGGGACTTTTTATTCGGCACTGTTGAATAAATAGGCTGCATTTGTATAGAGTTTGATTTCATCAGCCTTTCCTGCTTGAGTTCCAGAATAAAATTTGTTGGTTGGCTTTGGTAATTTTAGGCACTAATTTCAAGTTATGAAAGTGAAAAGGGAAATATTTGGTGGAACTTCTTTTGGTCGAGAGGTGGGGTTGGGTTGTGGTTTTTATATATAGGCTCTAAATTACCGTGTTTATTATTTTCCTCTAGTTTTTTCTAAGCCCGTTATGATTTGGCAAGTCTGGTATGATTTATGATTTATTTTTATTTTTATTCATATAAGTTTCTATCGAATTGTAACGCTATCATGTCCTCCCCGCAGGCTTATCGGTTGAGTATGCTGAAGGCATTTAAGAAGACCCTTGAGGAGGGTGTTTTCACCTTCATAATTGGTATGACTTCCAATTTTGATATTCACAAATGACTGAAAACAGCGAACTTTATATCTCTATGTTTCCCCCTTTTTTTGCAGCCATTTATAATGGCTTGGGAATTTCAAAGATTTTCCAGATGGAATTACTTGCAAATTTCGTGTACAATTTGGTGACAGCTTTTTTGGTCCAATGATGTTTAGGCAGTGTGTACTTTGATTCAAGTAGTGTACTCTGAGCCGGTGGTAAGCACCAGCTCTGAGACACGTCTCCTCTAAACATGGGTGCATAAATGACCTGCCTGTATTGTCGTTTAGATAGGATTCCAAATGTGTCCTCTACTATTTTAAAAGATTTTCTTCTCCTGAGGCGTTAAGAAGATAAACTGGTTAAAGGTTATTCTAGCTATACTGGCTTGCCAGTACATTTAATAAGAAAAATGATCTAGTTAATTATAGATTAAGTGGTGATGCAGTGCCCATCCACTGCCTTCATTTTCACTAACTACAGATGCAGTTTTGTTCGGAAATTGACCCTTTTGTCGGTGGTATGTGTGCTTCGTCTTAGTGGATGACCGCAATCTGCGGGTAGCTGATTTTGCTCAGTTTTGGGCAATTGCAAAGGTATATCCTCATTTCTCTCTTTCTCACAACCTCTGCCATGTGTTCTGAAGTGTCGACTCTATTTTTGAAATGCACTCACCATTTTCATGAGAAACTGGGGGTTGGCATCATGTTTTGTAGACCTGATCCATTGTAGCTCAGGCACTTTATCTAAAGGGCTAGTGAAAAATTTGCTAATGTGTCACTATCCTAGATTAGCAATGCGGTAATGTAGTTAAAAATACGCAGTGGCTGTAATCTTATGCATATTATGCAAGGTTCATTATTCCAAATTGTGGGTTAAATTTGATCAGGACTCGTAGGCTGGATCATATCAAAGAAGAAGTTATATTAAATTTGAATGTAGTTTTCTATCATTGATCTTCCTGCATATATTGTATGTTGTTAATTATTATTTTGTTTATTAGTTTAAACAAAATTTTAGTAGGCGGACGTGGTAATTTGATGGTCTATCTAACAAGCACCAGTTCTGGAACCTATCTTGTTCTGGGCTCTATAATCTAATTGACTATGATCAATGAAATTATAGTTCTTATGGTCTTAAGATAAGACATTGCAAGAGGGACTTTGTTTAGTCTTGAAGCTAACTACATATGGGTGTAGCTTGGATTTCTAGAGTTGGGTTTTTCTATGTAGCTTACCCACTTCCTAGGTTACAAGGTGGGGTTTAAGTTTAGGCAGTTCCATTTTCATTTGTTGGTCCAATTTATCAAATTTTGTGGTGCTTTTGTGTGAGTTCTCTGCCTACATAAGGAAGCTGATCAATGCAGGCACCATGCACGAAATTTCATTTAATTTCTCCATCTGGAATCAGTTTTCCTCTCTTTACTACTAGTATTGCAATATTACTCTGATGTTTTTATGGAAATGTATGATGGTTAGGTTTTCAATATCCAATGTGATTGACTTATGGCCAAAAGGGAAAAAAAATGGTGGTTGATGATCATATAATAGACTTGTGGATGCATCGTCTATTTGTTCACTTCACTAATTGTTCCTTGTTTTCTTCACAGAGTTCAGGATATGAAGTTTATATACTAGAGGCATCATATAAGGATCCTGCGGTGAGTATTATCTATGTGTGTTGTTATAACTGTAATTTGATAATTCTCTTTCTTGGAAGGAAGCCTACATTAGACATTAAGTGGGAAAAGGTTTTTTTTTCTTTTTTCTTTTTCTCTTTTTGAAGTTTTTGTTTGAAATTTCTTGGCATGTCAGGGCTGCGCAGCTAGGAATGTGCACGGCTTTACCCAAGATGACATACAGAAGATGGCTGGACTATGGGAGGAAGCTCCATCCATGTACTTGCAATTGGATGCCAAGGTTTGTTGTCATTTAACTTTAGTTTTTGGTTTGGGTTAGGATGGAGGAGCTCAAAGCAAAAAGCAGTTGTAGGTATAAGCAGTTGACTGTGGAGTCCAGTTAGTGCTCTTACCTTGATCATTTAGGGGGTGGAGGAAAGATAAAAAATAAAAATTCTGCTTTCAAGAGATTGCCCATAAATTTTTTGGGCCAGAAAGTTAGGATGGCCATTAAGTTGTGAATGTAAAAGAAACTATTTTCTTTTGGGTCCATTAGCAGGCTACACAATAGTGGATGACCCTCTTGTTCTGCTACACCTCTCCTTACCTTTTTGGGGTTCCAAATACTACTCCATAAGGATTCAAAGCTGGGGGGAGTGGGACAGGGGGTACCACTTCTCTACAAAACCTAGTATTTTATCTTCACTTGCATTTGCTTCTGGGGTTTGTTTTGACGCTGTGTATTGCTGGTTTGACAGTCATTATTCCATGGAGATGACCTGAAGGGAAGTGACATTCAAGAGGCAAGTTGAATCACATCTGACTCTCTTTTCTTTTATTTCGAACAAGTGTAATGTGGTGTTAGGTATCAATCCATATTTCATATGATATCTATCAGGTGGACATGGATACTGAAGATGCAGATAATGATAGTCTATTGGGATTGCAAGAAAGAAAGCCTGAGAAGATCATAGCACCTCCTGCTGAAGATGATGCTCGTAATGGTAATTTTGGCTTTTTATTTTTTTCAATTTTAGTAATTATGGCTGAGGCAACCTGAGTTGATAACGTTTTGTAAATCTTAAGCTTTAGGCTCTTCCAAGGGTGCGAAGAGCTTGGATGCTGAAGAAGACCATCCAACTGTGGAAGTGAAAGAACTAGGCAGGAGTAAATGGTCAGAAATATTAGATGAAGATGATACTGAAAAAACTGGTGGTGTGAAGGGTAACTTTAATACTCTTTCTGGACTTATTCAAGCTTATCGCAAGGGAGGAAAATCTGTATGCTGGAGTGACCAGGTACGTGTAATCTCACGCAATCATTTGGTGATGTAAATGCTTAGTTGAAATAAGTTGTCTCTTATTCTGTTGATGGCATGGAATAGTAATGGTGAATTTTAAACTATAGGCTGCCACTTGTCGCTTGTATAGTTACTTTCTGTGATAGAATTGGCTCTTAGGCTATCCTTTAGAAGAAAGATATCTCGGTTATAGTGGCGTTTTTGCGCAAAGTTTTTCACTTCAATGACCAAAGAACTAAGGTTTTCAGTTTGCTTTTTATGCACGGGTGGTGGCTGGCCTTTGATTTGGTAGGCTTTTTTCTTAAAATGTGCAACCAGTTCTCATGAATGATTACTTTTGGATTTTGGTTTTGTTACAACTTAAATGCCTTTTTATTTAAACCCTGTTTTGTACTTTTATTTCTTAGTTGTTGCAACCTTGGTCTTCCTTCCTCCAGGTTGGCAATACGGGGTTTTCGATAGCAGCGGCAAAGAAGGCGAATGTCTTGTCTTTGGTTATTGGACCGGGTTCTGGATACAACTTGGTTTGTTACCTCACTATCATTGTTGTGCTATCAGTAGAGGCTACATAGATTATCATAAAATTACTAATGTATGCCATGTGGGTTCAAGAGTCGCATGCTAGTTGGATGTAGTTTCATGTTTGTTAAAGTACTTTCTTTTCTTCCCGGCTAATTGATGGTTCCCTCTTGTTTTAGAGTATGGTTCTTGTAGCATATGTGTATGCACCATCCGTGTGTTACATCTGTTCCTTTTTAGGGCCATCAAAATGATCTCATTGTGTTTTACTTCCAACACCTGCAGAAGTCCAATCCATTACCCGAAGAAGAGAACCCGGTAACCCATAGCAGTGGTGAATCAAAGAGGCAGAACGTATTCGAAGACCAACTTCGAGCAGAACGTGAATCCTTCAAAGCTGTTTTTGACAGGAGGCGGCAGCGGATTGGTGGACTTGGTTTGGAGGAGTAGTAGTTAGTTGTAGGTGTCAGGATTCTTTCCTTGAAAGTGTTTTTGGAATATCGTTTTCTGTTGTTAATATGTCAGTTTAGCTGTTGTTGTAGCGTATTGACACTTGAATGAGGTGGATCAACACCTAAACGTGAATCCTTCAAAGCTGTTTTTGACAGGAGGCGGCAGCGGATTGGTGGACTTGGTTTGGAGTAGTAGTTAGTTGTAGGTGTCAGGATTCTTTCCTTGAAAGTGTTTTTGGAATATCGTTTTCTGTTGTTAATATGTCAGTTTAGCTGTTGTTGTAGCGTATTGACACTTGAATGAGGTGGATCAACACCTCTGATTTTGTAATCTCATCGGAGGAGAATGCTGTAAAATTCGGTGGAAAACCAGAGACTGATTTTCTACACCATCGAAGCCTTAAATGTATGAACAATTTTGAGGCTGATTGGATACTAATTAATGAGAACGGAAATTTATTTATTTCCTAAGACCTCAATGTGATTTACCAACTGGAGTCCGGAGGTAACTTGAGAAGTGTACACTACCAGTAAATTTGAAGTTTGAACTGCTCTTTCTTTATGAGCGGTGATTTCCCCACTCCAATTTTATTCGTTTACACTCTATTGTATAACTAAAAAAGAAGTGTAAGTGGTTAAAATTAGAGTGGGAAATCATTACCTTTCTTTATTATGAAGTAACTTTTAATAAAAAAAGACACTAACTTTTTTGTTTGGGTATATTTAAAGACACCAACCTTTTTGGGTCCTGAGACTGGATTACTTACATGCTGTCACACGTGTCACCTTACCCACCAAGTCTCTGTCTCCGCATGTGTTGTCAAAAAAAAAATCACTATAAAGCAGAGCAATAAGCCATAGCTTCCATCAACTATTGGCAGCTGAGACCAAAGCTCTCTCTTCGCTATCTCATGGCCGCTGCTACTGCAAGCCGTTGCCTTGCGTGTTTCATGGACCCAGAAGCAGCCAAATGCAGCATAACAGTTTCCAGCAGGCAAACCATTAATTTCTCTCACCACCATGTAAACCCATTTAACTTGCTGTAATATTATGCCTTTTGCAAACTATCTGTTTTAAGTTTTTGGCATAAATAACAAGTCCTCCTCCTCCTCCTCCTCTTCCTGCAAACAGAGGTCTCATTTGTGTTCGCTTTCCATGAATGGCTGCCAAGGAGACCCTCACCTCCCTTTAGGTACCATTGAAACGCGTTCATTTCCAGCAATTCCATCGCCTTCCTTGGCTCTAGACAGGCTCAACTCCGCCATTTCTGAATTGAAAGCAAACCCACCTTCTTCTACCTCCGGAATTATACGTCTCCAGGTAAGCCATGTTAAATGCTCAATGCCGTCCAAACTCAATTCTTCTACTTGTTTCTGTTCCGTGCCATCTTTTCTTATCTGTTATTGCCTAGTAGGCCAAAAAAGTTTTCATGTTTAGAGCAATGGGGTTGTGCCACGTGGATGGGTGGCATTCATCAGCATGTGCTTTACATACCTTATCCTGTCTTCTGTAGCACATGACATGAAAATTGACTTACTAATTTTGCCTTGGTATCTTTTGTTTTTATATTTTAATTTTTAAAAGAAGCACACGCACACATGCATGCCCAAATTATAAGAAGAGAAGTTTGCTCTGATCGTTAAGATACATGGAACTCTGAAATTAATAAAAAGATACGTAAACTTGTTAAAAGAGGACGATAAAGAAGTTCTGGATTCCAGCTACAAATGCCAGGCGAGAGGCCTTAGCATTTCTCAATGTATAGGCAGAACAAGTCAACAGTGGTGGAGAGACTACTTGCTTATGTATAGTGCTAATATAACCAGCCTTGTATTTGAAGGTGCCAATCCAGCAGCAAATTGAAGCTATTGATTGGCTATATGCGCAACACCAATTCCTTCCCCGCTGCTATTTCTCCGGTAGGGGCCAAATCGGTAATTCTTCTGATCTTTCCATTGATTGCACCAATGGGAATGACCAGATTCAATTGAAACACAACTTGGTCAGCGTTGCTGGTGTGGGGTCTGCAGTTTTCTTTCAGGATCTGCATCCTTTCTCATATAGGCATTGGAAGTCCTTAAAGAGGTAAAAGAACAAACAATATTCAATATTGGAACAAGTTCAGTGTGATTCCATTTAACATATGTATATCTTAATTTTGTAAAAACTACTGTTCTTTCTTTCGAAATCCAATTTACAAACTGAAGTCTAATTTTGTCATCTCTTGATTGAAGATTCCTCTCTACACAATGTCCACTTATTCGCACTTACGGGGCAATCCGTTTTGATGCAAGAGCCAACATATCATCTGAATGGGAGGCATTTGGTTACTTTTATTTTATGGTCCCTCAGGTAGAACAATTATTTGCTTTTGTGCAGTAGTTCGAGCCATAAATCATGTTTGAATTCTCTTAAGTATTTATACAATCTGCTGCTAGATACCAAATGACAGGTTGAGTTTGATGAGCTTGAAGAAGGTTCAATGCTGGCAGCAACTGTTGCCTGGGACAATGCCCTCTCATGGAATTTGGGACATGCAATTGATGCACTTAAAGCTACACTGAGCCAGGTTCAAATATTAGGATTGAGTTAAATTTGCTTGTTTAGTATTTGTTGAAGATATTCATGTTTTATGTTTACATCAATTCTTGATGATGCAGATATCTTCTGTCATTTTGAAGCAACGAAGACAAGTTCCTTGGACACCAATGTTAAGCAATAATCACATCCCGAGTAAGACGTACTGGAATCTTGCTGTTAATAGAGCTTTGCAGAAAATAAGAAGCAACTCAGCCCTTATTAAGGTACTATTTAATGATTTATTTTCCGTGTGCCAAGCTTGGTTTCAGTATTGAGATGCACCTCCTTTTCATCTTCCTCTTTCTACTTCTCTTGTTAATGAATCATCTTCTTTTGGGAATTCAGGTGGTACTCGCACGTAGCAGCACAGTAATAACACCAACTGATATTGATCCCATAGCATGGTTAGCTTGCTTACAGGTGTTTTTTTTTCTTCAAGCTATTACTGTTGGATTTTCTCTGTATAACAAGTTATGACTACTACATCTGAGCTAAACTTCTTCAGGTTGAAGGTGAAAATGCTTATCAGTTCTGTCTTCAGCCACCTAATGCACCAGCATTCATTGGAAACACGGTAATTGTGTTGAAAAGTATAACTTCCATTCATCACAAAATATATTATCTTATATGATCACCTTGACAATTGTTTTATTTTTTATTTCGATTATTTTTGTGAATAGCCAGAGCAACTATTTCACAGAAAATGGCTTGGCATTACTAGTGAAGCTCTGGCTGGAACCAGAGCCAGAGGTGAATCGATGCCTGAAGATCTTCAAATAGAACTTGAATTACTTTCCAGGTTTAACTCAATTTTTTAAAAATCATTGTTATGATGTTATTCTACTTCACTGTGCTGCTAGGAGTCACACAACTATCCAATAACATTCATTTTGCAGTCCCAAGGACCACCTCGAGTTTACTATTGTACGAGAAAGCATAAGAAGAAAACTAGAGGCAAGTTTACTTTTTGGTGCTTTTATGTCTGAAAATTATTGATAATTTTGTTTAATGGGAAATAAATTGGTGCAAATGTTGAAATTTATTGTCTGGAATTAACATGAAACTGGTTTAGACTCAACAAGGACATAAACCATTCTTGTTTTGCAGAATGTATGTAACACTGTCCTAGTTGAACCAAAGAAAGCAATCCGTAAGCTCCCAAGAGTCCAACATTTATATGCCAAATTGGCTGGCAGGTTAAGAAGTGAAGAGGATGAGGTAAATATATTGCATTTTTCTGCATCAAATCATAAAGTTTCCTTTCAAGCTCATATAATCTGGATTTTTGTAGTTAGATTAAATCTGCATGTTCTGCACCCCACTAGTTTATTCTCCTGAGCTGATCAGAGTTTTCTTCAGTGTCCAATATACATTGTTAAATTTCTCGACAATATGCTTGATTTTGGATACTCGTTGAATTTGAAGTTTAACTAGCTATCTGCTTCCATTTCGGATACTCGTTAAATCTGCATGTTCTGCACCCCACTAGTTTATTCTCCTGAGCTGATCAGAGTTTTCTTCAGTGTCCAATATACATTGTTAAATTTCTCGACAATATGCTTGATTTCGGATACTCATTGAATTTGAAGTTTAACTAGCTATCTGCTTCCATTTCAGTTTGACATATTGTCATCTCTTCATCCAAGTCCAGCAGTTTGTGGATTTCCAACAGAGGAGGCACGGGTTTTAATTGCAGAAACAGGTGCATCATATATCAATAAAAAGAATTCTACTATTTTTTTGTCTTTGGCTTTATACACTCAATTCATCTAGCTGGTTTGGTCGAGGGAGAACTTTTTCCTGAAGACTCAGATTCTTTATATTCATAAACTTTGTGCAGAAGTATTTGACCGAGGGATGTATGCTGGGCCAGTTGGTTGGTTTGGAGGAGGAGAGAGTGAGTTTGCCGTTGGCATTAGATCAGCATTGGTGGAAAAGGTACGCCAAGTAAATTCTTTTGTCTGCTACACTTTTATAAAAATGGAGTTTTTGTCAGAAATTTTTATATATCATGCGTATTAGACTGAAAATATCATACACAATAGGCATGTCTTCATTAGCATGCAGAATTCGTAGCGCTGACCCTTTTCGATTCTAGGGTCTTGGCGCAATGATTTTTGCTGGAACAGGGGTTGTGGAAGGAAGTAATGCATCATTAGAATGGGATGAACTGGAACTCAAGATTTCTCAGGTGTGTGTTTAGACTCAAGTTGCATTGTGTAAAACTAATCATTCTGCATGAGAATAGGTGTTTCAATAAATTTTTATATGTTTTGATCAATGATGTAGTTCACCAAGTTGCTTAAACTTGAAGTCCCTTTAGAGATTAAAAGCTGATGTTGCAAGGACTATCAAGTGAAAAGGTCAGTGGTTCTGAAGTTGGTCGCCAGAATTCTTTGATGACTATTATTCTTTCTTGATTGTTTCTTGGGATGATTTTCCCAATGACAACATAAAAGAGATTTGATATGTAAAAATAAATTTGAAAAGCAAATACCAATGAGTTGGACATGCCTAGAATGTTCATCTGCTCTGACTGGGACAACAATGTGCTTTTCCATTAAATCATATTTCTTTTGCTCAGAAATTGGCTTGGCATGATGATGACTTGAAACCAAAAAGTAGGCTTGGTGTAAATAAAAGCCACGAAAGCACGAATCGTAACAATAGCGTGAGTAAATCCTAAGAACATGTTGCTGCCACACCATTCATAAGTTCAAACCATTTCTTCACCATGAATGAGAAGGTCGAATTGCAGAACATACCAAAGTACATATCTTGACTAGAAAGAACAAATTAAATCAACCGATGAAATCAGAAATTATATCAATTGCATTGTTTCTCCCAATTCTAAGCCTTTATTTTTCCCTTCTTCCCCAAACTGTCAGATCCCCTTACAATTGAAACTACAAAAGCAATAAGAAGACAGTGTTACTCTTCACTGTCTACTGCTACAACCTCTGTTATTTCTGAACAGGGTTCAGTTTGAGCTTCATACATTTATATACAATTTTCATTTTTTGTTTATTCCCACATACACATTAACATGGCTTATTTTTAATGCATTTAAGAGGACCGGCAAAGCGCGTGAGCCTGGTCACAAATGACCCAGGTTTTGCCTGGATCATATCTGCCTTTGGGAGATTCCTAATGGGGCTTCCGGATTGAACAAAGAATGCTCCGTTCATCATAAGATCATTCTCTGATCTCCAATTCCATGATCTCCACTCGCCCTCTTGTGCATTGTTCCTATGAGTCACCTACATAACAACAAGAACAGCATTCAAAATTAGTTCAAGGAACGAGTCCCACGACTTGGTTTTTTGATATGTGATTAGAGATAAAACAAATTTGGTGTAGAGACCAGTTTGTGCTTGTGCTAACACTAGTATACGTACCTCTTTAGTCGCTTGGTTCGACGGAGCAATGAACCGGTTGCCCTGGCTAATTATGGTAGGGTGTTGGCTGCCACCAATGGCATACATAAGCCAATGAGTATAGTCGTTGTTGACGACATGGAAAAATCCCCACCGGCACCTTGGCATCCGCTGAACCAACCCCTTCCCGAAATGGTTGAAAGCCAGAGTTATCTGCATCACTTGATCCTGGGAGTTGCTATCACTTGAACCAAACAACATCACCTGCACAATATATATAATCAGTAGCACGCATGATTTCACAAATGGGGTTAGTTTTGTAAAATGCAGTAACAGATGGATTTTTACATCATTATGATTGGTGAGGTGACAGTTGGATATGGTGATGGCCGTAGAGCCTTGGATGGCATCAATGAGCCCATCTGCGCAATTTGACAAAGAGACATGGTCTATCCAAACGTTTGTGGCTCCATACATGGATATTCCATCTCCGTCGCTACGGGTGCGCTGTCCAAAGTGATTGATAGAGTCCCTAATCAGGCCGCCATTTCCAGGCTTGTTGTTATGGATGTGGAGGTTGGTGATGATCACATTCTTCACAAACTGCAATGAAATTTGAGCGCCATCGAGGATGTGCACGTTAGCACCTCGTGCATCAATGGTCTTGTCACTGGCCACCAGAAGCTCTTCAGTCAGCTTTATCCTCATGTCCCGAGCAAATATGATCCAAAGTGGCCCATTTTGAATCACAGCGTGGCGGAGTGTCCCGGGTTTCGGGTTCACTAGGTCAGCGTCGGTGTTATCTGTGACCACATATATTGGTCCAAGTTTCCCTCCAGTTGCCTTGCGCCCAAAGCCAAGGGCACAATCGGCTAGCCTCTTGCGATTTTTTTCCCAATTGGGATCGCATCGCCAACAACGATCGATAGGGTTTGTAGCCATGCATGGACCCTTGTACTTCTGGTTCAAGTTCCTTCTTGTGTTGTTTGCATAATCGAAGGTGCTGCTTGCATTAAATAAAAGCTTGTAAATGATGATCAACATTTTCAAAACCCAAAACAACAACAAAAAATCAATGTTCAAGAAATCAAAATGTGTTTAAATGTCTGGTTTCTTGTGTGACAAGGAACTTACTCAAGGACTTGCTTGTTGAAATGCTCGGTGACTGCTATAGGATCATCATGGTAGGCTTCATGGGCGGCCTTCTTGGCTTCTGCGGCTCTCTGCTGCCAATGCTCATCAAAATCCGCAATGTTTGCCCTCACTGTTGTTGGGATTGTTATTGCAGTTACAAAAACACATAAAATCACAACATTTAGCTTCTCAGCTTCCATTGCCTTCCTCTCAAATTTTTTTTTTCTTCACCTTTCCTTGTTTTCTTGCTTTTTTGTTTTGTTGGGTTTATTTTTCTTATACTGATGTCTAATGTAGCGAAGGTTGAGCCCTATGTATGAGTGTGAAACTGGACCTACCAGACTGCTTGGGTTTAAGTAATGGCTTTAATTTGCAGGGCAGGGCAGGGCAGTTTCCATGGTTAATTGATTTTTTTTATTTTTTTTATTTAGGGAATTAATTAAAAGATTTAGAACTGCAATGGGGGAGTTTGGTTATATATGCACAACGAAGAAATCTAAATGAAGCAAATAGATGAGAATGGGACGTGGGGAGGGAAGAGAGGGGAGCCCCTTTCCCCTTCAACGGTCGAAATTCCTATTTGCCTTCTTTGCTCACTTTGGATTTTCTTTATTGGATTAGCTTAGTTCTGACATTTTCCTTTTCCCTTCTCTTATTAATTTCTACAATCTCTCTTGACCATCCCTCTTGATTCTTACCATTAGTCAACATCCAAAAAAAGTGTCTCTAAAAGGATAAAATCATTCCTAATATTCCATATTAAAAATAAATAAATAAATAAACTACTTTAAAGATTAATGTAACATGTGTGTGATTGATAATATGTTATTTCATACTTACTAATTGCATCGTTGATTACATTATTTCATACTTACTAATACGGTTGATAATGTTGTCAATGAAAGTGGTACAAGTAATTTGATTGCAAATTAAAATCTGATTACCCGCGGCTTTAGGCATAACATATATGTATGTGTATATATTATTTATATATGTTCATACCATGCAATTAAGCATATATGAATATAATATAGGCCGTAATCTAATAAAATTATAGAGACCGCCGCCGCAAAGACAGAAAGAGAGGTTAGTTTGGACACAAGGAAAGCAAGGAATAGTGTCCTTGACATGCAGTCCAATCCAACCACAACAACATTTTGCATATGCAGGCAAATGAAGTTTGGAATAAGATGATCCAGAATATGCATATATCGTTTTCCCACAAGGAAACCTGTTTGTTATTTGACAACATAACCCTGCACCAAGCCATTGCTACTCCTATGTATATATAATCAATCAGAGCTTTTGCATCTATATATCTCCAACCATTCACCACAAAGCATTCTATCATTTTATTGTAATTAACTCGCAGGCAAAACAAGCGCTTAAATTTGTTATTATAAGGTTCAGTTGATAATTAACTGATGGCACAAGTCAGAGGATCATCAACAAGAGGGATGGGAGAGAGATCGTCATCATTGACACGCTTGCACGAAAAGATTTTGCCTTCCTCAGGTTGGACAGAGGACTCCAATGGCCATTATCTTCTTGTTGATCTTCCAGGTAACTTCATGAGATGAGCATCTAATATTAATTTTCTTTCTCTATTCCCTATAATGTTCCATTTCCTTAAGAAAAACATAATGCATGTGCATGCTCTTTTTTACATGCACAGAAATTTCATATGAACTTAGTCACGTGGTGTTATAGTCACACAGATAGATAGAGATATTGATTCTTCGTTATTATGTTTCGTTATTTATAAAATTGTGTCTTAGATTTTAAAAAGGAGGAGGTGAGGCTTGTGGTGAATGTCTCAGCTGGCTATATGACAGTCAGCGGACAAAGGCAAGTCAATGAGAAGAAATCTGAGTATTTTGAGCAGAACTTCAGCATCCCTCCAAACTCAGATGTCGATAAGATCACCGGAAAATTTGACGCTGGGATTCTCTATGTCACTGTGCCAAAGGTAGCAGCAGTTGTAGAAGAAAAGAAAGAAGCGGAACCTGAAATAATAGAAAACCAAAATGTCGAAGAAACCGCTGCCACAGAACCAGCTAAGCCAGAGAACAAAAATGTGGAAGGCGCTGCAGCAGAAAACGTTCACTTAACAGAACCGAAAAATGATGGACAGCACTCGAACAAAGATGATGGAGCCTCAAAAAAATTATCAGGAAATAATGACCGCATATTCTTTTCTCTGGAGAATATAAGGAAATGGGAGGAGCATGAAGATGGGATTTTGAAGACTGCAATGGAGATGTTGAGCAAAAATAAAGGGATTGTTATAACAGCTGTGGTGGCATTTTCACTAGGGGTGCTAGTTTCTCGTCAGACTTTCCAATGAGCAGGGCAATGAGAATTAAGATTATATACTAGCTCTTTAATTAATTAATCTGTACATGTGTACATTAATTAACTGTTAAGTTACACTTGTTTTACTTTAATTCTCTGTCATCTGTTGTTTATAAATAAGAACATTTCAATGAATGAGATGTATCCTTGTAACCTTCTCCTCTTAAACTAAATTTCTAACCTGTTTAAATCATTCATAACATATATAGCTAAAACTCTACTCAAAGAGCAATAAAATAATATACAGAGAACTTCCATTGAGGGATCCCTAAATAAGTTTATTTGAAGGACACCCTTATAGTGTTTACTATACATTGTATTTTACTAATCCAACCCGTCTATTTGTAAGATAATCATTTAAAGATCATCTCTACAAAAAATCACTTGAATCCGATATCATTTGACCACTCAATTGAGTTATTGAAATTTTAGTACTTTCTTGAAGCACCATATTCATTGATTTTGTAGAACACAATTGGATGTCGAAACGGTTTTTGATTTGTCTAATTTTTTGCAAAGATGATCTATGAATGTAGACTTTAAAAATAGTTGGTTTGGATCGTTGAAAAAAATATATTGTAGGGATCCTAAAGGGTGTCCTTATATCATTTGACTACTCAATTAAATTATTGAAATTTTAGTACTTTCTAGAAGCATCGTGTTCATTGATTTGTCAAAATTAGATGTCTAAATGGTTTCCGATTTGTCTAATTTTTTGCAAGAATGATCTCTGAATAAAGACCTAAAAAATAGATAGTTTGGATCATTGAAAAAAAAAAATCTTAAAGTACCATAAAAAGTGTCCCTCAACTAAAGTCATTTGAGGGATCTTAATAGAAGGGATATATATGTGTGCGTGTCAGCAAGAAATGTGGTGCAAATAATTAGAGGAAAAAACTTGTTTCACATGATCACCATTCTTAACTCATCGCACACATATACTGTGTGGGCTCCATCTAGTTAATTGGTATTTTAATGTTATATTAATTATAGGCCTTGATAGAAAGAGAGGTATAGTTTATTAATAATTAATTGGGAGTTTAGGCACAAGGAAGGCAAGGAATAATATTGTCCTTTTTCCACCATGAAAACCCAAATAAGCCAGCAAGCAACCCCAAACTTGGCATGCAGTGCAGGGGAAATTAAGATTGACCCTGCATGCAGCTTCCTAAATCGATTATGTCTAGCTACTCCTATATATACAATCAATCAATGGGTTCACCACAAATTGGATTAAACAATTAATACACAATCATATTTTCAGTGGGTCAATTTTGTTATTACAATTAAGGTTTCATCAGTTTGTATTAGTGGATCGTTGATGGCAGATGTTAGAGGATCCACAAGAGGGATGGGAGAGAGATCGTCGTCGTCGACGTCAACACTAGGCCTTCGTCCAAAGGTTGTACCTTTCTCAGAGTGGATGGAGGACTCCAAAGGCCATTATCTCCTCCTTCAACTTCCAAGTACTTCATATCTACTATAGCATGTCTATTTTTCCAATACTTTATTGTTGTTTCATTTCCTCAAAAGAAAAAACACAAAGCATATATGCATGATTTTTTCTACGTCACGTGGTATTACAATCATATGATGATCTACGTAGGAACTAATTAATAATATAACCAGATGCATTATATTATTAATGAGATTTGTTTATCTTATAAATTATAATTACACAACTGTCTCTAGATTTCAAAAAGGGGGAGGTGAAGGTTGAGGTCAATGACTCAGCTGGCCATGTAACAATCAGCGGAGAAAGGCAAGTGAATAAGGAGAATGAATCTGGGTCCTCTGAGGAGGAGGAGGAGGATGAACTTGAGTCTTTTGATGAGGAGGAGAGTGAATCTGATGATCAGTCTTCTGAGGATGAAATGTATTTTGTGGAGATTAAGAATGAATTTGAGTATTTTGAGGAGAAAATTACCATTCCACCAAACTCAGATGCCAATATGATCACCGCAAAATTGGAGGGTGAGACGCTCCATGTCATTATACCAAAGGTAGGAGCAACAGAAAATGATACACAGTATACACATGTCCAAGGCATATTCTTAAGACCCGAAAATGATGGACACTACTCAAACATATTATTAGGAAATGGCCATGTATTGTTCTCTCTAGAAAATATAAGGAAATGGGATGAGCATGAAGATGGGGTTTTAAGGATGGCAATGGAGATGTTGAGCAAAAAGAAAAAGATCGTTTTAACCGCCGCGACCGCCGCCCTTGTAGCATTTTCATTAGCGATGCTAGTTTCTCATAACACATTCCAATCAGGAGGAGGAGAATGAGAATTAAGGCTGGCTAGCCATGGATATTATGTTTACTTAAGCTAATGTGTACATATTATTATTAATGCAAATGAAAATGTCTGAAAAATTAAACATGATCGACTGCATATGATCAGATGCTAATGTCTATATTTTGTGGACATGTTAAAGAGTCGTATTAAAGTTGAAGAAGTTAAAAGCAGCAGCCTCTTTGGGTAAGGGCATGTTTGTATGTTTGGTAATATTCTGAGGCTTGAGCATCAATCTACCAATCTCATCCACATATCATGAGCAGAGAGCCAAAATATGCTCAAAACAGAGGGGCATCAATTCAAAAATGACTTTATTATATATGCATATATATATATGTATATGTAGGGAAGCAGGATCAGATTCGTTGAGCAAACAAAAGCAGAGAGCAACCCAGCAATTGGAAAAAAAGCCACACCACCACAACATCACTTTCTCCATCTGATGCGGCTTGGAGAAGCTTCTTTGAGATGCGTGCCAATTGCCAAAAAGTTGCGACCCAATATCCACTCCTAAATGAGAAAAAGTTAGTTGCACCGGGGATAGCTGTTGCACTGTTTTGCTATATCCGGCCAATAATGCTATATTACGTGGAAGTGTTATTATGCATATCGTAACGTTATTGGCCGGAAATAACAAAATAATGATATTCCTGTTTCATGAAGGTCTTTCTCCTCCTATATATCTGAAAGAAATTAAAGCAATTTAAATCCACAATTATATCTGAAAAAAATCACTTTTACTAGTTCAGGTGCTTTTCTGAACACAGGTGAGTTGCCCATATGGTGGTAGAAAAAGGGATAATATGTGTATGTTGGACTTGGAATATTTTGATGATTTAGTTTGACAAGGGGACATAAAGAGATAGAGGAAAGGAGAAGAGAATATATAGAAGAGAACCAAATATGAAAATAAAAAGGGGGATGATATGCTTTGTCACACAAACCTTTATTCAAAATGTGACTGCTTTTCACAAAAAGGAGAGGGCCATACACTCACTCAACACACACACACACACATACATACTTGCCTCACTCACTGGAAGAATCATGTGCCTTCTTCCATCCAGTACAACTTATCTCTCATTCTCTTCTTTCTCTGTCATCATCTAATGCTACCACCCATCACAATATTTGTCATGCCTCTTCTTAAACAAATTAATTATGAAAAAGCAAATAATAAAGGAAAAGAAAAGAGGAATGTGTGAATTATAATTTACAAGCCGAAAAGTGAATCGAAAACCTTCGGGAGTGAGGATGGAATCTAATCTCTTCCTTCTCAACAAAATCTTTTAGCCGAAAAAATACACACAAAATTTATCAATAATAAATTTTAAAAAAATAAAAACAATAGGATTAGCATGGTAATCAAGCAGCATGCCATGCATTAGGCATATGATATGATATGATGCAATGCAAACCAGCAAGCAAGCAGTGCACAAATTCAAAAAAGCGCACAGCTCAAAAGCAAAACCCAAAACCCGCACATCCCCCTTCCCATTCCCATTCCCATTCATTCTCTCTCCCGCTATCAACGCCCAATTTACCAACTGTTTTTGTCCGTAACCAAAACCAAAACCAAAACCAAAACTCACTCACACTCCCATCAGAAATATGAGACCATGACGGTTTCGTTCCAACTTCCACCCCAACAACAGTCACCGCCACAACAACAGCCACCGCCACAATCCCAATCCCAGCCCCAGCCCCAGCCCCAGCCTCAGCCCCAGCCACAACCTTCAGAACCACCGCAGCCGCCGAGCACAGTCAGGAAGCTGATCGTCGAAGTCGTCGACGCGCGGGACCTTCTGCCCAAGGATGGCCAGGGCAGCTCCAGCCCCTACGTCGTCGCCGACTTCGACGGCCAGCGCAAACGCACCTCCACCAAGTACAAGTCCCTCAACCCCATCTGGAACGAGCCCCTCGAGTTCGTCGTCTCCGACCCCGACCACATGGAGTATGAGGAGCTCGAGATCGAGGTCCTCAACGACAAGCGTTTCGGCAACTCCAGTGGCACCGCCCGTAAAAACCACTTCCTCGGCAGGGTCAAGCTCTACGGCACCCAGTTTTCCAGGCGCGGCGACGAGGGATTGGTGTATTTCCAGCTGGAGAAGAAAAGCGTGTTCAGCTGGATCAAAGGCGAGATTGGACTGAGGATTTATTACTACGATGATTTGGTTGAGGAATCGCCGCCTCCCCCGCCTCAGGAGGATCCGCCGCAGGAGAAGCCGATATCTCCGCGTCCGGAGGTTGTGGGGGTCGAGGAAGGTAGGGTCTTCGAGGTCCCTGGATTTCCGCTTGCGAACAGAATTCACGAAAGCTCGTACTCGCCGCCGGTTGTGGTCGTCGAGGAGTCGCCGCCGCCGATGGTTCATGTACATTCTGAACAGGCGGTGCACGATATGTCGAATCATCATCAGCATCAGCCGGAGGCTCAGTTTCAACCGGAGGTGAGAAAAATGGAGACTCACAGAGTGATGAATACTGAGAGAGTGAGAATCCTAAGGAAGCCTAACGGAGACTTCTCGCCGAAGGTGATTTCCGGCAAGTTCGCGGGGCCGGAGACGGAGAGAATCCACCCCCGCGATCTAGTCGAGCCGATGCAGTATTTATTCATCAGAATAGTCAAGGCTCGAGGCCTGGCTCCGAACGAGAGCCCCTACGTGAGGGTCCGTACATCGACCCACATGGTGAGGTCGAAGGCGGCGGTTCACAGGCCCGGCGAGCCGACAGACTCGCCCGAGTGGAACCAGGTGTTCGCGCTCGCACACAACCGGCCTGACTCAGTGAACTCGGAGCTGGAGATCGTCGTTCTCGACTCTCCGTGCGACAAGTTCTTAGGCGGCATTCGCTTCAACCTCGCCGATGTGCTGGTTCGAGACCCTCCGGACAGTCCCTTGGCTCCGCAATGGTGTTCTCTAGACGGAGATCAGAACTCCGGCCGAATCACCGGGGAAATCCAGCTCTCTGTTTGGATAGGGACCCAAGCCGACGATGCCTTCCCGGAAGCGTGGAGCTCCGACGCGCCATTCGTGGCTCACACGCGTTCCAAAGTTTACCAATCGCCGAAGCTCTGGTATCTGAGATTGACGATTATGGAAGCTCAGGACCTTCACATTCCATCGAATTTGCCTCCATTAACGGCTCCCGAGATCCGAGTCAAAGCTCAACTGGGGCCACAATCAGCTAGAACCAGGCGCGGATCCATGAACAATCACAGCGCGTCGTTTCACTGGAACGAGGACCTCATCTTCGTCGCAGGGGAGCCTCTCGAGGACTCGTTGATGTTACTCGTCGAAGACCGCACCAATAAAGACGCCGCGCTCCTCGGCCACGTCGTAATTCCGGTGAGCTCGATCGAGCAGCGAATCGACGAGCGCTACGTGGCGTCCAAGTGGTTCGGGCTGCAGTGCCAAGGAAACGGGCTGGAGTGCCGCAGGAGCGAGCCATACTGCGGCAGAATCCATCTACGGCTCTGCTTGGAGGGAGGGTATCACGTGCTGGACGAAGCGGCGCACGTGTGCAGTGACTTTCGGCCCACAGCTAAGCAGCTGTGGAAGCCGGCTGTTGGCATTTTGGAGCTGGGGATTCTCGGCGCTCGCGGCTTGCTTCCCATGAAAGCCAAATCAGGTGGGAAAGGCTCCACGGACGCTTACTGTGTGGCCAAGTACGGGAAAAAGTGGGTCCGGACTCGGACCATCACTGATAGCTTTGACCCGCGCTGGAACGAGCAGTACACGTGGCAGGTCTATGACCCCTGCACCGTCCTCACCATAGGAGTGTTTGACAACTGGCGCATGTTTGCTGGCCCGGGGGAGGACAAACCAGACTGCCGTATAGGCAAAATACGAATACGTATATCTACGCTGGAGAGCAACAAGGTGTATACGAACTCATACCCGCTGCTGGTGCTGTTGAGAACTGGGTTGAAGAAAATGGGTGAAATCGAGTTGGCGGTTCGGTTTGCCTGCCCGTCGTTGCTGCCCGAGACGTGCGCGGTCTACGGACAACCATTGCTTCCTAGAATGCACTATCTCCGCCCCCTTGGGGTGGCTCAACAGGAGGCATTGCGCGGTGCCGCCACTCGCATGGTGTCAGCGTGGCTCGCGCGCTCAGAGCCGCCTTTGGGGTCCGAGGTGGTGCGGTACATGTTGGATGCGGATTCGCATTCATGGAGCATGAGAAAAAGCAAAGCGAATTGGTTTCGGATTGTGGCTGTGCTTGCATGGTTGGTCGGGTTGGCAAAATGGTCTGATGACATTAGAAGATGGAGAAACCCGGTTACCACGGTTTTGGTTCATGTGTTGTATTTGGTTCTTGTTTGGTACCCGGATTTGATTGTCCCAACCGGGTTTCTGTACGTGTTCTTAATTGGTGTTTGGTATTACCGGTTCAGGCCCAAGATCCCAGCCGGGATGGATATCCGGCTGTCTCAAGCGGATACGGTTGATCCGGATGAACTTGATGAGGAGTTTGATACAATCCCAAGCTCAAGGCCACCCGATGTCATCCGGGTTCGGTATGATCGGTTACGGATGTTGGCAGCCCGGGTCCAAACAGTTTTGGGTGATTTTGCGACACAGGGAGAGCGGGCCCAAGCCTTGGTGAGCTGGAGAGACCCAAGAGCCACAAAACTGTTCATTGGAGTGTGCCTAGCTATCACTGTGGTTTTGTATGCAGTGCCACCAAAAATGGTTGCTGTGGCCTTGGGATTTTACTACCTGCGCCACCCCATGTTCCGAGAGCACATGCCACCGGCTAGCCTGAACTTCTTCCGGAGGCTGCCAAGCTTGTCGGACCGGTTAATGTAGAGGGAAAGCGGGAAGGAAGAGTAGTAGATATAATATATGGCAACATTTTGTTACTTAGGTGCTAAATTAATCAGAGGGTGACAAAAATTTGAAATTGCGATGAAAACAACTGTGTTGAGTTGAAAAAGAGGTCCTTCAAAATAAAGAGTGAAAAAGTGAGTGGGGAAAGTGGCAAGTTGTCATCATGTTCTGTTTTTTGTGGTTTGTTGAATTGATTGACTGACTATTGAAACCTTGATATAGGAGAAAGGCAATGGGAGGAGGAAGAAAAAATGAGTGTTGGTAGACTTGAAAAGAACATTTGGATGGCAGTGCAGAGCTTTCTGTAATGATGCCGCGGAAAAGTATGAACACTGAAATTGCTTTCTAACGTATAAAATTGCATTCGCATATTTCATCATGTGTTTGTCTCTATATTTGTTAATTAAACTCTCTCCTACTCATATTGAGCATGGATAAATATATGTATTTCATTATTATTATAATTATTTTGTGCCGTTGTTACTGGCCATTAACATGAAGACTAAAGAAAGAGAAGCAGAACAAGGTAAAAAGATAACGAGGATGGAGCTGATGATGTTAAAAAGGAGAAGAAAATGAGTGATTTTTGTATGTTCCGGGTATATACCAGCTTGTCCCATGCGTATTGTGTGGTACACCAACTAGCTGGTGTACCCGAAACATACAAAATGTTCTCAAGAAAAAGAACCCTCAAGATAAAAAGGATCCTGCAAAACTCAGGCAAAAGCTAGGCCTTATAGTCAAAGAAACGAGAAATCCAAGTGAAGCCGCTGCTGCCACAACTGCTTCCCATTTTAGACTTTTGTAATCGGAATTGCAAATACTTCAAAATTTTCAAGGCACTTTCGTTTTTGTGTCTTTCAAATAATTGTACCGCTGATTCATTTCCCATGTAAATAGCAATGAATTCATAAATTATGTTACCTAGTTTGGTTTTGATATAAACAAAGCCAAAAGAAAGGGTTGGGCCAAAAGATGAATGCTAATCTAAACAACACAGAAAATGAAAATTCCCTAATCTAAAAACCCACTAGGAAGATCATCACCTTGAGCCCTTGACACTACAAATATAATTGTTAATTTCCACCTTCTTCTTTTTTTCTTTTTTTTTCTTTTTCAGCTATTGAATTCCTTGCCTATTTGAAGTCCTGCATTCTTAAAGCATCAACAAGGTGACTACAACCTTTCATGGGAAAAACTCCAACACGGAGAATTTTCACTCTTGTCCCACATTGTACTCTCTAGTTCAGTATTAGTTTGTCAACAATAAGGAAACTTCCTCTTCCATCTTTGGTGCCATCCTAATTGAATTCTCAATAAATTCCCATGCCACCTTGTACACCATAATTATACATTCTACCAATTAATCAAAGATTTTTTTTAATTAAGCTTGATCCCAGTTGGTTTAGCAACAAATGAGTAACACTCCTGGTGCCTCCTTCAACATTGGCAAGGAGGCCAGAGGTTTTAGACACTCTACACACCCATCTTCTTCTCTCTTTGTGTCCTTCTCTTTTGATCTTTCTCTACTCATACATGTTCTCTTACTTTTGATCAGATCTTCTCTACAAGGATTTTGCTTATCAACCGCCCGTGCGGTTTGATTATCGAAGCCTCAACTGGAGCAGTGATGTTTCATACAAAGGTTAATTCAAATCTGTTTATCTTTGCTTCTTCACAATATTACAATATTAAATCTGTCAAGTATTGTTGAGCAATGGTGATGATAAAACTGAGCTGGGACTCATAGTTTAGCATGGTTTGCTGGTTTCTGTGACTTCTGCAGTTAAACTGATTGCTCCTGGCCTCAGCACCCTCTTCAGTTTTACCATACCAGATTATGGCAGGGTAAGAATTTCCATCAATTTTCCATCTGAGCTACTTTTCAACTTGTTGTTTTAAACCATTAATAAGTTTGATGAGTGATAAATTACACAAGGCCTCACTCTAAGATCAACAGACATCATTGTGGTAACAGGTGGAGCTGCAATACGAAAGCCCTTGTGCTGGGATTGCTGGAGGAATGGGACTGATACGAAATTCCTCCAATACATATGATCCAGTTGCAAACTTCTCTGGTGTGGTAGGCATAGGAGGCAGTTCTCTGTTCACCATTGGAGCTGACCTTGCCGTTGACATAGCTACGGGGGAATTTGACAATAACGCCGGTTTGAGCTTCAATAGTGCCTTTGCTACTGTTTCCTTGTCCTTGTGAGCAATCCTGTGAGAACTTGGAGAAAAGGAAATAGTGCATAAGTTTGTTGACATGAACATAATACTTTGAATTATGCAGGGACAAGCTTGATACTTTAAAAGCTTCATGGTACCACATGGTGAACCCCCTGACCAACACAGCCCTTGGAGCAGAGTTGAAACATAGCTTTTCAACAAATGATACTGCCCTCGCGGTCGGCGCCCGGCATGCATTTTTCCCCTCTACGCTGGCGAAGGCTCGAGTTAGCACGCACGGCAGCGTTGGTGTTGTTATACAGCAAGGATTCTGGCAAAAGATCTTTATGTCTATATCTGGAGAGGTGGATTTTGTAGGCATGAACAAGAGTCCAAAAATTGGACTATCTCTGGCTGTTAGGCTCTAAAGGAACACCATTTGGAAGCAACTTTTGCTGGTGCTGCAAATTGTTATTATCATGTTCTGATTATTTTTGGTTTTGTATTAGTTTTTATGAGGTCAATAGTGGAGAAAATGAAGGGGAAAATGTATAAAATCCGATGAAATTCAGTACTGTATACTGGAAAGAAATATTCTTTCTATTTCAGGATGGTTATGGGTTATGCTAAAGCCTTGCTTAATACAAGGAGGATTAGATGTTTGGTTATTTAATTTCACTTTTAATTATGTTCAGGACAGACTCCGAAAAAGAAAGGCTAGGAACCCACGTAGCTGGCTTCATATACATTTTCCTTGGTAGAAACTTGTACTTCTTTTCCTTTTCTTTTGTTTCTTCTGAAACTGCTTTGGGTTACCTCAAGCTACATATATCCACGGCCAATAACCATCACATTTAAGAAGATTTACTCTGCCAAATGAGAGAATTCTTCAGATATCTAATAACCTAATACAGTGAAGCTTATTTGGAGGAAGATAATGAAAAATTAGGATTCTTTTTTGTGAAGAAATTCATACACTTTTCAGTCGTCTACACACTTAAAAGGTGAAACTGTACAATAATCAAGTTCAAGCATGAAGAATTCACTCATTGTATACGATCATTATATGCTCACGACAAGTATACAGTAGCAGTATTGAGCAATTAAATGAAACCATGAAACAAAACTATAGCAAACAGAACACCTTGGGATGAAGCAAAAGAACGACTTGCAGATAAGAAATGAAAAACTTGTAGAAGTTCCGAACTACTGGTGAGAACCCTGAAGAAGTCCATCACGAATCTGAGAAGCTACATCACGGACAGAACCAGGTCCATGGGGAATAAACACGGCAGAGGATTTAGAGGAAGCACCAATTTCCTTCATGGTGTCAAAATACTGAGTCACAAGGACCATGTCCATGACATCCTTTGCAGTAGTCCCTGGAACATTGACAGAGAAGCCCAGCACACTGTCTCTCAAACCATCTACAATTGCTTGACGCTGGCGAGCTATACCCAGCCCAGAGAGATACTTGGATTCGGCCTCACCCTCAGCCCGCTTAATTTGCAAAATCTTCTCTGCCTCTGCCTTCTCATTAGCTGCCACCCGCATTCTTGCAGCTGAAAAATACACAGAAGAAATGGTAAAATAATTGAAACTGAACAGACCACCAGTGCTATACAGTAACACAAGTTAAAAGGAATATGATAATCATCACAGATATGACTTATACCAGCATTGATTTCGTTCATTGCCCGTTTCACATGCTCATCTGGTTCTATGTCAACAATGAGCGTTTGTACAATCTCATAACCATAAGCAGACATAGCCTGCAACGGAGAAAGAGTAACATGGTTAGAATCAAGTTATATTTAGAGTGCGTATCATTATATTACTTCTGTTTTGCCACATTACTTTCTCAAGCTCATCTTCTACAGCTTTTGCAATGTCATTCTTTTGCTCAAAAGCAGCATCCAGGTTGAGCTTTGGAACACTAGCTCTAATGACTAACAAAATGTAAAAAGCAAACTCAATTAGTGAAAAATACTTGTGATGGGAAAAAAATTAAAAACAGTTGCATATCTCTAATTCGTTAAGAAGGATATTTAGTTTATACCATCAAAAACATAGGCCTGGATTTGAGACCTTGTGTTGCTGAGTTTGTAGAAGGCATCATTTGCTTTGTCTGCCAGAGCACGATATTGAATAGATGCAACGACGTTGACAAATACGTTGTCCTAAAGAACATATAAATCAACGTATTAAAGAGGCGCATATAGAGAACATGCAGTAAGTAAACAGTAAAGTGCAAGATATTTTGATATAAAGACTTTTTCATCTAAATTCCTTTCCCATTATTGCTCTATATTGAGTTTAAAAAAATCATTAGCATACTCGGCTTAAGCGTGCACTGATGTGAACACTTACAAATTTAGAAAAGAGTATATGCTCCCTCTACTTGGATTCATGTGTGAAAAATGCATACAAACTGAGGCACTAGCCTAGATGACAAAATGAGATGGGCAATCTTTTGCTTGTAAGAGAACTTTGGAGAATGAAAGTATTAGATATTCAATTAAAAGACATGTAATGACCACTATTATATGGATTAAGTCTACTTATGAAAATTGAGAAACCTTTGTCTTGGTCTCACAGCGCACGTCCAATTGCTGCAAACGAAGAGAGAGATGACCAGCAATCTGATGCCCAAGAAACCAAGGCAGGCAATGGCATCCTGGCTCAAGAACTTCCACAAACCTACCAAATCTTTCCTTTATAGCTACTGTGGATTGATCAACTTGTACACAACCGAATAGATTACCCATGTTCTCTTCACTATTCGCACCTTCAAGAAACATAGATGCAAATCAGGAATTTGCTGGAAATAAACAATTTCTAGGAAATTTAAAAAGAGGATTAAATATTAACAATCATGATTTTAGCATGTCCATGGCACTAGATATATTCGTACACGGAGTTCATCAAATAATCTCACAATGATTCATTCATTAGAAACTATTCAGATCACGTGTTCAAGACCCATAGTCCATACCAAGAACATCATCTTCAAAGTTCAATTCATCTATGGCAATTAAACTATTGTTTATATCTCTGTATGCGTGCAGGCATGAAAGAGAGAGATTTAAAATTGGTATGTCAAGCAAGGCAGAGAGAAAATACAACTCGGGATTGAATGCAAAATAGACACAAGTTCAAATTGATCTTTCATAACACCATCCAAGATTCCAAGTAAGTAAAAACAGGTGTTTGCTAGAAGCATAACGGATTAAAAAGAGCCAAGAACAAGAACACATACACCCCGCAGAGCTATTTGTTCACCTATGTATCTCTCTCCCCGAGAGAGAGAGAGAGAGAGAGAGAGACTTACAGTTAGTATAACAGAAGAGCGGACAAGAGGGAAAGGGAAGAAGATAGGAATGAGACGACCCAAACAAGTTGAGATTTATATAGACTCAAAAGACGATAACTTGTAAAACTCTTGAAGAAGGCTACAGTCCACAAACTTACACAGTAAAATATTATAAAAGTAACTCATAATATTTTTCTTTTTCTTTTTATGATTCCATTTTATGCATATACTAATACAAGTTTCAGGCTTTACCACTCTAGCACAATGGAAAAATCGAAAGTCAACAGATTGGATACCCAAAGGGAACTTAATACTATGACCTGTAACAACAAACCGCCACACAGACTTCGTACAACTATACACAACTAAATGCAAAAACCAATAAGAAGAACAGAAAAAAAACAACAGAAACACAAATTGTAAATTCCTAAATATAATTATACAGATAAACTAGTTTAGTGCAGAACAAGCCTCAAAAACACCGTCAAGGGTAGCAGTACATAGTATTCATCAAGATACAACCAATACAGTTTACAGTTTAGTACACAGAATAAAATAACAAGAACAGACATTTTATCAAATGAATACAATTCGACCAAACCATTCTAAAATGGGATTGTGACAGCTAACAGCTCAGAGAGCTTTGCCGTCTTAACCAAGAAAATGACATCTGGGTTTGCTGCTTTTGTTTCTTTTTACCCAAAAATATAAACTTTTTTAACCTGAAATCAATTATTACCATTCCACAGATTACATTATCCGATACCCATATTGTAATTCAATAAACAAAATAGATACGCCGGGAAAAAACGAGAACTTGGTCAGGAAGATATGCAGAAAATGCAAAAAGCGAATAGTTTTGCTATAATAAATGCTTAACTACATGGAAATTTCAAAGAATCCCCATAACCAAGATTGAGACTTGCAATGAAAGAGACGTGAATCTACCTTCTATGCAATTTCTTCAGGAATTTTAGTTGGCCCTTCAAGATGACGAAGATGAGAACTACGCTTTTGAATACCAACCGGGGAAAGTGAGATGCTTTGAGTTTTCCATCGGAGCAAACAGATTGTGTGAATTTTAGGAGACCAAATATTTCGTCAAGCAAAGGACCAATTGGCAATTTGCCAATAGTTTCGATAACAAACCTGCTAACGTCGTCGTTTTCGCGCCAGTGTTATTTATTCGGTGATGACAAGGCCCACGTAAACTTTCAAAACACAGCTCACAAATCGCCACGTCTCTTTTCCTAGTTACACATCAGATTACAATTCACAAGTGGGTCCGGAAAGTTAACGGCCACGTTTGATTGGGCCCGGTCAACCATTATGTTTCTTTGACGCCAAGGTTTCCTATTTGTTTAACAAGAAGTTTTTCAAGTTACAACTAAGGAGAGCTTCATAATTATGTTGAATCTCTTCTATCATATGTAGGTAGGATGATGCAAGTTGAATTTATCATTTTCAAGATTGTATGTGTTTGAAAACCAAAATCTATAGTATACTATCACACTTACAAACGGAAAATATTATTTGCACTCCAAAAAAGTCATCATGCACTTCTTTATTAAAAAAGAGAAACGACACTTAAAAGAGTGTCTAATGACTTTTTCACACTGCAAATTATAACTCACTTATGAATTTGCTTTGAGCATGGACACTATGGATCCACGCATGCTTTTCTGGTCTTTTAATTACGAAATAAGATTAGAACTTATCACAAAATTCAAGCTTATTTGAGTTTTCATTGAGGACAATCAAGTCATCTTCTCTTTAAACGTTAATGACATTAAGAAGGGCCAAAACAAGAGCAACGTAGGAAAATGAAAGAGGATGTGATAGAATTAGATTAAGACTAAAATGGAGAAAAATATCATTAGATAGAGCATAGGCTAGTTAGTGATAGAATTAGATAATCTGAAGAAGTTCATTTGAAAGTGAAATATTATCAATTAGCAATCTCCGAAGACTAAGACTAGGAATATAATATTCAGTTTAAAAGGTTGTCGTAGAGAGCTTAGGTAACTTTTAAATAAAAACAAGACATGTACAAAATCTAAAGATAAGATCACAACATATATATCTTTATATTTGTCTTCACATGCATAAATTTCCACGAAATATACGAGGTTAGTGAAGAAGTCATTTCATGAATACATCATTCTAGTGGAAAACAGGTTATAACCAGGGGTTATAATAAGACTATTTTTAATTGTATATTATATGATTAAAAATAAATAAAAATCAATTGTATAGTTGTTATCGGACAGATAGATTAAATCCGTCAACACATCTCTTTAACATAGCCTCCTCACTGTTTATGTGAATAGTAGCAATAATTTTTTTGTTTTTTCTCCCATTGTCATGGCAACTCAAGGGCAATTAATATTTAATGGGATTAATTTTATTTTATGTATGAGATTAATAATATAAAAAATGGCTAGGTATGTATAAAAAAAAGATTCTAAATTTTGTTGGTAATAGCTCAAACTGTTCTTACTTTCGGGCCTGCCTAGTCTTTCTTGGAACCAACCATCTGCCCAAGCTAGATTTGTGCGATGAAGTGAGTTTCTTCAACCTGGGGGGGCCTTTTGCCCATATTTGACTCTGCGGTGGAAGTGTTCTTATAGAAATTCGGTTGTTTCATAATAGGCCATGACAAAGAAATGGTGGCTAAGTCTTGGGCCTAGCTTCAAGTGTAAGTAGCCTTATTAAACGGGTTGGGCTTAGATCACCCTTAGTCTTGGGCTTAGCTTCAAGTTTAAATAGCCTTATTAAATGGGTTGGGCTTGGATCACCAATATTTGTCCATCTTATTTTGGAATAAAATTAAAAACATTTCTTTTGTAATTAATTGGAATTTGGGAAAGATAAAGCTATCACCTTTCATCAAATTTGATTGGCGGGTATACAGCGACGTTAGATTTTGGGTACACATACAAACAAACCTTCTTCTTCCTTTCTCTCTCTCTCTTTCTCTCTGGCATCCCACGTGGCAGTCCACAAGCACAGACACTCTCAAAACACAGAGAGAGCCAGAGCTTCGAGACACATCATCAATGGCTGCCTCTACTGCAACATCTTCAGCTACTTGTAATATCCATGGAAATCTCAGCCACACCAGCACCTTCCTCTCCTCCAAATCTCACTACCATTCCATCTCTGGCCGTCCCTGCAACTCCCCCTCCAAATCAAGACCTTTAACTATCGTTTCCATGGCACCCCAAAAGAAGGTATGTCTACTCTATTCTACTTCTGTTTGGCTGCCGAGAGAGTGCAATTCTTAAAATACCCATTTGTTTAGTTGCTGATAAAACGTTAATTGCATAAATACCCAGGTGAACAAGCTCGACGGAGGCTGGCAGAAGAAGTGGTACGGAGCAGGAATCTTCTACGAAGGGGCGGAGGAAGTTGAAGTGGACGTCTTCAAGAAGCTGGAGAAGCAGAAGGTCCTCAGCAAAGTTGAAAAGGCTGGGCTTTTAACCAAGGCAGAGGAGCTTGGGCTGACCCTCACGTCGATTGAGAAATTGGGGCTGCTTTCGAAGGCCGAGGAGCTTGGGCTACTCAGCCTGCTCGAGAAAGCTGCAGGCTTCTCCCCCTCCGCCTTGGCCTCGGCGGCACTGCCGATTCTGGTGGCGGCGGTGGCGGCCATCGTGCTGATACCGGATGACTCGGGGGCGCTGGTGGCCGTGCAGGCTGTGGTGGCTGGTACGCTTGGGGCTGGCGCTGCTGGCTTGTTAGTTGGGTCAGTTGTCTTGGATGGCTTGCAAGAAGCCGATTGAGTTTCCCACAAAAAGAGGAAGGAAAAAAAAGGAAAAAAGAAAACAGAAGAAGAACATCTGTTTCTTTAATTGTCTTGGATTGGATGGCCTTTTAATTATGTATGTCATATATACTAAATTGGAGAAGGGGACTAATAAATGTTTTGAAATTGTTGGTTTAGCAATGCATCAAGGAAAATTTTGGAATGGTTGTGTTTGTTTGTTGGTGGACTTGGATGAATGTAAATTTTGATGTATTTGTTAGTGAAAGCTAATTAGTATTGTTCATGGTGACTGCTTGTTGAACAAGGCAGCATTACTGTAAATTGGTGCAGGAAGAGCGAGTGCGTCGGGTGTTGGACACAAAACAAATGAAGGAGGTTTGTTTTGTTTAGGCAGGTTGGGTCTGTATGTGCAAATTTAAATAGTTCCTTCTTTATACTGCTAGTGCTTTTTATTTGAATTTTTGCTTGAAGTAACATGTTTGTAACTGGACTTGCTGCTGCAGGAATTTTGGTCCTGTAAATCCCAAATTCCCATTGACAGCTGCTTGTTGTCTTCGAATCCATCGCTGTTTTCTCGCCATCAACTTGGTGGCATGGACTGTTGGTGGTCTTTGAAAAGCAGGTATCTGAGCTTGGATTGTGAGTATCAACATGACATTAACTTGTGCTTTGCTATAGATTATGGGACTGGTTTTGATAGTCAAATAGAGTGAGAAAATAAAAAACAAAAGAATCCTAGCCCTATCTAAAATTTATTTCGGATGCAATTTAAATTTAAATTGCCATTGAGAAATAATTGATAAAAAGTTTAACTAGGGTGGACCGGACTCTATTTATTTTTGAATTATAAAGAAAAGGAATGAGGAAGAAATAGGAAAAAGAAAAGAAAGTAGTTAGAATAATTAAACCCAAAAGTAATCATTTGAATTGGAATAGTTTTCATCTTATAAGTTGATTTATATATTCTCCTCCCCTGATTTAACTAATTACACGATTTTATTTGAGTGATTGATCTTTTTTTGATTGGCCGGGATCAGATTTTATACCAACAAAGATGATATTGAAATTAAATGGCCGAGATGCATGCAGAGATATACATCCAAGGAAATTGCTTGGGTCTCAAATAAAATCCTTGCTTCCCAAGCAAAAGCAGGAGGGATCCTATATTAGTATCCAAAATAAGAACAGGCATTTCATTTCTCCTCTGCAACAAATTCAGATTGGTACCATCCAATTTGATGGTCATGAAGCCAGGGCAAGTTCAACTCCTCTCTGTTCTCAAAGCATGCCAAAGCTATGTGGGCAGTAATATTTCAAACCTCACGAGAATGGCTGCTCCTACAACTCTTGTTGGCCCTCCAGAGCTCCAACAACCAGTAACCTCATCACCACCACCACCACAACTCCAATTACTATACCAACTCGCTTCCGTCCCATCCACCACCAAGGATAATTACCACTCCTTTGGTAACCCCTGCCATGCAATCTATTTCAACGACAAAACTCATAGACATCTGAAGCAACTGCTCCCACTCGCCTGGTCCCACAATCCCCTAACCACACTTAAGCTCATCTGTAGCCTACTACGCTTCCAAGAGAAAGAATTGTTTTACACGGCGGCGTCTTGGCTCTTCCAGAACCACCCCAAGACCCTAGCGTGCAACGTGGTGCCTATTGCTGGGGCATTGGGGGATTTCAAAGACATTCTGGAGGTTCTCTATGGGATTCTAGATGTCAATGCCGTGAGGAAGAGGAAGAGTCGGAGTCGGAATTTGTGGTTTGACTACGAGGAGGATGTGATACAGAAGAAAGTAGGCAGCCGGGCGGATATTAGTAATAATACGAGAAAGAAGATGATCGACATGGCAAGGAAGGCTGTTGAGATGTATGAGCGTGATCCAGATTATCAACTGTTACACGAGCGGGTTTCGGATCTTTACGCTGAATGCTTGAAGTCTGATATTCAGAATTTGAAGAAATACGAGAAGCAGAAGATGGAAAATGTCAATGGTCCTGACAAGTTAAATTTGGAGTTGAAGTTAACCATGGCAGCCAAGTGGTGCCCTTCCATCGATTCCTTCTTTGATCGCTCCACGTTGCTCTGTGAGACCATTGCAAGGAAGCTTTTCCCACGAGAGGAATGCAAGAAAGGTGATTCTGTTGAGGAGGAGGAGGCGGATTACGTGTCAAGAGTTCGAGAGCGGTTGATGAATGAAGTTTTGGAGCCCTTGAGGAAAGTCATTAAAGAAGGTTATGAAGAAAAATATGTACCCTCTGTAAGAAGGGGAGAGGAGCCTCGGGTGAAGAAGTATTTGATGCGTGTCAACTCAAAAAAGATTGAAGCAGGTGCTATGCTTCCACATCAGATCATAGGCTATGTGAATGACCGCAATTTCGGGGAACTGGCTGAGGCTCAGTGGAAGGCTATGGTGGAGGAGATGTATTCAAGGCAGGGAAAGTTCAAGAACTGCTTAGCTGTGTGTGACGTCTCTGGAAGGATGTCTTGGGATCCCATGAATTTTTCATTGGGTTTGGGACTGTTGGTGTCTGAGCTGAGTGAAGAGCCATGGAAAGGAAAGGTCTTCACTTTTAGTCGAAATCCTCAGCTACTTTTGATACAAGGTGATGATCTTAAGTCCAAGTGCGCGTTTATGAGGAGGATGGACAACCAGGACTGGGACGGGGAGACTGATTTTAACAAGGTGTTTGATTTGATCCTGGAAGTGGCTGTGAAGGGGAACTTGAAGCCAGAGCAAATGATCAAGAGGTTGTATGTGTTCACCAGTGACCAAGATTTTGATGATGCTTCCGCAAATAGCTGGAAGACTGATTATCAGACAATACAGAGCAAGTTTAAGGAGAAAGGATATGGCGATGTGGTGCCACGCATAGTGTTTTGGGATATGAACGAAGACGAGGCTATCCCGGTGGCGCGTTCTGCAGAACAAGGGGTGGCCAGGATGACTGGCTACTCCAAGAACTTGGTCAATTGCTTCTTGGACAATGATGGGGATGTCAGCCCCGATCATGTTATGGAAGCAGCCATCTCTGGCAATTATTATCAAAACCTGGCTGTAGTTGATTGATCCTCATATGATTGCAGTCTCCTTCTCCTTTGGCATTTCGGATTTTATGAAAAGAAACTTGAATTGACTTATTTAATGATATGATAATGTGTCTGTCCTGTTTTATATTTTGCTTTCTGCACAAATCATTTTCTATTCAAATATGGAACTTTTGAAATTAGAATTTTCTTTCTGCTCCTACAACTCTTGTTGGTCACCACCACCACTACCGCAACTCCGACCCGCCGCTGGAATTTTTGTGGGTATTTCAAAATGCAAAAATTAATTTATGTTGAACTTAATTTTTCAGATTTTGTCATATGTTTTCAATTGCTATATTTACTTCTGGCAATGAAGTTTTGATTGCCCAAATCCCCCAAAACATTCCTATATATATACTCCTTTCGAGCACTGATTTTTTTAATTTTATATTATTTTTGTACAGACTCGTTGAAGAAAAAATATTATTATATTGCTTGAAGCCCAAGTGAGAAAATACTTTGTGCCCAAGGAAAAGCAGATTGAAAGAGACCTCTCCTCTCAAAATATGTTTATCTGCACTCGTCTTTATTTCTCCTCTGCAACAAGTTGACTGAGAAAATCAGCCACCGCCACTGATACCATGAAACGAGGGCAAGTGCAAACGCTCTGTGTTCTCAATGCATGCCAAAACTATATGGCCAATACTTCACAACTCACAACAAGGGCTCCTACAACTCTTGTTGGTCCTCCAGAGCTCAAATCTTTATCGCCGCCGCTGCCGCCACTACAACCACCACAACCCCAATTAGTACTGAAAGCTGCTTCCAGTCTTAGCCATGGGACCAAGATCCCCTGCTCCTACGGTAACCCCTCCTGCCTTGATCTCTATTTCCACGTCCTGCCAGGCACCCCGGACTCCGGTAGCTATCTGAAACAACTGCTCCCGCTGGCCTGGTCCCACAATTCCTGAACCACGCTCAAGCTCATCTTCAAGCTACTAGGCAGAAACTGCCACCTCGAAGAATTGTTCTACACGGCGGCGCTTTGGCTCCACCAGAACCACCCCAAGACCCTAGCGCACAACCTCCTGCCAATTGCTGGGTCGTTGGGGCGTTTCAGATCCCTTCTCGAGGTTCTGTACGGGGTTCTAGAAGGCCGGGATGATGCCAACTACAAGAGGAAGAGGATAAAGAGGATGCAAAACCTGCTGTATTATTATGATGACTTGATAATTAAAACAGTAGGCAGCGGGAGGCGTACTAGTAGCAAGAAGAGAGAGAAGATCATCGCCATGGCCAAGAAAGCTGTTGAGATGTACGATGGTGATCAAGATTATCAGTTTCTACATGAGCGGGTTTCGGATATTTACACTGAGTGCTTGAAGTATGATATAAAAAACTTGAAGAAATTTGAGCAGCAGGAAAAGGACAATGTCAATGATCCTAAGCACTCCTTGAAGTTAGGATTAACATATGCAGCGAGGTGGTGCCCTTCTGTGGATTCCTTTTTCGACCGCTCTCTGTGAGAGCATTGCGAAGAAGGTTTTCCCACGAGAGCAATGCTCGCAAGGCGGTTGTGCTGAGGAGGAGGAGGAGGCTGATTACGCGTCCAGGGTCCGAGAGAGGCTGATGAAGGAGGTTTTGGAGCCCTTGAGGAAGGCCATGGACGAAGGCTTTGAAGATATGTTTCCAAGAAAGCAGCACTCATGTCCGATTGAGAAGTAATTGAATGATGTCAAAGCTGGTGGAGAGTCTAAGATCAATGTAAGTGCTATTCTTCCACATGATATCATGGTCTACGTGAGTGATAAAAATTTCGGGCAACTGGTTGAGCATCAGTGGAAGGCAATGGTTGAGAAAATCTATTTAAAGCAGGGAAAGTTCAAGAAAATATTGCTTGGCTGTATGTGACGTCTCAGCAAGGATGAGTGGATATCCCATGGATATGTCAATCTCCTTGGGACTGTTGGTGTCTGAATTGGGTGAAGAGCCATGGAAAGGAAAGGTGATCACTTTTAGTCGAAATCCTCAGCTACATTCGATATAAGGCAGTGATCTAAAGTCCAAGTACACATTTATGAGGACGATGGATAACCAGCATTGGGACGGCGAGACTGATTTTCAGAAGGTGTTTGATTTAATTCTTCAAGTGGTTGTGAATGGGAATTTGAAGCCAGAGCAAATGATCAAGAGGCTCTTTGTGTTCACCAGCGACCAAGACTTTGATGATGCTTCTTTCAATAGCTGGGAGACTGACTATGAGGCCATACAGAGAAAGTTCAAGGAGAAATGATATGGTGATGTGGTGCCACGCATACTGTTTTGGAACCTGAATGACAATGACATGCCTATACCAGTGGCGCATGCTACAGAACATGGTGTGGCGAGGTTGAGTGGCTTCTCCTATAATTTGGTCAAGTGCTTCTTGGAGAATGATGGGGAAATTGGCCCCCATCATCTCATGGAAAAAGACATCTCTTGCTCGCGGTATCAACGTCTGGCTGTAGTAGACTGATGCTATCATCATCATCATCATCATCATCATCATCAGTTTTAAGAAAAGATCAGCTTCATTCTCCAATAATTCGTTGTTTCTTTTTTATCTGTTTGACTAGTTAAGCTTCTAATCCTGAGCAATGTACCAGTTGCAGTGTTTTCGGTTTTTCTTGTAAGCTGGTTTCTTTGTTGGGTTTCATGTAAGTTAATTTCGTTGGTTTGTTTAGACTGTTTCTGTTTCCTTGGCACCCCATTTTGGTACCTTAAAGACAACTAAATGAATAACCAATAAAACAGTACATTTGCATGATTGATATAGCTCATAATGGTTCCAAACACACACATATATTCATATATAATGGAATGGGCATATGATCGGGTGATTCTTGGAAAGGAAGGGAAAGGTGGACCTCTGTTTAATTCTTAGAGGGTTGTTGGGTTTTGATTTTCCTTGAAATCAGATCCTGTTGATCTGTATTTGTAGAAGCTGGCCCATAAGAGATAGTACAAAAAGTTCAATCCACTTAAGACACACATCAACCAGTAAAACCTCTCAAGGTGATAATGATTCAAGTTGTCGCCAAATAGCCATGGTGTGTGCCTATACGCCCCGGTGACATCATTGACGATGGACACAAGCACTGAGCTAAGATAATATCCCATGGCTAGAGATGCCCAAGAGAGAGCTGTGGCCAAAGATCTCATGCTCATTGGAGCTTCTGTGAAGAAGAATTCCATCATTCCAGCCAATGTGAAAAGGTCAGCTGAGCCAAGGAACAAGTACTGTAAAGCCACCCAAAGGAATGTGATGGGCAGAGGTTCAGCAGAGTCTAGTAGTCCATATTTAGCTGCTACGTTCTTTCGCTTGATTTCCACCACAGCAGCCACTGCCATGGCAATGACTGAAAGAATTAGTCCAATCCCAATTCTCTGTAGATGAGTGATCCCCATTTCAGTTTTGGTTATTTTTCTTGCGAATGGAATGATTGCATGGTTATAAACCGGGGCAAGGATCATGATGAAGAGGACAGGGAAGACAGGCAGAGAAGCCGGTGGAACCTTAAAGGAACCGAGCTGAGTATTCATGGTGGCTGCTTGTTGCACTGAGAATGTGGAGAGTTGAGCTAGGCAGCAGTTTAGCATTATGGTAGACATAAGGATAGGGAGAATTTTTAACACTATCTTCACCTCTTCGACTTGCTTTACAGTACATTTTAGAATTGGATGGACTGGTCTAATAGTCACTGCTCTGTTAAGGAACTTGAGGCTCTCAGATGGAGTTTGACTTGTCATCTTTTCTTCTCTCTCACTAGGGTTATTTGTATAAGATGGGGTTATGGCCATGTTGGTGACAGCATTGCTAGGATTTCTAGCTTTGCAGGCATTGCAAATTGCTGCAGTCATAACCTGCTGGACACAATTCACAAATAAAGGAGGTGAGTTTTGTTTACGCAGGTTCAGCCTATGCAAATTTAAATTGTTCTATGTTAATAATGCTTTTACCTTAAACATAGTTGTAATTGGACTTCCCGCAGGAATTTTGGTCCTGTATTTAGGAGAGCCTAGGAGGAAGAGTGGGATGGAGATCAGTATTGTTGCAGTGGAAATCCCAAAGCCCCATTGCCAGCCCTTATTGTCTTCAATCCATACCACAAACGTGACTGCAACAAGAGCCCCACAAGAGAGACAGAAGACATAGTAGTTGAAGAATGCAGATCTCTGCTTCCGGCCTTGTTGGGTTGTCTCGTCAAACTGCTCAGCCCCGTGTGGGGGAAGAGAACCTTTTATTCCTCCAACTCCAAGTGCCACCAGATAGAGGCCTGCAAATAACATAACTGTTTTCCCACCATGAACTTCCTGGCATGGACTGTTGGTGCTCACTGAAAGGCAGGTTGGTGGCCTTAGTGATGGTATCTGAGCTTGGATTGTGAGAATCAGTAACCCCTGCTCCATCAGTCTAAATTAGTAATGTGGCAATAGTGGTTATTGTATTTGTCAGAGCTTAAATTGTAAAATGAATTGTTTAGGGATGTTCACAACAAATTTTTCTTGGCAGCCTTGGACCTTTTGGTTAATTTATGAGTCTTCTCCTTGATTAACCAATTAATCAAATGGTCATTAGCTCTTGTCATATTAAGTGAACTTTATCAGGTTAATTAATGTTAGAAAACTAACTTCGTTTTCCAACATTAATTAGATGTAACATTATTTGACTGGATTCATTATGTCCCTACACAGATATTTCAATGAGTCCCATAGCCAACTAGGCTTTTTCTTGGAGAAGTACTCTTGCTGCCAGTCTCTGACAGCACTCTGCAAGTTAAAAATGAAACTAACTTACTCATGGGAAACTTCATATTTCAAGGGCAAATTCTGAGGAAGGCTTAGTTGGAAACTGTCAAAAACCGATTTCATGAAGTAAACTGACGGGGAAAAGAACTAGAATCTGAATGTTTGTTTGAAACTCACCATGAATTCTATTGCAGCACTTATCAAATAGATGCAATAGGTGGTGAAGTAAGCATCAGCTAGAAAGCCACCAAGGAGAGCAAGGAGGAAGGCGGTGCCCATGAAATTGGTTACAATGTTGGCAGAAGTGGATGGAGAAAAATGCATGAATTTAGACAGGTATAGCACAAGGTTGCTTGCATTGGCCAGGAAAGCCAGGTTCTCCAGTATCTCCACCACTAATGTTTTCAACAGAAAAAGGTTAGGGATGTTCATGTCATATTTTCTATTTATAATGCAACACATCTAAAGAAGTTTATAATATAAAAAGTGCAAAAAGTACTAGAAAATGTGCTTGCAGGGATCTAAGGCTTACTAACCTAAGACAAACGAAGCAGCAAGCATGCCACCATGACAGCCTCTTATGGCAGGTCTGTTCCTCCAATCTACATAGCCTTCCCATATGTCCGAATGGTGTGCTTCATCCTACAATGATATCCAAAATAAAATCAAACCATAGCGGTACATAGAGCAAGGACACCAACATATAGTGCGAAATCTTAACTTTGAAACTTACCATCTTCTTTTAGAGCTTCTAGACTCTTTTCTGGGAAAGGAAAGGGGGGAGGCTGCACAGGTTGGACAGATGTCAGTAGTTTTTGTTACTTCAGTTTGGAAGTGATAAATGGAGGTATATTTATATACTGAGAAAGGCTAGTATAAGGAGAAAGATCTAGACTCCATGAAAATGACTATTCATTCTCCCTGACCTTTTAACCTCAAGGGTTATTTTGGATGTCTTAATCATAGAGAAACATGTGTTTCATGTAAAATGGGAGCCAAATATACTCCCACAGTCCCACTACTAATACAATATTGGTCTTCTAATTTGTTCTAAAATTGACATCAACATTCTGTTGTTGCTTTTCAATTAAACCAGGTTACCAGAAATGTATATATACTAATCACATTCCTCACAACCATTAGAATAAATTATTAGTGTTTTGAAGCTCAGTATACAGGTGTAAGAAGCTGCTGTTAAAAAGCCTGATCTGATATATATGAACTGCAAATTGAGAATCAAATGTGGAGGTAAGTGATTGCCTGACCAAACCATGCACTCTGTTCTTGTCAATTTATGCAATGAGTACAAACTAAAAGCAAGTGGGGTGGACAAAATTAATGAGGGTCTTAATCTTATGATGTTGGTTTTGAATAAAAGGTTAGAATGTAGGTTTTCAGGCATGCCCCACAGCCACAGCCACATCCAAAACCACTCACCCTAATCTCTAAGGATCTATAAATGCTAAATCTTCTTACTTCTTTGCACTATCTCAGTATTATCTTATTGATCTGACTTAATTTTCCAATCATGGAAAAAATTTGCTTCATTTAACAGAAGTTAACAGGGACCTTTATCCAAATGTTTAGGGTTGGCTACAAGAATGCCTATCATGTCCATTTATTTTGGGAATTCAAGGCCATCCAATCAATGTTCAAGTGACTTTTGTCTTTTCGCATTGCTCTTATAGCTTTCAGAGAGATGGACTTAGATGTTTCTTCTTACTACTAGAGTCATCTGACTGGTGTGGCAATATCATTCTATGTTGTTGCCCTGTAGTGTAGGTTTCCTTTCTGAGCCACCTGATCATATAAAATGTGTGGCTATAATTTCTCAGAGACCAAAGTGTGCAGGGTCTTAAATTGGATGGCAATTTGGTGTTTTTCAATTGGGTATGGTCCTAGCAGTCCAGCTTTCCTCCCATGCCTTGCCAGAACATCTTGATTCCCCCTTGTCGAATTTGACCCTATGGAGCTTCACAGTGAGACTGCAAAAAGAAAGAAACAATTCAAAACTGAAACACAGAGGTTAAAAAAGGACATTTCATCTTTATATCCTCTCTTTTGCTTTTGGTGCAAGGCATAAGTTTCTTCCACATAAGTGTATACTTCCAGGAGTCTGAACAGATTTTTGTGAATCTAGTTGTGTGAGACAGCTAGTGTTAGGTTTGTTTTCTGAATGAAAGTTACAGCACACTCATCATCTCAACATCACCATTCATGGGATATAATTATCTGATTATTCTCCACCCTAGAGTGTAGGTTTTTTCAAGGAGAACATTAGAATGCTGATGTTGATCATCTAAATAATTAATGGGTTAAGAATATTCCCCGGCTAGTTCAAAAGTTGTGGCCAATAAACGGAAGCAGGTTCCTGCATTGTTTTTCCAATTGGAATTTGGATCATAATGGAGCCCATTTTATACCTCCTTTCACAAACTTTTGCCTTAAATCCAATTGTGATTTCCATTTTTACCAGTTATCATTTTAGAAGATTACAGAATCCCAAGTAAACTAGAAGATTCCTCAAACCATTTTCAATGTTCCAGATGTTGAAGCACAACGCTCTAACTAGCCACAATCACTGGCCAAGAAAAGTTTCAATTGTAGCAGAACTCCTGCATTGACCAAATGGTAAGATATCCAAGCTTCTACAGCCACTCTAGACCCTAGTGGTTGTTTAGGGAAAGGCCTTGTTGCAAAGTTTGTGTAGAAATAGCAACCAGTGAGGCAGTAGAGTGCAGAGAAGTGGTTTCGGGTTGGCCTAAAAATAGACAGATTTGAAAGAAATGTTCAAAATGCAGATGGTGGTGGGCAACATGAGAGGGTTGAGAAGAAATTCTGCATGTTCTTCTTGCCTATATGCTCCATTAAACATGTTCTCTGCCTTGAATTGAACCACCATGAAAATGAAACTATCCACACAAGTTGGAGAGTTTCCACTTGCCTCCCATGTAGTTTTAAACCTTTTTGCATACTTGACATAGGTCAATAAGACCATCAAAAGAAAAGGGATTGCTTGCTGGGTCTCACATTACTTGGAAAAAGCAAAAGAACCAAATCTTTCACTTGTTGCAATTCCAAATGAGAGAACAAGTATTGGGTGCTTAAAGCAAAACCAGATGAAGGTGGGAAATGGATCTTTGACCCAGTGGGTCATTCATGGGCTTATAGCTCACAAAGATCCAACACTAATTCTGGGCTTCTTTATACAACTTTTGTGCAAATTAATTATGAACCCACACTAAAATGCCTGAAATTGTGAGTTACTTGGGTTAGGAAAATGGACCATAATTTTCACTGCTGCTTCCAGCCTACCACAATATTATTAGTTTTTCAGTTCTACAAGTAAAATATATAATCACATTGACTAGTATTTAAAATTTTAGATTTGCATATGTCGGTTAGATTAGTTGATTATGATCCTAAATTCGGTTCTCATTTTTTATAAAAATAAATTAATTTAGAGTAGTTTAGATTATCGTTTGTGTCAAACAAGTTGGGAGTAATTTACAAATATACAGGATTCAGAGTGAACAGTGAGATTAGACACTGCATTTTTAGATAAGTTCAAATATGGGGCACATCACAGGGTCAGGCTGATGAGCTGATGGTGAGACCAAGCGAATATAAAATCTGTATGAAGAGACATGGGTGGGCCGACATCACGTAGACGTGGCCCAATAATGGCCCGCCATGTTGAAACACGAGCCTCGTGAGTGGTTGAAGTGGCACTGAGCGGTCAGACTCAGTGAGTGAGAGAAGAGAGAGAAAGCTGAGGGTGACTCGGTCAGTGAGTCATCCGTTTCTGACTCGCACCCCCCATCCAACTCACTCATCTCTCTCTCTCTCTCTTCTCTCTCTGAATTGTGAGAGCGACTGGTTCGACTGGATTCCTTTGTTTCTCTCTTCTCCCTCGTTTTCATCTTCCTTTGCCCCCCACATTTACCGCTATACCCTCCGCTACATGTTTCACGCTCCCATTTCTAACATTTTTTTAAAGAAAATGCTTGCATATTATAATGTTTAGAATGTTGTTTGCACGTCTTCCTGAAAAATACAAAACCAAAACCAAAATTTGTCCATAAGAAGAAGTCTTCCCGCTCACTACGATTCTTAGAGAAATGTACACATTTTCTTTGTTGCATGATATAACTGCATCATAATTTCCAACTTCGTAAATATTAATTCAAGGCATGTTTAGGAGTGTTTTTGAAATGGTTAGAAGTATTTTCTGACAAGTTAAAGTGATTTTGAATGTGTTCGGAAGAAAATTTTATAAGTATTTATGGTTTATAAAAGCGTAATTTGGAGAAGCACCTTACAAATGCTTTGCATTTGGATTTTTAACAAAAATTTCTATGTTCTTCTATTATAAGCGCTTATGAGCAAGATTTGTTTCTTATAAAATGAGTTTCAAACGGCCCTCGTACAAATGATGAAATTGTAAATTATAAAACTCATTTTAAACATTAAGATTTACTCAATATATGGGTGCATTTTACAATACTCATTATGAAAGTTAAAATTTACTCGATTACACATATCTTTGACAAAAAAAAGATTACACATATCTAAAATTAGAAATAAAAAATAAAAAAATTTCTCTTTTAGAAAAGAAATTGATTTATTTATTTATCTATTTTTTTGTTTCACAAGGCATTTGAACCTCTAACAAAGTACAAACAACAAGAGCCTTATTTTGTCATTCTAACAAATATTCAACATCAAATACTTCAATTCAAAACAAAAGATAAGATGAAGAGAAATGTTAATATTTGGGTTATGCATGTCGTTATGACTTATGAATATGAATACAATTGATGCTTTGGAAGCAAGGGCACGATGGTAATTAGACTCCAATCTTTGTCCCTTCCTAGAACAAGAACCCATTTGGGCTTCACTATATTTACATCACCGAGCTCACACCTTCAGAGAGAAACTCTCTCTCTCTCTCTCTCTCTCTCTCTCTCTGCCTCTGAGACTTCCAAATATAAAGAACTGCTTTCTTCTCCACTCTTCCTCTACCATCTTCAAACTCAAGAACATCTCCTTCCTCTTCTTCTGAGTGATGGGGGTGAGCAGCCGCTGTTCTCACACTTCCCACATCACAGAAATCATCATCACCAGCTTCTTCCGCCACAAAGCGTGATTCTTTACCTCAAACCAGAGCTTCTGATCACCATCAAAACCAGGCGGTGATGTCAGCTTGAACAATTTAACAAACGCGAACTAAACAATACTAATTCATCGGAGTGTTCATAAGAGTAACATGGCCGGTGGTAGGGTATATAGCGGTGGTGCTTCTTCGTCCAGCTTAAGTGTTTTGCTTCAGAATCAGAGGGGTCCTTGTGCTTCTGAGCCTCTTGATTCTCTGTTCCTTTCTGGGTCTTCTAATTCTTCCTCTGCTTCTCCTTTTCTTGGTACTTTTTCACTCTCTTTTCTACTTTGTCTCTGTTTTTCATATCTATCACTCTTTTAGTGTCTCTGTTATGGGTTTTTTGTTTTTTCCCCCCTTAAATGTTTAATCTTTTGGGATATTTACTTTGAGGCACATATACCATCTGTTTGCATGACAATTACAACTATCATCTTCTTGACACTTTGATTGTGTTTCTTCTGGATGTGAATATGGTATGGAATTTATTATGATTGATAGATGGATTTGTACATTGCTGCTTAACTTGTGTATGGATTAAATAGTGTTCGAATTTACGTACTCTAGGCCCCTGTTCTTCGTTCTGGTTAAGTACTCAGAACGGTAGAATAATCAACAGCAAAAGAAAGGAAAACACTTTGTGATTAGAGTTGAACATGGAAGTGTGGTAGCTAATGTTCATCACTTTCAGACCATGTATAGGATTGTTGAGAAAAACTGTGGCTAGAGTACCTTTATTAATTCAGGAATTAGCTGTTCATGTGTGTGATAAACTAGTTTTTGCTGATCATCTGGAAGATGGTCTTCTAATTCAGAGATTATATTCTATTCAGGTTCAAGATCTATGGTGAGTTTCGAAGATGTTCGTGGAGGAAATGGATCGAATAGGTCATTGTTCCACCAGTATGAGCACGAAGACAATGGGGACGACGACTTAGATGAGTATTTCCATCAACCTGGAAAGAAGAGGCGGCTAACTGTTGACCAAGTCCAGTTTCTTGAGAAAAGCTTTGACATGGAGAACAAGCTTGAACCGGAAAGGAAAATCCTTCTCGCAAAGGACCTAGGCTTGCAGCCTAGGCAAGTTGCAATATGGTTCCAGAACCGCCGGGCAAGGTGGAAAAATAAACAGCTGGAGAAGGATTACGAGGTTTTGCAAGCCAACTACAATAGTCTCAAAGCTGATTGTGAGAGCCTTGCTAAAGAAAATGAAAAACTAAAGGCTGAGGTAGACACTAATCTCTGTAATTCACTGCCTTCTTTTCAATTTGTACTATTTTCCTTTTGAATTTTACATGATAAGTTTGAACTGTTTGTCAGGTTCTTGTTCTCTCGGAAAAGCTGCCCCACAAAGAGAAAGAGAGTGGAACCTCAGAACTCTCTGATACCAACAAAGTGTCTCAAGAGCCAACGCAGAATCCAACAGCTGATTCGCTTTCAGAGTGTGAAGTATCCAAAGTCTCAGCTGTGGCCTCTAAGCAGGAAGATCTTAGTTCAGGCAAGAGTGATATATTTGATTCAGATAGCCCACATTACACTGATGGGGTTCATTCTTCAATATTGGAGCCTGGTGATTCTTCATATGTTTTTGAACCTGATCAGTCTGACCTTTCCCAAGATGAAGAAGATAACTTGAGCAAAAGCCTGTTGCCTCCATACATCTTCCCAAAGCTCGAAGATGTTGATTACTCCGACACGCCTGCAAATTCATGTAATTTCGGATTCCCAGTGGAAGATCATGCCTTTTGGTCCTGGTCTTACTAAGTTTTCCTTGGCAAATTCAAATTCCAGGGTCATTGTCTTCTTGTTTAAAGTATATGGCATAGAAGTGAGAATAAGTCCAAGCAATGGCACCCCGGCACCCCGATCCAGATGTGGTGGCATTAGGTTTCAATGCAAACGATGGTGGCTTTTGCCCCATTTGTATTTCTGTTTATGCTGGGGTTCTTAGTGTTTAATGGACCATTTTTGTTTGGAATGTAATTAAATAAAATTCTCATGTTAAGGAAGTTTGATGGAAATCTCACGCATTTCATCTCCTTATTTAAAAAATTTATGAGGAGACACAATTCTACCACATGCCCTTTTTTGTACGTTAGTTCTACTGCTCTCTGCAGAATTTCAAAAGCTACAGTTAGCTGGAACTCTCTCTCTCTCTCTCTCTCTCTCTCTCTCTCTCTCTCTCTCTCTTCGTTTGCCTTTTCTTGCACACTAGGAAACTTCACAAGTTGCAAAATGAGGGACATGCAGATGATTGGCATGCAAACTCAAAGGGTCCATTTGTAGCATTTCTTCTTCCTATTCATTGAGACATTGACTTTGAGAACCAATTTCTCATGAATGGCATTCTGCTCCCTTGAGCTTATATTTATGATATTGTTTCCACATGCAATGAGCTGCTGGATCTCATCTTACATTAATCCTAGTTGACTTCACACTTCTCTGCTACTTATAAAATCTGGTTGCACAAATTTCTTGTGAATCTGATTGAACCAAAAGCCTACACAGGTGTTGCTCTTACTTCCATTCATGTTGTGGGGGGGTCAACTTCATGGTGCGTCAGCCATTTTATTTTTTCTTTACCTGTTATTTTATTCTTCTACTTTTTCTTTCCTGTATTTGGTGGAGGCCAAAATCACCTTTTTTGTATTGCACGCTTTCAAGTCCGAACATAGGATGTATGAAGTTGCCAAACCATAAAGTTCATAATTCTTCCTTCTCTGTTTTCCCATATACTATTGTTCAATCACAAGAAGAGTTTTAAGCAAAATCCCTTCGTTAAGGAGAGGTTTCGTTTTGGGTTTAGATTCATAAGAAAAATGGCTACCAAACTGGTGATATAATATTTTGCTTATCAATTCGATTAGCAAGGCTCCCATTAAAAGAAAAAAGAAGAAAATTTAGCACACAACCCCATCAAAATGATGGCCTTAAGTGATGGTGGTGTTGTTGCTTATATTCTTAAGAAATATGATTGTGGCCAAATTGACAATGAGGTTGAATGTGTCGTGGGAATTTCTCTTGCGTGTTTTGTTTAGGAATTTTGATCAAACTTTTCAAATGGGTGCCGTTGTTTGTTGGACACTACGGCTTGTTTGATAGGGTGGACTAGACTTGCAATGGAGACAAAATATGGACATAGTTGTCTAACTTGGAGTATGAAGGAGAACTATTCATAAGAGGTTGATGACTAAAACTTGTCCCTCATAATCCCCCCATTTTCAAGAGGATTAGAGGGGATAAGTTTTAGTCATCAACCTCTTATAGATAGTCCACATTCATCCTCCAAGTTAGATAATAACGCCCATATTATGTTTTGAATGCATATGAAATGTAGGCATTTTGCTAGTATAGTCCAGTCTAATCTAGTCCTCCCTATCAAACAAACCCATAAATTGTGCCACAAAAAATAAGTATGCACAATATCCATAACTTATGCTTTTTGTTTGTACTTCGAAGAGAACGGTTGAAGGACCACATGGAATTCAAATCAAGCTACTAAGTCTTGACCTTTTCCTATATCTATATATATATAAAGCAAAATGCAGAGAATGGTGAAACATTCAAAATACCAAAAAATGCTCTTGGTTAATTCAAACATTAAGAATTAAAATTATTAATTAAATTAGGATAATATAATAAATTCACATTTTTTTCATATTAAAAAATTAAAATTAAAAACAAAATCAAATAATAGGCCCTACTTTTATGGAACATAACTACCCATATTATCTTTTCTTAATTCTAAAAATAAAATATTTATAAAAATAAAAAAAATAAAAATTGGCACATGCGTGAGCATGTGTCAAAGGGCTAGTATACATTAAGGAGGCACATCACTTATCCCTTTTGTGTTTGATGAGGTATTGTGAGTATCATCAAGTCTTTCTAACCATATTTTTTCACAAATAAATGAATCTCACATAAGTCTCGTTTTTATAAGAAATGTAAGTAGCAATATTGTCAATAAAGAGTGCGAGGAAATCCTATCAATCCATAGGACTTAAAATCCATAGCTATGTCAAGTTCAAGAAAATCAAAGGAAACCAACTTTTGATGCAATCAAGCTTACCTTATTTGTTTAGCAAATAATGTTTAGCCAAGACTAAACTTGGTTGCTTCCTTTCATCGTTCTCTTCTTTTTCCATTGTTTTTAGGCAAAGTGAGGATGACTTTTATCAATATTTATAATAGAAATTTAGAAAGCATTTTAATAATCATTTGCAAAACATCTCTGTCACGCGTGGTTTAACTTCTCTTTCCTACTAAAATATTAAACTCTCCAATAGAATCTACCCACTAAATTGGTATCAATTCTCCATTGGCTCCCTTTCACCAGTCAAGAGTCAAAATTCGAAGTAAAGTTTTGTGAGCACATCAGCAAATATAAAAATATTAAATACGTTGGCGTTAGAAACTTATACCCGTCTTTCAATTGTAAATATCCAACATAACCTGAGTTTTATGAGGTCTAATTTAATAAAAAATGATCTTGATTTGCAGATCATGGGTTTTAAGTTCGAACTTCTATGGTATCAATTGTGCGTGTGTGAGAAACTCTCTCTCCTCTAGTTTAGACTATCGCTTTTACTAAAAAATAATAATTAAAAACAATATAAAATGCATGTTAAGTTTGTACACACAGCCTAATAACTTGGCATGCTTTCCCATTTTCCTAATAGTCTGTTTACTTAAGACAAATCCATGGCTTAGCCAAGAGCTTTCCCATAGGCTCATTGTTTTGGAGTGTTGTCCATACTTAATGCGTGTTTGATTGAAAACTAATTAAAAATTAATAGCTTTTTAACTTTGTAGCTTCAAAGTCATTCTCACCTAATTTTATAAACGTAAATTATATATAAAATTGCAAATCAATGATATCACACTCATATTTTTCTTTTTGCTAGTAGTTTTATACACGCAAAAAATTGTGTACCCAACGCTATTCTTATAGAAAATTATGTTCAACTCATCACCTACCCCCATATAAAGAATTATAAGAAAAGGAAGTAGTATAATATGCTCTTACTTATATAAATGAGCTTCGAAAATGGACGTTAACAAATTTGCAAAAGAAATCAAAGTTCATTCGATTTCGTTTGCTCAAGTTTTAGTCGTGAATTGAAGTTCGTGTAATTAAATTAAAGGGTTTCGATTTCCACGTCGTAACATATTCGAATTAGTTGTAAGACTATAGTTTGGTTTTTCTTCTATCCAAACTGAAGATCATAAAATTGACAATTTGACATGTAATTTTATTGTCCTCTTTACAAGTTAACTTATGGGACAGTAAGTCTAACCGCATCCACTTCCGATTTAAACAAAAGTCTAGTTAGGAATAGAGAAGATTTTTATTGCTTAATCCCCATGTCTTTACGGTACATAAAGTTGCCATACATATCATAACAAGTGTCCCTTGTTCTCGAATCACGAGGCACTTTTGGAGATATCCTACCGACCATCTAAAACCCATGTCCCTGGGGTTTCGCCGCGTGTACGGCTGCGATGGCTGGATCGCGTCACCTTTCCTGAAGCGTCGAAAAGCATCACATCAAGACAGCGTCCACCAGGCAACTCCCCTGGGGAATCTTCCACCTTCGCTGGGCCACCACCCGACGTGGACATCATCTCACACTTGGCACAAGATCCACGGTCCTGATTGAACGATGATCAAGTCAAAACTATGTGGGGCGCCCCACATGCTGTAGTTAAAATATTTTTATTAGAGCAATTTTTTTTAAATAAAAAGTTTAGATACAGATAAGCATAACATTGGATGGTGTATCAAGTGTGGGCCCGGCGGGGCCCAGAGAGCATGGGGTACGGGGGGAGTGGACGCATCTGTCCATGTACCATGTCTCCCCTTCAATCTTATGTCACGTTGGTCCAGTAGCTTTCAGTGGGCCCATTTCGCACGTGCCTATGGGCCTGTGGCCCTTTTATACTATTTTTCTAATTTTTGGGTCCAAGGTCTTGTAATTTTCTTCTTTCCCTTTACATCCTTGCTTTTGTTTTAGTTTTTATCTCTCTTTCGGGTGGAGCGCTTTCTTTTACATTTTCACAAAAGATGCGAACGTGATTGGCTTTGGCAAATTCGTTTGCCGGACCAAAGAATTGACTTGATTAAGAGCCAGAAAGTTATGAATGCCTTTGATCGATCTTGTACCTTTTGTTATGCATATTTCGATGATCACTTTCACCAGGTTCCTGTATCTTTTCTCGTTTATTAAACATGTTAAATGCTAAACGAAGTTATTAGTAAGTATTTGTAACTCATATAGTTAAGAGCGTTTATCATTTGCTCGAGGTCATGTGTTTGAAACTTTGAATTCCCATTCTTAACATCGCTTGTATATCAAAAATACTATGTGGAAGTTCACCTTTTATCATATTAGTGATCTATCTTAATTTCTTTAGTTCAATTTTAAAGATATGTTATTTGCACTTCAAAACGAGTCTTTTACAATATTTATATGTGTGAGTGCATTGAGGAGTGTGAGAATCTTATTTTAGAATGCAAATAGCATTTCTCTTATCTTGATGTCATATTGCACTAACCTTATACGAATAATTTTAATGAACACCAATGTTGAACCTATGTTAGTGATCTTTCTTAATTTCTTTAGGATTCGTTGGAAGCTGTTAGGCCTTGTATATTAGATGATAGCTTTCGTGGTTTGGGCTGTTAGCCTCCATTTCAACCACACACACCACCCCCCCACCAAAAGTACTCATTGAATATGGTTGTGCGCAAGAGAAGTTGATGAAGTTATAATTTCTGATCAACATCACATGGAGTTATAATCTTTGATCAACATCACATGGAGACATATAGATATTTTATCACATCAATTTAAGAATCTGGAACCATCACTGCAATTGGGATTAGGACCACAATCGAAAAGTCCATGGGAGAACAATTTTAGATCACATTTCTTACAACGAAACTAAACCGAATTCGTGTGCAACAAAGGTCCTTCACACTAATTTTCAAGTGTCTCAACCAAAGATGCAAGCTTTCCGTTTTGCATATTTATAGTGTTGGAGCACTTCCTGCGATTTGCTGAACTATGGATTTATGTATATGTCCAAGTATGTGACTGAGAGCAAAGCATGTGTTTGTTGCCAGATATGATCAAAATTTGTAGTTTTCCTGCAAGTATAACACCATCTCTTGCTGCAAAATTTGAGACAGAGAGTGAGAGAACAAATATATCTCTGTCACCTAAGCTAGAAAACTGTGACATGATTTTGGTACTTGATCGTAATTGGTATACGAACTTACAATCAAGCAGAGAAGAAGGCATCCGGCGGCACCCGGGAACAAAGCATACCAAAAATTCAAGTGATGAAGCTTAGCTCCATCAATGAACAGTATTGGTAAGCTTGCAGCTGCCAATAGAACACACGATAAGTTGCCTTGCTTAATAACACAGAAAAAAAGAAGAGAATGATCAATGAGACGTTATGCAGAAAAGCAATTAGTTTTTACCAGGGGGATGTGGGGAGCGTGTGTAAGTCATGAAAGCAATGGATGCAGCTAGGGCAAAGCTCCTAGCAAGCCATCCTGGCCCAAATAATGAAAATGCCAGCACCCCAATTGATGCACAGCCAATTTGTGCCATGAACATATTGTACTTCTGCACAACCACAATTGAAAAAAAAGAGAAAAAAGTCCAAGAAATTAAATGTGATTGAATTATAAACCCAATCGAAAGTTAGGTTCAAAATTAGGCCCAATAAGACATTTCATGAAGGCTGGACTTTACTAGGTCTCATTAATTTTTCATCATTTTAGGTCCATATTAACACTTGTCTATATGTACACGTGTCTGTCTGTCTGTCAGATATGGCTCAAAGAGGGAACAAAACAAAAGCAACTTATGGCTTATAAAATAACAAAAAGCACTTATGGGATGGCCTAGATTCATGTAAAATATGAGGCGCACAGAGAACAAGAGATTGAAGAGAAGCAGAACATACCCTAGCAGCTGGGGAGGAGGGAGTGGCAAAGAGGACAGCACAAACAGCCCCTAAAGGTGCAATTGTCATTGAAACTCCTTTTGGTGCTAGAATCTGATCCACTCTTCCCAATATTGCCATTGCTGCAAAAGCCCCTGCTTTTCAAAGAAGTCAAAAACCAAACTCTAACTCTTCAAGAATTCTAAACAAAAATTAACTCTAATTACCTGCAGAAGGCCAAACAATGTCACTGAGAGAAGGAGAAGCAGAACCCTTCTCAGGATTCCAGCTCTCCCAAGGTGGAGCAACCAAATTGCTTGAGGCTACAATCCCGTGCTTCTGAATTCTTCTTTTTATGCTCCCTGTGCTTCTAGTGCCGCCATGTTCAAAACCAAGAGACCTCCGTAACACAATTGAAGAAGAAAAGGGGTGCAAAGATGCAGAGAATGCTGGAGTTTTAGAAGCTCTGTGGCGATGATAGCTGGAGCTCCTCATCAGCTGCATGCCCATTTCTCTGATTTGATCTCTCTTTCTCTTCCAAATTGGTTCAGATGGATATGAATATGATCTCTTAGAAAGAAGGAAACAGAAAGTGTCAGGCAGAGGGAGGTCCATCTGACCGTTGGGAGTTGACAAACCAGATTTTCAATACGATGGTCTTTTGGTGGTCTCGAAAGGTCATGGGATGTTGGGGCATCTTACCACACAACTTGACATCTACAAAATTATGGACAAAATTCTATGAAGAAACACTATACTTATGTCACATGTTGCATCTGGTAAGTACACTCTTGGTTACATGAATTACATTTGTGGTCACATGTTGCACATCTAGTAATACAAAAAATAGCCTAACTTGTACTACTTCACGAGAAAGGGGATCCAACTCAAGTTCAAAGGGACGTAAAAACTGATTTGATCAACTGATCTAACTCGTATATGTTGGACTATAAAATACAGATGTTTCCAATAAACAAAGTACAGTGTTGGTAATTATTTCTATAAACAAAAGGTATAAAATTATAAATACCCGACATGGGAAATGCAAGAATTAATTAATCACATTTTTTAAATTGAAACCCTCCAAAGCCAAAAAGACAACAACAACGACAACTTGATCAAGTTTTGTAAACACCAATAAACTAATCATATGATTACCCAGTTGGACGATATTAATATTGAAGCAAATCAGAAAGGACAAAAAATCCCATTATTTTGTTAATCTTGGGCCTGAAAACCCACATAGATTGAGCCAATCATGAAGAGCCACCTCATGGGCGAATAAAGCCACCATCCACGACCAAGTCATGCCCAGTCACAAACTCCGACTCACCGCAAGCTAGATATAGCACAGCATCCGCCACGTGTCCCGCTTTCAGCGCAATCCCTTTCAAGCGTGCGAACTTCTCATACGCCTTCTCAAGTTCCTCCACTCCCTTCCCAGCCGCGCGGCACGTTAACGGCGTCGCCAACGCATTCGGCGATACGCAATTAACCCTAATCCCGTGCACCCCGAGCTGCACGCTTGCGGACCGAACCAACCCGAGCACCGCGTGCTTCGACATGCAGTAGTCGGTCCGAATCTCCATGCCGTGGTTAGCAGCCACGCTCGCCGTGCACACAATGCTTCCTTTCATGCGCCTCTCTACCATTACACGCGCTGCATGTTTGACACACAAGGCCATGCCACGCACGTTCACGTCGAACAAACGGTCAAAGGCTGAAAAGTCAAGGTCAAGAACGGGCTGATCGGGGCTACTCAAGATCCCAGCGTTGCTAAACATGATGTCCAAGTTCCCATATTTGTGCACCGTTTGTTCCACCATGGTCTTCACTTGATCTTCATCAGACACATCACAGCGCACGTACGTACATCGATGTGTGCCGATGGATTCGGCTACCTGACGGCCCAATTCATCTTGGATGTCAGCGATCACCACCACGGCGGCGCCATGATTGGCGAAGAGGCGGGCGGTGGCCTCGCCGATGCCGCTTGCGCCGCCGGTTATGATGGCTATTTTGCCTTGCAATTTGTTCTCCCTCAATGTGCTCATTTTAAGGACTGAGCGTAGCTAGTAGCAGATAACCTTGTTCCAATTGAAGCATAAATATACGGATGATATTTTGGGTTTTTGGGTCCCATTTCTTTTGTCATGCTCATGCATGCGAGCAAGTTGCAACCACAAGTCCACAGCCTTTTGTTTCTTTAATGGGATACAAAATCACAAAGTAAGTTTTAAAAAGCATGTAATTACATGCAAATTAAGCATGATTTCAGTGCTTTTGTGTCGTTGTGATGAGTCTGAATTTCCAACACTTACCAACCACCGGTTCACCTCACCCCGTAACTACAACTTGCAAAAGATTTTAAATAAAATATAAATGCTCTAGTATTTTATTTATTTATTTATGGTCCTTGATTCAACTTATTATTTTGGTCAACTTTTGGCTTTTTAAAAAATTGGAATTATTTAGACTGGGGTCCATTGGGAGTTGGGTCCCATCCCATTTCTTGTGTAATGCAAACCAAAAAATCTGTGTGTTTTGTAATGGTGTACAACAAAATCATATGGTAAAAACTTCCGAGGGCTTGTTTGAATCAATCAACAAAATCATATACTATGAAGACAAGTTCTGAGATGAGATAATTTGATAATAATTATTGAGTGATGAAGTTACTGCTGAGATGAGATACTATCATACAACACTTATTGCTAAGATGATCTCTAGGTCTTAAACCCACCATCCATTACCAAATTATGGCCAGTCACAAATTCAGCCTCGTCCGAAGCCAAGAAAACCACGCCGTCCGCCACACTCTCCACCGACATCATCTTCCCCGCCACCGGCGCTTTGAACCCCATTTGCGACTCCAACATCTTCTCCAACTCCTCCGCCTCCACCTTAAATAGCGTGCACAGCAGCGGCGTCGCCACCGGTCCCGGGGACACGCTGTTGACGCGTACCCCGTACGCTCCGAGCTGCACGCTAGCCGACCTCACAAGCCCCAACACCGCGTGCTTCGACATGGTGTAGTCCGTGAATATCGATCCCCCCATGCTCGCCGAAATGCTCGCCGTGCACACGATGCTCCCCCTCACGCGCCCCTCCACCATCGCCCTCGCCGCGTGCTTCACACACGCCGCCATCCCACGTACATTGACCGCCATGAGCTTGTCGTACGAGGCCAGGTCGAAGTCCAGAACAGTCTGCTGGGAGGCGCTGCCGATCCCCGCGTTGCTGAACATGATGTCGAGGCGGCCGTAGATCCTGACCGTCGATTCCACCAAGCCCTTGACTTGCTCCTCGTCAGTCACGTCGCAGTGGATGTACGTGGAGCGGTCGGGGCCGCCGATCGAAGCAGCGACGTTTTGGCCTTTGTCGTCCTGGACGTCGGCGATCACCACGGCTCGTGCGCCGTGCAAGGCGAATTTGCGAGCCGTGGCTTCGCCGATGCCGCTGGCGCCGCCGGTGACGATTGCCACCTTGCCTTGAAGCTTCTTGTGGGTAACTTGTGCGACGGCGTCGAGTGTGGGGTCCTCCATTTTGGTTGAGGAAGTTGTAGTTGCAGCAGATGACATGCAAAAGTAAACAAAACATACACTAGAACAAAGCTCTCAGTGTCCAGTGACAAACACTGATAAATAATACATAGCTTTTCTTCTTTTTTAAAGTGAAAGTTGGCAATATTATGAAAATGTATAGTTTACCAAATTAACTTGTGAAGATCTAGACATCCTAACCACCTTCTTGTCTTCATTCTTCACTATGTGGTCAACTTAGTAGTAAGGATAACTCTACTTCCTCTGAGTTGTGAGAAATTATAGAGTGATACCGTATCATCGCTGACCACGTTGTGATAAAGTACTTACAACTCTATAATTTCTCCTGTGTTTCTATCTTTTAGCTGAATGCATATTGTTTGTGCATGTATGTTTGCTTTTCTTTCGTGTGTCGTTCCTTATTCTTTATTTTTATGTTATTCTCCTCTCTATGATTGTCTTGTCGTTTGCCTAAGCCTACTGGGCACTGGTTTTTCTGTTGTTTGTTTTGCCTTTTGGGATTTTTCTTTTGTTCTTTTGGTGCTATGAAAGCCGAAGCGCAGATCCTTCTTGGGCTTTCCTTAATCAAAGCATCCAACAACCAAAAACGAAATAAATAATTGAAAATTAAAAGAAAACCATGTAATCATTGCCAAGCTTCGAGCTCTTTGCATAGTTGGTTTTCGCTTACATGTGCATGAAAAATGAAGAAAATTAACCATGCAGAGATACATATTATATAATTTACATGCCCCCTAGAGAGGGGCTAAGACAACACAATTATAGAGAAAATGAATGAGCAAGGTGATCTGAATGGGACTTGTAGAAATTCTGTTTGCAGTCACTAGGCCTTTGCCTTTTGCCATTAATCAACAGTGATCAGAATGGGACTCATAGAAATCACTCGGGCAAGGCGACATGACCTCTTGCTCTAGCAGCTGCAACACCTGGTTCATTGATGGTCGATCATCCGGGTTTGCATCTGTACACCTTGCCGCTATTTCAAGAATTGCTTCCACAGTTTCAGAATCTGCATCTGTGCACCTTTTATCGACTAAATCATGCAATCGGTTTTCTCTCAATAGGGTGTTCATCTGCAAATTAATGAAGATCAATATCCAGAATATTATCATGGTCATCTTACAAGAAATGACTGCACCTGTCTGAATATAATTGTGAATGATCTTACCCAGCCAACAACATTTAAGCCCCGTTTTACAAAGGTCGGATCGGTAGGTCTCTTTCCAGTCACAAGCTCTAGCAAAAGAACTCCAAAGCTATATACATCTGACTTCTGAGTGGCTCTCCCACTTTGCAAATACTCTGCAATGAACAAAAACAAAGTCATAAACATCTCTGATAATTGCATCAAGTGGTATTTGGGGATGAGTATTCATTCAACACTCAATAACCACAATCTGGCTCTACCACATACTTACAGCCGAAAAAGGGTTACAAAAATGCATAGCATATAATATGACAAAAAACAGACCTGGAGCCAGATAGCCAAAAGTGCCGGCCACCACCGTTGTGACATGGGCATCCTCATCAACCAAAAGCTTTGCAAGACCAAAGTCAGACACTCGGGGCTCCAAGTTTTCATCTAGAAGAATGTTACTGGATTTTATGTCACGATGTACTATCTTCGGAGAGCAATCATGGTGCAGGTATGCTATCCCTCTGGCAGAACCCAGAGCTATTCTTAAACGAGCATTCCAGTTCAAAGGTCGCTCTTCCAGCCCTTGTTCTGAAGGAGATAAAGGCATTCAAATCAGCATTCAATTCAAGTCTCGCCCAAAAAAGCACTCAGTTTTAATACATTCTGACAGGTGGTACTTACCATGCAAGAAACCATCTAAGCTTCCCATAGCTAGATAATCATATATAAGAAGTTTTGAAGTTGGGAGCCTGCAGTAGCCTCGCAGGTTAACTAGATTTATGTGCTTAATACTGCCCAAGATCTCCAACTCCCTCTCAAAAACTTGATCACAACCTTCCCGACTTCTATCAATTCTTTTAACTGCAAATGTTCCACAATCATTCATGACCATTCGGTATACCGTGCCGAATCCTCCTGATCCTACAACATCCTCTTCATCAAGTGACTCTAGCTTTTCAATGATTTCACATGAGGGGTAAGGCATATCTCCATGGAAAGTGATGAGTTTTGTGTCTGTCAAAAGTTCAAAATTTATCAGCAACCTTCATAAAATTTAGATTAGAAAGTGTCAAAAGTTCACATAGCATCGAGCTTACTTGCTTCTTGAGTTACTTGTTTTTTGACCTCTGTATACTTCTTAGCCACTCTTTCCTTTTTCGATAGTAACCGAACCCAGAGGAAAGCAAGGAGAATGAAAAGTGCAAAGCCCATGGCGGACATTGCACCAATAAGCATACCTTTGATGTAATGAGAAGATCGTTTAGTAGGCACTGCAACATTCACCATGAAAGAATTAGCATAAGCACGTTACTACTTGCTACATATGAGCTTGGTTCAAAGTGATTGACAAAATTACAGAACATCTTTACTTAGACAGTTTGTCATTCAACTATAAAAACTGATAAAAAGGGTTCGAAAAACTTGCCTGCTGCTTCATCACTTTCAGCATGTGGTAGCACTGCAGGGAATCCCAGTGAGGTGCGGCAGGGCTTGTGCACTTGTTGGCCACAAAGATCTAGGTTGCCAATAAACCTACGCAATTCAAGGAAATTTCAGAACAAGATCAAGGGGGATGAACAATTAAACATTATGCATCAAATGCCTCACTAAATGAGCAATTGGCTGACAAGAGCAAACGCATGCCTATATCTTACTTAAAAGCACAGAACTATAACCTACACATACATCTGTAAAACACGAGCATATGCAACACAAGTTTATTGAATGACAGATGGGATGAGGGTATGAATACTTACGACTTGTTCCCAAAAGTGCTTAGAACTCCAACATCTGGGATTTCCCCGGAGAAGAAATTAGTGGACAAGTTCCTAAGACATATCGAAGCAATTATGTTATTTGAGACATTATCCAATTGGAGAATTGTGGCATAACTGAGACTACTAAAATACCATTGGGTAGTTAATTATAATAGGGGCTTACAGAGAGTGCAATTGTGCGAGGCGTCCAATAGATGAAGGTATAGCACCCTTTAATAAATTGCTCGATAAATCCCTACAATTTCATTTCAAAGTTCATCAAACAGGAGTAAAAAGCCTTAATAAGTTAGTTAACTCTTAAGTGCTATGGTGCAAATATAATAACCAACTTCCCAATACAAGCGGTTGATAATTAAGCATGCAAGACTCAGTAAACCAAAAAGGATAAGACAAAGACGAAAGTCTTACAGTATTGTGAGATGAGAAAGGTTTCCAATAGCTGATGGTATTCCTCCTTGGAGATAATTAGCCCTCAAGTACCTAACAGGTAGAAGAAAAGGGGAATGCAATGCTCAATTCTAGTGACATAATATATAAATAGATGGGAACTCAAAGGAGATATAGAAAAGAGAAGGAAACGTTTTCACTTACAGAGCCCTAAGCTCAGGACAATTGGTAATTTCATTAGGAATGGATCCATGTAAGCTGTTCTGGTGAAGTGCCCTGGTTCACATTGAAAAAGAATAATAGAAGAAAATCAAAATGGGAGAACATCTCAGCTGGTTTATCAGAAATTGGGGCTATGTAAAAGGTGGCAATCCAGTATTTGAACTCACAGTCTCTGTAATCTACTGAGTTTGCCAATGCTGGGAGATATAGTCCCTCTTAGTTGCATGTAAGGTAGGTTTCTGCAAAACCCAATACAAAATATATATATGAAAGCAGTTTCAAGTATAAGTAGATTAAATAATTTTTTTTATAAAAAACTGTTTAACTGAAATATGGGTTTGCCGTACATAGAGCTGACTCTCAAGTCCTGAGGATGGCAAGAAATACCAGTCCATTTACATGGTGAATCATCAGAAGGTTGCCAGTCACTGAGCATGTTCTTACTGTCATTCAAAGTGCTTTTGATTTCCAGCAATGTGAAGCCTGGAGCAAAAATATTTAAAAAAACGAGATTAATATATAGACCCCAAATAAAATACTTGAGAAAATGCAGAAGAAGGAATGTAAACCTAATAAAGATTTGATTTTTATATGCTTTCCACTAATGACCAAAGAAAATCAGAATCCCCAGCTCAACAAAATGTAACTAATTGATTACTAAAACAAATTGCCATCATGAACAAAGAAAAGATGAAACCTTTAACCCAATGCCTCCACTCCACAGCAACAAACAGCTCAGAAAATCCACACACACAAAAAAAAAAGAGACCTTGGGACAGAAAAGCCCAAAAAAGAAAGTAGAAGGTTTGCTTACCATCTTGGCTGAGAGCAAGAGAGCAACGGGAGTAGATGATTGCCACTGAAATCACTGAAAAAACCCAAACCAAAATACCCTTCTTCATTTTCTTTGAAATGGGCTCTTCCTGAGGTCAGCCACTTCACTGCACAGTGAGTGCACAAAAATGTTCAACCTTTGAGAGAGAGGGAGACAGAGAGAGAGAGAGAGAGTAGTTGGAAGTGCAAAACTATGATGGCATCAGTGGGTAGAGTGAGTTGCAAGCTGTGGTGAAAGTGGGGACTTCCATCATGAGTAAACTAATAATATTTTGAAGCACGAAGAGAGAGAGATTGCTTTTTCCTATAAATTATGAGCAGAGAGAAAGACAGGCTTTTGAAAATGAGTATAGAAAATTGTGCAGAAACAAGTGGCCGTTGTCAACAATTTCAAAATTTTGACTCGTACGTTTACCGCCTGGTTTGCAAATTGACAACAACTCGCTACAAATGGTAGACACGTTTCAACTGTGATCTTCCACACCAATAGAATGCATCTTCACTTCATTTTTCAGAAAGAACAAAAAGTTTATGAAACTTTTATTTGGTTCTTCCGACTCTCTCTAAAATGTGTAAATTTGCATCTTGAAATTTGTCAACTTTTCCGTAAGTACAATTAAGAATAAATTGGCATGTTCTAAAAGATTAAGCGAACTCATAACCAAATTGAAAGTAGAGGACACAAATTGACTTTCACTGTAAAATATTCGAGGCTTCACTTGAGTAAATGAGTTGCTGCAATTTAGAATATGTGGTCACTCTACTCACTGTCACACGTCCACGAAACAAGAAGACTTCCATGAAACAGAGATATTCAATATTGATGATAGCAAGTCTCTTTAACGTTCAAAATTACATAAATAAAAAGATATTAAAAGATAAATAATGAAGGAGTTAAGAATTCAACTTCATCAAAATACCATTTATGGCTACCCAAACACATATATGTGAGTCTGTGACACGATTCATAGCTTAAAGTGAAAGGGGTTTCATTTTTTTTTCCTTTTTCTTTCGGTTTGCTTTTTGTCATGGGAAAGAAGGGACGACAAGGTAGCATTATGAGAAAAAAAGAACTCCTAAAGTTTGTTAAAGGTGATATCAACCCTATCAATGGGTGTTGGATGTGGAAGATAAACCATCTCTGCATCTGGGTTGAGTAGTTCCCACCTGAAAAATTCAATTACAATAAAATTCATCATAATTATTGTCTCCAAATTTTAAACCATATGCATTATTGAAAAATAAAGTTACTTTACTTGTATCCTGTGCACAAATGATGTAACAAGATTGCAAGTTGTATCCTAACAAGCATGTTGCCTGCACAGATTCTTGGTCCACCACCAAAAACTTGGTATGTTCCAGGCCTAGCTGGTTCCTGAGGGATTGAATCAATAAGTAAATTATCTCTAATTAATACATAATAAATTTAGGTTTTACAAAAAATTTCACTTTCGGAAAAAGCCAAAACTTTTTCAAAAAAACACAGAAAAACCTCTCAATTTTCAAACAAAAAACATGCAAATGTAAATTATTCGTTAGGAAATCCAAAAATATATAAGGGGCTTACATTCCATCTATCTGGGTTGAAACACATAGGATCATCAAAGTTCTCTGGATTTGTGTGGCTATATCGAAGCCAAAGAATCACTCTCCAACCCTTAGGTATTATATAACCTGCAAAGATTTACCATCTTTTGATTAATTAACTAGTATATATATAAAACTTCAGTTGAAAGATCCTTCAAATATGCTTATTTGAGGAACACCTTTGTATGGTCCATTCCGTATTGTATTTGACTAATCCAAACTGTCTATTTTGTAGATACTCATTCAAATATCATCTCTACAAAATATGATAGTACCTTTATACTCAACTTCCTTGACAACCGATCGGAAATTAAAAGCTGAAATGTTTGCCATTCTTATTGTTTCTTCCACCACCTGTATGTATTCAGATTAAGTTCCTTTGAACAATTTATATTGCAATCTATCTACAAAATGTATATATACCTTGTTTGTGTATTTCATTTTTGAAACATCGTCACTTGTAATAAACTCTCCTTTCTTGTTCTGACTTATAGCCATATTCTCCTCCTGTAAAACCACAAGAGAATCTCAAGATCACGAGATTAATTACTTAATTAAGAATATGGGATGGTGTCATACCCGAAGCTTTTTCAGGACATTAGGGTACTTGGCAAGATAATATATAGCCCACATTGATGCAAGGGAAGTAGATGCATATCCTCCAACAACAAGGCTCACAATATTGTCCAGCACCTCTTGGTCACATAATTTGTTACCCTCATCATCTATAATCTGCATAAGCCCATCCATTAGGTCATTTGTCACCACTTCTTTCTGGGTTTTTTTCTTCTCAAGCTCCACCATGAAAATATCCTCAAGCTTCTTCCTACACTGCAGATTCATCCAAATTTTTATAGGCAAATAGAATATTGGTAAAGTTTTATGGTGAATAGTATGTTAAGATTACAAACCTGACGAGCATGGTGAAAGGCAGATCCAGGAATGTTGAATGGTTGAGCTCTAATTCCTGTGACCAATCCATCAAACAAGTTGTCAATGGTATCAAGGAGAGGTCCTGGTTCCAAACTTACGAATAATTGTCCAATATTTTCAAATGTTACCTGCTATTATATATCACACATAAGCATCATATATTTTTATATAAAATATATAAAGGGTGCGTATCGTTGTACGTATGTTTTGATGAATTTACCTTCTTTGTCTCGTCATATGCTTGATTCTGCCCTTCTGAGCCCATGACTCAAGAGCAGCTATGATGCGAGGTTGGACCATTTGGGCAATGCGTCGAAGAGCATCTGGCTGATTAATGACACTTGTGACATAACTTCTAAGCCTTGCATGGGACTTTCCATGGACAGCCACCAAGGAAGTATAACCCATGAGATCAACACTAGGCCAATTTAGGATGAAGGTATCGTCGGATTGAAAGACAAATTTGTTGACTGCAGGGAAGCATGCTATGAGGACGGTGATCGGAAGAGGTAGGTTCTATACATTCCTACTCCATCTCCATACCTAATAATATTTTACCAAAATAGGTCATATCTTGATCCACCATTTGATAACAAATGAATGAGCAATATTATATATGTCATATTTATGGGAAGAGAGAGAATTCTTTTGATGTTACAAGCGTTGTAAGAGCAACAATTTCCGAACTTATGAATAGAAGATTATGCACCCTCCAAACAAAAAATTATACAAGTAAACTTAGAAGAATGCAGAGAAATAAACCATACTTTGCTCGTTTAGCATTGATAAAGTCATCTGGACGACGAAGAACTTTGAAGTACCAAAGGAAAGTGAGGACTTCACCGATAAATGGAAGTCCCATATGACCGGGCGGTAATTTGGCATTAGTGGCCGAACGTCGTAGTTTGAGAGGAAGCACATACCAAAGCTCATTCCACCACCACAAGAGCAACCCCAACAAAGGCAAACCTCCCAAAACCAAGGCCACCCACACCCCCAAAGAGATATCCATGCACAAAATATATGCAAAGCCCCCTTCTTGGCTCTTGTCCTAGCGTAGCAACTAATTAGTGTGATCTCACAGGCACACTTGGCTGTATATTTATGGTTGATTCCGAGTTGGTGTGACCAGGTAAAGCAAATAGACAAAGCAATAAGCATAAGCAATACCAACCAACCCCCAATGGAATCTACAAACCCTGCTTTGGTCACGCACTTCAAATGGCATGAAAAATACTCTCCCCTCTTCTGTCCAATCAGATTAAATTGTACGTCCAATCTTCGCTTAAGAAATTAGTAATCTGGATAATCATGTCTTATTATCTGATTAGTAGTTTGATTAGTCTTGTGTCCCTACAAATATGCTAAGCAAGGCATCTTTGGGATATATACGTTTGGTAGATCCCAAGTTGATTATTCGTCTTAGACAGGAATTAGCAAGTAGACAAGGAGACCAACCCCACTGGAAACCTACAAATTCCTTGCCTCGGTGACGCCCTTTAATTATTAGTTGTAGGTGGACTTATGTGCCAAAGAGGAAGCTGTCACTTGTGTTAAATTTTAGAGAGACGAGTTAGCGCCCACTACTAGCAACACCGATATTATTCACAACTTAACTACTTACAAAGCCCAATAGATGTGGGGCTTTATCACAAAAGGCCTCAGTGATATTAGTAGTGAAATCATTCATTATATATTGTATTTTATTTAGTTAAATTTCCGATGAGACTTATATTCTTCAACAACCTGTAGCTACAATTGATTTTGTGTCTTATTAAATTGGAGGTATTATAAACTTTTTAGTTAAATTGAAAAAAACTGAGTCAATTTTGTTTGAGTTTTTAAATACAAAACAGAATATTATGCTCGCATGGTATCATCTATGCTTAGATATAATCAAATCAATGGCCTCGTCGTTGTCCCAAGTAAAAATCCCTTTCATTTGTAGGTGAGAAATCATTCAACCTCTATCTCCTTGTAAACTAGTTCTCCCGACAAAGGTTAAAGATAAAACTTTCAAATCTATGTTACTACGTAGCTCGAATTGGGAAATTAGTTTTCAATTGACATGGTGTGTGTAAATCACCTAAACTTCTGGGGTGTTTGTGCAATTAAACTAAAGCTTAACCACTTGTGTTTGTGCCACATCTATGTTTACACAAACCTTGTTCATTTATATATATATATATATATCTCTATCTTTGCATGCGTAAGTTCAATATTTTCAAATATTACCTGTAAATATATTCACACATGAGACATGAAAATCACATACATGCATGAGACGAGATCAATCAATCCAATTAAACACCGTTACGTACTAAGAAAATCATATTTATGTACCACATTTCTAATATAGGAAAAATTTAACTATCATATAATAGATTCCGCTTATCATATAATAGATCTCCCTAGCATTACCATATAATACTTGACCTTTTTGGCTTCATCATGCTTTGATTCTACCTTATGAGCCCATGACTCAAGAGAAGCCCCTATGGTTGGTTGGACGAGGAGGGCGATTCGCCTGACAGAGTCTCTGGCCTGCTTGTTACATTTGTGACGTACGTAGCTTCTAATCCTTTTATGGAACTTTCCTTGAACAGCCACTATAGAATTAGAACCGATAAGCTGAATGATGGGCCAGTTTAGGATGAAGATGATGTCTGATTGGAATACTCGACAAGCATGTTATGATGGATGGTGATCCAAAGAGGTGTTCTATTTTGCATGTGACATAATGTGCTTAATTACAACCAAAAATGGAAAATGAAACATGAAACACAAGGGCATTTCTATTTTTAAATTTTGCTGATTGTGATTTCAACCCTATCAACTGGTGTTGGGTGTGAAAGACAGATGATTTCTGCATCTGGATTGACAAGTTCCCATCTCAAAATTACATTACGATAAAATTCAGTAATGCCTTATATATTATAATTATGGAATCGGAAGCTCGTTCTGCAACATCTGCTTTGAAGTGGGCAGTTAATCTTGGGCAGAACAAAATCATTATGGAATCTGATTCTAAGAATCACTCTGGTGATTTTTCAGGAAAATGAGGAAGATTTTTTTACAGTATAGCCGCCCGGCTATACTATTTAAATAGAATATTGTAAAGGTATAGACGCGCGGCTATACTCTATAAATAGTATATTTTAAAAGTATCGCCGCTCGGCTATACTCTTTGAATAGAATTTTTTAAAAGTTTGCCGGTGCAGCTGAAGCACTTCTTTCTTCATCCAGCTCCATGTACAAAGCCATCAGCGACTTCCTATCCAACCGGACCTGTCTCTTCAACAGGTGCAAAATGGAATCACAATCGGCATCATTTGGAGTGCTCCCGTCGGCAGATTCTGACTAAAGACATAAGTTGATGCCTTGTTGATCTGATCAGTTGTACTGTTCTAATTTTCTGATGTGTTTATTTCGTCACAGATCTGGGCTGCTTGATAAGAGCCAAATAAGAAAATAAAAACTAGACAATTTTTCATTATGTATTTATTTTCATGGCAGTCGAATCGAGATCACATACACACAAAAAAATATACATAAGTTCTATCAAAAGGGACCAAACTTATAATACCAAATTACATATTTTGCATGTTGCTTACAATTATTTTTCATTTTTTCTGAATGTGAGCTGGTGTATTTTAAAAATTCCATTACATGAAACTCCAAGATCAATTTGTTTGTAAAATTTTCTTACTTGTATCCTGTAGACAAATGGTGTAAGAAGATTGGCAGTTGTATTTTAAAAAGCATGTTTCCCAGGCATAATTGATTCCTGACAAATTGGAAGCACACACATGGTGATCTTTAATTAGTTTATAATTGTGTATATATTATTTATATTTAATTAATTTATGATTTACAATTGTTTCGTGCATAAATATAAGTCTTACACTCCATCTCTCTGGGTTAAAGCACACAGGATCATCAAAGTTCTCAGGATTTGTGTGGAGATATCGAATCCAAAGAATCACGGATGATTTTTCAGGAAAATTAAAAAGGTTTTTACAGTATCGCTGTGCGGCTATACGCTAAAGAACATTTTAAAAGTATTGCCTTTTTATAGGTATAGCCGCGCGGCTATACTATTTAAATTGAATTTCGTAACAGTATAGCCGTACGGCTCTACTATCTGAATAGAATATTTTAAACGTATAGCCGTTCGGTTATACTCTATAAATAGACTACTCTTTATATAGAATATTTTAAGCCGCACGGCTATACTATTTAAATTGAATTTTGTAACAGTATAGCCGGTCGGCTATACTGTATGACTAGAATATTTTAACCTTATAGCCCGCTCGGTTATACTCTATAAATAGAATACTCTTTAAATAGAATATTTTAATCGTATAGCCGCGCGGCTATACTATTTAAATTGAATTTTGTAAAATTATAGCCGCGAGGCGTACAGCCGCTCGGCTATACTATTTGAATAGAATATTTTAAGATTATAGCCGCCGGGCTATACTAAATATTTTAAGAGTTTGCTGGCACAGCTGAAACACTTCTCTCTTCGTCCAGCTCCATGTACAAAGCCATCAGCGACTCCCTATCCAACCGGACCTGTCTCTTCAACCGGTGCAAAATGGAATCACAATCGGCATCATTTGGAGTGCTCCCGTCGGCAGATTCTAACACAAAGTCGCTACTTTTTTCCAGTGGTGATTTCCTTGAAATCCTCATAGCCAGCATGGGACTATTTGTAGCTGAATCTGTAAGCGAGATCCCAAAAAACCTGTTTCCTTTGCCAAAAACAGGTGTTCTGTTTGCATCATCAGTTAAATCATCACCTTCTGTCGATAATGGCACTGCAGAGGCTTTGGGATCTTCCTTGACTGCTACACAAATTCCTTCCTCCAAATCAGTTCATGGTTTCCGAAAAAGAAAAACTCATATCGGATTTTTACAGATAATGCGGGCATTTCAATAAGTAAGCCTTTAAAAAAATTAATTGCTTTCCCACCCGCTGAGAATCATTGGTGCAGTTAACAAACAACATCATGATCACTCTCGTTTAAATATTTTTCATGCGCATCCATAGAATAGATTCTCATCCATGAGTCTTGTTAATGTCTTGAGAAAGTTTTTCAGTGCGACGGTCACACTGTCTTAGGAAAAATTTATCCATGTGCGCATAAGTAAAATCCCTTTCGTGAACTAATTAAAGGACTGAAATCACTTGCCAGCCTATTTACCAACATAAAAATATTTAGTTTCTTGTTATGAATAGGGGAATAGAACTCGAGATTTCTTCCGACATTATTGGAAAAAAAAACATATTAAATAAAAAACAAAGCTTATTTATTGATATACCCCCTGTGGTTATGGGGTCGTTAGGGAGGAGGATGGACAGCTGGGTTCCTTTATTTATGAAAGTTTTTGTTTATTTTATTTTAATTTTTATATAATATTTAAACACTTTAATATGGTTTTTATATTTAATTTGGATTTAAATTTTTTTAATAGCTAAAATGTACATATCACGTGAGCAACTGAACAGTTTTACTGAAGAAATTAACGGAATAGAGTAACGTGAGACACAAAATGTAAGTACAGGGGGGGAAATTGAGACAGTTGAAAGTTCAGAGGGCATAGTGAGACATAAGCAAACCACATGGGGCATATCAATAAATAAGCCTAAAAACAATTGGATCAGTGAAGCTATAGTGGCAATAGCATGGGTCTATCATAGGTCAGGCCCAACCCAACAGCACACAGTTCTGCGTTGACTGTAAACAGTTAAGATTCTGAGAAACCTAAGGCTTAGGAGAAGAAGAAATTGTGCATGTGTACGTTTCTGTAGTTTGTTAGCATATATGTGTGTGCTGTGTGGGCGTGAGCGCATGAGAAAATAATATGCACGTAAAATTAGGATCCAAGTCAATGGCCATAACTCATAAGTCTTCACACATCCATAACAAACTGCTCCACATTTTGGTAATCAATCATCCATTTCACCATAACGATCCGTTGAGACTTCAAATACTCAAATTGCAAATTTTGACTTAAAATCCAACCGTTTTCTGACCTGAAATCTCGGGCTAGTCCGAGTAAGCAGGCAGAACTACCAAGTCATAGCCAGTTTAGAAAACTTATCTCTTAAATAGAGAAGCTAAAACATGCTATATGGTTTAAGATAAAGTGGTGAGCAAGTGAGAGGGGCAGAGAGAGAGAGAGAGAGAGAGAGAGAGAGAGAGAGAGAGAGAGAGAGAGAGAGATGGAGAATGTGAATGATTCTTCTTCACTAGAGCAAGACCCTCCTCTAAACCCACCTTCTTCTAATGCAAGAAAACCAGGAGGATGGAGAGCTATCAAATACATTCTCGGTACACAAATTTTTGCAATTAATGCGAAATTTTACAATCATGTTACTCAACTTTTTTTATGTGACTGATGATGGATTTTTTTTTCTTTCAACTTGATTTGAAGCAAACGAGTCGTTCGAGAAGCTGGCTTCAATGAGTTTGATAGCCAATATCACAGTGTACCTGACCACAAAATACAACTTGAGTGGTATATTTGTGGTAAATGTGGTTAATATTTGGAATGGTTCATCCAATGTTGCATCACTAGCAGGAGCTTTTGTTTCTGATGCTTATCTGGGCAGGTTTCGTACCCTCATTTTCGGCTCCATATCATCTATCCTGGTAATTAACATTCATCTCTCTCTCTCTTTTCTAATGACATGCTCCAACTCTGGATTAATCTATTTGACAGCATCCATTTTTTGGAACATAAATAAATTTTAGGCACTTTTTCTTTTAAACATGTGCTTAGAAGAAGGGAACAAATCTCCGGTCCATCACAACCGGTCACTCTAGATCACTTTAGATCAGAAAAATGATGAACTTTGTATGTATGTTTGCATTTTTTTTTAGGGTATGGGAGTCATGACCCTTACTGCAAGTATAAATCAATTAAGGCCCTCCACCTGCAAAGAGCCACCCCATTGCCCTGAGCCCCAAAGTTGGCAGCTGGGCTTTCTCTTCCTGGCTCTTGCATTGCTGTCAATAGGAGCAGGAGGGATTAGGCCCTGCAACATTGCCTTTGGTGCTGACCAATTTGACACCAAGACAGCTAAAGGAAGAGCACAACTAGAAAGCTTTTTCAATTGGTGGTATTTCTCTTTCACAGTTGCTCTAGTTGTGGCCCTCACCATAGTTGTGTACATTCAGACTAATGTCAGCTGGGCCATAGGCTTTGTTATTCCCACTGTCTGCCTTGCTTCCTCCATATCGATTTTCTTGTTCGGCCGCCACACTTACATTTACTTGAAGCCTCAAGGCAGCGTCTTTTCAGACATAGCAAAGGTGATCACAGCTTCCTGTAGAAAATGCAGGGTTCCCGTTGGACCGGCTTCCGAGCACTCATTTTATGATCCTCCTCTAATTACTAATGCATCTGATCAAACACAGATGATCTTGAAGCTCCCTCACACTAATAGGTTCAGGTTCCTGGACAGAGCTGCTATAATAACTAGCCCAGATGAATTGGACAATCAAGGGAAGCCTAAGAGTGGTTGGAGACTATGTAGTCTCCAACAAGTTGAGCAACTCAAGTGCTTAGTGGCAATTCTGCCAGTTTGGATAACAGCAATTGGAACTTTCATGTCCGTGGACCAACAGAACACATTTGGGGTCCTGCAAGCATTGCAAATGGACAGATCCATTGGACCCAAGTTCAAATTCTCACCAGGTTGGATGAATATCATATCCATGCTTGCACTTGCAATATGGATCTTCTTCTATGAGCGCATTTACCTCCCTCTAGCCCAAAAAAAGAGTACAAGAAGGAACAAAAGACTGACAATGCAACAGAGGATCAATACTGGCATTATGTTGTCAATTGTGTCAATGTTAGTATCTGGGATCGTTGAAGAACATCGTCGAAAATCGGCTTTGAGACATGGAGCATACATCTCACCCTCAAGCTTTGCATTGCTCTTGCCACAATTTTTCTTATCAGGATTGACTGAGGCCTTTTCTGCTGTTTCCATAATGGAATTTTTCACCATGCAAATGCCGGAGAGTATGAGGACTACTGCTGGGGCAGTCTTCTTTCTTAGCTTATCCATTTCAAGCTATATAGGCTCCTTGATAGTCAATATAGTCCACAAGGCAACTGAAAAGAAAGCTAAATCTCCATGGCTAGGTGGTCATGACCTTAACCAGAATAGGCTGGACTATTACTACTACATCATTGCTGGCCTGGGGGTTCTTAATCTTGTGTACTTCAATTTCTTTGCTCGGCGTTACGTGTTAGTTGGAAGACCTGGTAATGGGAGAAAGGAGATGCAGTTAGAGAATCCAGTTCTTCATGGTTCAAGAGATCAGTCCGAATGTGCATCAAAGGATGAGGAGAAAGGCCATGGCAGTGCTAACCTGATCCTTTAGCACCAATATTAATTTTGCTTCTTTTTTTCAGTTAAGAACTATGTATGGAAAATGGAGAGTACTATTATTTGTGCTATTTTGTTTGTTAATTAGGGAAGCGTATGCATGAAAACTGAACAGTATCAAGTTGAGCTGCTAGACCACAGATCGTTTTCTTTCTGTTTCTTTCTCACCCATACGCGGTTTAATTCATGATTAAACCTCAAACAAAAAGGGAAATCATGATATCATTTGGGTTAGGACAAGACATTTACAAGGACACTAATTATTCAAAATCATTATTTTGCCCATTGTGCAGTAAAATTTCCACTGTATTTAATCATTTTTTGGGATGATTTTCGAGTTACTATAATTATTTAAATTCCCCACTATCATAAAAGAAAATCAATGCCATTGGCACAAAACATGTGCTTGGCTACCGTCCAATTTCAACACAAACATGTGGACACACATCCAGTGTGAAAAATATCCACTCATTTGAATTTCACACACGCATTTCAATCATTTCGATTGTCTAACACGGATAGTCCACTCACAGATCTTGTTCTTATGTTCAAGTGGGACTAACAATAGGACAACTGTTTTGAGTTTTCAAAACCCAGAGCGGAGGCGTGTTTGGACCATGCATTCTGCAAATTATTGTGTCTTTGTCAACTGATTGTATTGCATCTGTGTTTTCTTGCAAAGTTCTGCAAGAAATTTATACTTCAAACAAAACGTGCTTGGTTGGATTATTCACAGTTTTGAGAGAGAGACAATTAGTTAATACTACTTAAATTACTGAAAAATCTGCAGCAAAGAGATGGCCCTTGACAAGGACTTGAAAGTTGAAAAATGGCTTTGCTGCTAGAAAGTTCCAAGTTAAGGAAGTTGTTGGCCGACCTTGGTGGTATATCCTCAAGTCAGAATGAGCACTATGAATTTATAGTCTTCTTCAATAATAATGAAAACCTACCAGTCAAAGGAAAAAGACAAATGAGTCAATGTGTAACGACATCAAGTCTCATTGAGAAAGAGGAAAATTTACTGCCTGAAGTGAAAAAACTTGTGATGAAAGGACTAGAATATCTCAGCTATGGTGATCCGATTAGAGCACTTCCACCCCTATGGGCAAAGGCAAGACAAGGGCTGTCACTATTTACGTGAATAGTGGCAGCCCTTGCTATTTTGTTTCCGCAATTATTATTCACATGAGATATGAAGAGATGAATTTGTATAGAGTTTTTAGTGTGAGAAGTAAAGAATATGGCTAGGTATTTTAAAAAATATGGAATTTTTTGTTTTCTTTTTTCTTTTTTTTTAATTGCTGACGTCATTATGATGTCAGCATTGTGTCATTTTGCCCAGGCAATAGCTCGGGCTGAATTTGCCCGTGGGCTTGCCTGGGCTCATGGGACCCAACCCTTGCCCAGACTAGATTTGGTGCAATGGAGTTGGATTGTAGCCCTTGGGCCCCCTCCTGTCTGGGTTAAGGACGCACGCTGAAGGTGCTCTAAAGAGCACTTATCCTCACACTTACAGTGATAGTTCGACTCTCATCCTCTTTCCTCTTCAGACTCTAGTAAAGTTCTGTTGTCAGAATAGATTTTCATCAATGTGCAGCATTTTACTTGTGGAAACATATATCCTTTCCCTTTATGCTTTTCCTACGTGGTTATGGCTTGAATTTGGTAATGGGAAAAACAGTTTTCTATACTTAACAATCTAAATCTAACTGAATCTACTGCATGTCCTTCAGCAAAATGAGGCACAAATATTGAAAGAAACTAAGAGGAATAGCATTTCACAGTATCTCAACTTACCAAAATTTACGTGTGGGTTTAAACATTTGCAACCTACAGATTGAGACAAGAATGTGACTGAGAGTTATCTCAGTTTGGTTCTTTTCTCAATGAGCTTGGCTTGGAGTTCACATTAACGTGTGAGACGGTTCATTCACATGAGTCAAAAACGAAGAGTTCAAATTCGCAACGTCATCACCGTTGAACACAAACTCTAGTTGAGGCAGAGAGTCAAGATTGACGACTTCATAACACGTTCGTTTGTTAGCCTCACACTGTTGTCACAACCTGACAAATTTTAATCAAGCCACTGTGGAGAGATAACTCATCTTCCCATCACAAAGAAGAGCTTATTATATAAGTGGGAAGCTCATTCAGAAATTTATCACTTCTCTAGTTAGCTAGCCATCTTCCAATTTTTTGGCACTTTTAGTTTCCACTCTACTAGCTAGAGAGTGAGAGAGAGAGAGAGAGAGAGAGATGGAAGGAGAAAAAGAGTTCCATATTACAACAAGCATGGAGAAGAACAATAATGAGAAGGCTGTGACAAAAGATGAGCCTGAGGTCAAGCACATGGGCATCAAAGCCATGCCCTTTGTTATAGGTAAGAAATAGGGATCTTTTTTTTCTTTTTTTTTCTTTTTTTTGGGCCTAAGAAACAGGGAACTAATTTAGTTCACTATTATTTTCTTTTTCAAGGATTTTGATTTCTACTTCTCCATTATGATCAGACCTTAATAATATATATGTTAAAACCAACTGCAGGGAATGAGACCTTTGAGAAGCTAGGAACAATTGGAACCTCATCAAACCTCTTGGTCTATCTCACCACAGTGTTCAACATGAAAAGCATCCCAGCTACAAATCTTGTCAATGTGTTCAACGGCACCTCCAACTTTGCTACCTTGCTAGGAGCCTTCCTCTGTGATACCTATTTCGGCCGTTACAAGACGCTGGGATTTGCTTGTATTGCTTCTTTCCTGGTATTAATAGCAGTCGTAATTCCTTTCATATGCAACATGAGCTAAAACCATGCAACTATAGCTATGTCTGATTCTTTTTTTTCTTCTTTTGGTGGGTTAAATTCTGTAGGGAATGCTGGTACTAACGCTAACAGCAGCAGTCTCAAAGTTGCATCCTCCAAGCTGTGAACACAATGCCTCATGCACTGATGCAACACCATGGCAACTGGCATTTCTGTTGAGCGGCCTCGGACTTCTTGTTGTGGGAGCTGGTGGCATTAGACCCTGCAACTTAGCCTTTGGTGGAGACCAATTCAATCCCAACACCGAATCAGGAAAGCGGGGCCTCGACAGCTTCTTCAATTGGTACTACTTCACCTTCACTTTTGCCATGATGGTGTCCTTGACAATCATTGTCTATGTGCAATCCAATGTGAGCTGGGCTTGGGGGCTGGCAATCCCTGCATTTTTGATGCTCTTGTCATGCATTCTGTTCTTCATGGGTTCAAGAATTTATGTAAAAGTGAAACCAGAAGGCAGTGCATTGACAAGTGCGGTGAGAGTTACCGTTGCTGCACTCAAGAAGAGGCGGTTGCAGTTACCGGAGCAGCCATGGGTTTCCCTTTTCAACTATGTTCCATCTGGTTCTATCAACTCCAAGATTTCCCACACTGATCAATTCAGGTAACTTAACCATAATGGCTAACAACATTTTAGTATTTTGTGTGAACTCTGACTCGAGAAAAGACTGTTTGGTAACGGGTATGAATTTAGGTACTGTAGACTGATATTCGGTATCAGCCCATCACTGCCCTTCCAATTTTGGAATCATCATAAAGGTTACAGCTAGACAAGTCCCATATTTTGACAAACCAATACAGCTTGACATAGAGGCTGGTAAACAATTTGGTGGTTGACATGTGAAAATTTGAGATATTACTGCTTGACTAACCAAAAATTACCTCTGTTTTCAGAATCCTAGACAAAGCTGCAATAATTACCAATGAAGACAAAATCAACTTAGATGGATCAACAGCAACTCCATGGAAGCTCTGCAGCCTGCAGGAAGTGGAACAAGTGAAGTGCTTGTTTAGAGTGGTTCCCATTTGGATCTCAACCATTATATACTATGTTGCTATGGTCCAGCAGCAAAATTACACAGTCTTCCAAGCTCTGCAATCTGATAGGCGCCTTGGGAACACTGGCTTCAAGATCCCCGCCGCGTCGTATATAGTCTTTAACATGCTTGCCCTCACAATCTGGATACCAATCTATGACAGGCTCATAGTCCCAGCATTGAGAAGAATGACAGGAAAAGAAGGAGGCATCACAATACTTCAGAAGATGGGCTTTGGCATGGTTCTTGCTGTAATAACAATGCTAGTATCTGCAGTGGTTGAAGAGAAGAGAAGAAGCTTGGCTCTCTCACATCCCATTGGGATTGAAGACAGAAGAGGTGCAATTTCTTCCATGTCTGGATTCTGGTTCATCCCACAACTGGGACTCATTGGACTTTCTGAGGCATTTACAGTGATTGCCCAAGTGGAGTTTTACTACAAGCAAGTCCCAGAAAACATGAGAAGCATTGGGGGTTCTTTTTTGTTTGTTGGCATGGCAATGTCAAATTACCTTAGTAGTAGTTTGGTGACAATAGTCCACCATACCAGTAAAGGTTCTTCAATGGGGGATTGGTTGCCTGAAGATCTTAACAAGGGGAAGTTGGATTACTTTTACTATATGGTTGCCGCATTGGAGCTTTTGAATTTTGGTTATTTCATTGTTCTTTCTAGGTGGTTTAAGTACAAAGGAAGTGACGACAGTGCCTCTGAAGTTGGGATGGAAAATATGCAATCTCAGAAACATCTTGTTTGATAGACAAGATCATACCCAGCTTAGCTACAAATTCATGTTCTCCATCATGAAAAATTCAATGTCCATGTTACAGCTTGCCTTTCATGTGACGGGGATGTTGTATACACTTGTTGTATGCAAGAGTTTTTTAAGACACTTCAAAAGACGAAGTTATGATGACAACATGACTCATGTTCAGATGATATAATTACAACGTATTTTCTTGTTGATAATATTAATGAGATTGATCAGATTTGCGAGTGGTCAACTAGTTGAGCTCTATCTCCAAGTACAACCCTCTATCATAGGATATAACTTATAAAGTTATGCTTTCTTCCCCTTTATGAATGTATGGCTATCATTTAAGAAAATGTCTGGTAATGGAACGAAATGGGAACAGCACTGCATCATGTTATGGAGGTTTCAGAAAACGACATTGCTTACCCTCTAGAAGAGTCTTTTTTACAACGAAACGTTCTTTATTTTTATAAATCACGATTTAACACATATATGTAGAAGTAATTCATAAAAAATGCACACATATCTAATTGTGATTGACAAAGAAAATAAGAGTTCATATACTTTCAAATAAGACGTGTCCTATTTGGAAGTATTTTCCTTTTAAAAATAGAATTAAGATATGTTAATTTACCAAAAGAAAAATGGAAATTGAGTCCAAAAGAAAAACGCAAAGCAAGGCACGGCCACATGAAGAAAAGCCAACTCCATTATTGTGAAAGAGAACGAAAGGTCGATGCCCGATGCTGTGTGAACATTCCAGATGAAGTACGCACCGCAACCGGTGGCATTGTTATAATATCAATAATTGAATTAAACAAAGCAACAAGGACACAAATGCCTGCGGGCTGCTGCGATCTGTCAATAAGAAAATGATTGGTGACCAAAACAATAATGCATGGGAACCTACATTTTTTTATTTGGAGATAAATATTGCATGACGCTCGGTACGTGTGGACTCATGCCACTCATCTCTTAAGGGTTGCTGGGTGCATTTGGCTATCAACCATTCAACACCTACATCAAGAATTAAGAAAAACATAGAAGAGGAGAGAGTAAAGCAATAGAAAACGTATGCAAACCTGGTAGCTAGGAAGACTAAATGTTCTTTGTTTGCTTCTCCTTTTGGTTGTCCCGTTGTGAAACCCAATTACATCATTACAAACTAGAAGTCAATGACTTGCTAATTAAAAAGTTTATAAACAAATAAAAAATCAAAGTATCGGGGAGGTGATTCGAATTTGGAATGTGAGGAGACCGTCTCACTGCTCTGACCAACTGACGAGTATACATTCATTGGATATTCATTAAATGTACAGGAATGGAGTGGTTAGCAAAATTGAAATCTGCGTAGACTTGATATTTATTAGTACGTTTTATTTTCTTTTGCCTACTGATCAGTAGAGTAAATATTCTTTGTAGATATGTATACAATTGCCTACTATAATTTATTATTGTTCCTGGAATGAGAAAACAATGGGGCAGATGCCAAGTATGAGTTCAAAACCACTGGAATGAGGCCACTCTCTGCAAAACCCTATTGTAGATGTACTATATATTCTTAAGAGGTCAATTTCTTTTTTCTGGATTTGCCCTTAGGCCATCTCTAACCCTTGGATTCAAACCCAAAATATCCCCCTAAATTTCTCCCAACCCAGAAAATAAAGGACCCAAAATTTGGGAAAACCCAAGTTTGAACCCAAATATGAGTCCATGCCCAGACCCAAAAATTTTCGTGGAGCCCACTTTCATGTCAAACAGCCCCCATGTGTAAAGATTCCTCCGTGGGCTCTATCTTTTTTTTTCGCTGCAGACATCTTGTCTTCCACAAGCACCACTTGTCAAAGCCCCATTGAGTTGCTGTTGGATTTGAAATTATTTGCTGTTTTTTTTTATATACATATAACTTAAATCAACAATGGAGATTAAATCTAAGCTATTTTAACAATAAATAAAAAAAAGATCCAACGGCTAAAATTTAAATCCAACAGTCAAAATAATATTTTAAATTAATCTAGATTAGATCCAATCCCAAAACTCACTCCAAACTCTATAAATACCCATCCATTTCTCAAATAATCTACCAAAACCATTTTATCTATTTCTCAATTTATTTTTCCTTTGTCAATCTCATCAATCTCCTTTCATTCTTGTTGAAGATGTCCACAAAATCTCCTTTCATTCTTCTTTTAGAATTATGTTGTGTGTTTTCTTTTGGAACAAAATTATATTTGTAGAATTTTAGTTTTTTTAGGTCAAATTGTTCAAAAAATTTAATTATGAAGTTATTTAAAAAGATTGAATGAAGAAAAGTTATCCATAAATAAAAATATATAGACTTAAACTATTCTCAAACAATTTAATAAAGTTGCGGACCTAAAATTTGAGTCCGTAGGATTGGGAGAAAAAACAATTTGAGTCTGAGCAAAACCCAAATAGTCACTTTTTGAAAGGGGGAAATTTGGGTTTAGCCCCTCATGGGTTAGAGAATGCCTTAGAGCATCTTCAACCGATGTGTCAAAAGTGCCACATAGACATTTAACATCTAGAAATAACATATCACATTACTCCAACTGATGTGTCAAAGCTGATGTGGAATGAATGCTGGAGGTTGATATGTTATTTTTGACATCCCAAAAGCAAGATGTCAAATGAATATTTTATTTACAAATTTATAAATAAACTCAATCGTAGACATGTATTTATAAAAAAAAACCCAAGCACTATTTAAACATAGAAACACACCCAAAATCAACCCCAAAGTCAAATTTTTGGGTGTGTATATACAAATTTATAAATAAACTCAATCCTAGACATGTATTTTTAAAAAAACCCAAGCACTATTTAAATATAGAAACACACCCAAAATCAACCCCAAAGTCAAATTTTTGGGTGTGTTTATAAATGGGTTTTGAGTGTGTAATGATGGGTTTTGGGTGTGTTTATATATTTAAATAGTGCTTGGGTTTTTTTATAATTTCAACTCCCATTTTGGGTGTTTTAGTGAAACTCCCTATTTTATTATTTTTAAAGATAGTTGGTTGTTACTTTCATTTATTATTTTCCTTCTTTTTTTTTCTTCTTTATCTTAAATGATTTGACTGTTACAATAATTATTTATTTGACATATCGGGTGGAGTGTAAAACTGTGTAAATGTCAAATTGCCACATCAGCCATGAAATTTTAATTTGATGTTTGGTATTTGACATCTCCCTTCAAGATGCTCTTAAGGTGCCAATAAATCAAACACACTGCAATCTCGCTTTCTTTTATTTTCCAAACTTGACTTTGAACCCCTAAACATGACATGATAGTATCCCTATTCCCTTACAGTACCTAGTCTATGATAGATTTACAACTTGCATTCAGACAGACTTGCATTGCACAATACCATAAACCAATCAGTCATAAAAAAAGCATTAAATTTCTGCAGACTTATACTGTGGGCCTGGAAATGAAAGTAACTTGGTTTCATGGTTGATTTCTTATTTTGGATTTGTCAATTAATATTTGATGGCTAAAAATTCCACCCATCTACCCATATTTATTTCTCTTTGGTAGAATTCTCCATCATGTTCCAATATTATCCATAACCAAAATTAGCATATTCATGAATGTTGATTTACAACCAATCTCATCTTGCATCACTAATAAGCAATTCATTCATCTAAGGAAATCAAATTAATTAACTTGTTTGCAAGGTTTGATTTCTTATTTTAAATTTCTTAACAATATAGACCCAGTCAATGGGTAAGCAGCATGCTAAACAAGTTCTGAACTAATATATAATCCGGAATAATATTAGTTTATAGTTGATTTGATCTTGCATCGAAACTCGTATTCAAATTAACCGATTTTAATATATATATATATATATTTATAGCTTGTTTGGGAGTGATGCTAGATAGACCAAAATCATTTTTGAGAAGCAAGTGGAATATTTAAGTATAGATATAAACTACAATAACCAAACGTGACATTAAATATAGAGGATTGTGTATGATATTTATAGAAGTTGTTCAAGAATATTGTTCATCCATGTCATATATAGTCAGTGGACTTACATTCAACCATGACAACTTATTGGTCCAACTAAATTTCACTAACAGTAAGCAAGCGCATGTGTAAATAAATATACGTCAAACCAGCACAACTTTCAAGACACAGAGGACTAGGATCGGGTAAGAGGTAAACTAGTCGTGTGCACAGGTAAAGTTGGAATGACTATGATCCTACTTTTTCTTTTTGTCTTTTTGTCTTTTTGGTCTGAATTATTTTGCCTTTTGCTAGCTCTGTTCCTGCTTTGAAAATGAGAGAGATCATGGAGAAGAATGAGAGAGATGATAGCATGGAGAAGACTAAGAGAGATGATAGCACGGAGAAGACTGAGATAGGTAATAGTTCTAGAACTGAGGAGCCAGTTAACTACAGAGGATGGAAAGCAATGCCATTTGTCATAGGTGAGAGAAAGGAAGGAGTTTGCTTTTCTTTTTCTTTTTCATGCATATGTTTTCTTCTTCTCTGCTCCTGTTTTAACCATGAATTTTTTTTTTCAAGTTGTTTCTGAGTGAACCAACTGCATTACTTTAACATTTTCAGGAAATGAAACATTTGAGAAGCTGGGAGCCATTGGCACCTTGTCCAACCTCTTGGTCTATCTCATTAGTGTCTTCAACATGAAGAAGATCACAGCTGCAACTATGCTCATCATCTTCAATGGCACCACCAACTTCGCTACCTTGCTCGGAGCTTTCGTTTCAGACACTTATTTCGGTCGCTATAAGACTCTGGGTTTTTCTTCATTCGCTTCTTTTTTGGTACTTGAACTACAATCTACTATTCTCCATACTCTCACATGTATAGTATATGAACTGCATCTGCACCAAGAAGAAGATCAAATTACTTTTAAGTACCTCATGAACCCTATTGCTATTAGCTCCAAATGTACATTAATTCTATGATTAATTTGCTGCTTTTTTCTTCTTCTTAAAGGGGCTGTTGCTGATAGATCTTACAGTAGTGTTCAAGAAGCTGCATCCTCCTCATTGCAAAGCAGAAGAAGGAGAAATATGTAAAGGGCCAACAGCTGGGCAGATGGCATTTTTACTAACTGGTTTTGCACTACTAGTAGTAGGAGCTGCAGGCATCAGGCCATGTAACTTGGCATTTGGAGCTGACCAATTCAACCCCCAAAACAGAATCTGGGAAAAGAGGCATCAACAGCTTCTTCAATTGGTACTTTTTCACCTTCACTTTTGCACAGATGGTAGCTTTGACCCTCATTGTCTATGTTCAATCAAAGATAAGTTGGGCTCTTGGGTTTGGCATTCCACCCATTCTAATGTTAATATCATGTGCCCTCTTCTTTATGGGTTCAAAAATGTATGTGAAAGTGAAAGCCACAGGCAGCCCAATTACAAGTCTAGCACAGGTCATAGTGGTTGCTATCAAGAAAAGGCATTTGAAGCTATCAGAGCCAGAGCAACCATGGTTCTGCATGTTTATTTATATGCCTCCCAATTCTATCAACTCCAAGCTTCCTTACACAAATCAGTTCAGGTAATTTTGTTATGTTTCTGTTTCATGCAATTTTTTTTTATTTTTTTTGCCCTCATGTGCCAATTTAAATGTTGTTGTCACTTCTCAGATGCCTTGACAAAGCAGCAATTCTTACACCCCAAGACGAAATACTCCCGGATGGATCAGCAGCTAATCCTTGGAGACTTTGCAGCATGCAGCAAGTGGAAGAATTGAAATGCCTGCTGAGAGTTTTACCAATATGGGCTGCATCTCTCGTATGCCATGTTGCAATAGTCCAGCTGCAAACATACGTTGTCTTTCAAGCCATTCAATCCGATAGACGCCTTGGAAACACCAATTTCGACATCCCACCTGCATCCTACTCTGTCTTCTTGATGCTGAGCATGACCATTTGGATACCAATCTATGACCAACTTGTTGTCCCATTCCTCCAAAGGCTCACAGGAAAAGAAGGCGGCATCACTCTCTTGCAGAGGATAGGAATTGGCACGTTTCTCACTGTAATCTGCATGATAGTATCTGCATTTGTTGAAGAACGCCGAAGGACTATAGCTCTAACTAAACCGATTCCAGGACCAAAGGGTGCCATTTCTTCCATGTCAGGCTTTTGGTTGATCCCTCAGCTCTCAATTGCTGGACTTGCTGACGCATTCACCACCGTTGGTCAAATTGAGTTCTACTACAAGCAGTTCCCTGAAAACATGAGAAGCATTGCAGGGTCTCTCTTCTTTTGTGGAATAGCAGGTTCAAGTTACTTAAGCAGTTTGTTAATTGCGGTAGTTCACCGGACGACTGAGGGGGCTGCAACTGGAAATTGGCTGCCAGAAGATCTAAACAAGGGGAGATTGGACTACTTCTATTACTTGATTGCTGCTCTAGGAGCCATTAATATGGGCTACTTTTTAGTTTGTGCAAATTGGTACAAGTACAAAGGTACTGAGAACAACAATGCCCTTGGAGTTGAAGTTGAACTGGTGAGGAAAAAACTGCTGGTTGATAATGAAGCTTTGAAGTTATCACATTAGTTCATGATATGCTATAGCAACTGATCCTTGTATATGTTTTACATTGAAAATGCTTAAGAATTTGAGACAGCATTAGGGTATATAGGTATCAAGAATCCGTGTCTGGGAACAAAGGCTTACATGCTAGATTTCTAAAATATATTAATTATGAAAAACCCATTAAATGACATGAAGTACTTTTCTTCATTCTTCTGTCATATCAATGTGTTATGCTCCTCATTCAATTTTTCGCATTCTTCGTTAGACACTGTCAATTTTAGAGTCCACAAGCTGTTTGCCCAGAAGGGCCAGCAATCAAACCAAGTTTCAGTAAAGCCATTTGGTTGGGATGAATTTAATCAAATTTTATACTTCATCAGAATTCTTAACTCTATTGAGGCCCCTTTTCTTCCAACTTATCACCATTAATCAGAGTGACCAAATTTGAAATCAGGCAAACCACAATGACCGGAAATGCATTTTAGCCTTCTTTATAACCCCATTTAATGTAAGTGAACATTTCATGAATGGTTTCGATTACTTGGGGAGCAGTTTATTTCCGTTTACGTGTCCCCTAGTCATGTGAGACTTGACACAAGAGGGAAAGGGGCAGAGGGGGAGGAAAAAGTAGAAAACAGCTGATTGCAGCACTCATTTTACATGCCAAAAACTGAAAGCACCAGTAGCAAATTTAAAATGACTGTCTACTGAAGGTTGCTCACAACATGCTGAGTACACGTCTTTACTCTCAGCACACTAGGGGGAAGCATCATCATCATCATCTTATACAGTATAGCAAGTAAATAAATTATGTCTCCCTTAAACTGTGTATGCTTGCTGAATTGTGTCGATGTCAAGTCCCTTCAATCTCACCACCGATTCTACGTGACCTTTCAGTGTGTGGAGCTCCCTCAACCTACAAGAAGGTGAACTTGTGGTTAGAGATTCACAAAGAAAATCAAACTTTCCAAGAAAGTTTATACTATGAATCTTGGATCACAATGAAACGAAAGGTTATTGCAGCTCACCTTGCAATCTCAGCTCTTCTTTTGGCTTCTTCAGCCATCTGATTGAGTTCTGTGAAATGTGTGCGTTCTGTAAACATCTTGGTATCAGGTGGTTGCAACCCATGCAATGTTCTTTGTGCATGTGCCCATTGAAGCTCACGCTGTTCCTTTCCGAAATCCTTTTGCCTTGTGAAAGCAATCTAGAAAACAAAAGAATCCGTCAACACACAGTTCACCGGAAATTCCCTGATCAAGTAAACCAGCCAGGTAAGCAAGCCAAATTCAATTCATACCCTTTGCTCAATGAGAAGATCCCAAGCCTTCCCGCTCAGCGCATAGCGTATCATGAATTTTATGATATCCAGAGGGAAATAGAAGACAAGGTTATAAAGCCAGATCACCCCAGCCCAACCCCATCCAATCCCTTCAATGGCAGCAAAACTCCAATTTGCATAGACTGCAATCAAGGTGGCAATCTGCTCAAAATGGAAGATCAAAAGCTCAGTATTCCGTTTAAATCAATATGAAATGAGATGATTGCACAATTGACTCACCAGCTGAGCTATCACAAAAGCCACCACAAGCAACAATCCAGGACGCTCAACAAACGACCAACTTCGAGACCGAGTAACAAATATGAGGGCCTGACTGATAATGCTCACTTGTAGATATATAGCAGAGGCAAGCTTCCGGAAGTCATCATTAGCTGTTTTCTCTAGGGTTGACACCCCAAATACTCTCTGAAACAATAATGGGGCAGAAATTAATTAATCAATTAACAAGAGATGACAAGCAGCCCTAACTGACAAGGCAGAGCATCTTACTGGGAAGAAGTCTGTTTTATATGCTGCCCAAAAGAATATCACAGTCATTATTGCCAAGTAACTACCAAGCACAACTCCAGTTGTAAAAATCTCGGCCAGCTTCCAGCTATCTGGCAGAGGAGATGGTTTAACCCTATCCTTTGATATCGTCATGATAGTGCCTATAAGGTCATATAGTTAATAAGTTGCTGCAGGTACTGACACATGAATTGACAATAAAGGGAAAATACACTTTACAACGCTAAAAAAGTGCAATGTGTTTGAGCAACCCCGTTGACCAAATAGCAATAAAACATAGAGCTAGAGAGAGAGATTTTGAACAGGGAAAGAAAGAACAAACCATCATTGAGGATGGCAATAATAAGAACCATGAAAGGTGGAAAATCAAACTTCCATATGAGGGCGAGCAACATGAAACCAAGCTGCCAACGTAATAAGAAACAGAAAAGTGAGAAAATGCTATACTGCATAATACAAAAAATTTAATTGAACAAATATGCAAAGATGCCGTCTACATGAATCAAACCAAAGAACCATTAACTTACCACAATACGAATTGTGATGGAAACAGCATATATCTGCCAACATAAACAACAAGAATTTGTCACTTCACTGCTAATGGGGACAATGACTCTTAATCACAAGAATAATATGCTACATAAGAAGCTAAAGCTTACTGTGTAATTTTTCATCCTCTGGAAGATTGCCCGACTGGTCAAAACAGCACTAATGATGACACTAAGGCCAGGTTCAGTTAGCACAATATCAGAAGCACTGCGAGCTGCATCTGTTGCATCAGCAACAGCTATACCAATATCAGCTTTTTTAAGGGCAGGAGCATCATTAACTCCATCACCAGTCATTCCGCAGATATGTTTCCTAGCTTGCAAGCGTTTCACAATCTCGTATTTGTGCTCTGAACCAATACAATATTAATCCAGTCAATATAGGCAAGAGAACTGAAACCATGTTCTGGAAACCAAGAGAAACTTAAAACCTTTTCTCAAGTACGATATTTTGGTACATGCTTGAGCTTTTCCCAACAATGACAAGGGAAGAAGAATACCTGGGAAAACACCAGCAAAGCCGTCAGCTTTTTCTATCAGCTCGTCAATCGGTAAAGCAACAATCGACTCATCCTTGTCCTGTCCTAGCAAAGCAGATGAAGGATACATGTTGGTTCCCATCCCCAAGCGACGTCCAGTTTCCTTTCCTATGGCCAGTTGATCCCCTGAGAAAATACAAAGTTGAGCAAGATGGCAACATAAACAAAGTACTCATATCATCATTCATCATTTTTCTATTGTGCTGAAAGGTGGGGATGTTATTAAAGGTCAAAACTTCCATTCTGTCTCCAAAAATAACAACTCAAAACATTGACACATTAATACACCGATGTCACCAGTGTTCACAACATCAAGTAAAACATGCACTTGGTGCAGCATCCATGACAAATGATTCCAAGGATACATTATGTAGAATATCAAGGCTTAACTAAATAGGAACAAGAGGTTGTTAATTGAAAATATCCACTTGGATTGCTCATGATTTGTTAGATTCAATAGAGCATTATTAAGACTCCTTTAGATTTCCCATAAGCAGAAACAATACTAATCTAACCTACAATAAAGAACGCACCTGTAATCATCTTCACATTTACACCAAGATCCAAAGCCCTCCTTATTGTCTCTGCACTGTCATGCCTAGGTGGGTCAAAGAGTGGCATTAGGCCAACAAACTGCCATGGGCCTCCAGCACTCTCTTTCCTTCCTTCTGGAACTTCCTGCATAAAATGAAGGAAATGTCTTAATTTTTTTTTTAAAGTGTAAACTAGAACAACAACCAAAAGATAAAACATTTGAAATTCACTAACCTGGTATGCTACTGCAAGAGATCGTAAACCTCGCTCAGCAAACTTATCAATAACAGCATGAACTCTACGCTCAATGTCTGACTTATTGTGGGCAAGATTTAGAATCTAAAAAGAAAATTGCAGACAGGAATTAGGATATAATCTTGGGGAAACAAAGGGGGAGGGGATAAGGACATAAAGTGGAGGACAATTTACCTGCTCTGGTGCACCTTTGCTAACTCTATGCATTTTACCATCACGGTCAAGATATGTTAATGCAGTTCGTTTATCAGTAGGGTTGAAAGGAAGGAAGTGTAATTCTTGAACACCAGCACGTGCCTTTTCACAGAAATGAAAAGAAATGGAATATTTAAAAGAGATAGTAGCACATGTATAACAAATGTATTTCAGAAATTATCCAAACTTAAAACCAAAAGTAGTAAAATCCGCCTAAAGTACTTCACAGCTATATGAAAGCAGCACGATCTCATATAAAGATGTAATCACCTCCTTAGGATCAGCGAGCATCCCAACTATAGCAGTATCTATTGCATCTTGATTCTCCACTCTGGAGGCTCGAGCTGCCATCAGCACAACAGTATCTGGATCCACTCCTTTTGCAAAGACCTACAAATTTAAAAGTCAGGGGCACATTCAAACAAAAATATTCATTGAGGAAAAAGAATTTCCAGTAGCCAGTAAGCAGCATATCTCCTATACAACCTCAATAAGATTTTTGTCAACAGTAAGCTTATTTAATGTTAGAGTTCCAGTCTTGTCACTGCAAAGGACATCCATTCCTGCCATCTCTTCAATTGCTGTCATTCTCTTTGTAATAGCTCCCTGCAGTCATTAACAGACTTAATCATGTACAACCAAACACCTTATACCACACAGAATCGTAGCATTACAAGGAATCAGGCCAACCTGCTGTGATAATCTATGAGACCCAATAGCCATTGTCACTGACAGAACTGTGGGCATTGCAATTGGAATTCCACCAATGAGAAGCACAAGCAAGTTGTCAATTCCAGGACGATAGTCTCGGTCTTGTATCGGGTACATGACAATTATCTCTATTACCATCCCCACAGCAATGGAACATATGCAGAAATTCCCAATTGCAGTCAAGACCTAAGAATGAAATGAATTCAGAATCAATAAAGCCACAGCATACAAAGTCCTGAATAAAATAAATATATAAAACTATTGCTCCCCTGCCTTTTGGAAGTGGCCCACTTGATTAGTGCTATCAACAAGGTGAGCAGCTTTCCCGAAGAAGGTATGAACACCGGTGGCAATGACCACTGCTTCAATCTCTCCTTGTTTGCAAGTCGAACCAGAGTACACACCATCCCCTGGGCTTTTTGTCACTGGAAGGGACTCGCCTGTAAGTGCAGACTGCAAAGCCCAAAAAAGAAACTTAAGGAAAACAGCCAAGATTTTGCACGATTCGCCATGCATATGCTTCTAAACTTAATATAATAATAAACAATATAGTTCTAATCGCAGATCAACCTGGTCAATTTTTAGAGGATCCCCTTCAAGTAGACGAGCATCAGCTGGAACAATATCACCAAGCTTAATACTGATTATGTCACCAGGTACTAGAACTGCAGCCTCTTGTTCATTCCACCTTCCATCTCGAAGGACCTTTCAAATATTTCTTTTCGTTAGAAATGAAACCAACAAAGAAATTCAAACATTATATTACCAAAGAAAACGACTACTTGTACTAGTACGCACACAATCACGTAAGATTCCGCTGAATCCACAACTGATAACTACACTAATGTGAAACTCAAGGATCACTCAATTTCCATAACAGAACAAGCATTCCTACCACCCTAAGAAATCAAAATATAACAAGTTGCCAATCTGATACCTTGGCTTTTGGAGCAAGACGAGCCATGAGTGCTGCTGCCGCATTACCGGCATTGTTTTCCTCGATGAAACTAATAGTGGAATTGATGACAAGGAGAGTAATAATACCCACAAAATCTTGCCAGTCGGGAGGCTTACCCTGCACAAAGATAATCATGGTACAAATCAATGAAAATATAAATAAAAGCACAAAAGCAGAATCAGATAATTAGCAATAGTGACCCAGAGAGCTGAGCGCTTACTCCTCCATTTGCAAGAGCAATGGCCATTATAGCAGCAGCTTCCATAACCCACGAGAGAGGGTTCCACATAAAACCCAAAAACTTCAAAAATTTGCTCTCCTGAAACACAACCATAACGTGGAATTGTGTGAGCATAAAAGGTCAGCTTGTAAATTACAAAATAACTAGAAAAAGAGGCTGTGAACATGAAAAGTAACCTGCTTTTCTTCAAGCTTGTTGTGCCCAAAAATGGTCAGTCTTTCCTCAGCAGCCTCACTGCTGAGGCCCTCCTTGCTACATCTCAGATTCTCAAAGACCTCTTCGATGGGTATATTTTCCTGCACTCACAGAGTTCACAAAAAGCCTGTAAACAAAATGAAAAAACAGATGAACCAACCAAAAAAGGCTTCAAATTTCTCAGATCTAATTACCAAATCCACAGTTTCCTTCAACACAGCGTCCAATACTTCAGGCTTCTCCGCCATCTCTCTCTTCCTCTCCAATATGGCCTCACTTTTTTCGTTGTCTCTCTACAAAACCATTCAGAGATCAGGCCCCATTTAAAACAAACCAGAAAACATGAACCTTTTTCTCTTTTGCTCTTTTGCTGAAAGAAAAAACCAACTTTTTCTGGCCTGAAAGAACAAAAAATGAACCTTGAAAGCGAAAAAAAGGTGGTATTTTCAGAGAAAATAAGCAATACCCAGTTGCAAAAAATAGCAATTATGGTAGGGAAACCAAAATGAGAAGGACCCTCGTCAGCCACCAAACACGCAAGCAGGAACCAAGAAGATGAACCGCTAAAGAGAGCATAAGAGTGGCAGTCAGTAACAGTCACAGCCTTTTCTACTCTCTCTTTTTTAATGTCAAATTCTTAAAGAGCCCTGAAAATTATTTTTCTTTACCTAAAAACCTCAAACTCATGAACCACTTGTAACTTGGCAACTTTAAATACTAAAAAGTTTGTAACTTTATTCTATCAGAAAAGACATTGTAACTTTTTAAATAATGGTACATATAAATAAATTGAAAGAACAACAAAAAGAAAAAAAAACTTATGTCTATCTTTTATAAAAAAATAATATTTTTATAGATGAGGTTACCAAACCAACCAAAGCCATTGAATCATGAATTGCACATGCTCTGATGCACATAGGTTATTGGCCTACCATTTTCTTTTTCTTTTCTTTTATAATTTCTATCTGAAAATAATTATTTATCTACAAACTAGCCTATTTACAAGCGGTTCCACACCTGCGATAAGTTTTTTTTTAAATAAAAAAACTAATAATTTCAATTCTTAATGTTTGCATCAATCAAGGGCATTTTCTAGTATTTTGAATGTTTCACAATATATATATATAGATAGATATATAGATTATATCACAACGTTTGTTTAAGCAGTGGAAAAGGCTGTGTGCGCTTAGAGCTGAGAAAGGGTCGCTTGAATGCAGTCAAAATTTTGTTGGTGAAAGTGTTGAAAATGACTCTCTACCGTCAGCTACAGCAACTTTGACCTCAATCTCTCGCTCACTGACTGATTGGTGAGCAGCAAAGAAACTTCTTTTGGTTTAATCCATTGCCAACTATTTATAAGAAACAAAAACTTACCCAACATTTCATAAAATGGATTGTAGGAGTTTTTATTGTTTCCCTAAAATATACGTTATCCAAATGTTTGCTATTATCACAAGTAAGTACCATATTGGTATTCCTGTAAATTCATGATCATTAAAACTCATCATCTCTTGTTTGGTTTAATCATAGTCGTCATGACAAGTGGTGCATTATAGTTTTAAGAATTCGGAATTACTCTCGTTTAAGAAAGAATTTCGACACACAACTACTTCGTTTTAGAAAGACAAATGCATAAAACAAAACTCTATTAAAACGTAAGCGCGAGTCGAGAGACTATTAAGACAAGAAATGTGAAGCGTATTTTTTTATGATACGCATGCAAAAATTAACCAATTAGAAGTGAGATATCATTATCATTCTATTTGTGTGATGATATTAAACTTGTTTCAAATGATGATCATATATATTGGATATTTTGTGTATTTTAATCTATCTATATTTATATATCTATATATATAAAGCAAAAGGTAGAGAATGGTGAAACATTCAAAATACCAGAAAATGCCATTGATTAATGCAAATATTAAAAATTAAAATTATTAATCAAATGAGAATAATATGGTAAATTCACATTTTTTCATATTAATTTTTTTATAAAAAAAATTCAGTTAATGAATTCTATTTTTATGGAATATAACTACTCATTATTTCATTTAATTCTAATATATATATTTATTTATTTATTTATTTAAAAGCCATTTGTAGGCATGGAAGCGCATGCAGAGAGGCTAGTTTAAACATTAAGAATTAAAATTATTAATTAAATGAGGATAATATGGTAAATTCATATTCTTCTTTTTTTTAAATTAAAAGAAAATTCAGATAATGGATCCTATTTTTATGGAACACAACTACCCATTATTATTTTTTAATTATAAAATAAATTTAAATTTTTTTTAAAAAAAGCCTCTCACATGCGTGGAAGTGTGTGTGGAGAGGCTAGTAAATAATAGAATTCTCGATCTCACAGTTAATGGAGGAAAAAAAAGGGAGAAAAAAATGGAGAAAAATGGAAATGGGAAACACAAAGAAATTAATAAAGGGAAGTCGATGGAGAAGAAGACGGAAAGGTGACGCAAAAGGAGGCGAGAAGATGGAAAGCAAAGTCATCACTGACTCTCATGGCTTTTTGGATGTCCAAAGTTGAATAAAATTCCAGGTAACCAAACCTCAATTATTCAATATTTTTATATATATTTAAATAATTTACTTATATATTTTTTATTTTGTGCATTCTTTGGCACACGCTCACCAATTGGTATTCTTTTCTTTTTTTGTTCTTTTAGAATCAAACATGTCATTCATTTTAGGTAGGAAATTAGCGGCCTCATCTGCATACACCAAACCATGAGTTAGGTGGCTAGCTTATGTTAGAATTGGGTTTGCCAGTCATATTTAGTGACGCGAGAGCATGCATGGTTGTTTGACTCAACATATGAATACTTTATTCCGATACCATATCAAAATGGAAACATCAAATCCAATATTATTGAAAAATAATAGAAAGGTTCGGGATCTTTTAAATACTCATGCAATATTATTTCCATTTTCAATATAAAATAACCCTCAACAACAATTATTTACACAATCATTACGTAATACATTCAATATATACTATTTATATCTCTATGAATGCTAAAAATTTATAAACATGAAGTTTGATGGCGATGAGTGACAATGACCCTCATAATGCATTCGTTTGCATCGTGACTAGAATGATCAATAGAAAGCAACATAGTTTAAGTGTATTTAATTATTTAAAACTTGTGCATACACGAAGTTTAGCGAATAATAAACATTTACCCCTGCACGAGAGTCTCGTGTGCAAACAACATTCTTATTTTTTTCCTTTTTCACACTATTTTTGTCACTACTTTCTTTCTTTTTCCTATTGTTTTTCTCACAACTTTTTTCTGTAGAGAGTGGTAGGTTAGTGACAGGGAGTATGAATGGAGATCGAGTATGATATTTGCTCTGCTTTTGTCGCCAACCAAGAAAAGCAGTTAAATTATTGGTACTATATATACCCTTTGTTTCATTTTTCACACATGATTAATACGAGGAAGAAAGAGAATAAGGGGTAAGTGGCAAGCATCCTTGGAAGAAAAAGGAAGATCTCAAGATTAAGATAATTAATTAATTAATTAAACACAGATTGGCCAAATTAGCATTTTTGTCACCTATTTAAATATAATTTTAAGAGGATTTCCACCAATTGTTAATTGTATTGATGTGCATGAGAATCATGCATGTCCACGTGATTGGATAGACCTTGTTGACCTATTGCAGTGATAATAGACGTGACACAATAGTGAAACAAAAGTTTTAAAAAGCTTATGATTATTAACATTAATTAATTATGTTTTGAATTTTTTGTCATCTTTATGTACGATTCCTTTCCATTTGCATTTGGACAAGTCAAGAGAAAAGTTAAAGATGGATTAAAGTAAAAAATAATTAGGATTATTCTCGTCTAACGTTTTTTTTTCTTTTGGTTAAATGATTCCTCTAGCAGAGACTCCGGATCCAAACCGATTACATACAAATATCAAAACAAATTATTCAAATTGGATTATAAATTAAATATTGAAATTTGAGAAGAAGAAAAAATTTATGATGAACTAATGCTTTTTGGAATCCAAGTAGAAGTAGTGAGTGCCTAATCATCCCAAATAATACTCTCTTTTTCTTTAATGTACTCATTAAATAATTATATTTTTATTTTTTTATATCACCGAAAATAAGGAAATTTACATGCATGTGAAGCACTAATATAATGGAAAATAATTTATCTGTTCATTTTCAAATAAAACAAAACAAAAATTTAAACAATTATTGATAGAGTTAGTGGGGCCTTTGGGACCACACATGCATGTGAAGCAATGGGCCCGGATGGTTCTAATGGGTTGCTGACACAGATGGGGCCGATGACAACGTGGCACGTGGCCGTTTGGCTAAAAAGCCTAAAATCTAAACAGCACGGCAAGATAAATGGCCCCACATGACAATTGTCTCCTTCTCAAAAGGAGGTACGGTACGTACTATGCCGTACCACGTCATCCTACCATTACATTTCTATAATGAGAAAAAGAGCAAACGATCTGACGCGATGCACCGCACCAACTTCTGATGGGACTGCAACCTTTATCTTTGCCAATCCAATTTTAGTCTGGGTGTATTTTCCTTTTTTGTTTTGTTTTTTTTTCTTGTTCTATTTAATTTTCGTAAATAAATCTAAAAACTCAACTATATATAGCAAAAGGTAGAGAATTGTGAAATGTTTAAAATACCAGAAAGTACCTTTAGTTAATACAAAAATTAAGAATTAAAATTATTAATTAAATAAAGATAATATTGTAATTTCACACTTTCTTATATTAAAATTAGGTAATAAGTCCTATTTTTATGAAACACAACTACTCATTATTATTTTTAATTCTAAAAATTAAAATTAAAATTTTAAAAACCAATTGACACTCGCGTAGGCATTGGGCTAGTGGATGAGTACTAGCCATACACAAATTTTAAATTTTAAATCTTCTCATACAAGGATTTGTTTCTCTTTTTAATATTATTTATTCTATTTTCTATTTGTTTGTTGTAAAGATCACCATCCATACACAAATACTTTAAAATTCAACGTATCTCAGATATTATTTTGATGTCCAAATAAAGATTTTTTTTTGTTTTTTATAAACCCAATCACAATAATTTAAATCAAATTGCAAAATTAGTTTAGTGGTGGTCGAGTCATAACCCAACAGAGGCACACTTTTCGTGTCAATATAAAATTTCCAATTGAAATCTATATAATAATCAAATCGAACCATTTTGTAATTAGGGAAAAAAAAAAAGAAGAAAAGAAAAAAAAAAAAAAATCCAGCGATTCAATTGCAGATATTATTATCATCTCCAGCAACAGCTAGTAGTTGTGTGGACAATCTAGATATTTGATCTTGATGTGTGGATGAGAATCCTTTCTAATCCAATCCAACCGATGAGAAATAAGACTCTCTTTTTTTTTTTTTTTTTTTTTTTTTTTTTTTTTTTTTTATTATCATATTATTTATATCTGCTGTTGGACTAGTCTAAGTGTCTAAAAAGACTTGGACCGTTCTTGAATTGAATTAAAATATATGTAGTAAAAAATGTGGTGCTGTTGTTGACGTTTGTTGTTTTTACATTTCCAGGCCACCAAAAAAGAGTGAAGAAGAAGAAGAAGAAGACAGGATGGTCCCCCTGATTATAATAGGACTCTTTCAGTAACTAAAGTTAATGCTTGCAGGCACGAACACATGTTCATGTTGTGCTTCCCACGCCCTTTAAATTGTCTTCAATTTATTATTTTAGGAATTTGTTTCATTTTCCATTTTCAACTCCATTATGTATGGATACATGGCGGAGTCATGTATAAGCCTGGAGTGGTTGTGGTCTCTTGAACTCTGAAAACTCTTTTGAAGTCGGCATGAAACTTACATAGCTAAATTCTGCTCCATCATGAGTTTGTTTGTTTTTTTTTTTTTTTTTTTTTTTTTTTTTCCGTTGGTTTGGTTTTTTAGCTAGCCTCTTGTGTTTTTGTTGTTAAAATCAAAAGCTACAACATGGAATCGCTTTTTCAAGAAGTGGTTTTGTTTTAGTTGTTATTTGCACTATTTGTATCTATGTTCTTTGGTGAGGAATATTATTCAACAGCTACAGATAGAGATAGAGAATTGAAAGCTAGCTCAAAGACAAAGGAAAAGCTGCTTTTTTAGAAATCAGGAATAATAACTGTTCAAGTGGCAACAGTGGATGAAGGCATCTGCATCATCGCATTCATGGCTTAACCTAATTAGGGTATACGTGTCCTCCCACTACATTAACTTAATTAACCTCATGCTACACTACAAATCACAAAGTACCCTAAAGCTTAGGGCATCCCACCATGCCCATTAGTTATCCTAATCGAACCAGTATTATTTTATATGGGCAAGCTGATGAGGTGACCTAGCCTCCAGGGCTTGTGCTTGTCCTTTTCCAATTGAATTTCAACGTTTCAGGCTAAACATTAATCTTTTGTTTAATGTACTGAATAGGACTTTGCTGGATCCCAGAAACCTACTGATTGTTTGTTTTGTCATGGGGTCGTGTATTGAAATGGGATTATAATCCCATGCCAAAAGAAGCCAACATGCAGAAACTAACAAAAGGAACAGGTGGGAGGGGGGGGATTGTTACGTCCCTATTAATTCCAAGGATTTGACATGCAAACGCTCAACTTAAATACACATTACACTAAACTCTTTACACATGTTTGAGGTTAAAAGGTCACAATTGAGATTGCCCATGTCCTTGGGTGAAAAAAAAAAAACAGTAACAATCATTAATCCAAACATTTGATTACAATTATGAATCCTATTCAACAATATAATCATGCTCACCAACCACGGTAGAGCGCAGCACAGGTTGTAAATTGATTGAAGAGAGAGATCTTGAAGAGAATTCGGTGGTTTGGGAAGCATTTATTCAAATATTTTCTTCGGTATAAATAAAGGTGGCCTAAAAACTAAACTTGGGTTGAATCCCACCAGAACTTAATTATGTTACCACACAAAACGGATGATTAAATTAGTGTTATCTTCTCGAATCAAATACAAACCAATACGATCTAATTCTACCTCATAATCCAATCTACTCCTAGTCACTAGGCGCGTCAATAATTTATTCCCGCACATCTGTGCAAGGGTGTCAAAGTATAAGAAAAATAATAGAGGGTTCTGTCGGGAGCTTAAAATATATAAAGTAGAGAGGGACGCGAGCTTGCAAGCGGCCTTGAAGAAACAAAAATGGAGATATGAGTCTTGAGAGTGTTGTCGCACCCACATGTCCCATATAAAAATATATTTTTTCTTGTGGGAAAAGAATTAATTTAAGAAAAGAAACATAGATTTTATATAATCATCTTTCTCCTTCACTTTTCTTTATATATATTCGAAAGTTGGACCCCTTCTTTCTTTAATCTTCTTCTTTTCTTAAATTCAAGAGATGGAGTGGGACGCATATATTTCTTTTATTTCCCTCTCCTTCACGCACATACAACACTTTTTTTTTGTTGGCCAAAGACTCCCTCTCATCTTTCTCCACTTTCTTTTGGTGGTTCTAAACTTGCACGATTTCTTTTGCTTCTTTTAAACTCGCACGATTCTGTATAAATAAATGTTTTGTTTTTCTTCTGAAATTGATATTTTTTTTTACTCTTAAATATCATGTTTGTGGCCCTTGTTCTGCTTCTTGTTGAATAATGTTATTTTTCAATGTAATGTTGAATAAATCATTTGGAAACGAATACAATGCTTCACATCAATTTGTAGAAAGATTGTAAGTTATTTTTATTTTTAGTTGGGTCAAGCCCAGAGTTTGGTTGGAGTAGGTTTGAAAAGCCTTCGTGTGGTGGGTCTATAAGCCCAGGTTTGTTAATGCTTAGTGTTTAACTTGGGTATAAAGGGGAGAGCTCACTTATCTTGTCGCTTCTTGAAGGACTAAAAGCGCTTCTTGACAACAAAAAACTCTTTCTAACAACCAAAAGCTCTTCTGGCTCATAAAAGCACTTTCTAGACATGCTTCTTCAAGAAGCATTTGGATTTCTTATGAAAATGTCAACATCTTTATAATAAAAGCACTTTTGCTAGAAGCCGTAATGAGCAGAGTGCTTTCTAGAGAAGCAATCCCAAACGAACTCTGCGCCTTGTACTAACGCCAACGCTCTAATAACATTATTTACTCATTTAGAAAATTGGAAAATAGGTGGAAGTGAGAAGGAAATATTAAGCCTGGGACACTTTATTTATTTATTTTGTTTGGGTAATGGCCTATTACGCTCATAGGCTTTAATATAAATGCTTTTTGCTGTTACTCTTATCATTTTGGGCATGTGCCTTCTTCCCCTTGGCACTCTACTGTGATTAAGAAGAGTGCACGAGTTGTTGAAGAAGGGAAGCTAAACACACCGCAGGCAAGGGACTATGGAGAATCATAACTTCCTACCAAGAGTGAGTGCAAGCCAAGGAAAAATGATCCTGCTGCGACTACGCATCATTATATTAGAATAATAAGTCGTACATAATGCTTGCTCTTCTTACACCAGCAAAGAAAAAAAAGAACAAATTTATTTTTTCATGAAATACATATTTAATTCTTACGCAACAAAATCGAGTACAACTCAAATTAATGGCCGAGAATGTTTAAAAAGGAAGGAAAGGACCAGCAAGTTGAATCTCTAATCACCAAACACAATCAAATTCAATACTTCAATTTCTAGAAGTGAGCAACTCACGTTACTATCTAATCAAAATCCAAAGGACAATTTCTAGGTATATAGAATGCAAATGAAAATAATAAATTAAATGAACTGACCCAAAAAATGACTTAATTAATTCCATAGTGCCACAAGAAGCAGATTGCAGGAGCCTGCTAAAACTGCGCCCAAAACTCTTCCTTTCACCCCAGAAAGCTTCTAGTATTCACATTCTCCAAATAATTGCATACATGTATTGTATTTACATTACGGTCAACCCTGCGATCCATAGTTAGCAGTCATAATGAAACTCCTCCCAGAACTCTTTTCAGATCAGACTTCTGTTCTGTGGTGAGTCGTGAAGGATACTTGACATCAAACTTGATTCTCAAGTTTCCCTTTTTCCCAGGTTCTTTTGAGATTGGCATCCCCTCATTTGGTACTACCATCTCGGCTCCAGGTTTGATGATATCAGTTAACGGGATCGTGAGATTCCTTCCGTCTAGGGTGGTTAGGTCAAGAGTCTTGCCAGTAAGTGCCTCCAACAGTGTTATCTCCTGATTGACCACCAGATCATTACCATCCCTCTTATAAAGTGCATGTGGTTTCTCGTCTACCACAAAAATGAGATCTGCCGGAATGACATTAGGCTCCTGGTTACCCTTCTCCGGGAAGGTGATCTTTGTGCCCTTCTTCCAACCAGGTCTGATCTCGATGGTCAATATCTCCTCCACAGTCCGAACCTTACTGCAAGAGAATTACTCATGTATCAGGTCAAAGTTAACAAAAGCCAAATACTTAATGAGAACTACTCCTTTCAGACCTTTAACAGGGAAAAGAAAACACATACAAACACCTCGACTAGATTCATCCATTTTCTAACAAGTAGCAGGTATTAAATTTATCTACTTTAACACGTATTGGCTAAAAGGGGTGAATGAAAACCCAAGAAACCAGGAAACACAAAATGAAATGTGTTCATTCTTCTTTTAAATGTGGAAAGTGAGATCCCTAAGCAAAAAGTGGCATGTATGCTGCTTAATCATTATCAGACATGCTTCTTGCCGCAAAGGCAACAACAAATGACCAACACCTAGAAACTTCGAAATGGAAAGGTTCGGCATTACAAACTTTACTTCTCTTATCACATTACAGACGCCAAATAGTCTCAACTCTATTTGGTGCAAGATCATTCTTATAAAAACATGAATAACACTTAATCTTGCCCCAAAGGGCAACATCCAACGAACTGGAAAGGGCAACAGGAAAGGGCAACATCTTCAGGTTGGATCCTGTCTTTTTGGCCTTAAGGCCAAAGAAAGTATAAGCAACAAAACCATGCTTCAAGCATCTAATTAGATGAGGAAACCCAGGTAGTTCCTGATCTTGCATATCAAATAATAATAACAAAGAAAGGTAGGAAAAATAAGATTGAATCAAGAATGTGGCAATAGATGTAAACATTCAGACGCAAAGCTCAGTTCATACCACAACCCACAAACTAGGCAATATAGAATGGAAATACACTGCCCTTGGTAGTTGTTAACTATAACTCTTTCCCCTTCGGAAAGTCTAGGGTTCGACTCATGGGAAGTCAGAGATCAAGGAGGAGAGAGGCTACCCATGGTTATTAGCGTACCACAGAGCATAGACCATGTTCTGCAAGATTGGGATAACAACTTTAACTTGTCCTTTAATTATTATTATCTAATTTTTCTGTTACCAAGTGTAACAAACATTTCTAACCCTTGTAAAATCAAGCAGACCTAACTCAAATCTAGAACTGCAGGACCAACTATACTAAGAAATGACACACAAACTATGTAATCCCATCACGAACCAGCCCCTCAAACCCAAGAAAGATGAGAAACCTACAATGTTGACAGAGCCAGCCCTAACAACAAACACCAGAGACTTGAGCTTATCTTAGTGCTGCCACTAGGCATGAGCTAAGTGAGCGGGCATACTTTTCTCCCAATCACAACCATATCTGGAAGGTGCTTGCTGTACTAAATTCATACACATAAGCATAGACCAGATGACCTTCACTCTCAACAAGACCAACTCTATATACTTGAGCAACAAGTCACAAACTTCTTCATGCTTTATTTGATTTAATTGGGTGCTTTATGTGACAAATATCTACAGCGTCTAAATCCAAATAAATAAGCAAGCACACTACATACTTGTTTCCTCTTTGCTAACCCAAGCATTTTTCATCATATACATAGATATTTAGCTGAGCTTGATGGGCACAACACAATTATTATTATTTATTTATAAACTTGGGGGCAAAGCACAACACTATTTTGGTTAAACTGTAGATTAGTTTTAAAAAGTCACCAACTTTAGCTTCACCAAAATCAACTCAACAGAAAGAAAGATTCACCAACCATATATCGGCATTATAACAAACAAGTTAACAACAACGAAATTTTTTGGTGTTGGGTGAAAACAAAAAACAGAACATAAAAATTGGAAATTGAAGACAAGTGAATTACCCAGCACCAACAGCATCGTAGATGTTTCTGGAAATCTTCATCTTCTTCTTGACCCCCTTATAGAGCTCCTCCAAGCTGCAAGGCAACAAATTCTCAACCGCATTGGCCTTCCTCCCAAGCCCAGGCCCAGGCCCACTACCACTGGGTCCCGCAAACTCTGGCCCACCATTGGACGTCCTAAAGAATCCATCCCTATACCCCCTCCCGCCACCACCACCAACACCACCGCCGCCGCCGTCCGATCCAAAAATCTCGGCATAAATATCCTCAGCGTCCCTGGGATTGAACCTGAAGGTGGAGGCGTTTGGGTGGCGCTGGTGGTGGTGCACGTGGCTGGTGTAGTAGTGGGGCCCAGCGCCGGAGCGAGACGAGGAGGAAGAAGAGGGCGGGGGGAATTGGCCCGATTTCAAAGCCTCCTCGCCGTAGAGGTCGTAGATCTGGCGCTTGGCCGGGTCGCTGAGGACGTCATAGGCCTCGGAGATTTGCTTGAACTTGGCCTCGGCCTCGGGTCGCTTCCCAGCCGGGTTCTTGTCCGGGTGCCAAATCATCGCCAGCCGCTTGTACGCCTTCTTCAGGTCATCGTCCGTCGCGTTCCGATTCACTTTCAGTATGTTGTAATAGTCCACCCCCATTATCGCCTCCTCCTGCTTCTTCTTCTTCGAGATTGTTCTGCGCTTTTTCGTTTTTCGTTTTTCGTTTTCGCTGGGGGTTTCGGTTATGAATTGGGAGAGCCCAGACCGGCCGGGGACGATATCATGATTCATGTAATCACGTGGGTCCCGCGTCCATTAATAATGATATTTATCTTTAATGACAATTCCTAGTAATAATAGGAAGTAATAGTATTAAGCTTAATGATATTTTGATTTGAACAATTTTGAACATAATTTTGAATATTAAACATAATTTAGTGTTGCCATTTGTAACCACATGTGCCTTTATTTGTGCTTCATTATATATATATATATATATCCTTGTTATTTTAAATATTTGAAACCATGTAAATGTGGTTGATTTTGATTCGATCGATAAAATATTATCGCTCTTTTTTATAAATAAAAAATATGATAATTAATTGTAGATTATTGACTCACCTACGCAAGGAATTAGAGTTTGTTTTGGTATCTCTAACCTCTAATCCATTTTTGTTCTTCTAGCTAATTGAATTCTTATCGCTGTACTCCACATTCCATGTTGTATTATGACACTGACTGGTTTGTTAACGTGCACCAAACTAACTAGGAAAGAGAGGAATTAGAAGATGAGAGAAAAAGAGAAAGTTTAGGTATTAAATAATAATAAAATGGTTTGAGATGGCAGTTGAATGTTTAGGTATTTTTTAGTTGAATTTTATTTATTTATTTATTTTTAATGAGTGTCGAGTGGAGCCTTCAGAATATGGGGGCCCAAAGAGATTTTGTTATTATTATTTAAGTGCTTTTCTGGTAAAGATCTTTGTTATTTGAGTAATTAAGTACACTGATTACACAAAAAGATATATATTTTAAGTTTTCATTATATTATTATATGCACAAATTCTTTCACAATGTTGTTTGGATGGATTTAGCCGTCATTCATTTGTACTAAAAAAATGTAATTTACATTACATTCCAAATTAGTCTCTTTCCCTGCCGTCTCCTTCTCTAATTTGTGTGGCAGCTATTCAGGAAGCAAAAGATGGTGTTGGAAAAATATCCTTACAATGACACAAGAAATCAGGATCACTTTTTAATAAATACAAACTGAGAACATCTCAGCTCAAAGTTTACAAGGCCAATGAAACAAATCGCTTGCCATCCATTTAGTAAGCAAAAAACCATTAAACACAAAATGATGTAGAGATGACAAATATACAAGTGTATGCGACACGTACAACATGATCGAAAAATCTACATACTATGTATACACCGAGCCTCGACGATCCCCACAAACAGCTCCCCTTGCAACCTAACATGCCTTTCTTGGATGCAAAGCTTCATTCAGCCACAATCTAACAACCTACTAAACCAAGCCAAAGGTGTCCAGGAAGGTTGATTCAATATCTGCCCTCAAACCTCGGTTTACAAAAACCTCATCTGCCGCGATTTTCAGGTGTATGGACAATAAAAGAGGAGGAGAACCCCCAGCATGCACAATCTAAACAAGAATACAAGTTATACAGCAATTGCTTGACCAGTTAGCCCATCGTGAAGCTGCAATGAACCGTCTTTCATCAGGTTGAGGCTCAAACTCTTGAATCTCTCCCTCGAATACTGCCGAGACGCCTTTCTCCAATCCGTTCCAGTTTTCATCATCGCAACAAACTCCTCATAACTGATACGTCCATCCTATTGTTTTGCAAATAATAACAATAACTAAGAATTAATAACAAATGGAGCAAGCAACTCCAGTATTAACAAATAAAAGAGATTAAAAGGCTTGAAAGTCAAACCTTATCAGTGTCGACCTCACGCATGATGTCATTCAGCACTTCATTATCAATTTCACCTGATTCATCTAGTAAACCTTCCCTTAGCTCACCTAACTCAATATATCCACTTCCATCTTTGTCAAAGAACACAAATGCTCTGCGGAGATGCTCATCATTCTCCATTCTCTGCAAGTGAATGGTCACTGCTGCAAACTCTCCATAGTCCAAGACTCCATTTCCATCAACATCAGCCTACACAAAATAAAGCAGAAGGCATCAGTTTATTGTTAAATGGATCCTATATATAAGATAAACAACAATACTTCCAAATTTCTAAGTGACTATTATAGATTATTAATATCTTAACATCAATTGGCAGTAAAGTAATTGTGGTTTTAGTTCAAGGAGCTAATTTGTAAGATATTTGGAGCATGAAGATGAATAACTTTTCTCAAAACCGTAATGGGAACCATAATGAAGCCAAATCCATGCAAAAGTCATAGCATAGAAATGAAATTAAAATAAAAGAAACTCTTCCCAAATGAATTTAAAACCCCACAACTTACCACTTCCATCAGCATCTTAACCTCTGGTTCGGCCAATTGTGAACCAACTTTCTGAAGCCCAGCCTTCAATTCCTCATATGTTACTTTGCCATCTTTGTCAGTGTCCATCAATGTAAACATGTCTCTGATTACTTCCACTTCTTTAACAGATAAGTGTTCTGCAATTACCTACAGCATTTGATTGGAAGAAAAAAAAATCCCAAATGTTACATATATTTTGTGAACCACAGATCATTGCAATAGTAGCCAATACTTCAGCTGACACTCATAAAGTACCAATTATAGATCCTCACCCTTAGAGCCTTCTTTTTGAATCTATTCATTACTGAGAACTGCTTGAGCCTTGGCCTCACTATATCTCCTAATGGAACGTTTGGAGCTTTCTTTGCATTGTGTAACCAAGGATGTTCTGTAATCACAAACGGCAAAACAAAATTTAGTTAGCCTATTTCACAGAATACAACTTATGTTGCAGAGTTATTCAATCTTGTGGCAGCATAGACATGACACACTGGTAACTTTAAAAATTAGGTTCCTCTAGTTTGGTCAAGGACTGAAAACATTCTCAAACCTTGGCCTAGAACTCTAAATCAAATAGGAACTACAATGGCAAAGAAGCAGAGTAAATCAGGTTAAATTGATTTTGCTTCGAAGGACATATTTTAGGTGTGCTGCTCACTTGAATTTCTACTATTGGACCCATCAGACTAAAAATAAGTTTTTTTCATAAGGAGATCAAAGAGGTGTTTAAAATTCACCCCCGGTCCAGCCAATTTGCCTATCTAAATCCAACTAGTTTTCATATCCTTAGTAATGCCAAGCCCATAAGAACCTATAAGTACAGGTTTTCATTATCCAGCAAACTTACAGTATTTACCATTTCTTCTCTTTTTTGTTTTTTGATGAATAAGAATTTTTTCGATCAAAATATCATACAAAGCAGTAAAACTCAACTGAAACTGGACTATAAAAACATCAGGTCCTCTGTCTTATCCCGAATTTCACCCTTATTCACAGTTATATATAATGCAAAAACGAGTGCTCCCCATTATGATATCTGGACCCTCCATGTATGGTTACTATGTTGCTACATTGCTTTCATCAATGATTTCACTTGTTTTATTTGACTTCATGTATTGCATAGTAGGTCTGAGTTGTTTGATGTTTACTAAGGAATTGTGAAAACGAATGTAATGCAATGTTCATGTAACATCAAAATACTTCACTAAGATTCAAATAATGCCATGGAATATAGACTCCAAAGTTTCCAGGTTTCTAAAACAAAGGAGATGAGTGCATAATCCATCACCAATCAACGCTGTGCTATTGCTATCAAAATGCTACTAACTACTATGCAACTCACTTCAAATGGCATCAAGTTAAGATTCAGTGAGAAACACTGCTGAATGCTTACCAAGCACCTGTTGAGCAGTCAAGCGTTTTCTAGGATCCGGCTCCAGCATCTGCCGAACAAGGCTTTTAGCACTCTCCGAAATCTGAGGCCAGGGTTCCCTCTTGAAATCAATCACCCCCCTCAAGATTGCAAGAGCCACACCCTGTTCAGATTCTGTTGCAAAAATTTCACACAAAGAAAACCAATGTTACAATCCCAAACTAAAATCAAACCCACCCAGTTAATGGAAAACAAACAGGGTTTCAAAAAGATTGGAGAGCTAGTTTTACTACAATACCTGCCCAGAATGGAGGAACCCCACACAACAAAATGTAAAGAATTACACCGGCGCTCCATATATCGACCTCGGGTCCATAATTCCTCTTCAAAACCTCTGGGGCCATGTAGTACGGACTCCCCACAATCTCCATAAACCTCTCCCCTAAACCCACACACCCAAAATTAAAATCCATCAAAACAACAATTTCAAAAACAAAATACAAGCTCAAGGACAAAAAGAAAACCAGAAAACCCAAAAAACCAGATAGAAATCACCAAATTCAACACAAACCCAGAAGCATACCAGGCTTGAAAAACACAGAGAGCCCAAAATCGATGGCCTTAAGGGGCGAGTGCTCTTTCTTGTTAGAGAACAAAAAGTTCTCAGGCTTCAAGTCTCTGTGCATAACCCCATTGGCATGGCACATCCTCACCACCTCCGCTACAGTCCTGGCCACGTTGGCCGCAGCTCGCTCACTGTAATGTCCTCTGGCCACAATCCTATCAAACAGCTCGCCGCCTTCGCAGAGCTCCATAACCAAGTGGACGTTCTCGTTGTCCTCGTAAGTCGCCTTCAGCTTCACTATGTTCGGGTGCTCCGGCAACGTCGACATTATCGCCACCTCCCGCCTCACATCCTCTATATCCACCTGAACAAAACAAACCCAAAATTACAAAAACAAGCAAAAGAAACGACATGTCGTTTTCTCATTTCAGCTTCTGTACCGCGGTTCTGAGCTTGCGTTTGGATATGGACTTGCAGGCCAGGGCCTGCTTCGTCTCGCGGTCCGTACACAGATAAGTGATGCCGAACTCGCCCCGACCCAGCTCGCGACCCAGTATGTACTTGTCGCCGATCCGGGTCCGGTGACCGAGCGGGATCACATCCTTTAGAACTCGGATCGGAGCAGGGGACCGGATCGGGTCGTCGGAGAACGGGTTGGACCGTCGCTCTCCGGTCTTCTTCTTGTTTTTGTCGCGGTTGTTGGAACTTTTGTCGTCGACGACGTCCGCTCTCAAGCAAACGTTGCAGTTCCCCATGGCTGTAAAAGCCTCAGCTTGCTAACTTCTTCGTCTTCCTCCCCCTCCTCCTCCTTCTTCTTCTTCAGCTCAAAAGCACACACAGAGACCAGTTTCACAGAGCAGAAAAGAACAAAGAACAACCTCTATGAGGTTGCTCCTTCTGCCTTTATACCAAAACGGGCCGTTTTGGGCTGCTGGTGGTCGTGGTGGTGCCGCCGGTTGTGCGTGACAGATGTGAAAGAAGGAGAGAGAACGCGCGCTGATCAGCTGAGAGACCCCAAAAAAACTGAAAAATGAAACTTTTTGAAAAGGGAAAAACATAAATTAACAACCTTTTTATTTGGATTTAATCAATTAATCCTCTGTGTGGAAATTAGGGAGCTCGGGTTGAGTTTCTCATATGCTTTGTTCGTCGGTCAGTCGAATTTTTGTCATTTTTAGTCTAGTACATGATCGTGAGAGCAATTGGATGGGGATCTAGTGCTGGAGGGAACATATTAGATTGTGGTGGTGCTCCAAAAAATTTCGACAATCGCCTCATTGCTTTGACCAACTCGCTTATCTCACTTATATTTGTGAATAATTTTTAAAGGAATCGACTCACTGCTTTGACCAACTCGCCTATCGCTCATATATTTGTGAACAATTTTTAATGGCAACAAAGTTCTAATCTTGGTTTTGATTGGGGTTTAGGATAAAAAGGTCAGCTTTAAGCTTGGATCTTTTAGCTACCAACCACTTTGCATGATTGGCTTTTGAATTATAATATTTTAAGAAATAAAAAATGGCTTAAAGGCACCAAATAATCTCAGCCGTTGATGTGAGGCTTTTGGATTGGTGTATAATGTGGAGGGCTCGAATCCGATGGACATTAGTTGTTGTAGTAGGTTCACCGGTGGACAAGTTATAGTCTTTGCATGACTACGAGCGTTTGACTTGGTCAGCGGTGCATTGTAATTGTCTGGAACCAAAAATTAAAATTGGTATTAGCCTAATTAAAAACGATTAGCCCTTCTCTTCGTTACAATTGGCGCACTTAGGTTGCGCCGCATATACATATTACGGTCTTCTAAATCAATATTTAAATTGAATAAAGAATTACATGTGCTTGCTTCACTAATTTTCATGTTCACGAAAAAAAAAAAAAAAAAAAAAAAAAAAAATTCCATCGTTTGAAGCTCTTTGAACTGCCATGTAGTCGATTAAATTATTGTTATGGATTATAAAACAATGAGACTAAACCATGCCGGCCCTCCTCGGTCCATATGTAACAAATTTATTTGCCGACCTTAAATTACGGAATTTTTATATATCAACCGTTGAGAATAATGTGGTGTAAGCTAATTGCTATTAGAATTTTTCTTCACAAATTATGGATAACGTTATGCTTTATTTTTCTCCATTAGGGTTTGGTTGTGCAACTAAACATAAATGTGGTTAAATACAAAACAAAAAAGTATTTAGGGGATAAATTTAAAATAAATAAATAAAAAAGGAGAGGGATATGCATGGCCGGAAATGGCAAAAGGGAGAAGAGGTGTGGAAATAACAAGGTGGTGGTGGGTGACTTGGTCAACAGAAGAGAAGTCCATGAAAGCTCACAGATGTGGAAAATTTAAGATTCGAGGATGAAAGTCAATAAAATGATGGCTTACACATTTCTTTACAAAAAGCCACTGCTGGGTGTGATGTTGGTTTTTCCTTCTTTCCAAACAAGCCCTTTCTTTTACCTGAAAGAAAATGAACAGGTGAAAAGCAGTTCAGGTGAAAGCCAATTAAATCACTTTTTTTCCAAGTAAAAAACAAAATTAAGTGATTAAATAAAAAGTGTTTTAACTTTTACTTGAACCAATCCTTTTGAATGCAGTACCACTTAATTAGTTGGGGAGGGGATTGTTGGGTGGAAATGTAATGTAAGACTTGAATTATACGCATGGCTCCCCAGATCCCGAGTTTCTTTGATGTTGATCCATGAACATTATCATCACTACTATTAATTCCAGCTACAAAGACAAAACTGTGTTGAAATTGACTTGTGCTTTCATATTATAGTCAAGGGTTCCACTTCCACCTACAGTGACCTAGGACTTTTTCAGGGAAATGACAATATTTGAAATATCTGTTTTTTTAAATAAATTAAAAAACGAAAGCATTTAGTCGAACACATAGTAGGCACCAACAAAGGGTAGATTCCGGCCTCTCCAAGAGATTTTCGTGCAAGGGTCTTCAGGTTAAATATTTAACATATTATATTGTTAGATTAGATCAAATCATCATAAGATCAATGGTCCATATTAAGTAATGATGGTGTTCAATTACATAACATACTCGATTAGATGATCCAACATATAACCCAACATAGGTAGCTTTATATCGTTTCCAAGATTATACGTGTGTGGGAAGAAAAGGAAAAGGTGTTTGACTTATTTCCCATTTTGTGGGCCATTTTTGTTCCACAATCAAAAAGCATCTGTCATATAACTGCAGGTATATTTGATTACCATTAGTTAATATGCATAATATGTGTACTAATCTTGTGGAAAATATATTTACATACAAAAAGTCTTTTCTCTTTTGCTACACGCAAAAGTTAAACACATTATATAATATGTTCGTTATCTCATAATTCTAATTGATTAATCTCTTTACTTAATCCCTACTAATGGGACCCTCATGAAGGGGCTTTTTTGTAAAAAAATTATCATAACAATTTTTGCTGTATCCAATCAATAACATGACACGTGAGCTAATTTTTTCACGTGTCATTGTGTTATTCAGGAGCGGAGCTATTAACAAGCTTGAGATGACCTGGCCCCCACTACCATCTCGGCCCCCACTACCAACTTCTCACCTCGTTGACTATATAGAGAGTATAGGCATAGATTACACAAAAAATCTCATAATTTTAAGCTTGTGCCCCCTTCAAACATCAAATTCTACCTCTGCCATTGATGTTATTGGTCAGGATAACAAAATAGTTCTACCCTCGTTACAAGAATTTTTTTTGACTTTTTCGCACCCTCCTCCTCCAGCTATAGGCACCTAACAATAGGGCTACCTAGGGCAACACTTTTTGAAATTAAAATACAAAAGGGAGCTGAAAAAGTTTATAATATTATACTTTATGCAGAAGGCGTGGGGGGGTGAGCTGGGAATAGGAAAACATGCTTTTCTTGAACCCATCACCAAACATAATCATTCCATCAACAATCAAACAGAGCCTTTCATTCTCTTTTTTCACTCGCAAATACTATTCAATTCAATAAAGTTGTCTACGTGCATGAGGGGAAGAAAGCCTTTCCACCTTTACTCATTACCTATAAGCTCTGGCCTTCTAGCAAGCCCTTTCCTTTTTTCCCTCTCCTCCCTCACATCACATGAGGATTATGTAGCTGTTGATTCCGTTGTAAACTTCTAATCTCTCACATGGTGGTGATAAAGCCTAACCTAATGCCGATCACGGGTTTGTTATGTTGACGACATACAACCCGCTATGGTTTGCTGGATGGGCGAGAGTATGAATGGAATTGAGACCCGAAACTTGAATGCAAAAGAGTGAACTTATTGACTAATCGGCCTCACTCATGTTTGCATCGAGAGGAGACTAGTTTTCTCCACTTCAGTCATATAATCCAACCCATCAACAACAAAAATAGAAAAATGAGTTTAGTAAACTATTATGGGTCTTGTCTCAAAATTTTAATATGGGCCTACTATATGATTTGCAGAGAGGCCCACGCCGATGTCAAGACTGAAGCTAAGGCCCAAGGCTGTGCCAAGGTCATAAAATCAGATCAGCAACGGAAAATAGATGAGGGACCCATATCCGTTTGTAATTACCGGAGTAATTACAGCAGCTAAATTTGGGAAAGTAACGTAAATTACCCATTTGACCAAGATTTTTGGCTTGAGCAACAAGGAAGATTTTGATACTTTCCAACATAAAAACAAAGAACATTTGACTGTAACCGGTAAACAAAACAAACGTATGCGTCTTTGACCGCCGGTTGTCGACTTGTCGTCTGATGAGTAATGCTACTGTGCAGCCTCTGCATCATCTTTCCAGTTACAGTTGCACCACCATAACCGTTGGATCACCCAAATTTTATGAATCAGTTGCATGATTTTTGTAGAATGCCAATAACAAACTTCCTTTATATATATATATATATATATATTAGAATTAGCAATGGATACATTGCATTGGGAGGGGGCACTTATCTTAGGATTCAAACAGGTGACCAAAGGGGGACGGGGGAGGGACCTCACCACTGAGGTAAACCCCTCGGTCAACTTCCTTTATATTTTTAAATGACTATTTGAGAACTAGTGGTAATTAAGGAAGCGAATGCATAAGTTTTTACCAATCACGGGAAAATATTGATAATTGAATGTGAAAATTGAAGGGGAAAATAATGAAGTTTTATTCAATTGTATATTTGAATTTATATTATTCGAGATATTAGTCGGTGTGGTTGTAACACAACGTGGTACTCCATGCAGTGTTATAAGTTCAATCAAATTATAAAATATATAACAATTATTAATTTATTTTTCAACTATAAAATCATCTTTATAAGTTTTTACTTTTTGATAACATAACTTAGCCATTACAAAAACAGATGTATTTTATTTTTTCTTCTTCCGCATTTTATTCTATGGACCTTCATCATCAATGCATTTTATTCCCAAAAAGAAATTTGACTAAAACAAGGAAAAATATTTATTTGTTTCCTTTTCTTTTTTCTCATTGCTGCAAAAGTTGACCGATCTTATTTTCTCCTTTTGTATACTTAAATAAATTTGAATTAAATATAAGCAAGCATAAGAATGGGTGACAAGAGCCGCACCGGATCATTCCCAAAACATCAAAATCTCTATAGTTCTGAACCGAGAAATCTGTAGAAGGGGTTTTGATCAGAACCTTCTACGAGTCACGTGCGAACTATGAAGGTCTTGACACGTGTCCAAAAAGCGGTAGTACACGTAAGGAGAAATAGAAAGTAGGGCGAAGAGCAAAAACAAACAGCTGATTTTCTAGCCCTTCATCTCCCAACTTGGTTGGAAAAAGAAAAAAAAAAGCTCGAGTCTTGACGGCAGAGAGAGCAGAGCCGCCGCCCCTCTCTCTCTACCATCTTCATCTCTTTAAACACTCGTCAACAACCCAGAAGGCCGTTCACCATTGTAGGTGCCTCTCTCTCTCTCTCTCTCTATATATATATATGTATGAGTTTTTTCAGTCTTCTTGTTCACTGGCATGTTCTGTTTTTCTCTGTAAGAACTATTTGTATATAGGATGAATGGTAAGTGGTTTTTCCTTTGAATATGGTGATTGAGGACATGGGTCGGTTGGAAAACTCTTAGATGTGGCAAAAATTGATTCTTTTTCTATACGCGTGGCTTTTTGTTTTGTTTGACATGAGAAGGTGGTTTTGCGGGTTTGAAAGTTTCAATCTTTATGTTCATGTGTGTGTGGAAAGGTAGAAATTCCATTGTAGAATGTAGATTGAAGGTTGTGGATCATTTATAAGTTTTGATGTGTTCCTTTGTCAATAAAGATAAATAAAACAGAGAAATCCTAACACTAAGAAACTGTTAATGAAAGATCGTAGATAAAAGTGTAAGTGTAGACTCAATTAATATAATAGTTACAGAAATGAACAGTTAAGACATTGGCTTCTTACCAGTAGAAGGTGAAAACGAATGAGCAACTTGATTTATTTCAAGAGAGATGCTAGCTGTCATTGCAGAGAAAATCTTTGCAAGAAGGGGTGCTGCTGTTATTTCGGTTTGACTCTTTCTTAATGTCTGTTTAGGTACTTTTGGATATGAAGATTTGTTGTGGTTTTGTAAATACGATTGAAGAAGAGTTTTTTGGGATCAAAGTAAACACGAGCCAATGATATTGGGATCACCAGGCAGAATGTTATATGCTGCAACCTCGATTTGGGATTACTGAGCACTTTGAGGATTTCAAGACAGTTGTTAACAAATTGATAAATGAAGTCTGATTGTATTATGGAGAATGCGTATTTAAGGAGTTCAATTCTCATTGAGGGGAATGCATAATATTTTCCCTGTGGAGCAGTTACTCTTATCTTGGGACGTGTATCCAGGTATTAAGAGTTAGGATAATCTATTTATAGTGTTGATGTAACTTTGATGCGATAACTTTCTGACTTGTAACTGACTGCCTGCCACTAGCATTTTGAGATGTTAGAAATATTCCTATGTTGGTTTACATTTTGCTAATCACTATCCTTTTCTTTTTGTGCAGGTGATACTGTGTCTGTAAATTATGTTGCGAGCAAAGCACATAAGTAATCTTTCAAGCAGTGCGAGGTCATTTTTCCTTAATGGGCCACGATGTAGTGCAACAGAAGGAAGTTCATGCACTTGCTCTGAAGATGAAACTTGTGTTTCGCAAAGGCAGCAAACAAGAAATGGAGGGCTACTTGCCCAAACTCCATCCCCCATGGTATCCAAACCTTCAGCAGGGGCAGGAACCATCATCACGGGAGATGCAGTAAAAGTGGCAAGTTCTCATAAAGCTGAGGGTGTTGAGCACACAACTAATATTAAACAGGTTACAACTGCCCCAAGATCTTTTGGGAGATCGGAGACTGTAACTTATTCTAATTGCACGGATGCGGTACACTCATCACCTCTTGTTGTAGACCAGTTTGCTAGGGCTGGAGTTGCAGCTGTAAATTTTCTGTCTGATATAGTAAATGGTAAGCTTCCTTTATCAGATGGGCTTGGATTGCTTAACTTGCCACAGAACTGTATGGTTGATCCCACAAGGCCCCTCTCCGGTATCAAGCCCTCGCATGTGAAACAAATAAAAGAGAGCATTTCATTAGTGTTCATCCAAAACCATCTACTGAGACAGCAGCTGCATCAAAGCATACAAGTAATAATCATGGTTCAAAGGGCAAAGGAGAGAAACCCAGTTTGGTTAAAGGTCTAAATCATGTTCCATACACTAGGACGGAAAACTCAGTGGTGGCTCACACTGCATCTTCTGACACTTTTGGTAAAAGGTCTATGCCACGGAAATCAAAAGGGCATTCAAACAACTTCATTCCAAATTACAGTTCCAAAGTGCAGACTTCTGATGCAGAGAGTATGGGTCGTGTCACCAAAGGTTTCAATAGACCCACAAGAGATATGAAAATGCCAACAGGGATAGCTCCAATCAACAGACAGTTTGTGCATACTGGGAGTGTTGTTCAAAATGTTTCTCACATACTGCAACAGATGAGATGGGGTCCTGCTGCAGAGGCGGCTCTTGTAAATCTCAACTGTTCAATGGATGCATATCAAGCAAACCAAATCTTAAAGCAACTTCAAGATCATTCTGTTGCTCTGAGCTTTTTTTATTGGCTAAAGAGGCAGGCAGGATTCAAGCATGATGGGCACACTTATACCACCATGGTTGGCATCCTTGGTCGTTCCAGGCAGTTTGGTGCCATTAACAAATTGCTTGATCAGATGGTGAAAGAAGGATGCCAGCCAAATGTTGTGACATATAACCGGCTGATTCATAGTTATGGTCGTGCAAACTATTTGAAAGAAGCAATGAATGTGTTCAACCAAATGCAAGAAGCAGGGTGTGAACCTGACCGTGTCACCTACTGCACACTAATTGACATCCATGCAAAAGCTGGGTTTCTTGATGTTGCCCTACGACTGTATGATGGGATGCAAGAGGCTGGTCTTTCTCCTGACACATTCACTTACAGTGTAATGATCAACTGTCTTGGAAAAGCTGGCCATTTAGCTGCTGCTCACCGTCTGTTCTGTGAGATGGTTAATCAGGGTTGTGTTCCTAATTTGGTCACGTATAATATCATGATAGCTTTGCAGGCCAAAGCAAGGAATTATGAGACTGCTTTAAAGCTCTACCGTGACATGCAAGGTGCTGGATTTGAACCAGATAAAGTAACTTATAGCATAGTAATGGAGGTGCTTGGCCATTGTGGGTATCTTGAGGAAGCAGAGGCGATTTTTGGTGAAATGAAACGGAAGAACTGGGTACCTGATGAACCTGTTTATGGTCTTTTGGTAGATTTGTGGGGTAAGGCAGGTAACGTCGGAAAAGCCTGGAATTGGTATCAAGCAATGCTCCATGCGGGTTTACGGCCTAATGTTCCTACTTGCAATTCTCTGCTCAGTGCTTTTCTTAGGGTGCACCAGCTGTCTGATGCTTATAACTTGCTACAGAGCATGATGGGTTTAGGTCTGAACCCTTCTCTGCAGACATATACCTTGCTTCTCAGTTGTTGCACAGAAGCACGGTCACCATATGACATGGACTTTTGTTGTGAGCTTATGGCCGTTACAGGCCATCCTGCACACACATTCCTACTGTCTATGCCATCAGCGGGACCTGATGGTCAAAATGTGCGAGAGCACATGAGCAGGTTCTTGGATCTGATGCATAGCGAGGATAGAGAAAGCAAGAGGGGGCTTGTAGATGCAGTAGTGGATTTTCTTCACAAGTCAGGGCTAAAGGAGGAGGCTGGTTCAGTCTGGGAGGTGGCTGCACAAAAGAATGTTTATCCGGATGCCATTAAAGAGAAAAGCTCATGTTATTGGCTTATAAACCTGCATGTTATGTCTGATGGTACTGCCGTGACAGCGCTATCCAGGACACTTGCTTGGTTTCGCCAACAAATGCTAATATCTGGGATTTGTCCAAGCCGAATTGATATTGTCACTGGATGGGGCCGGCGGAGCAGGGTGACAGGATCTTCTTTGGTGAGGCAGGCAGTGGAAGAACTACTTAATATGTTTAGCTTTCCATTCTTCACTGAAAATGGCAATTCTGGGTGTTTTGTAGGATGTGGGGAGCCTCTTAATAAATGGTTGCTCCAATCTTATGTGGAGCGAATGCATTTATTGTAAGTTGGTAATGCTTCCTTTCTGTCATTGCCGCATGATTTTTGTTCTTTCTCGGCGGGAAAGATGAGCAGATTTGGTGTTGATTAGTGCCTTTATGTATCATGAAGACTATGTATTTGAAGACTATGTATTTATGCTGTTCTCATGTCATGTGCAGCTATTTCTAGATAAATGAATAAGTTCTATTTTCACCAGTAGCAGAACCCTGATTATGGATTTTATTCAAGTTTTAAAACAGGATATACAGCAGAGCTAGCAGAAATACAGGTTTGGCTTGGTGATATTCAGTTGCAGCAAGCCATTAATCGTTCATCTATTACCTCTTGGTTTCAAAATAATAGTCTTGGTTTGAATATCCAGGCAGAAGACTAATCCTGGGTTGTGTTTTATTATTGTTCTACATCATCAACTCCACCAAATACAACTGCCCATCCAACAGACAAATTAGTTGAAAATGTGGAATTATTCCCCCAACTTTTGAAGTGTAAGTAGTTGAGATTGACTATTAAGTTGGTGTGCTTCTGTTCTCTCTTTTTATTCTTTGGGCTCAAAGTTGGTGTGGCTGATTCTGTCAGAATAAGAAAAGAAAATAATAAAAAAATTGGTGGGTTGAATGTCGAGAACCTCTGCAGGGCTTAAGGCTCAAAGTGCATTTCATTTCTTGGCAATATCTTAATTATATGTTGTAGTTGGTGCATGCTTTTATTGAACTACAATTTGATTGGTGTAAAACCTGTAAACTGGAAAACAAACAACTAGGAGATGGATGACATAATAATGTAGCAGAATCAGCTTTTGGGATTAGGGGGAATTATTTCAGCTGGTTGTTGCAGGCTGTGGCTCTCTACTCTTATAACTGCTTTCTTTGTTAACCTGTCTACCTTCTTGTTATACATCATGTTGCTCCATATAAAGCAAACTCTGTATCTTCAATTCTTTTTTTTTTCCTCCGGATCTAGTCCGCAAATGTTTGTCCGTGTGTCTGTTTCTTCTAATTCGAGTTCAAATCACTCTCCTCGTAAATTATTCTTCTGTTTCTTCTAATTCGAGCTGATTTAAAATATCAACTTATGAAAAAGAAAAAAAAAAAAGTGTACATGATTCTAATAAGATTGAGACTAATTTTTTATTTGTTGTTTGATTTGTTTCTTTTTGGGCTTATATTATTAAAATAAGTAATCGCATTCCATTAATTTACTTTTAACCCAAAAGAAAAATGGGGATATTAAAAAAAAAGGTAGGTAGAGGATTTGAAGATGATACTTCTTTCAACAAAAGAGAAATACTTGTTAATCAAAATTTTTTATTTCTCACCAATTTCTATTGTTTTATTTTAAAAATCAGAATCATACTTTGATCATGAATTCCAGACAAAGTTTACATGTATCAGTTGTGAATTGATTTATCTTTGAAATTCAAATCCTCAAAGACCTCAAACTCGGGAAGATTCTGATGCAACAAAAAGGAAAAACAAAAATCAAATTCCACTATTTTTGTTGTTGTCAATTATTGCATATCTTTTATTATCTTGGGGAAAGTAAAACTTTTCTTTTCAAAAAAGGAAAATCCTTCTCAAAGAAAACCATAGACATTGCCTTACCCCCTACTAACTTACTTTTATTTTCTTTATCAACCAAACTAAGTGTCCATTTGGCGTTGCTTATTTGGGGAAATAAGTGATTTTAAAATTTTTTGGGAATTCCAGCCTGTTTTGTAAACTATGAGAAAATCAATTATTATTAAAAATTGCTGTGAGAGAAAGTTATGAAGAAAGCAGCTAATGAGGTGCTTTCATTTTCTGATTATGCATGAATCAGTTTCGAAAAGGAGCTGTGTTTAATTATTATGTGGCAATCATTTTTTGATTATGTGAGAATCAGTAACAACAATACTTTTAACAAAAAGTTTACCAAACAACACAACAATATCAAATTGGCCTTAATGCAATTTAAAACATAATCTAAAACCAAAAAACCTTAATTAAAAACATTTTCAGGTATTTGATTAATGGCTCGTTAGAGTATGATTTTGGATAAGTCAATAATCACTTTTTCAAATAATCACTTTTAAGTGAATTTAAGTGATTTTATGGGGAAGCACATTAGAGATGCTTCTCTCTAGAATTACTAAATTTTAGTGATTTTCTGGAGAATCACATGAGAGGTACTTCTTTCATAATCACTCTCAAACGAGCCCTAAACCTTATTGTGCTTTTTAGCTTAATTATTTAATTCCTCCTCAAACACCCCAAGACCCTGTTCCATGGGCACTGGTACTAGTAGTATTAGGTAGTGTGTCTGTCTGTCTGTCTGTCTGTCTCTCCCTCTCCACCTCTCTGGATATCATCTCCGATCACTAATCGCCTCCGTGCCCTTGTAAAATTCCAATTATACCCCCAACATCGTCCCCCCAGTAAGTACCCCTCTCTCTCTCTCTCTCTCTCTCTCTCTCTCAAACTTTCTCCCTCTATACGTACACACACATATATGATAGACATAAAGATAATATACATAAAATTTTATATATATGCATGTGAGTTGGATTGATAGAGAGTTGATATATGGGGCATAAGAAGCGAAACGCGGCTCCGAGACCCAAACAGTCGCCGACGGCGGTGCAGCCACTAGCGGGGGAGGGAGACGCCGTCGTTTCGGTCCGAGCCGATACTACTCTCGCTCTGGTCGAAGCCGACTCGAATGATGCCCTATCGATTAAGATCGAATCCTCGCCGCCGATCGAATCGGACGGCTCGTCTTACTCGGCGGCGAAGCTCGAATGCGAGCGGGCCCTTACGGCTCTGCGGCGCGGGAACCACACCAAGGCCTTGCGGCTCATGAAGGAGTCGTGCCAGCGCTACGAGAACTCGGCTCACTCGGCTCTGATTCACCGAGTCCAGGGCACTGTGTGCGTCAAGGTCGCTGCGATTATCGACGACCCCAATGCGAAGCAGCGGCATTTGAGGAACGCGATCGACTCCGCGCGCAGAGCCGTTGAGCTGTCGCCGAACTCGATCGAGTTCTCGCACTTCTACGCCAATTTGCTCTACGAGGCCGCCAACGACGGGAAAGAGTATGAGGAAGTGGTGACCGAGTGTGAGCGAGCGCTGGCGATCGAGAAGCCCGTCGATCCTGCGAAGGAGAGTTTGCAGGAGGAGAGCCAGCAGAAGATATCGACGACGGAGGCACGGATTGGGCACGTGCATAATGAGCTGAGGCAGCTGATTCAGAAGTCGAATATCGCCTCAATCTCGACTTGGATGAAGAATTTGGGCAACGGGGAAGAGAAGTTTCGGTTAATTCCAATTCGGAGGGTCACTGAGGACCCAATGGAGGTGAGGTTGGTGCAAACCAGGCGGCCAAATGAGATTAAAAAGGCGACCAAGACGCCGGAGGAGAGAAGGAAAGAGATTGAAGTTCGTGTAGCAGCTGCGAGGCTTTTGCAGCAGAAGTCTGAGGTGCCCCAATTGGGGAATGATGGTGAGAAGAGTGATAGGGGATTGGATTCGTCCTCCGGGTCTAGCCAGAGAGGTAGTGAGCGAAGGAAGTTTGGGAATTTGAGGAAAAATGGGTCCTCTGCGGAGAGGAAAGATTGGGTTAGGTCGTATTGGAAATCAATGAGTATTGATATGAAGAAAGAGTTACTTAGGATTAGAGTTAGTGATCTTAAGGCAAAGTTTAGTTCGTCTAAGGATGGTTTGGCAAATGAGGTTTTATCCGAAGCGTTGGCATTTGCGGAGAGTAATAGGAGTTGGAAGTTCTGGGTTTGTTGTAGATGTAATGAGAAGTTCGTGGATTCTGAGTCCCATATGCACCATGTTGTGCAAGAGCATATGGGAAATCTTATGCCGAAAATGCAGTCAGTTTTGCCTCAAAATGTTGACAATGAATGGATTGAGATGCTGCTTAATTGTTCTTGGAAACCATTGGATGTGTCGGCCGCAGTTGGAATGCTTAGGGATCAAAGAAAATGCAAGGACCCTGAGGTTGTTGAGGATTTCTACTCGGGGATTCATACCAAGGACTGTGATGAGTGCTTCAAAGATGCGTGGGATTCTTCACCTGAGAAGGAAGTTCTGGGGGACAGTCCTAGTGACTCTACTATTGAGGGCAATAACCAAGAGAAAATTGCCCATGTTGAGTTTGGAGAATGTGAGGACAATGGGTCGATTGCTTATTCTTCTGTTGCTAATGGTTGGCCAATATCTGATGATTCGGAGCGCACAAAGCTACTTGAAAGAATTCATGCCTCATTTGAGGTGCTTATCAGGCACAAGTATCTTGCTGCAAGCCATCTTAACAGGGTGATACAATTTACAATGGATGAGCTCCAGGCTTCTGGTTCTCAGCTTCTTAACCATGGTGTGGAGCAAACACCTATGTGCATTTGCTTTTTAGGAGCTAACCAACTCAGGAAAATCCTCAAATTCTTGCAGGACTTGTCCCATGCTTGTGGTTTAGGTAGATATTCTGAGAAAAGTAGCAGTCCTATGGATGATGTGAATAACACGAATCAGGGTGTGGAGATTAAAGAAAGGATTGTTCTCAACGGAGATGCATCCTGCCTCCTTTTGGATGAGTGTCTATTGTCATCTGAATGTACATGTGGTGCTGGTCATCATACTGTCACTGATGCTGCTCCTGCTGCTGTTGGTAATGGAAATGGTGTTCTTCCTGATTCCGATGCTCTGCTGTCCTGGATATTTGCAGGTCCAACTAGTGGGGAACAATTGACATCATGGGTACGTACGAAAGAAGAGAAAACACAACAAGGGATGGAAATCCTTCAGATGCTTGAAAAGGAGTTTTACCACCTGCAGTCACTTTGTGAGAGAAAATGTGAGCATTTGAGCTATGAAGAAGCATTACAGGCAGTGGAAGATCTTTGTGTTGAAGAAGGTAAGAAGAGGGAAAATGTCTCGGACTTTTCCCATCGAAGCTTTGAATCTGTTCTAAGGAAGAGAAGAGAAGAGCTTCTTGAGAGAGAGAATGATGTGATGTTCCTCAGCAGTAGGATTGAGTTAGATGCCATATCAAATGTTTTAAAAGAATCTGAACACCTAAATATTAATCAGTTCGGATATGAGGAAACTTATGGCGGTGTGACTTCTCAGTTATGTGACTTGGAATCTGGGGAAGATGATGATTGGAGAGCCAAGGATTATGTGCATCAGGTGGACACTTGTGTAGAAGTTGCAATCCAGAGACAGAAAGAACAGTTATATGTAGAGGTCAGTTGGTAGATTCTAAATTGGCTTACCTTTTGCTTGAAATAATGATATAGATTGTTGTCATTTTACCTCAGTTGTTTTGTCATGCAGCTTAGCACAATAGATGCAAGGATTATGCGAAATGTTACTGGAATGCAGCAATTAGAAATTAAGCTTGAACCTGTTTCTGCTCATGATTATCGGTCGATACTGTTGCCTCTAGTGAAGTCATACCTGCGGGTATATATTAAACAAGTTGAATTTTTGTGCCACATTTAGTGTTTCTGAATTTAACCGTATGTATTCTTGTTTTTCTCTACCTATAGGCACATTTGGAGGATCTGGCTGAGAGAGATGCCACAGAAAAGTCTGATGCTGCAAGAGAAGCATTTTTGGCAGAACTTGCACTTGATTCTAAGAAAGCTGTCAGAGGAGGAAATGATAGTTTGCGACATACGCAGGAGAAAACCAAGGATAAGAAGAAGAACAAGGAGTATAGGAAAGCAAAAGATTCTAAGGTTTTAATTGTGTTTTCTGGTTGTCATTTTCTTTGTAGTGGTCAATATATAGGTTACAAATTCATTAGGATATCCTGATACCCAACCTTCTTTTTTCACATCTGCAGGTTAATGGTGTTTTGGACGAGCACATGCATCACGATGAGACTTCTGAACTGTAAGTCTCCTTTCTCCTAATATGCACACTCGTGTTGACTCTATCCTATAAAGCTATCCATTCGTTATGATTGCTTACGCTGGATATAGTTTATTTCTAATGTTCATTTGATGTGTTTCTTGGTGCAGTTCGTTTCCAGTTGTATCTGATGGTGACCTTCTGGATTCTGAGATTATTGTTTCTGTTAATGGCAATGACTTGAAACAACTGGAAGAGGAATCTAAACGAAGAATTGAACTTGAAGCAGAGGAAAGAAAGCTTGAAGAAACTTTAGAATATCAAAGACAAATTGAGAAGGAAGCTAAGCAGAAGCACCTTGCTGAGCAAAGTAAGAAATCTACTCATATGCATGCAGAGAAGGTGGCAGAGGGGACCCATGATGTTAAATTGGAGCCTTGTGCTAATGAAGATGTGCATGAGCGATTTAAGCTTTCTGTGCAGGTAATCACTGTTAGGTTGTGCCTGTTCGTATGTGTTTTCTTCTCTCTAGATTTATTTCCATCAATATTTTGTACATCAAACTGGATACTGAAGATATTTGAAGAGGAGTTCCATGCTGTCTAATTTAGAGGATATTTATAAAAGTAATAAACTTCATGAAAGTGTACTTTCCAGGAGCCATTGGCACAGAAGACTGGATTCCCCAACAATGTAGAAGGCATTCCTGTTAAGATGGCAAATGGTTCTGCAGCGCCAGTAAAATCTTCTATTGTTGGTGTTCAAATGATTAGTGGTGCACATCAAGCTAAAGTTAACCAAGGTTGGTGTAGGATTCCTTGGATGAGGCTGGGGTTAATTTAATAATAGGAGATGTTTTCATTGTGTATCTTATTGAACAGGCCTACCTAATGGAGGAATTCTAGAGGAGGATGGTTATTTGCTTTCTGATCGAAGAACAGTAAGGAAAAATCGAAGGCAGAGGAGTTCCACAAAGGTGCCTGATGGAAAGTCTCAAGCCCTGGCATCTGAAAAGGAAAATGTTGACGTTGGGAGGTCAACTGTTGAGGGTCACTTGAGAGAACAAAGCAGGTCACATGACAGTCTCCTTGCAGACAGCAGTAAGTTTACACATCCTCCGTGAGCATTTTTGTTTGAATAATATAAATGGTGTTTGGGTGCCTTTTATTTTCCTTTTTTTCGGGGGTGGGTGGGGGAGGTGTATTTTTTTTCGTCCATTGTTAATATTCCAGCTGCTGTTTTAGTCAAACTGAATATATGATAGTCTAGAAGAGTGTAAGGCTGGATCTAAACACTTGAGTGTTGATTTTAGCATAGAGCATTTGATAAGCTCCTTTTGGCAGTATGATGGACAGTGTCGACATTAGTTCCTCTGTCATTGTTTGCTTGGTGGCTGGGCAATTTTATCTGCTCATAATCTCATTTATAGTAAATGGAAAATTGTTTTTGGTAATACTTTTACGAAAAGATTTTTCTTATGTTGTATGAATCTCTACTTGGTAATCTCTTTCTACTTGCCTGTCCAAGTGTTCTCTTGTAGTTTATTATAAATTTAGAATTTTATATATACTTAATGATCCTTCCTATGGTCTCATTAGCATGAAGTTCATGCCCTTTTATTTGAACACCCATCTTTATTTTTCAATGTTACTCTCATTCTTTGTTGGCATTTTGCTACAAGATGTGCATTACATGTGTCATCCATTTTTTGGAATTTGGAATTAATATGGTCATGACTTTTGCCAAGTGAAAACCGGTTAATACTGTTTTGGCAGACAACGGAACAAATGAGCTGAGACAGCAACGAGCAGAGGAAGATGATGAAGAAAGGTTCCAAGCTGACCTTAAAAAAGCCGTACGCCAAAGCCTTGGTAAAATTATTCTCTCATTTATTTGGAATTCTCTTTGTTATGTTATTTATGCCTTAATAGACAGGCTTCTGGACTAGTTTAGGCACCGGTCTGTCTATGCTGTGATAAACATGAACTGAGAAATACGCTAAATGCAGTCTATATAGGCACTGGTCTGTCTATTCTCTTTGTCTATGCTGTGATCGACCATTTGAGTCATTAGTCTTATCTATATAATAAATGAGCGTTTAATGCAGTGCAGCCTAGATGTTACGAGACTGATTGAGAAATACGCTAAACCTTGCCAAATTGTATTGCTACTAGCCGTCTCACTAATGCATTTTTCCCAATAAATGAGACTCTGAGCACTTGCTACTATGATGTATGTAGCATGTGCAACTGCCTAACCTTTTTATTCATTTCTCAGACACATTCCAAGAACATCAGAAGTTGCCCATAGTCTCAAATTCGAGGATGCTTAAAAGGATATCTACAGAAGTAGATGGTGGTGCTGTTTTACATAATGACATCACAAATGAAAATGCGAGTGAAACTGATATATTTGGTACAGGTTTAAAGAATGAAGTTGGTGAATACAACTGCTTTCTGAATGTTATTATACAGGTTCGCACTGTCTTATTTATGTTCTTCGTTCAGTTGTCGTATTTCATTTTTCCTGAGCATCTTGCTGATATTGAAACATTGCTTTTTATTTTATCATTTCAGTCCTTGTGGCATATTAGACTATTTCGAGATGAGTTCCTACGAAGATCAACATCAGAGCATGTGCATGTGGGGGATCCTTGTGTTGTCTGTGCATTGTATGAAATCTTCACTGCCTTGAGCAATGCATCTGCAGATATGCGAAGAGAAGCAGTTGCCCCTACTTCTTTGAGAACAGCTTTAAGCAACCTGTATCCAGAAAGTAATTTCTTCCAGGAGGTATTTTTGGAGAACTTGATTGTATCCCTTGCCTCGCAAACGACTTTTATATTTATTCTGAAGTCATCACTGGCTCATAAATTTATCTTTATTTTTAAAGTTGGGACTAATAATAGAAACTTACAGGCTCAGATGAATGATGCTTCTGAAGTTTTGGTGGTGATATTCGAGTGTCTTCACCGAGCATTTACACCTGGTTCAAGTGTTTCTGATGCTGAATCAGTGGAGAGTAGTTGTCCGGGGTCTTGGGATTGTTCAAACAATGCTTGTATAGTGCATTCCATCTTTGGCATGGACATTTTTGAACGAATGAATTGCTACAATTGTAGTTTGGAGTCCAGAAATCTCAAGTACACTTCATTCTTCCATAACATAAATGCAAGTGCTCTCCGAACAATGAAGGTATCACTTTGGAACTTTCGTGATCCTGATGGTTAAGCAACTTATTACTGTTTTTGGCATGTTAACTGATTGCTCCCATTTCTCTTTATCATTCTTTGCTATTCAGGTTATGTGTGCAGAAAGCTCCTATGACGAGCTTTTAAATCTTGTGGAGATGAATCATCAGTTAGCCTGTGATCCCGAGGCTGGTGGCTGTGGGAAGCTCAACTATATCCATCACATTCTCTCAACCCCACCACATGTATTCACAACAGGTGACTTGGAAGAGTTGTGGGGAGAATCTTCAGTTATGTTTGTAAAGAGGAAATTGGATTTCCATTTAAACTAATATATGTATATTTATGTTTGGTCATGCAGTTCTGGGTTGGCAGAAGACCTGCGAGAGTGCTGATGATATAACAGCAACATTGGCAGCTCTTAATACTGAGATAGATATCAGTGTCCTTTATCGTGGCCTGGATCCAAAGAGCACGCATAACTTGGTTTCTGTGGTATGCATATTTAACTAATAACCCTCAATGTTGTTGTCATGCATATATTAGCGTTCTATTTCCCAAACTTTTGTTGCGTATTTTTCCTCTGATTGTGAAATAGGAAAGTTGAGTTTGGTTGAAGGTTGAAGGCTTAACTTTCTTAACCATAAACGTAGGTTTATGCGGCCGTTTGTATTTATTTGTTTTCTATTTGGAGTTGTGAATCTCTGTGATATCTCCAAAATCTTGTCTGATTGAAAACACTCCTTTGTTATCCCTGCATAACTTTTGAATCTCATATTGAATTTGCTTTGACAAGAACTTTATACCGGTATTCTTAATTTGTTGTTACCTCATATCCATTGTTTACTTTCAGGTTTGCTACTATGGTCAACATTATCATTGCTTTGCCTATAGTCATGACCGTGAATGCTGGATTATGTACGATGATAAAACTGTCAAGGTAAATTCACCTCCTAGTCTAAAAATAATGCCTTATTTTGCTCTTCTTTCACCCTTCGTTATAATTTGTGTCTGATGTCTAGGTGATTGGTGGCTGGGCTGATGTTCTTACAATGTGTGAAAAAGGGCATTTGCAACCACAAGTTCTTTTCTTTGAAGCTGTAAACTAGGCTTTTTGTGGATCTCATTACGTTCGTAGACTTCGCAAGAGAGCATTGGTGTTGTAAGTGACTTCACATTAGTTCATCATCTGTGGCGAGGAACCAATCATAGTAATGAATTCCTCTGTACCCTGCCAGTTAGACAGTAAAGTTTCACAACGTCTGAGATGTTTCAGTTGAAGTCCAGAGTTCTGATATAGAATTAACAGTTTTGTGATATAATGAAGAATTTTTGTGGGAGCAACTGGTCCTCGAGGAAGAACCGTGTATCTAGAAGAGAGTTTCAGCATAAGCAGGCAATTGAGGAGCCGAAAAGTGTAAGGTTGTTCTATGTTTACCTCCAATAACTTTTCAACATAACCAGGTCACCTGTTCCTGCAATTTTCCTTTTAAGGTGGATTTGTTGATGATGAAGAAGAAGAAGGCATAACAACTAAGTTGTCTGGCTGTGTTCACATTTAAGGAGCTTATAAACTGCCGTTTTCCATAATGGCATTGATTGCCAGTTGTTTCTCAGAGCATGTAACAGTTGTAACGGGGGAATTATAGGTTTTGCAAATCGAAGTCTTTGTTAGACGTTTTCTATTTGTTATATTATATTTCCCCCAAATTTTGAAAAAAGAGGTTTTGTATGTATAGATAACCCTATTCCCCCACCCCCCCTGGGTCTTCCAACTTCAGCTTAAAGTAAATTTGTTGCTTCATCTTGATACTACGATTGGGTTCAATTAATGAAGATCTTCTATTGCCCTTTCTCCTCCCCGTAAAATTTTCTTGTATAATTTATCATTTCAAAGTTTGAGTGAGTTAACTGGTTTTGCTCTACATTACCATTTTGGCACGTGTTACACATTCCAATTGAACACTCATATAATATGTAGTCATAAGAAGGATGATAAACTTCACCGAACCGTTTTTTATACAAGCGATAACCTAAATTACTACCTATTAAAATGAGGATTCGAATTTGAATGCTAGGGGAATGACTCATTGCATTGGCCAATTGACTTAACCTATATCTGCAACAACTTCACCCAATCAAAAATTCAAAAAGTAAATTAGAATTTAGAATTGGGAAGCCATGTCATGCAGAGACGGGTCAGTGTGAAGTAGCTATGACCATAAAAGTGTCCCAAAACTTCAGGACTCTTCTCTCCAACGGTCATACACACAGAGAGACTTCCCCGTCTATTTCGCTTCCTCTTCAAACTTTTCTTTTACTCAGTCTCTTCTACTTCCAGTAAATCCGCACATTATCAGACCTTTTCAGATCCAAAAAAATGTCTCCCATATCACTTCCAACAATCTCCTCCTTCACCTTCTTCTTCTTCTTCCTCCTCCTCATTCTTGTTCAACTCATCGCCACGCTTCTTCTTCTTCATCATCTTCTTCTTCTCAAACGCAGCTCCAATTGCTTTCTGGGTTTTTCCTTCTCTCGTCTGTCACATTGGTTCCAATCCTTGTTTTCTCCAAACATGACCCTTAAGGGTGCCACTAACTCGGCCTGTGCTGCGTGCAAATACCAAAGAAGAAAGTGCACCCCCGAGTGCCCTTTGGCCCCTTTTTTCCCAGCAGACCAACCCAAAATGTTCCAAAACGCACACAAGCTATTTGGAGTTAGCAACATCGTGAAAATACTTAAAAACTTGGAGCCTGAAATGAAGTTTGAGGCCATGAGGTCCATAATTTACCAGGCCAATATTCGTGACAAGTTTCCGGTTTACGGCTGTTGGGAGGTGATTTGGCAACTACAATACCAACTTCTGCTGGCAGAGGAAGAGCTTCAAGCTGTTCAAGCCCAGCTTGCAATGTACAGGCAACATCACCACCACCAGCATCAGATTTCATCTGTGCCTGAATATGTAACCTCACAATTAGAACTGGGCATGGCTCCACCTAATAATTCCCTCCCTCTTTTCAATCACAACCCACAGCCTTACAATAATAATAACAATAATGCCATGCCTGCTTTGCCTGTAACACAACACCATCATCAACAGCAGTCTTACTCTAACAGCAGTGATGCTGCTTATAGCTCTGTTTATATTGACTCTAAGGATAACAATGCTGCAAATCCTTTGTGGGTTTCAAATCCTTGTACCACTAACAACAGCAACAATGACAATTCAGAGACAATTCAATCCCAACTGGGAGTTCTTCAGCCACTGTCTCTCCAACCAGATGTTGTTCAAGATTATGATGAGCTGCATCCCTTTTTCGACACCATCGACGACAGACAGTCCTACATTGATTCCAAGGAGGCTTACGAGTCAAGGTACAATTTTTTATAATCACTCTGGTTATGTAATATAAAGCACTAAATGATTGTGATTAAGGTTCTGGTTCATTGTTTTGTTCTCTTCATGACGCAACATTTTACTTGCAGCTCCGAAGAATCATTTAAGGACACGACACAATCGATGGAGTATGCAGAGAACGCATTGAAGAATGCTGCGTCATGCTATAGTCTTACCAGCGTCAACTGATCAGTAAGCTTTAGATGAAGTATTTTATTTTCTTCCATCTTGAATTGATAATTCACACGGGAACACCAACAATTTTGTTTTGTTTTTTTTTAATAAATAAAAATCCACAATACTGAGCTTTTTTTTCTTCTTCTTTGTATAGAACTTTGGCTTTCAATGTTTCACAAATGAGTTTATAATCGACTATTTGTTTATTTGAATAACATTTTCTATCTCCAGATAACTGTGCGCAATGTTTTAACTTAATGAACTAACTATTGCATATTAAAATAATTGACAACATTATGAAATTAAGATCTCAAAATAAGGGAGCTTAATATACATATTCATAACATAAGTGTTGAAATTTAATTTCTTTACATATAAAGTAGCTTCATCATCTATTGTGTCGGACTGAGTCACAGAATCCTGGTGTTGTATGAACCACAAGAGGAGCACTTGTGGTAAAGCCAATGGAAAGGAGCAGCTCCTTTCTTCTCACAATCATTGCAAAGTATGACCTACAATTCTTTTGACAGTCAATGAACATATATATATATATAATATATATATATATATAATATATATCTATGTCTGGAAGCATTAGAAGCTAGTGAGAGAGTATGACGAGGAAAAATGGGATGACAAACCTGAGTTTGGCCAGTGTACTCATTTGGAATTTTTTCTTCGGCCAAAAATGCATCCAACATTTTAAAATACACCTGCAATATGTTTCAAGAGCCGTGAGACGTCACACAACTCGGTTGGATACAATTCACCATATCAAGCAAGTGGATGAACTGAATCCGCTGAAGAAAATTTCTTAGTTTATAGCTTAAGCTCAAGACAATATCTTAACAGTAAGTTTACATTTTATTCATGCAGAGAATCCATTGTTTTTCAAAGTTTCTAATCGTAAGTTTAATTCTTTTCTTAAAATAATGTATTGTTTGCGGCAATATAAATTCTAACAAATTAAAAGTAACTAAAATGCAAAAGACTACAGAAAATATTTGGTAACTGACCTGCATGTCCCCAAGCGACTTGCCACAGATTGGGCAGGTATAATTAGTGCAGGTGTAGGCCTAGAAGCAGCATCAGAAGTACCAGCAGTAAAGAAGTCTGAATATATGCAAAATTTCCAAGTAGAAAAGCGAGAAATTATGAAAGGCAAATACCTCAAAACATGTTGAGTGCATCAAATGACCACATGGAAGGGACTTTACAGGCAAGGTGGATGTGAAGATGTCCTCATTGCAAATAGGGCAGTTATCCATGAATAATTTCTCTCTGCATGTGTGCTTCATTAGCAAACGGGACATACAAGCATTACAAGTCATGCAATGGAAGTAGTCAATACCCAATCCCTTTCCAAGTCGGCACAAGTTACAATAAGGGCAATGGTAGATAACCCTGTTAAACAGCTTCTTCGTTAGAACTATAAAGAAATCTGGTAGTGGTGAATCTAACAGTAAAATAGCTAATTGGCAAGGCAAGGTAGCATTAAATTTATCCCAAATCACTCGCTGCCGTCATACAAAATGAGGGAAAAGCAGGACACCATTCTAATCACTAGAGAATTTTAGCACATAGAGGCGGCCAGAAGTACTTAATTCCTTAACAGTACAGATCAATCCAGTCATTGTGGTGACTAGACCAGAGAACTAAGATTGCCTACATAATGATGTAATGAGATTATAGATTATACTCTACACTTCCAAACATGTGTTCTACACCAGGGTAGCTACTGACTGTTGACAAGGTCATAAGTTGTTCCATTTAAGAAATAGGTAACTGGAGGTGGCAAGTTGCCTAGCAGATTTCTGAGCCTTGGCCATCTTAACCATCTTAATTTGAAGTCAAGAATACTCCTCTGGTCAGCTTAGTATCTGCTTCCTACTATGATTTCTATATAGTTTTCATTTTCTGGGGCAATAGAAGCAACAAAGAGGCTGGACTTTTGTTTCAGAGGGAAGGAGTTTAAGTGCTTGTTATGGTCAAACTTTTAAAGTCACCCATTTAACATGGTATTATCTTACAAGCAAAGAGCTAAAACAAAGCAGGCCAATCAGGATAAATTACCGTTCATCATCAAATATTTTGCAGATCCTGCAGAAGTATCTTGCCATGGAAAAATTACTGCAGGATGCAGTTGAGCATGTGGACCCTACTGGCTGAATTTTCAAGCATTTCATGCACATCATCTCTGTTATAGATCTCCTGCATATGTATCATATAAGAATCAAAACTGAGAAGATAGAAAAAGAAAACTATAATCTTCACAGGCTAAATGCCTGAACTGTAACTCAGACTGTTGATACCTATCTATTGTATGATCAGCCATCTCATCATGGCAGCGTATGCAGGTATATAGCTGGTTGCAACAGGCAGCAACAAGCTTACAGTTCCTCTTATAGTGTTTACAACCAAAGGTTAGTCCAAAAGGGTCCTGATAGGATGGATGCTGACCAGGAAATTCTTTCCCATTACTTGTGTCTCTTAATTCAGAGTGTTGTCTGACTATCCAACGGCTGAAACAATATAAATATTGAAAAGATTTCACTTTGGTCTATGTCATATTTTATGAGCATGTAGAGACAAACAGACATGTTACAAAGCAAGAAAAAGCACTTACAAGTCTTAAGGACTTTTGTGATATCATATTTGTCAGATTTCTGATGAACAAAATACAAAATTATATAACTTTACTTCTTTGGTCCAACCTACTCCACTACCTCTTCTAAATTTGACCTATAAGCTAGTTTCGTCAAGGTGATGTTATACTCAAATTACTTTTACTCATACCAAGGTAATTTTTCCTCTTATACTAGGAATAAACCATGTCGATAAAATACTCAAATTACTCTTACATATATAAAGGTATTTTGCCTCTTTCCTTCACAATAGATTGTATAATTTCCTCATAAAAAAGGGAGAAAAATGATAAAGAAACAAAAAAAAGGGACGGGACCAACCTCATTAGCAGGTTCTGGATCATATATGATTTCTTTTGAGGATCCAAGGAAGCGTCACGGGATATTTTTCTAATTGCAGCCTCCAGATCCTCTTGGCCTAGTGTCAGCAAGCACTCACAATACTTGGATTTCTGGCTTGCTTGAAAAGGTTGAACTGGATCATTGATTTGGTTTGTGGCATTTTCTACTTCTTGGCATCTCTTCTTGTCACCGTTAGCACAAGGTCTTACATATTCTGTATCAGTATAAATACACTGGTTGCTATCAGAATCCTTCGTCTTCTCATCCACATCACTATTTTCAAATGGCTTGGTATTAACAGCAGGGGAATCTTTGTCTGAACAATTGATACTTTTGTAACAGACACTTCCTTCTTGTTCACCTGATCCACACAGATAGGTACAGACAATCTCCAAGGGATCTGCGGTCAATGAAGGAGGGACATTCGACTCCTCTACCACTTTAGCTGCATCATACCCCTCCCACCATTCTCTAAGCCACTCATCAAACATTGTGTTTCGTGTGACCTGGCGCCATAGAGACATCATGGCTTGCTGTTCTTCTGGTGTCAAAGACTCCATTAGCCAGGGTAGCATATCCTGCAATATTTTTGCTTCTGTTCTACCAAGTATGCATCCTACGATCTTTTCTTGCTCTTTAATGGAGAAACATTCTTTAAACAAGGGCCAGAGTTCAACTTCTTCACGATTAATATGTTCAGTCAGTAAGTTGCACAATGATTTGCACAAATCATGAAGCCTCATGCACAGCTGATGGTGCTGCAGCATTTTCTGATCCATTGTGTTTGACTCAACCTTAGAAGCTGAAACATTCAATTTAGACATCTCATCTAAAATGAGGGATATCTTGTTAAAGTGTTCAGCTTCCAGTTTGTGGTCCATTGTGTAAGAGTGGCTAATGTTTTGCAATTTTCCTTTTGCCTCCAAAGCTGGAAACGCAACCTCGTCCTCTGCTTCACTATGAATTTGATATAAAAACTTTATAAGATGGAAGCGTCGGCAAAAATCTGTGAGAAAAGCAACATTTTCGGCCAACTGAGCTGAACCAAAGACAAGGTATTCCAAATCTTTCTTGAGAGCCTTGTGGAAAAAAAATATGAGATCTACTGGTTTTGGTTCATGGAGATCATAACCAAGAAGGTTTTCTCCACTAAGACTTTTCGGCAAGTGATGTGATGTTTTCATTGTTCCAGGGAAATATATGTGAATATTGGTTCCACTGGAGTATGGCATAGAATTCTTGCCCTTGTCGGACGAGATTGGTGCTATTAGCCTAGTGTTTGATCCCTCACAAGGTTGCACATTGGAACTTAAGGATGAGGATCCAGTAGTATCATAGAATTGCTTGGATAAGGAAGTGCATCTGCTCTTGAATATTTGCTGCAAGTCCTTTCGAAATTTTTCAACAGAGGTCTTACCAGAATGACCAATGCGGAACCACTCACGTAAGAGGGACGCAAATGATTTATTGATTAAAGAATCTCCCTGCTTCAAGCTGCTAAGGATGGACCTGGATTCATCCTCAGATAAAGAAGCTGAAAACCAAGTGGTCATGCACTTTAGCAATCCAAGTGGCAGAATATGAAGGCTCACGTACAACAGTTGCTGCTGCATTTCATGGCTACAGTTCATCCTTACAATGGGAAATACCTGATAAAAACTGGAAAAGTGTTAATTTGCAACCAATGTGGAAAATATTTTCAGTAACATACTGATAGTAGAGTTAAGACATATGATCAATAGAAATCATGGTAACCCAAAATTCCCTATATCATCGGAAAGAGAGCCTAGAATGCTGATAATATTTCTCTTCCTTGATTTATAAGCATCTTCAATAATTTATGCAGCGTACCTTCGTCTCTTGGAAAGCAAAATGCTTGTTGATTCCCACCACAAAAGACTCCAGTTCCCAGCAAAGCTTCTCAACAAATTTGAATAAAGGTGTTCCATTTTCAGGAGTACAGTATAGCAACCTCTGCAAACCTTCGACATGTATTTCATTGGGAAATTGTTCACTGGAAGGGTAAAGACAGCTATTGAAAAGTTCATTTAACACAGGATGAAATAACTTCTCCAATGCACTGCTGCAGGTCAGAAAGTTTTTGGTGAAGAATCAATTACTGAACAAAAAATAAAAAAATATAAGCACATAAGGACACAGCAATTACATCAATTACCTGTAGAAAGTAAGGACATCATCAAAGAACTTTAGCTGGACAACTATTGAATCAAGACTCGAAAAACTGCTTGAGCTTCTTAATTGGTAAAGCTCCTCTAGAATCTTTGTCAAATCTTTCATAATGGCAGCATGCCAAAGATGAAGGCCATCAACCGGATTGTATCCAACTTCAGAGTGGATGCAATTTGCCTTAATGCTACTCCTATTTTCTTCAAAAAACCTCTTAGGCGAATGAGACTTCATTAATTTTTTCAAATCTGCAGCTTCGCCAGTTTGTTGAGCTCCTCCAGCCTTATTGTTGGCCCCAAATGTGACTTGTTCATTGCTAGCAAGCCAAGAAAGTACTACCTTCACAAAGATTTAAGCTAGTAACTATCAAAAAGTTGATTCACACAAAGGTAAGAACTTTGGGTCAGAATCTACCTCTTGGAGTGATTTTTCGTCAGGTACAATTTCTTTTATGCAATGTATAACTTCTTCTTGTTCATCAGGTGGAAGAAAGGACATCGTCCACGGAAGTAGATCCTCCAGCAGCACTAAAGGAATGCTACACATGAACTGCCACACAAGTGAGGCCTGTTCTTCAGCAGAGAATTGCTGGAGGATCAGAGGGAAAACCTGCATCCCATACACATAATTTACGTAACGCAACGCAAGCACCACATCCAGTTGATATATAACTACAGAACTATACAAAGACAATACAATCAAAATATCACTGGAAATACACGATTACAAATAACATTTTGAATTTGGTTAAATAACCATTTTGGCTATACCTGTTGTTCTTCTTTCAGCATATGCTGGCAAGCGAATGCCTGAAGTGTCCCGATGCAGAACACAAGTTCTTGAAATTGCTTGGAAATATTCTCACTTTCATCTAACAAAGCATCCAAGCGATTGAAAATTGAATCGAAGAGACTGTCTATGCTCCTATGTTCTAGTGCATATGTACTGGCTACATTTTTTGTTCGTCCATCTAGCGCTAAAAAAATAATCTGCCAACATCATTATGAAAAATTCAATTTAAAACTCTAGTTAATAATGCATTGCAGCTTCAGATACTTTTTGTCACATTAATCAAGCAATTTACTAAAATACATTAGCTTAATTAGTTAATGAATTAAATTAATTGTAATTCTAATTTCTAAAAAAGAAAATTGATAGCCAATTGGAAAACTTTGAGCTGACCTCGTCCTCTGCAGAGCAGTGGTACTTAAAAGCGAGCTTGAGGAACTCAAACCGCCGCAGAAGCTGCAGAACAAAGTCACGGCCTTGGCGGTCACGTGAGGCACTCTCCAAGGCGGCCAAGGTCACGTGGCGGAGATCGTCGAGCTCGGCTCGCAGCGCCTTGTGGAAGCAGACGAGCAAAAGGATCGGCGTGTGAACGAGCCTGACACGTGCGGCGGAGGAGGAGGAGGAGGACGACGACGACGCCGGCTGAGTGTCGTTGGTCGAAGGGGGGAGGAGGCATTGGGGAGAGTCGTCGCCGCCGCCCATCCACGGTGAGACGACGACGTCGTTTAAGCACCATGAAGGTTGAGAAAGAGAGAGGGAAGTTTGGCATTGCGAGGGTCAAGGGAATTTAACACACTAGTTTCCAAGGCTCTCTCTGTGTCCGTTCCCCAGCTAACCCACACATCAAATTCAAAACTATTATTTTTAACTTATATTTTTTTATGTTTCCAATTTTTTTTATTTTATGCATTTCTTTACTTGCTGCCATGGCCCGTGATTACGACGTCGTACTGAACCCCCAAGGGAAGCAATTGTGTTTGCCTTGTATGCCCGCGTGTCCTCGAACGGCACAAGAGTGCGTGGCTTTGACAGCCTCACCCGCCAATTGTTTAATCCTTCCTGCCAATTGTTTAATAGTGATTAGATTAATTTAATCTGGTTTAATGTGGTTCGAGTTTGAATAATGGTAAAAGCCTAAAAGGGGTAGCGTCAGAAGTCACCATGCAATGCGTTGGTTAAGTAGGAAGGAGGGCTTGTTCACGCCGTCCCGCTTTGCCTCCATCTGCTTGTTCTGTCTTATTTTATTGTCGGTGAAGCCGCGAAACGGTGCGTTTGGTGCTGGACGATGCGGGAGACCTTGTCGTCAAGTGAGGCAGGTCAACCGTCGAAGCTCCTAATGTCCCCAGTTAATCTTTGTCCAGTTATGCACGTGCGTTGGACCTTTGGGCGTCTGGCTTCCATGTGCCTGCACGTTCCCGCCTAAGATTTTTGCCCCGCGGTGACCTGGACTTTTCTCTAACTGAAGGGGCAAAATTCAAATAAAATCAACATGCAAATTAATATATATAGATATATTTAGTACAAATGCTTCTCTAAATTACTTCAAATTAGTCTAATATAGAAAGAAGTAGACTCGAACTTGAATATAAGAAGATGAGTTTATTGTCTTTACCAATGAACCTAACCGACTTCTGCAAATCAGTACTAATTTACTAAATAAATAAATACCTTGGATTTCTAATCTGTCGTTACTCAATTTGGGGCCATAAGAAAGAATAATGATAACATGAAGCAACTCAAGTTGGACAAAATTATGAAGACTCCTAGGCTGGACTGAAGGGAGCCATGCCGAAACCATCGGACGGTCAACAAAAGCGAGATATTGTTATGCTAGCTTGAACTTGAACAGACAGCCCAAGGCCGTACTGGGCCATAAGAAATGACAGATTCATTGAACATTTGGGACCATTCCACTTTGGACCTCCTTTCGATTCTCTGTGAGCGCGCCCTGTTATTAGTACATCTATGATCTATCCATTGATGCATGTAAAAACCACAATGATCTTTTAATGATTCGTGTTAGCTTCACAACGCACATCTCGAACACTTAAATTGTACAAAATTATTGGAAAAAATAAAAAAAAAAAAAAAAAAAAAAAAAAAAAAAAAAAGAATCATGAGCACATATCAAGCCATAGTTGGATGGTTGGTTCCTCCATTTATTTTTAACAACAGAAAACCATATTATAAACGTGAGATGATTTTGTCAAAACGTAGGGCTTATTAGGAATGGACACGTAGAGGTCACAGCCCAGCAAAGCTAACTCATGATTGAAGTATTATTATCGTTAGGGCCCAATAAGTGGTAAGCGAACATGGCTATGACAGTACGACATGCGTGTTGTAAATCTCAGGCATTGTTTCTAGCTCTTTGTACAGTCGGAATCAATGTCGTCAGTGTTAGAAACGTCTCTTGAGTCTTCAATCTTATTTGAAGTCATTGTCATCACAATCAGTATATCTAATAATGTATTGAATCTGTATTTTTGTCGATCTTTCTTTCTAACCTTCTCTTTTGAAAAAAATTTCTTTATTTTTTTTTTTTTTTTTTTTTTTGCTTGTGTCATTCTTCTTCATTCAAAACAATGTTATTAATATATTATACAAGCTAACTTTTACTTTTCAAGTTTACCCTTATTAAATGTATTCAATTTATCCAAAAAAAATTCACAACTTTCTTACCATATATATATATATATTTAAGAAATTTATGCTTAAAAAAAAAAAAAAAAATGTCCCCTTTTTTTAACATCAAGTTTAGACTTTTTTTTAAAAGCAAATATTTTCTTTAAAAAAAGTAATTGACTTTAAAAAAATTTAATAAGATGGTAAGAAAGTTGTCAATTTTGGATAAATTGAAAACATTTAATAAGGGTAAACTTAGAAAACAAAAGTTAGCTTGTACAATATATTAATGATATTGTTTTAAGTACAAGGAGAATGACACATGTCAAGCAAAAAATGGAGAAGGTCCAAAGAAAAAAGTTAGAGAGAAGTTTGCTAACATTTCTCTACTATATAAAGTTACCTACAAATGGAGGCAGATTTTCAATTTGCACTTTAAGACGGTCAACTTTTGTATGTTCCGGAAATTAGATGGTGTGCAATCGGAACATACAAAAATTTCTCCCCAATTAGATAAGTATTCTCCCAATATGAAAGATGAGGTCCATGACAAGAAAGATGAAAAGAAATGTGTATTGTGTGGATGCGTTAGCTTTTTAAGTAAAAATCGCATTGAAAATACAGAGCAGAGTAAAAAAATCTTGATTATAAAAAATTTATAAATAAAATTCTATAAGTTATTACATTTTGCTTAAATTGATTAAATTTTTTATATTCCTAAATAGGGTTTTAAAATCCCAATTGAAGACCCCTGCTTTTTCAACAAGCGCTTTTGTGGCAACAGAACAGAAAAACGGGATATTTTGTTGTGGTTAGGTATGAAGGAAAGCTGTCACGGATTGTGTGTGGTAATCTAGAAAATTTGATGTTAACTGCAATCATTATCGACAACATAGCCAATAAAATGGGAACAGCGAAATAAATAAAAAGATAGCTTTCATTTTGAATAAAGTGAGAGCTAAGCTAGGCCATGGCACAGGTGGAGAGGCTGAGCAGCAGCAAGTGGACGGCCACAGCGGCCAGCATATGGATCCAGAGCGCCGCCGGCTCTTCCTACGCCTTCAGCATCTATTCGTCGGCGCTCAAGTCCAGCCAGGGCTACGACCAATCAACGCTCGACACGGTGTCCGTCTTCAAGGACATAGGCGCCAACGCCGGCATCCTATCGGGGATTTTATACTCCGCCGTCGCACTCAATCGTCGCCGCATCGGTGGGCCCTGGGTGGTGCACGCGGCAGGGGCTATCCAGTGCTTCTTGGGGTACTTCTTCTTGTGGGCTGCTGTGACCGGACTGGTCGAGAGGCCGCCGGTAGCGGCTGTGTGCTTGTTCATGTTCTTGGCCGCCCACGCTCAGACTTTCTACAACACCGCCAATGTGGTCACCGGGGTCCACAACTTCTCTGAGTACGGTGGGACCATCGTGGGCATCATGAAGGTTAGATAGATATGATATGATGACTAAATGCTACCGCTGATCACATTCGTTTTCCTCACGACGTCGTTTGGTTTCCGTTACTTATCACATTGTTCATCACACAGATAAATGTCACATAAATTATGTGAAGAATTATAGATGTCACATAGCTTGTATTAGAATTTAGATGTCACATAGCTTGTATTAGAATTTAGATGTCACATAGCTTGTATTAGAATTTAGAACACATACATGGTAAAACAGTAGTCAATTGGCATAATTTGGAGATATGTTAGCTGCATCAATAATTGACAGTCATTCACACGTGTGCAATATAACATTTCTATTTGAAGTTGTGAGTTTACTAAAAATTTCCCACATTCGCATTTGCATAGGATGCATAATGTATGAGCAAGAAAGTGGGGTTCTCGGAATTGCTATGACAACGTTATGTTTAAAATAAATCATTAAAGTTATTTAATATAATATAATAATATCTTAAATTCAGATTCAGAACTTAAATGATAGTATAGTGTTTGTATTTCTTTCGCTTTTGGGAGCTGGCCTAATGAAACCACATATGTTTTCATGCCCAGGGATTTCTTGGTCTTAGTTCAGCAATACTAGTCCAAGTCTATGACACATTCTGCAAAGGCAAGCCCAGCACATTCCTTCTTATGCTGGCTTTGTTGCCTGCATCTGTCTCCATCTTGTTCATGCCTCTTGTGAGAATCTATGAAGCTCATAGAGCTGATACTGATAAGAAGTACTTGAACGCTTTCTCTGCTTTTGCTCTGCTCATAGCTGCTTATCTCATGGTCATAATCATTTTGGAAAACATCTTCAGTTTCACATCATGGGCAAGTATTGCTACATTCATAGCACTTCTTGTGGTCTTAATTACCTCACCCCTTGGAATTGCAACCAAAGCCCAGAAATTTGAGTCAAATAGGCTTACAGTGACACTTGATCCTTTGCTAGAAAACCCTGAACCAAGATTGGCATCATCAAAGTTCTCTGCATCAGAGGAACCTGTAGAACATGAACCTGAAATGCTGGTAGATCGTCTTGAAGATATGAATCTACTGAGCGCTATGGGTTCTGTTGATTTTTGGTTGTTGTTTATTGCCATGATTTGTGGAATGGGGTCTGGATTGGCCACAATAAACAACATGAGCCAAATAGGCCAGTCCCTTGGTTACACAACAGTTGAGATCAATTCCTTTGTTTCTCTATGGAGTATATGGAACTTTCTAGGCCGTTTCGGAGCCGGGTATGTCTCAGATTATTTGCTGCATACCAGAGGATGGGCAAGGCCATTGTTGATGGCTCTTACTCTAGCAACCATGGCTGCTGGCCACATTGTAATTTCATCTGGTTTTTCTGGAAATTTGTATGTGGGTTCAATCCTAGTTGGCATTTGTTATGGCTCACAGTGGTCACTGATGCCCACAATCACTTCTGAAATCTTTGGGATAAGACACATGGGTACTATTTTCAACACAATTTCCATAGCCAGTCCTATTGGTTCTTATATTTTCTCTGTAAGAGTGATTGGGTACATATATGATAAAGAAGCTTCTGCAGAAGACTCCTGCAATGGCACTCACTGCTTCATGTTGTCTTTTCTGATAATGGCATCTGTTGCTTTCTTTGGGTTTCTTATTGCTCTCGGTTTGTTCTTTCGAACTAGGAGGTTCTACAGCTCGATTGTGCTCAAAAGATTGCGGCATTCTCCAAGACAGTGAGTCAAAATATGACGACGTTGTGTAGAGGCCAATAAGGCAAATATTATTGTGGTTTGAGGTTGTGATCTCTTGGCCTTCTGTTGTGAATTTGTGATCTCTTGTTGTGAATTTGTGATCTATTACAACTGTTGTACGTGTATAATTCTTTTACATATATTAAAAATGGTTTGCGTTCAAGAAGAGAGTTTTCTGTCATATTGTTCATTTTTTTCGTACAAGCGATAGCTCTAAATTATAGGAGATGAGAGTTTCTCATACACACAAAACTAAGATGTCATTCGAATATGAGACCTTTGAACTACAAGTCAAGACCATTTTCGACTGGGGTAGACTCATGGTGTCATATTGTTCATTTATATGTGGAAGTTTTGATCAAAACTCTAGTTGAAATGTAATTTGCTAAAGATAGTTGTTTATAACTTATCAGTTCTTATTTATTTGATCAAAACTCACTTTTTCATATAAATTTTAGTTTTTTAGAACAAATAAGTGTTTTTTGTGTCTGTTTTTGTTTCATAAAAGTGCCACCTTTCATATCATTGAAAGTTAAGACAACACGTGGGCACAAGAGCAAACTAAAAACCCACACATCACGGAAAGCAACAAACGACGATGTTGTTGTAATCAAAGATGCAGACTTTGCCACCAAAATCAAAGATGCAGATTTTGTCGGGGTTTTTCCCAAAAGAAAGAAGAAAAAGAAAAAGAAAAAGAAAATGGAGGGCAGTCAACAGAGAAACAGACTGAGACTGAGGCCCTTCGACAGCAAATGGGTATCTACGGTGGCGAGCATATGGATACAGTGCACCAGCGGCTCCCTCTACTCTCAGACCCTGAAGACCACACAGGGCTATGATCAGTCGACCCTCGACACCGTTTCAGTGTTCAAGGACTTTGGAGCCGACTGTGGGGTCCTCTCTTGAGTTCTTTCTGATCTAAATACTTGGACTTGATGTGGATGAGAAGTTTATCTTTTCCGTGTTAGGGATTTTCTTGGTCTGAGTGGAGCAATATTAATTCAAATATGTTGGACATTTTCATACAAGAGACCTGCTTCATTTCTCCTGATGCTGGCCCTGCTACCTACCATAAATACTTTGTTGCTTATGTGGTTTGTGAGGATCCACAAGAAGAACGAAGGAAGTGAGAAGAAGCACAGGAATCATGTGGTGATTGCTTCTGGTATGCCTTGTGCTCTTTATACTGGTGGGTGTTTTTTATGGTTCTCAGTGGTCACTAATGCCCACAATCACTTCTGAGATATTTGGTGTGCTACATATGGGAACCATATTCAATGCCATTACCATAGCCGCTCCTGTGGGATCTTATATCTTTTCCGTGAGAGTGATCGGGTATATTTACGACAAAGAAGCGTCGACGGCATGGAATACATGCACCGGAACTCACTGCTTTAGGTTATCATTCCTTATCATGGCATGTGCTACCTTTTTGGGGTCTCTCACTGAATAAAACTCAGACACTTGATCGGAGAGGCTATAATAAAGAGTTTAAAGTGAGGAGGCTATTTGAGGAGGTCAATCTCACCATCAACAAATGTAAAGAAATTATGGGACTTAAATATTTTAAATGTTTTGATGGTGGGATCGGTCCCCTCAAATAGCCTCCTCACTTTAAACTCCTCATTGTAACCTCTCCCAACACTTCATATAGACTTCCCTAGACACCGAACCCAGCCCACCAATTTGGGCCAAGCAGGGCCTTATTTTCCCAAATATTACCCAAGTAATTTATTTATTTAAAACTATTATTGGGGGATAAGACTAAGAGAGACGCACTTGGGCAAAGTTTTTTAATTTTATCTTGTATTGCTTATCTAGAGACTAGAATGAAAGTTAGTACAGCCGAGCGGCTAAACTATGGGTTTTTATATTCAAATCGTACAGCCGCGCGGCTATACTACGGTTTAATAAAATAGTCTAGCCGGACGGCTAAACTAGGGTTTTATTTTTAAAAAAGTATAGGCGGGCGGCTATACTACGGGCTTTTTTAATATTAAAAATCGTATAGCCGAGCGGCTAAACTTAGGGTTTTTATATTTTAAAAATAGTCTAGCCGCGCGGCTATACTACAGGTTTTCTATATTAAAAATAGTATAGCCGAGCGACTATACTACGGGCTTTCTATATTAAAAATAGTATAGCCGAGCGGCTATAATATTTTTAAATGCAAAAAAGCCCGTGGTATATTATAGCCGCGCGGCTATACGATTTTAAAATGCAAAAAGCCCGTGGTCTAGTATAGCCGCACGGTTATACGATTTTTACATGCGGGTTCCTTTATTTATTTATTATTATTAAATAAAAAACAAAAAAAAAAAAAAAAAAAAAAAAAAAAAAAAAAAAAAAAAAATTTGATTGAATAATAAGTTTCCTATCACATTTTAGGGGAAAAAAAGAAGAAGCTGGCTAAACAAAAAGCTGCGTGAGGTTTTTGGGCCCTCGGGGTTTCGTTCAACACTTCAGAGCAAGAGAGGAAAATATTTTCTGCATCATCAACGTTTCGCTCTGCAACCTTGTTTTTAATTTACCCGATATTCCTTGAAATCGAATTAAAACCAACAAAAAGAGAACAACTTTGAAGAGAGGCAGAGAGAGAGATCACAATGAAGACGACGAAGGGAGGCAAGGTGATGAACCCTACGGACGCTTACCGGAAGGAGCTCCGAAAGAAGGAGTTGAAAAGGGTAATTACTTCTCAAAAATACGCCGTTTTTGCTCTTTTCTTCTTTCAATTCCTTGATTCCATGCTTAATTCGAAATTGGGTTGTTCGTTTTTGCCCATATTCAATCGTTTTTCACAATTTAGTACTCCATTGCTCCTAGTTATTGCTCTAATTTCATGTTGACCCTCGTTTCTTTGCCAGAAAGCACAGGAAAATAGAAAAAGATAAACTTATATTGAATTTGAAATTTAACTACAGTATCCTAATATCTAAATTTGTCTACAAAGTTTTGCTTTGAGTAGCCAATTAATTGTCGATAGTCACCATTTAAACTAATCTGAAAGAAATTTAAATGGGGTACCTTTTTTTGTGCATAAATTTAATAAATATTGTAGTTTGGCATCTGCAATCCCAATTTTTTTTTTTGAAAGGAAGATGTAAGCATAGTAGGCTTTGGGTTGTTGTAATGGAATTAATCAAGTTTGTGAAAGGTCAATGCTGTTATTTGATACTACCCTCTAAGTTATCAGGCTTAGTGAAAGGTCGAGAAAGGTATATATGTGTACATACACAGTTGTATTTGGAAAGCAGATGTATGACCATGCTGTCACCTTTATGTTTCTGAGTTTGTTTTGATAAATGTTTTTTTATAGCATATGTTTGTGCCTCCTCATCTTAAAATTGAGATGTATAGAAAAACGTATTTGACCTGTGTTTAGGTACTTGCACTTATCCATTGACCGTATGATTATGTGCAGTTCCAAGAAATTACCCCCATTTATGTTGTTACCTTTGGTGTTCTTGATAAGCTTATTGCATAGATTAAATCTTTATTCAGACACTTATGACTTTATGTTGTCTATGACGAACAGAATAAGAAAGAAAGAAAGAAGGTGAGGGAGGTGGGGATCTTGAAGAAGGATCCCGAGACACTGAAGGAGCAGATTGATAAGCTGAAAACGATGAGTAAGTCACAATTTACTTCTGGACTTTTGTTTAAAGATTCTAGAAGTTCATTTTCATCTGCTGTCTCAAATCTAGAGGTTCTTTAACATAATGGTTATAAATATAGTATAGTTGTGGATCTTTTATTTATTTAATTTTTTTAAACATACTCGTTGTAGTGTAAGTTTATTTTTTGAATAATGAAAGTAATATTGATATAGATAACAATGAATTTTTTTCTTAAAGGAAAATTTCAGTTTGTGCTTATTGTTTTTGGTTTTGTTTCTGCTTTACTATATCTTTCTTTTTGCGGCTCTTTGTCTAGATTTTTTGTTTTTACTATTTTAATTTGATATGCAGCCATGCCATGCTGCTTTCCCTGTTCATACCCACTGATGTATTTCACTGATTGGCACAGAGGCTGATGGTGCTCTGGACAAAGCAAGAAAACACAAGAAGAGGCAACTAGAGGATACACTTAACCTTGTTATAAAGAAGAGGAAGGTAATTTTCACATATAACATTGTTTTTATACCATTCTTTTAGAAATTAAACAGCCACATTGTTATATGCTGCTGTACTGTGATCTTTCATTGGTGACTTAGTGGTTCAGGGTCTTCTAACTTCATGTTCAATCCATGTGCCTTGTTGTAATAATTTTCTTGCTTGCAATGATCAGTCTTATGTACTCTTTTGTACAGGAATATGCAGAGAAATTGAAGGAGAAGGGTGAGGCCCCAGTTATGTTCAGGTGAAAAATCTGTTTTCCGAATCTATTTCTGTGCCAGTGGTCGAATACTTGAATTCATTTTCTGTTTGTTTTGATTTATGAACTATAGTTTGTTTTCTGGTCAGTCATTTGGGGCCGCCTAAAAGACGAACTGCAGAAGAAGAGGAGAGAGCGAAGCATCCGATGCCTGAGGTACGATATGCCTGGTTTGTAAATGTTTTTTAAATTCTTTCTTCTTCTTTTTTCCAATATATTAAACCAAAATTTCTTATGTTTTCCTGCAGGACTCCGTTTACTACCACCCAACCCTGAATCCTACTGGGGCCCCACCGCCTGGAAAGCCTCCAATGTTTAAATCATCAATAGGTCTGGTTTCCCTCCCCACCCCAATTTTGTGTCTTAATGTTTACTTTCTCTCTCTTATTCTCTTTTGGAATTTGAATTGCAGGGCCCAGAATTCCTTTATCTGCTGCTTCTTCAAGTGGTGCTGCATCGTCATCCTCAACAATGGAGTCAGAGGATGCTGCTTTAGCCGTACCTCTGCACGATTCTGGTAACAACGGGCCTGGTGATAGCTCCGTCATACCTGAGTCTTTGCCTCTACCTCCTCCACCTCCGTTACCGCCTACCCCTGCAGCTGTAAACCCAGGTATCTCTTTGCCACCACCTCCACCTCCACCTCCAGGACCCCTGCCTAAAGAGATTGCTAATCGCCCTTTACTTCCCCCTCCTCCACCTTTGCAAAAGTCTGCACAGCCACCTCCTCCTGGTATCAGCAGAAATGAGATGGAAACCAGTCAATCTACATTGTCTGATCAATCAATGTCTAAGGACTCGATGCAGGTAAGCTGCCCCTTCTTGTCCATTGAAATGATATTTTCTATTAAGAGGAACAAGAATTTTCAGAGTTGTAAAAGTTAGCAAAATATTTGAAAGTATTAGTATATGCTTGACTGGTAAGCCCAAAGAAAGGGTGTATGGGTGGCCAAGCCTATCTTTTAAGTTTTTCAATTTGTGAAATAATGCCCCTTCCTCTCTTGTAGGTGCACACCATACTTCCTCCTCCTCCTCCGCCTCCTGGTTTGCCTCCTAAATCAACAAATAATCAGTCTGATGGTGTAACGTCTGATACTGAAACCAATAATACTCTAGTGACCAAGGATCTTACTAACATGCTTCCACCACCTCCTCCTCCTCCAAGACAACAGCCTCCGATGCCTGGACCCACCCTGATTACAAATTTACAGCCTGATGTATTACCCCCAGGTATCTCTCGTTTCCCTCCACCCCCACCTCCACCAGATATGCGGCCACCATTGTCCACTCCTGGACTTCCCAGTCGACCAGGACCCCCGGGAATGATGGCCCCAATGGTCCCCAGGCCACCATATGGTCCTCCTCCTGGACCACCCCCAATGATGAGACCGCCACTTCCACCTGGCCCCCCTCCTACTTATCAAGATGATGATCATGCTGCAAACCGAGTGGCTGCTCATCAGAAACCTTCATATGTTAAATCTGCAGCATCTACTGTTGTTAAGAGGCCTCTGGCGCAGCACACTCCAGAACTTACAGCCATGGTGAGTTGATTCTCTTTTGCTATCTGTAGGATATATCACGTCCTTACGCTAGTAGTACATGTGGCATTGTTGCTTGTTACTACAAGTAACACCTAACTCAATAAGCATTCTGGTTTGTAATTTCTGCACCAGTTTTTTAAGTTTGTTTAAAGGAAGATGCAGGTAGTAGAGGTTTATTGTGAGATGCAGGTAGTAGAGGTTTATTGTTACAATTCAAGGTGGTTAGTGTAGACTTTTAGCCAGTATTATTGACCCTAGTTCCAACGTCAACGAAATGGGTAGAGCTTTATGAGACTTTTATCATACTGCAAGATGTCAATATGTACTCTTTACATTTTGTCTGTTTGGATCAATAAACTTTTATGACCTAAGCCTGTTTTCTGGTTCTGGGTTTAGGTTCCTGCATCTGTTCGGGTAAGGAGAGAGATGGCTGCCCCAAAAGCAAAAGCAAAACCATCACTCCCAACCACAGCAGCACCTACCCAGTCAGCAACTCCTTTTGTTAGACAAGAGTCTGTGAACTCATCGTCAGCACCGAAGCCACAGAGCATTGACGACTCTTACATGGCCTTCCTGGAGGACATGAAGGCGCTTGGTGCACTTGAAAGTTGATATCTACCTGGTTATTGGGCACAAAGATAGATAGGGGGAAAAAGGAGAGAACCATGAAAACAAAAGGTGGCATGCCTGTAGCCAAAGGAAACATAAATGCAGAGTCTATTGAAGTGGAGCTGAGGACTGATGGATATTCTTTTCGTTGCTGTTAACTTAGTTTCCTAATGCATCATTTTCTTGGTGCAATTTAAAACTAAATCAGATGTTGAGATGGGTAGACTAAAGATGTGCTAGAAATTCAGAATGTACTATATTTGAAATTATTTTAGAAATTATTTTTAATTGAAATAATTTCCAACTTTTCTTTCTTTGGTGTTTCTAACTAGTATTCTTATGCCTTCATGCTATATCGTTTTTCTCCTCTTTAATCAACTCAGCTCCTGGTTGAAATGGTGTCTTTAAGAACAGAGAACCGAAAATGGAAGGGTAGGCATTGCCTGGTCTTCTTCACAAATGCAATGACGAAAATCTGTAAAAAGGTTTAAAGCACATTCTGACTATCAAGGGAAAATCTGAAAATTTCTCCCTCTCTGCCCTCCCTTCCATTTCACACAGGCATTTACAAGCACCACAAATAACCGAAGGACCTCTTGTCGTGGCAAAGCAGACACAACCTCATTTTGTCAAGCCATCTGGTACTGGGTTTGTCTGCTCGAGATCCGGGACACTTCTGCATAAACTATGATTTTCCTTAAGCAAAACGGTAAAACCCAAGTAAACTTGACTTTCATATGGCTGCTTATGCAATGTAAAAATCAAGACTTGTTTTTATAATGCTTTCTTCAATATTCAATATGATGTTTGTGGAATCCCATAAACTAAATAAACCCAATAATAACTGAAACTTGCAAAACACATTAACCAAGCAATAACAGAGTAATTTAAGGGAATGAACAGGAAACTTGGCCGTTTATCTTCTGCTCTCAATCGTATGCAGTACAAAGTAGGAACTGTAGCTTTTGGTTTTGGTTTTGGTTTTTAGTGACAGTTTCAGAGTATAAGTGATTGCACTCTATCAGCTTTTGTTTCTTTTGAATCCAAGATGAATACTTGTGTCTGTTTTTTGTTCCTCTTCTCCCTATCATTGTTTCTCGATTGTTTGTCCTCATTTCCACTGTGCACTGATTCAAGTTGGTTCTCTCTGTCTCTGCATCTGTTTTTGTTCTTCATTTACCGAATATGTTTTGTATTTATTTCCATCAGTTAAACGAGTTATTTTCTATCAATGCAAACAGGGCAACCTATAAAGCAAGACACTCCTCTGAAGTTCTGTTCTTACAACGGAACCGTCTGCTGCAACTCCACTCAAGATTTGGAGTTGCAGAAACAATTTGAATCACTAAACGTCTTTGATCCTGCATGTGCTGCTCTCCTGAAATTGACCACGTGTGCAGTAAGCCTCTTTGTCCAGCCATGGATAAGTTAGTTTTACTAGAGAAAGTACTTTGCTTTTGCTAACTTTTGGTGTTCCATAATCTGCAGATATGTGATCAATTTTCTGCTCGGCTATTTGAAATTGATTCTGGGCCTAGAAAAGTTCCTGTTTTGTGCAACACTACTGATTTGGTGAAACCCCATCAGTCCAAAGTAGGAGATTCCATTGACTTCTGCACAAAATTGTGGGATACATGTGGACATATATCCATCATGAGTTCTCCATTTGCTCCACCAATGCAAGGCAGAGTTGGGATGCAATATAGTTCGTTGCCTTCCAAACTGACTGATCAGTGGCGCTCAAGGAAAGACTTCTGTGAAGCAATTGGTGGGTCAGAAGATGATCTGTGTTTTAAAGATGAACCAGTTTCATTTAGTCAAGAAAAAGCTTCACCTCCAGCTGGTCTTTGCCTTGAGAAAATTGCAAATGGAGCTTACATCAATCTAGTTCCACATCCTGATGGTTCCAACCGCGCTTTCGTGTCTAACCAGCAAGGTAAGATATGGTTGGCAACTATACCCAATGAGGGATCAAATGGGATTTTGTGGATCAATGAATCTGAACCCTTTCTGGACATTACTGATGAAGTGCTCTTTGACACTGAATTTGGTCTAATGGGTATGTCATTTCATCCAAACTTCGCGCGCAATGGCCGCTTCTTTCTGTCATTCAATTGTGACAAGATGAAGCATCCAGGCTGTTCAGGCAGATGTTCATGCAATACAGATGTGATTTGTGACCCCTCAAAGCTTCCGGCTGATAGTGGGGTGCAGCCATGCCAATATCATAGTGTTGTTGCAGAATTTACTGCCAATGGTACAGCGTCAGAGACTTCCTTGGTATAAATGCACACCTCTCCATTTTATGTTTCAGAAAACTATCATCCGAACTATTGCAATGAAACTCATCCATGAGCTTCTTATTGTCTGTTTTTCTTGTTAGGCAACAAGTGCAAATCCTTCAGAAGTGAGAAGGATATTCACGATGGGGCTTCCATACAGGGGAGGTCACGCCGGTGAGATTCTTTTTGGACCTGCAGATGGCTTTTTATACCTCATGATGGGAGACGGTTCAAATCGAGATGACCCTTACAATTTTGCACAGAACAAGAAATCCTTGCTTGGAAAAATTCTGAGGCTTGACATAGATACCATACCAAGTAAGTCCTGGGAATTACAAGTATAAATGTTTGATCTTTGTTTATATTTTAACTGAGCAGCTTGAAACAATGTTGTTATGTTGTCATATAAACAAGCATAAATGGTTAATATATCATTATCTGTGTTGAAATAATTGTCCTGTTTTGCCACAATTACTAGGTGCAATGGAAATAAGTGGAAAAGGGCTATGGGGAAATTATTCTATACCAAGTGATAATCCATTTGTTGATGTCAACGATGTGAAGCCAGAGATTTGGGCCTTGGGATTCAGAAATCCTTGGCGTTGTAGTTTTGATTCAGAAAGGCCCTCCTACTTTCTCTGTGGAGACTGTGGACAGGTTTGAATATCATGTTTTTGCTAAACCTTTATGAAGCTGTTGTTTTCTCCAAAAGGGTTTTGGCATTCATAGTTTTCATTGCATTTTGCAGGATCAATATGAAGAAGTTGATATAGTGATAAAGGGTGGAAATTATGGGTGGCGCGTTTATGAGGGCTCCATTCCTTTTCAGCCAACAAAGTCTCCAGGAGGAACAACATCTGCTACTTCCATAAACCCCATATTCCCTGTAATGGGATATAGCCATTCTGACATAGACAAGAATGTAGGATCTGCTGCATCAGCCTCCATCACAGGCGGCTACTTCTATCGATCGATGACTGATCCATGCATGTACAAAAGGTCAGTTTGCCCTGTGCAACAAATACAGGTGTACATGTACACACGTCATACTGTGATTTGCTAGTAAGGACGAATAAATATAACCATGCTCTGTGAACAACATTGCAGGTATTTGTACATGGATTTGTATGCTGATGGTGTGTGGGCAGGCACTGAAAGCCCTGAAAACAGTGGGAATTTTTCAACTGCAAAAATGCCTTTCAAATGTGCTCATGATTCTCCAATTCAATGTAACATTGTGCCAGCTGGAATTTCTAATGCCACCCCTGCTCTGGGGTACGTGTATTCATTTGCAGAAGATAACAAGAAGGATGTTTATATATTAACAAGCAGTGGTGTTTATAGAGTTGCAAGACCAAGCCGCTGCAATTTCTTATGTGCCAAGGAACACGCAGTCAACTCTGTGACTCATGGTCAACATTCTTGCTCCCCTATGTCTACAGAACTGTTCAAGGGACACAAAGATGTCCTCTTTTTTCTTCTTTCCTATTTTGTTTTGTACACTGGATTATATCCTGTGAACTATCACTGATACTAACAATATCAATTCCATTATGAGTAAATTAGCGAATTATTCCCTTACGGTTTGAAAATTATATCAAACAAATACCTCTATGTACTTTATACACATTTTTCTCGTCCCGTATTTTACTAACTACGTTGCCATCAACACGCCGTATGTATTGGTTTTCAGTTCCAATAATCTCAATCTTCAAAACTACCATGGCCCACCTAACAAAACCCAATAGTTTCCCTTTCTCTTAGATTTTTTTTCTTTTGAAATATATAGTTCATGTATGGCACCTTTAATATAAAATTTCTCTAACTAGGCTGCCAAGCTTTATTTGGAGGACCAGCGTGAATACAACAGAAAAGTGAGCCGAGTTGTGGAACAGAGTTGGTGAACATCAGACTAGGTGCTTGTGGAGCAAGTTTGTATATTAATAATATTCCAACCAAGAAGCAAAAACTCACTATAACAATATTAAGGATTGTTTTTGTCGTTTAAGTATGCATAAATTCTATGTGCATATTGAGATGTTATCGATAATATATTGACAGTTTGATATACAAAGACGAAAAATTAAGTATATGCTATTTATTTAGAATTAAAACTTATAACAAACTGTATGCAATCGATTACACTTAAAATACTTTTTTTTGTAGTTGATCGCTCAAAAAGTTAGTATTCGTATGCAAGCGGTTACTTGTTGCAGGTCATCGCTTGGCCTTTCCTGTATCCCGCGACCCCAATGTCACCGGATGCAGAGCATGGCCAAGCCCAATACCACTTTTTTGGTATTGACTTTTAACATTTCTAAGTTTCAGTATTGTCTTATTTACTTTAACTAGGGCACGTAGGTACGTTACAACTTACGTGAAAAACTCAAAATGGAGATCAAGGAGTGGGAATGAGAAAGATGTACATGGATGCTGCTGTTGCCGGCATCAATCAATCCCAAAAGAAAAGCTCTTCATATCTGAGTTATAGCAGAAACAGGACAAAAAGTAAACAAGAAGGCAGCAGAAACACTGCTCTGCTTTTTGGTAAACTTTAGGTATACTATTGAGAATTTTCAAAAAAAGAAAATAAAAGAAAGAAAAATATTTGTTTATCAGAAAAGAGTTCTCAGGAAGCATATCTAATATCTAATAAGCTCTTGTTTCCACTTTCTGCTATCCACGTTCAACAATTACAGCTGCTTTTTTTCTCTTATTTAATGTGAACAGGTCTTTGTCTTTGTGCCATTTTTTAAAAATTAATTTTTTTAAATCCCAGAAAAACCAGCCAAACAAACATTGATGTCGAACATGTTATGATGCAAGTGATGACCCTTATTTTGTTTCTAGAAGAGCTCCACATATATTATGCAGATACAACTCTATCAACCCACATAATACTTTGGTTTCTTTCTTCAACTGTTGATGTCATCATCATCACCGTTGAATCCCAAGATTAAAACCTTTTTTTTTCTAATTGGAATTCTAAGTAGGTTCTCAATCATATTGAATATGATTATGCTTTTCCGGCTTGTCTTTTGGTGTTGGGTTTCAACTTTGAACACACCCTATGGCCACAAGGGCATTTGGGTAATCAGTGTTGATGGCACAGGACACACTGAAGCCAACCAAGATCTATCCAGGTTTGTTTTCTATGTAAACAAACAAGTGGGTGCCTTCCTTCCCAACAACCCCCATCAATTTAGATTAATTATTCAGGAAAAGTCAAACCATATGTAAATTGTCAAGTTGATCATGGTGATGCCTCAGTCTTTAATTCGCTTTAAGTTATGGTGCCTCGGTCTTTAAATCAATGAGTTGAAAACAAGAAGTCAAAAAAGCCTTAGAGGGAGAGAGCAAATTGAAAACATTTTCATTTCTGGAGCAGAGCTGAAGAGAGTTGAAGTGGAGAGAGGGACAGAGAGAGTTGAGTTTAAAAAAGGAAGGAGAGAGATTTGAAAATGATCTCCCTTCTGGAAGCTGAATATAAAAATTTTGGTCTAGAGAGAGAGAGAACATATAGATGGGCAAATAATGGAGATACATAACAGATAGAAGCTAGAGTGGTTGGATTGGCAGAATGCTGATATTGCAGTGAACTTTTAGTTTGTAAACAATCCTTCAGAATTTCTCAAGTCAATTCAACACTGTTGCTAATTGGACCCTGTTGAAGTAGATTAAAGGGAGAGATACCTGCTTTCCTCTCACTCACTCTCTCTCTCTCTCTCCTTTCTCTCTTGGTGTAGTGATGGGTGGTGTTCTTGCCATTGGGTTTCTGCTTTGCAACTTGCTGCTGCTTTTTGATACTTCATTTTCACATCCTTTATGCATTGATTCAAGTGGGTTTTTCTCTCTTCTTCTTTTTTGTTGTAAAGTTTGCTGCTTTATGTTTGATTATCTTCTGCAGTTCCTAATGAAATTGAGTTGGAATGGATTAATTGGTGCAGGGGCACCTTCTACCCTGAGTAGCCCACTCAAATTTTGTTCTTACAATGAAACCGCTTGCTGCAACTCCACAGAAGATTTACAAATACAGAAACAATTCCAAACCATGAACATCTCCAATTCTGGCTGTGCTTCTCTCGTAAAATCAGTACTTTGTGCGGTAAGGCTTTTGTCTTTCCCTTATTATATATATCCTCCCAATTCAGTGTTTCCAATTTTAAAATTTCCACAAATACAGTGTGTTCTGTTGATAGAAATGGTAGCATGGTTTTGTGTTTGTCTTTCCCTTAATATATAGCTCACAGTTTATGATTTATTCTGATAATGTTATAATCATAGTCACCATACTTCAATTCCTTATTTATATTGTGTCCTGGTTTTTAGAGGTGCGATCCATTTTCCGGTGAGCTTTTTACAGTTGATTCTGTGCCCCGGCCAGTTCCTCTACTTTGCAACTCCACTGTTTCAGCAAATTCATCCCAGTCTATCCAAGGAGTGAATGATTTTTGCTCTAACATATGGGACACATGCCAAAATGTGTCTATATTGAACTCTCCCTTTGCCCCTTCATTACAAGGCCAAGCTGGAGTGCCAGTCAAGTCCAATGTTAGTGAGCTGACCAAACTCTGGCAATCGAAAGCCGATTTCTGCAATGCATTTGGTGGAGCCTCTAGTGATGGATCAGTATGTTTTGGTGGTGAACCTGTCACTCTAAATGATTCTGGAACTCCAATCCCCCCACATGGTTTGTGCCTTGAGAAAATTGGAAATGGATCTTACCTCAATATGGTTGCTCATCCTGATGGCTCCAACCGCGCATTTTTCTCCAGTCAACAAGGCAAGATTTGGTTGGCAACTATTCCTGAAGAGGGATCAGGAGCGGCAATGGAGCTTGATGAATCCAGTCCCTTTGTGGATCTAACTGATGAAGTTCATTTTGATACTGCATTTGGAATGATGGGTATGGCATTTCATCCCAACTTCGCACAAAATGGCCGGTTCTTTGCTTCATTCAACTGTGATAAGGTGAAGTGGCCAGGATGCACAGGAAGATGTTCATGTAATTCAGATGTCAATTGTGATCCTTCAAAAATAGGTTCTGATAATGGTGCTCAACCATGCCAATACCAAACTGTTATAGCAGAGTATTCTGCTAATGGTACAGCATCCCAGCCTTCCTTGGTACACCTCTATACCAACCCATAATAAATTTTTGTTACTTCAACTCAATTTTTCCTACTGAATTTGGATCCTTTTTCTTTTTCTTTTTTCCAGGCAACAAGTGCCAAACCATCAGAAGTAAGAAGGATATTTACGATGGGCCTCCCCTTCACAGCTCATCATGGAGGACAGATACTCTTTGGACCAGAAGATGGGTACTTATACCACATGATGGGAGATGGTGGGGGTACAGGTGATCCATACAACTTCTCTCAAAACAAGAAATCCTTGCTTGGGAAGATTATGAGGCTTGACGTCGATAACGTACTAAGTGAGTATCAGAATTAAGTAATTCTAGTTTCTGTTACCAAAACCATCTGCTTCCTATTGCATTCTTTCCTTACCCTTGTAATGTACTTCCAGGCGAGGCAGAAATTGATAAACTTGTTTTATGGGGAAACTACTCCATCCCCAAAGACAATCCATTCTCAGAAGATCCAGAATTGAGGCCAGAAATTTGGGCTTTAGGACTAAGAAATCCTTGGCGCTGCAGTTTCGATTCTGCTAGGCCTTCCTACTTTATATGCGCAGACGTTGGGCAGGTATGATATATATCTATCATCTGTACAAGCAATTCTTGATTTTCATATTCAACAAAACACAATACTGTCTGCTAGAGGATCCCAAGTGCTCAAAATTTTCTGTTTTCAATATCAAGTTCCTCGTTGGCGAAGTCCTTAAAAAAAAGACAGACAGAAAGACATCTCTTCTTCTCCATTGCTTACATCCTCTGATACTAATCTGTTTATCTAACAGGATCTATATGAAGAGGTGGATGTTATCACCAAGGGTGGAAACTATGGCTGGAGTTTTTACGAGGGCCCATATGTTTTCACTCCTCCAAAGTCACTTGGTGGAAATACATCCAGAAAACCTACAGACCCTATTTTCCCCATAATGGGATACAACCATTCTGAAGTAAACAAGAAAGAAGGATCAGCATCTATAACCGGCGGCTATATCTACCGGTCTGAGACTGATCCATGCATGTTTGGAAGGTAACTGCCAACTGTTCTTTTCTTTCAGCTCAAGTATGGAAGTAAAATATCATACTCCTTTGAAAAATAACATAAACTTTTTGCTTAAAACATGACCAAGCTAGACAATTGAAGCATTAATCTTGATTGGATTTTTATTTTTAGGTACTTGTATGGAGACTTGTATGCTGGTGCCATATGGGCAGCCTCTGAGGACCCAGAAAACAGTGGCAACTTCAGCTCAAGCAAGATTCCTTTCAGCTGTGGACGCGACTCTCCGATAGCTTGCAGCTCTGTCCCGGACAACAGCCTTCCAGCTCTAGGCTACATCTTCTCATTCGGGGAGGACAACCGAAAAGACATCTTCATTCTAGCCAGCAGTGGTGTTTACAGAGTTGTTCGTCCTAGCCGTTGCAACTACACTTGCTCCAAGGAAAATGTCACTGCTGTTGCAACCCCTGGACCTAATGGTTCACCTAGTTCCCATGCCACATGGTTATCAAGCAACCCTTCCAGGAATGTAGTGCTCCTATTTTCTCCTCTAGTGTTGCTTCTCCTCAGTTTTGTCTAAGTATTACTAACTGCAGCATCTGGTGCTGGTGTTTTGTACCATAAAGACTTCTCTTTGTAATTATATGTTCTCAATGAAAATAAAGATTTTAATTTAAAGAAACAAGTGCACATAAAGGGGAGAGAAAGAAGCCGATCATGAAAATGTAACCATCTTTAGAGTTCATATGTTTTTCCCTCATTAATGTAAATGTAATTTCCCAAAAAGAGATCTCTTATTTTGTTAATAACAAAATATTAAACCCTGTTTAACTAGTTAATTTATAGAAATAATCATGCACTTAATTGAGAATTTATAGAACACTAATAATAATAATCACACAGCCACCTGACAGCCCTCTAGTCTTTATTTCTTTTACCTGGAAATATAAAGGGGGTCCAAATTATTTATTTATTTATTTATTTATTTATTTATTTATATATTGGAAATAAAAGGGTCGTTTGTAATAAAATTTAAAAAAAAAGATAAATATTATAAATTGAATTTAATGCCAATTACAGAGATTGAATTGAAATCAACTTTATTTACCCGTCTTCCCCCTCTCTCTTTCTTTCTTTCTTTCTCGGTTTCCTACATATATCTGCAGTCCCATAAACACAAATATTAATATTAATAATTAATTCTTATAAATAAAAAAAAACAATAATTAATTCAAATTATTAAAATCCAATATTAATATTAAGGAAAATTAATAAACCCTGTGTGATATGTGAATGGTGGTTTGGAGCTTTTGGTCCTCCATGCCCCCTTCTCTTTTTCTCTGTGTTTCTCACTCTGAAAACAAAATCAACCCAACCAAACCCTCAATGCGAGAAACCTCGCTGATCCTCTACATGTAATCTCATTCTAAACCCTCCCCCCCTCTCGATCTTCCCAAAACCATGTCTCTAGAATCTTCCCTTCCTCCGATCCCAGCCGCCCGATCCTCGCCGGAGCCCCAACAACAGCAGCCCCCTCAAAACGACAACGCAACATCAACCGCAAACCCTACCCCGCCCTTGTCCAGGAGCAACCGTCCCTCCCGCGCCTGCACCTTACGCGCCGCCGCTCGGCTCCAACAGTACCAGCAGCAGCAGAACCAGCCCGCCGAGAAACGACGAGCCGTTGCCAAAAAGGAACAGCAGCAGCAGGGAGACGACGAGTCGTCGTCGCCGCAGCAATGCAGCGCCAGCAAGATTATCACGCCGCTGGTGGGCCCTCCCCCGCCCTCGCAATTGCCACGCTGGACCCTCCGCTCTATGTGGGAATTGGCTTCCGTACTCAATTTCTTGCACGTGAGCCCCCAAAGCTTCGATTTTTAGCTCTTGAAGCTTCGACCTTTTAGGGTTTTGGGACTGTTTCCTGGTGTTTTAGGGCTTATGCGTTTTTCATTTTGTTATGTGCTTGCCAGGTTTTTCGGCCGCTTCTAAATATCTCGGCTGAGTTCTCGGCTGAGGAGTTGGAGACGGCTTTGATTACACCCAATGACACTTTGAGTGACATTCACATTCCATTGTTGAAGGTTGGTAGAACACTCGTTACTTTGTGCATTGTTAGGTTCGTTAGTTAATTTTTGTTAAAAAGCTTCAATTTTTAAAATTTCAGAAGCATTTCTCCAAGAACTTAAATTTGCTAAGTAGTCCATTAGAGTTGTTATAGCCTACTTCTTTGTGGAAAACCTCATCCATGCTGAGCTTTAGGTTCCCTTCAAAATGTAGATAGAAATGAAACTGCTTTCATGGGGGTGATTATTTCTGCTATTAAAATTGCTTTGTGGATCTTTCAGCTGTTAACAACAACCAGAATCCGTGGTTTTAAGAATCCTGGCCTAAAGTAGCCTTAAAACTTGAGTCCTTGTCCTTGTGAACACCTTTTAAAGTTCAGAGAAATAGTTGTAAAAGAAAAGTCTGGAGCTTTCTTTCAGGCACCTGCAGCACATATATGGTGTGACTGGCAGTGGTTTGTATCAGAATCTGTATATATTAATGCAAGAGTCTTAATCATAATATGGAATGATTAAATGTCTTAGTTTTTTGGTGGCTGCTGAGGCATGATTTTGGATGGAATCTTGACTAATTTTCTGCAGAAGACATGTCCTATGGAGAAGATTAATGTTGTACCCAATCCTATGGAAAAGACTAATGTGGTTAGACAAGTCAACCGAATGTGGTTGATTATGTGAATCCTTTTTCTTTATTCACCCTTATGTAAGACCATCTTTGCTTTTAATTCTTTGGTAATCATGCCTTCCTTGCTACCCTTATGTTATCTTTATTCACCCTTAGCCAATCCTTTCTTTTGTCCTTTCAGATTTCAAAATCCAAATAAATCTGAAACCTTTTTAGGTTTTCCTTGAATGTGGATTTTTGTGGTCATCGTCTTGCTTATTAGGTTGAAAATGTCTCCATAAAATTTTAATCTTATTTGACCTCATGAAAGCCCATGCTGCTGGAAAGCTAATGTTTTGTTGATAGTTTGTCAATGAAATTGCTACTAGCTTGCCCATAACTTTTAATTGATTTCTTTTTATAGGCAATTCCTCCTATTACGCGAATGGCACTTACACGTGATACTTGGGTCACTGTTTTATGCAGAAAGTTGAGAGATTGGTGGCATTGGGTAACTTTACTCATATAACTATTTTTGGCAAGATTTTAGCCAGAGCCAATTTGTTTTGTAGTTCTACAGAATCAGGAAACCTAATTCAGATTTCTCTCCAATTGCAGGTTGCAGATGGAGATCTACCCATTGTTGCTTCCCATGGGTGAGCGATCATGTGTATTTGTCTACCCAACATATGAATCTTTTTCTGTTTATAACATGTCACGTAATGTTAATTTGATAGGGCGGAGGTCGAGGTGTATAAAACACTTGATCCTGGGGTTCGTGTGGTCATCTTGAAAGCACTTTGTGATATTCGTGTTGAGGTATAGTGTTAATTATAAAGATTTAATGCCTTCCAGCTGCTGGTTACAGATGTCATGCTTAGTATCAAATTTCTGTAAAAGTTAATGTAAAATCCATTCATAAATATTATCAGTAACCTTTTGGTCAATTGCCTAAGCAAAGATGATAGTTTGTATGGCCAAACTTTGAATACAAAACTGTTCCCTTAAAAATAACATAAAAATCTATTGGAGATCCAGTACATGTTACAGAGTGGGATTTCATTATGTGCCCCCTCCCCCCTCCCCCTCCCTCTTCCTAGTTGAAAACAGGACTCAGTATCAAGTCGTTGGACAATGTGAAATACTTTATATGAGCTTGCTGGCACCCTCAAAACCAATGTGGTTTACTATATTGCTATAGTATCTTGTAATATTCTTGAGAAGTTTGTTTTCTTTTATCTGAAGGAGAGAGAAATGGGAAGTGAACGACCTGCCTCCTTGACTAGATGATGCATACAATACTTAGTTTTCCTCTTTTTTTTCTCCCTCTGCATGACCAAGTACCTCTCGCTCTATCTCTCAACCCCCCCTTTTCAAAATTGGTTTCTAGGATTTATCACATGCAAATCATGATTTTAGAACTAGAAAATTGATTTTGTATTACCTACTTATCAAATGATTTTTCTATGCTTCTGTTACTTTACCAGAAGGAATAAATCTGAGTGATGTTTTGCAGCAAGAGGATATTCGGAACTATATTGACAACTCACTGAAGCATGGAGTTCAACTTTCAACATTTCGTAAAGAACGTGTTGGAGGTGATTCACAAGGAATCTCTTACTGGTAAATATAATGAAGTTTCTTAACAAAACTGTTTTAGTTAATAAATTACCTTTTTGGTTCCAATTATTTTCCGATATTGTGTGAAATGTCCGTCAAGTATCTTTTTCACCGATTGCTAGAGATATTGCACTTTTTTTTTTGGGTACATTGAATAATTGTGTTCGAGTATTTATCCACTGGATGTTTGTGGTTGCTGCAGGTATGAAGATGATCCAATAATTGGTTATAGGTTATACCGGGAGATACGGAAGGTTGAGGTGAAGAAGGCAAAAGCGAAAGGTTCCCAGGTCCTTCCTAGTGCGACATATGAGTGGGAAACAGTCGCAACCAATTTTGATGAATTTCAAGATGTTTCTGTAAGATACTAAAATTGCATTCCCATCTGTATTTGCTATTGTGCCCTGTATTCTTATTTCCTTGCAAAACTTTAGGATTGAATGTTTGAGTCAGTTTTCATTTTCAAGTATTTCTGGAATACGGATAACCTCTGAAACTGGTAACCACTGATAATACATTTGTGTTCCTTCAAGTAGGAGATGCAAATGCATATGCACAGAATTTGAGACAAATATTGTTGAGGGATCTTTATCGGATCCTATCTCGTATATATGGAAAAACTACTAATAGAAACTGCACATAAGATTTGGATTAGTAGAATGTGATAAACTCAAGTGTTCATACGAAACCTTTTTTGCGAAAGTGTATTGTTAAGCGTTTTGATGAATCTCTTGCTAGTCCAAATTTTAAAAGCATCTTCTTATCACAGGAGAAACTTTTCTCAAGTAAAAATAGAACAGAAGCTTCTCTAGGAAAAAAGTTGAAAGGAGACATGCTTGCAGAGATTGAGAAGGTTCACAAGGTAATTGTTGACCAACCTTTTAACCTCCTTGGGTTTATATATCTTGTATGTGGTTGGAGGATATTTTCTCAACTAATCTGCTGAGAGAATTTCCATTTCATCTTTTTCTTGTTTCTAGTAAAAATTTCATCTCATAAACTTCCTTTTTTACAATTGCTGCTTGCACAGAGGAAAGAGAGGTTGCTGAAGAAGCAACACAGACAAGCTCTCCTCCTTGATAATTTTTTGACTGTGGATGGCCTTGGTCCAGGGCGCTCTCTCCGCGACAGAAAGCCTGTTACCTACACTTTTGGTAAGGGAAACAAACTTCTACCCTTTGTCCTTGTTTTCCCGTGACAATTGCACTGCTTAAAAAACTTAGTGACTCTTTTAGCCAAAATAGAGGAACCATTGAGAACTTGTGGGCATGTCGCTGAATCAGAGTAAAACCAAATTGAAGGGTTAACCGTAGATGTATTTTGCTTGTTAGAAACCTGAGGTTCCACTCTTAAGAGTGGTGGTTTTCAATTTTTTTTCTTCCCAACATTCTCTCTACATTTTGTATAATTAGATGCAGGTTCTTACTAAAAGCGAAAAAGAATAACTAGATTCAGGCAGGGTATGTGGCTGTTGGTGAGGCTTCTTTTTATGGGGGTTGTGTTTCTGGGTTACTGGTGACGGATTAAGATGAACTGATCAGATTAATGTATACTATTGACTGTCGTCTAATGATATGAAATCCTAATTGATTTTGTGAGCAATATTCTTTGGTAGTAGTTGGTTACCTAAGAGGTTGGTGCCTATCATAGATGGAAAGGTTGTTATAGATCTGTACTTGTGTTGGGATTTTTGGGGAATGAGGGGGCGCTGTCCCATGAATTTTTAATCTGAGTTTTACCTGAATGATGTAGATTTTAATTTTAGTTCTGGGAAGTAGCAGATGACCAATCTTTATAGTTACTGTTATTTTTCCTATGTGACAATGGCTATGTGGATTCCGATGATTGTGTTAAAATTTTGCAGATGATTATGACCGGTCCATCAATGAGGCAATCAAGATAACCAAGTATGGGTTTCATTCTCTCTCTCTCTCTCTCTCTCTAAGAATAAAGTACTTTTGACTTATTTTTATTCTTCTCCTGTTTTAGAAGGAAGCAGCCATCCCCAGAACCTTTACAGAAACGAGAGGGAGTTGTGAAACCTGAAGCTTCTAGTAATGGTAAATGGAATGCTACTCCAAATTCCTATGAGCATGTAGGATTTAGTGCTCCATCTCCTAAATCACCTGATTATGATTATGATGTCGAAGAAGATAACAAATCTGAACAATTGGATCGAGGGTGAGCAAATTTCTTCTTTTTCTTCTTTTTAAGATATTCAGCTCCAGTATATTTTAAATCATTGGCATTTTTCATATACTGATTTTTATGTATTGAATGTAGCAATCGACGAAGACAGAGGCCCCAACGTTATTCTGCGAAAGAATTTGTTGAAGCAGTTTCAGATAATGAGGCAGACTTTGACAGTGATGATGATATAGTTGGTGAAGCTATATATGATGAGGAATACTTAAAGAAACGTAAAGAGAGAAGAAAGTTTTCTAGTAGCTCTGAAGGAGATGAGGAGTATCATTTTGAGGAAGAAAATGCTGAAGAGGAGGAAGAAGAGGAGGAAGAAGATTCCGTAAGTGCAAGCGAGGATAGTGATGAACCCCGAAAAGTTAAGAAATTGCCAGGCCGCACTAGGAGGGAAACTAAATTGAGGTCAGTTGATGAGCTCCAGTCAGGTCTAAGACGCAGTAAGAGGGCCACCAGAAATCGTATTGATTATCGACAATATGAATTCTCAGAGTCAGAACCAGAGCAGTCTATGAAACCTGAGAAATCAAATGCATCAGATGGACACTATGATGCAGGTGAGAATGGGGATTATTCAATGGAAAGTCAAGATTCAGATGGTAATGATGAGGACCAGGAAATGAAAGTTGATCAGGCTGTTGAAAATTACCCTGAGACGACAGTTGAGAAAGAGCAAATCCAGCCACCTGGAAAATCAAATAGTCCAGGGGAAGATGAAGTCGAAGGTGTACAGAAAAGACGTTTCCTCGACCTAAATGAGCTTGCCCCTGGTTCAGGTTTTGATGATGGTCCAAACACAATGATGAAAGATGATACGGATGATTTGTGATGTGACGGTTCCCCCTCTGCGAGACAGCAAAGATTGTGTATTGCAAGGAAGCCGAACTCTGTACGATTGTAAAATTTAGAAATTTTGTGCCAGTGCCCATGGAGAAAGTTGTGGCCAGAGTTCTCCTAGGCATAATTTAAGCAACAACCTTGATGCATGATTTGCAACAGGGTCGCAACATGATGCGGCGAGTTATGTAGATTAGGTAGTCATTTTTTAGTACGTCGACATCCGAAGGAACCTACGAGCTCAGCTAGGACAGATGAATGGAAGTTGTTGGGATTTGCTTAGTTCATCCGATCAATGTACAATAACCCTCAGCTAATATTGTAACTGAAAGATTTGGCCTTAGATGTTAAAAGCCAAAGCCTTTGTAGTACTATCTCTCATGTTCATGAATCCCTGATAATGATCTGCCTTTGAGTCTGAGCTTATTTGGGTTGGTTGTGTTATAATAGAACCATCCTCCCTTAGAAGGTAAGGTAATTGTACTCTCTCTTGTATTCAGATTGGCTTTCTTATTTGTCATTTCATTTACCAGCCATCTTAGATTTTATTACCTTTCGCTCCGCACAAATGAAAGTCATTGTAAGCATGACGGAATGGTATTATGGGAAAGAGGGGAGTCTGGGAGCGTCATTTTGCACGCCCGCCTGCCCTTGTGCACCGGAGTTTTTGGTTCTTTGCTGATTTCATTCTGAAATGAAATACCAGCATTACCTGTGCCATGTTGAACATCATCTTTAGCGTTATCTTAACTTTGACAATCAAATTGGGACAAAGATTTTGTTCTCTGGTGGGGTTTAGGGAATTATTTATTGAACAGTTACCTAACCTGCAGCCTGCAATTGAATAAATCTGGTCAGTGGAGAAGGTTACTGGACCATACACTACATGACTCATGCAGCAATCTCTTAGTTGACATTTTGATAGAACTCTTTATTTTTAGAAAAAAGAGACCAACACCATAATTAAGTTTTGGTTAATGTTTGGATATGACAATATGAACGTCTTTTTCTAACCATAATCACCCCTCTCCTAAACACACGAGAGCTATGATGTTAGTCAAGGGAAAGGTCAAAAGAAACGAAGCATCATATGATGGTTCTACTACTAATAAATATTCTCCAGCCAAGCCAACTCATTCTTCAGAATACCTTTATCAAGAGATCTTATGATGGTAAAAAATAGTCATCACGATTCTTGCTCAATGTCCCCACAAGCAAATAGGCATACTATTTGCATGTAAACCTGGCTTGTCCCTACACCCATTATTTAATGTATGAAAAAGACAAGCTGCCCAAAATTATTTCCATGAAATACGAACCATCCAATTTCCAAACACAGTCCAAAAACAACAACAAAGATGTTTCTATTGCATGGGCCGGTGGTGGGGTCCAATCCTTCATCCATCTTCTTCCATCTGATATCCTTGAAGGTACTTTTTAGTTTTTATTTGATCCTTTGGTCCAAACATTGTATCAGAACACAGTGAGTTTGGTGGAATATTTTATCACATATTAACAACGTAACAATTTAACATGTGTTTCGTGAAGCAAATATGGTTAACGAGTAGGCGAAATAATTATGTGCATCCTTGTGTTTGGTTTTCTAATTCCCCTCTTCTTTATTCGTTACAATTTGTTTTGACTTTCGTAATATTGGAATCCTTGGAGGATCCTCCTCGTAAATATTTTGCTTGTTTCATTAAAAAAAACCAACTGGTGCGTAAGTCAGATAGTGTCCAACACTTTGTGAGAGAAAGTGGTGCAATTGCGTGGCCACTGCGTAAAGTCCCTTTCAATGTGGATGAGTTTGAGTTACTTTCTTTCCAAGTTGGAACAAACAAGAAATCCAAAACGATCGAGCACCAAGTCTACATCACTCACGTGGTCTTTTGTCCTATCACTTATGCCGTCCATTCATCATGGCTTTATAGTATTGATTCGATCGAATTATCTCACTTACAAGTTACAAAGATTTTTTCGTTTTTGGTTTTCATAAAAATGCCCATCGACCATCGTTATGTTATGTTCTGTGGGATTTTCTGCACCTCCATATATTTTTACCAATGATTCTGAACTAGGATGGAATTGGATTTATAAGATTATGTATACCAACTTGTTTCATGTTCGTGTTCTTAGCCAACCTTCTTGTAATTGATTGAACTGATCAAGCAATAAAATAAGAATCCAAATCCAAACATTATAGTTGAGTGTGTATTCGGAGAGACGGTAGACTCTGAATTTAAATCATACATTTAAATACTAATCGACTTGATCATAAACCGTCTGACATTAGAATATTTGTTAGCATGTATACTTTTATGTATAAAAATCTATACCACTGAGAGTCAAAATGTGCTAGAGCACTACTGTTAAGCAAAAAGAACTTTACGTACTTAATGTTAATATTAAAACACTCAAATGAAAAAAGTAGGAAAGGTTTTGGATCAGCTCAACTCTAATTAGTATTTTTGCTTCAACAGATATCTTTTGCAGAACTTTTTACCCAAAAGGAGAATATTAATTCTTAACATCATTAACTCAACCCCATAATCAGCCACTTGCCCCTCCAGAAAATTCAAAATTCTTTACAAAAGTAAGGCTCTACTACAACGACACATTCGCATTGCCAACCAAATCACTCTTGACTTGAACATCTTTGTTTTCTTGTGTCTGCACATCATCATCATCCTCCTCCTTGGCTGCACCAATCTCCTTAATTTCTTCAGCTGTTTTCTTAGCTGCTTCTTCCTTGGCTTCTTCAAGAGCTTGAATGAAATTGGAAAGACATCTCTCTGGATCATCTTGTGGGGACTTAGGCATGAGATTCTCTGCTACATCAGCAGGGGTCATTTTGACCTCCCCCATCAGCCTCTGAATTGTATCAAACATATGATGTGTCTCAAGCTTCAGATAGTTCTTTGCCAGAACTTTGAACCCATCAAAACTGCAAAAAGAAAGCTCAATATGTTTGTCCATTCTGCCCCTCCTGATGAGGGCAGGATCAAGCTTCTCAACATAGTTTGTGGTGAACACAACAAGCCTCTCACCACCACAAGCAGACCAAAGCCCATCAATGAAATTCAACAGCCCAGAAAGAGTGACCTTGCTGCTGCCATGACCCTCTTCTTTTGGTTCCTTAATTCTCTCCTTACTGGACTTAGTTTCATCTTCCAAAGAAGATTTGTCTGCTTTCTTCTTCCTCTGGCCTGTAAGATCAAGTGAGCAGTCAATATCCTCAATCACAATTATAGACTTACTTGTGGTCTCAATCAAAAGCTTCCTAAGCTCTGTGTTGTCCTTGACAGCAGTGAGCTCAAGATCATAAACATCATAACCCAACAAATTAGCCATTGCAGCAATCATGGTAGATTTCCCAGTCCCTGGTGGCCCATAAAGCAAATAACCCCTCTTCCAAGCCTTGCCAATTCTTGCATAAAAATCCTTGCTTTTGCTGAAAGTCACTAAATCTTCAATGATCTCCCTCTTCTTCTCTGGCTCCAATGCCATTGTTTCAAAAGTAGCTGGATGCTCAAAAACTATGTGGCTCCACATGGTCTGCTTGTAGCTAGGCCATTTGTATCCAGGACTATTTGTGTAAAGCTTCCTCTGCCTATTTTTCACCCTGATTTCCTTCCCTTCCCTCACCACATGGTCTAAATAAGACTCTGTAATTATATCCCTGTACTTCTTGTGAAAAGTGAGCTTGTAAAACCTCTTCTCCTGCTCTGGATAGTAAGACATTGACATTGATCTCCCTGGAGACACAGATTTGGACAAAACCCACCAAACCTTAGCACCCTGAAAATCATCTGTAACTCTCTCGTACTCATCCATGCTCAAAACCAAGTTGCTGCTGTCTTTGACCATCTCTGCCTTGAGCCTCTTGGCGCTCTTTGAAGTGTTGTTGCTGAGATAGGCTTCCACGGCAGAATAGGCCTCGCTTCTCTTAAGCCTGTCCCCAGTGAACTCATGGATGGAGATTTTGATGTAGGGGTAGAAGTAGCCCATGATTCTGTGTGAGTATTTCTCAAAGAACCTACGAAGCTCGTAGGGGCAGTACTGGCGGATGATTGCCCAAACGAACATGAAGCTGGCTAAAGTTGAGCCCATTGTTGCCCACATCTGGGTCATTGTTGATGATGGCAGGGGCATCATTTTTCTGGCTTGGTTTTGTGGTTCTTGAGTTGAAGTGAATACGATTTAGATTTTATGGTACTTGTGTTGGTGTTTTGATAAGACTCTTTGGGATTTCTATTGGCTATGGACTAGACCTTTTCTTCTTCATGGCTTTTGTGTTTGATTTTGAGTCAGACTGTAAACCAAGGGTAGGTAGATAATGAGAGAAGAATTGAGTTTATAAGCCAGACTAGTACTAAAAGGAACCATATTTCTATATCACATTAGCTTAAGAAGATTATTTGTGGAGAGACTCTCTTTCTTTCATGGAACCACGGTCTGACACGTATATAAAAATAACTTTAAAAAAACTAAATTATAATACAAATTTAAGCGCTGGCACCAAGTTGTGATTTACAGTTAAGAGAAATAATTCATTGTAGGTAAAAAGATACGGAACTGTGATTTACAATAATTAACTGATCATATGATACGACAATTGATATGTTTAATAAATGACATTATTTGGTGATCTAATATGGTCAAAATGTGAACCTTTTTAATCACTTTTCTCTAAACAAATGACTAAAAGCAAGGGAAATTATGTAAACGAATTGGAAAATAACAAGATTACAAAGAGAGAGATGGGAGATTAAAACAAACATAACACAAACTTGTGATATTAGGATGAGATTGATTGGTCATTGGTGGGGCTACGTGGAGTGTGGACCAGATTAAAGTACAGAAATTGCATGGGATGGGAGGTGACTAATCCATAGCTATAAGGGTCAATTATTGAACACGTGTCACGCACATAAGACACCCCGAGGAAGAAAGTGGGTCTGCGCATGGGATTAGAAATATTTGGGTGACTTCGATTATTAAACAAAATGACAACTTTTTGCCCTGTAGCTATACGTTTTCCTCTTTTCTGGAAAATCATATTTTTAACTAATGAGATTTTGGATATTCCATAGTTTGATGTAAAGGACTTGACATTCTTTCTCTACATTAACAACCACATAAATTGGTTAAGAGCATTCCTTGCACTCGAGATATTAGGTTCGATTTCCCTCTCCCCGTCTCTTGTATCACCCAAAAAAAAAAAAAAAAAAAAAAAAAAAAAAAAAATTAGGGGTATGGGTGAACTATAGAACTATAGTTTTGGTTGATCACTCGAACAGAACCTCACCCCAAAATCCCATCATGCAATTTGCACACACAATCTGCTTACTTGTAAGTTGCAATTAGCAAAAGTGACGTGGACTGTCGAGGAACCAATTTTTTCTCATGGTTTGGAAATCATCCACGCAAGTATGGATGACTGCCGTTAATTGTTGTTTATAGACAAAGTCTATTTATGCTCAAATCAATGTCTGGTTGGTGCGTGGAAACATGATTGAATTTGAGACGAGACGACCTTGCATTTCTTTCTGTCATGTAACCATCAACTTCCTTGGCTTCATCATGATGATTGTGAATGAGATGAGATTCTCTGCCCTATCAAAACTCATAGATCTTTGGTTCAGATCAAACATTTGATGCTTTTTAAGATTCAACTTGATGATTCCTTGCAAGCATTTCCAACTTGTAAATAATCATGAAACCTTTTACTGTCTTCTTTTGCCAAGTCTTCTCATGGGGTTCGTTTGGTTAACTTCCTTTGTTGGGTTGAAGAAGATGATGAATGGTTCAGTTACATGACGTCACTCACAAGGCTCTGTGGCAGGCCAGTTTCCCAACAAGAAGTACATTGAGTTTGAGAGGTGACACAGAAGAAAAATTGTAGACCAGTTCAAATTTGGTTTCTATATTCTAAGCAATTTCTCTCTTTTTACCTACTTTTGAGGTACATGAAGACTTGAGGGAGCTCTCTCCTTTTCCCCCAACCTTGAAATTATTGGACTGGTCATGCTTGCCTTTGTAGCACAATAATTTGCTCGTGAATGAAATCACGGAAATTGTCGATTGCTATAGAAAATTTTGTAATTTTGTGGAAGATGAAGAGTTTCTTCCAAAAGGGGTTGGGGGTTTATGGTAATTCACCCACAATAATTCAAGATAGCAACTTCACTAGATAAATGGTTCCATGCCAATACAAGGGTGAGGCCCCTTTTACAGACTGATTTAGAGGGGAAAACTCAATGTTTGAACCATTTCCATGAGTCATATTCAACTATATTCTCTATCAAAGACTATGAGGTGGAGGGAAAGCCTGTTCTATTTACATGGGAAGTAAAAATAGAACAAGGAAAAGAGCAGAAAGAATTCCTATTACCTTCATTTCCTTCATAAAATGAAGGAAGAAGCATTCAATTGTTTTCGATGCTGCATCTGTTATTGATAGCTATCACCTTCAACCAGTTTTAGTTGCAGAGATTCTTGACATCTTCCTCCTTGGCAAACCAGTTCGGTATTAGCCGTGGCAGATGAGGATACAAGTCTTTGTAGGAATTCTTGATTGTCCCTTCAGCCACTCTAGTAGCAAGCGAAATATCTGCAATAAAATGGAACTTAGTATAGGCTTTTGCAAGAGGATGAATAAATAGGCACCACAGCTTTCTAACCTTTAAAAGTCCTTTTGTCATCCGATAGTTGGGTTATGATGTATATAACTGCAGCTGCCACCGATATCGGGCTCCTCCTGTAGAAGTGAGAGTGCATTACTTATATTAACTTGAAAAGAAACCATCAACACTAATGCTTCAAAAATTTTGAAATATAGGGATTTGGTTGTATGTTCTGAATTTTAATATACTTCAAGATCCAAAATTTCAATTGGAAAAAAGGAAAGTTCTTAGTCTAATTAAAACATTGATGAAGGCATGGATTTGGTTTGGATATCATATTTCTCCTCAGCCTAACATTTATAACATCCCTTATTTAAATTCATGCATAAACATCTAAGGAGACTCTCTCCTCTTGTGCAGTTATAGCATAAATATAATATTTTGATTTCTAGCAAACATAGCACGGCCAACAACAAGATCTAACCTTATGACAAGGTCTTCAGATTTCTGCACAGTTTCTTGGGCAGCCTTGACTTCCAGATTCTTCATTCCAAGATTGGAGCAAAAACGTCTCTATATATAAATGAGGGAAAAAATTATGTTATCATGCAAAACACATCTCTAACAAGAAAGCTAAACATTGAGATACATATAGACGCAATGTATGTAATGAAGAGAGCTCATGTAGCAAACTCACCAGATAGTCTCCAGCATGAATAGTTCCTATTTCCTGACCTATCTCAACCTCAAGGTGTTTCCAAATGAACTCTTTGGCCCGCCCAATTTCTTTCTTGCTAGCTCCACTGACTGCGGAGCATATTTCTGTTTAAACCCACAAGTTTAGCAACTCCAATGCTCACAAGAAATACAAAACAAGTCACCCGTTACGAACACGAAAATGCCCTCATACCTTTCACAGTACGAGGCTTATTTTCTTGTCTGCAGGCAATGTAGAGGCAAGCAGCCACAACTGCATCTTGATTGCGTCCTCTCAGAGGTCTTTGATCTTCCACCTTCTTATATATCTCATTGGCTCGATCCTGGTAATCAGAATAACAAAACCATAAATATCACATCATAGTTCTAAAGCAAGAAATGATGCATCAAAAACACATACCAAAAAAGAAACATTAATTATATTCGAATCATCAATAAACACTAACACAGATTGGAGGACAAAAAAGTTAAAGCATTTCCTTTTTCTATTGTAAATCAAAACACCAAATTGACAATTTGAAAACAAACCAATTACATAAGCAAAAGACATAGTGGAAATTATGGTAAAGATACTGACATACCTTTATGGTTGTGACAAGCCCCAACCTGCAGTGACACACATAAACTGGCATCAGTTATGTTCAAAATCGACACTGTTCATGAATAATGACGCAATAAATCATAAAAGTTTCTTCCTTTTTAACTTTTTAGTGTCAAAGTTTTAGTCTTTCATTTTCCTCCACTTTCCCAGCAACCAAACAGCAATTAACACAACATTTAACTAAAAGTCCAAACCAATCAAAACGAACCTGTCGGCCATAATAGCAATAGCACTGAAGATGTTGAGAAGATGACGGTCGGGTTTAGAGGCGCGGCTCTGCCACCTGCCGACGGAGGACGGCAAGGCATTGGAGGAAGCGCCGTTACTGGGACCTGCGATAACGGTGGAAAGCCCACCGTCGGCCAAAAGCGGGTTAACAGGTCCGCCGACCCGGTTCGGGTCGTTGCCGTTGGACTCGTCGGCGAAGGAGCGCCACTCGGAAGTCTCGTCGACGGAGCGAGACTCCAGCACGAGCCCGCACTCCGAGCATATCGTGTCGCCCGCTGAGTGGTCGAACACAACCTCCGTCAGCATGTTACAGTCGCGGCAAAATATGTCCGACATTCCACAAATGTTTTTTTCTTTCTCCTCTGACTTTTCTTTGAGATTTTGTCTTGTCTGTTTCTGATTGACCGTTATAATTTTTCTGTTTTCGTTTTTGGGGGTGTTTACAGTGAGCACTGTAAAATGTTGTGAGCAGTAACGGAGGGTTTTATATATACATTGGAAGGGAAGGAAGAATGAGGGTGAAATTGGAATTTTGGATCTGCCTTTCTTTTGCAGGGGTGAGTTGGTGAGTGCTGGCCGTTGGGTTTGATAGGGCTAATGGCTTGATATGGGAATTTGATAGGAATAGGTTCAATGAACAAATTTCACTTGTTTAGAGAATTTGGTATGTAATTCAATAGCATATCCAATTTAAGATATTGATTTTCATGCAAATCTATATATAATACTTAGTTTACTCTTTAGTTTGACTCTTATGTACGAGTGATTATCGTTGAAAGTAACTCCACGTGACATGTATTTCGACAAACCGCGTGTTGTCACCTTCATGTCATTCTAATAAGTATTAGAATTGTTCTAATTCATAACTTTCCATCTATATACTAACACATGGGTATTTCAATTATTTTCTCCTTCATTTACTAACATGTAAAGGATAAAAAGTTATGCGAGTTCCACATTAAACTTTTTTATCTAAGACCTGAAACAATGAATTAGATTGAATATGTGAAGTAATTGATCTCGTACAAATTTATTTTTTCCCGATTACAAGTGAGAATGTCATTAGGGCCCAAATATCCCTCTACGCAATTGGCAAAGTAAATTGACAAAAGAGCACCGCCAGTAGCCCTAGTGGTTTTAGATTTCTTATTTATTTGTTCATTTATGGGAAGATCATTAAGCCTTGAGGCAAGAATAACGCGCCATTCCTAAATTGCTAATTACTTTTCAAAGCAAAATATCAAGACGAGTTTGGGAGGCCTTTCGAACCGGCCGGTCCATGAACATTGACATAGAGAGAATGGACCCGGCCCAATAGACCGGGTTCAGATATCGGGCTGCCACCAATAGCTGAATACCATAAACAAATTCTTCGATAAAATTCTTTAACTAAACAGTCGAAATCTAAACCAACTTTTGTTTGTTTAAAAATAAATTAATTAGTGGAGAAACTGGACGACCAAAGTTGTAAGCATTGAAACCGGACTCATTGACAGCCCAACATCAACAGGATGATTGTCGTTTGAGGATCCATGTCCATGTGAAGAAGAATATATACCACCTTTGAGTAGGCACATGAGTGCTTTGAATATAAATTATATTCATCTCATTTCCATCTGTTGCTGGCTCTCCTAATTCTAAATGCAAAATTACAGCACCTGGATTTGTACGCAAATGTTCCCTACACATATCCGGTTGGACCTCGTCATCATCATCGCCTTCCTTCCGGCCTCGGGTCGAAAAACAAAGAAATAAAGAAAGAGCACGAACAATAAAAGAATATATGGAAAGCAATTTTTTTGTACAGGGACCAGATCATATAATCAATCAACTAACTTGTCCTCCACAGACTATACAATATGATGGTGCTATGACTGCAAAACTTCCATGTTCTTTCCTAGATTCTCAAGATGGGGGTCATGAATACCACAACTACTATCTCATGCTGCAACACTGAGGCTGTCCCAGCCGTTTCAATTTGTCCCACATGCAGATCATCTGTCTCGGAGACTGGTAATGGGCTGTATAATAATCTTCTATGCACCCGAACTGGCAGAACTTCAAGCTGTGCATGTACTCTACTGGTCTTGAAGTGTTGAATTTCTCAACCCACATTCCCATGCTTACATCTTCCATCTTAAACAACTGCAAAAAGTTCAAAGTGTTTTATAATCAACTTAAGCATGCCATCCATCACAGTATAGTGTGTGTGTGTGTGTGTGAGAGAGAGAGAGACAGACAGACAGAGACAGAGAGACACAGAATGCATGTAATGTTACTTACCCTTAATCTACGTCTCTCAAACTCGGATACTATGAATTTTGCAATGTCTGATGACAAAATGTAACCTGGTCCATTTGCATAAGGTGGATAGTCTTCTTCTGGCCACTCCTGAAACCAGAAAACAGTGAAAAAATGGCCATGAATATTAACATCAAAAGTGCATCAATACATATAGAAGACCCGGGTGGGTTTGCAATTATTCACTACACAGTATAAGGTCTCAGAAACAGTAAGTTCGTTCATACCTCATATGTCACAGCCCATTTTCCATAGCGCAGAGGCTTGTGGTAGTAATTTATGTTCCCTACATACAAGCTCCTACCCTCTGGTACTTTATGTGCTTCTTTGATAACGGCATCCACCCTAACAAATGTGTCATCATCACACTTCATAATGTACTTAGCAGACATTGTACGAACCTGAAACAGAAGAGACACCATTATTAATAAAATTATTGTGAGGAGAATGATCAACAATATCACATCTTCATTATGCGTTTACTCCACAACTCACCCCATATTCACAGATGGCAACAGTTTTCAAGACGACCAAGTCATAGTTATCCATGTAAGGCACTATAACAATATCACCAAAAAACTCTGCTTCTTTCTTTAGCTCGATATTCACCTCCCCTCTAGCATGCTGTCCCCAGATATCAACAAAAAGATTGAGAATCTAACACTGAAAATTGTACATCAACCAACCACAAAATATTCAAGGGCCTTTATTGCTATCGCTTACCAGTGCTACAAAGAAACGAGCTACTACTTTTGATGATTGGACAAGACTGTGCCGCATCCAAGACTTCCTTACTGCCATCCTCTCAGCAAAATGGTTGCCTGCAGAAAGGATACCAATGAAAAGTTCAACACCCCCCTCAGAAAGAGGTGGGGCACGCCATCTGGTTGACATGTCAAGATGCTTCTGTGGAGCAAAACTAGGATGGGATGAGGGCAAAGACGCGGCAAATACAGAGTGCAGATCAACATCCCCACTCAGAGACAGCCCAGTGGCATCCTCAAGAGAAAATCCCTGTAAAAAATATAACAAAATCTTAGCAAAAAATCCCATTAATCATCATGAGGTCAAAAGGAAGTAGAATATTACTCACACTATGATAAGGAAAAGAGGCGATATGCCTCCCATCGACATTAATATGATAACCTTCCAAACCAGCGCTAAGGGTTAAAACAAACAATTTCTCCTCTGCAAATGAGTATGGCCAGTCAACAGGCACCTTTTTAGTTCTGCCTACCAGCCTGCTCAACCACCATGTTGCCTTGGACTCCACTGAGCGACTGTCATCATCACGAATCCATTTCTCACACTTCACCTGACCATCAACTAAAACCAGTCTCTACAGAATTACTCAATTTGGCGGTGGCACATGAAAGATGAATGAACTCAAGGACTAATGGGCAAAATGGCTAAGAATCACAACGATAGAAAAAAGAAAAATGAGGCAAAAAACCGAAAAAGGAAAATCTTTTCATTTTCATGTTGTTCTCTGGAGCATATTATCAATAAGCAGTTATTCACCATGCTCATAACAACTGAAACACAATTTGATTTTTAATAACTACCCCGCATGCTGAACATTAAGCTGGCATAACCACTCCACACTCTTAAGCAAGACTTTTATATTGCCTTTTAGCAGTAGCTTAGCTACAATGTTCTAATTCCAAGGCATGCTAAAAACTCAAACAACAACTAATGCACTAAACCCACTTCCTTTTCCCTAACCAAACAATATACAAAATTTACTAATGCCTTGATTCTCAGACAACCATGCAATAGAAACGAAAACAGAGCAATTCATAGCATCCATACCTAACATAACCAACTTCAACTTTATAATAATCACTTACCAGTTTCATCATCAGCCTTTGATTTCCAGCCCTCGCAGCGAAGAGCCGAGCCCCACTGCATCCTATAACAAGTGTTGAGTTCAATTACAGGCTTTCCACTCCAATCCCCTTTCAACCTTGGATTGAAATGCAAAAGCCTTGGTGGCTCCTCACCCTCCACAGTCTTCAACCCCAACAACTCCACCTTGAACTGGGAAACCATCACCGACTCTCCGTCATTCACGAGCGCTATATTGGGCTGAGCCTCCTGGTGCGCCGCCTTGGGCCTCCCCACCAGCGTTATGTGCGAGCCCAATGTTAGCCCACACGGCAGCACCATGACCCTTCCCTGGGCCGAAAACTCCGACCCGGATAACGAAATCGAATGCCGGCACGATTCTGATCTGTTCTCGACCTTTCTGGCCTCAATTCGGACCTTCCCAGCCTGCAACTCTTCCCAGAACTTCCTCCCCACTTCCCAAGCAACCTTGGCCGGCTTATAAAGCTGGGAATCGAATGTTTTCGGGTCGAATACTAAACCCGAGACGATATTAGACTCGCTGGGTCGACTCTGAGTCGGCTGGTACGAGTTTTGTGAAACTTGTTCGAGAGGTCGACTTGGGGCGTCTTTCTCTTCAACGGCTTCCTTGCTCTGGAGCCTGCTGGGTCGAGACAAGGGGTCCTGAGAGATGATACTGAACCCAGTTCTCAACACAAAGGGGATTTCCACTGTGACTAACAGTAGGTACAGAAGCCCAATAGCAATCAGAATCTGAACCGATCTTTGCCTGGTTAGAGAGAAGAAGGTGCCGAATCTGTCCAATTTGGCCCTCCTCATCCCCAATGTTATAAAACTCAAAAACCCTACAATTTACCAGCAAGCAAACTGCTTTCCAACGGGCTGAGCAAAAAAACAGATTTTGAACTTTGGGTTTTGCGAAAAAACGAGTCTTTGATTCAAATTCAAGAGTTAGTTAGAGAACCAGAGGGACGGGTCAGCAAACAGACGCGTAACGAAAGAGTTAAGGAAGAAGTAGTAAGAGCAGGAGGTGTTTGGGTGATTTTGATTTCCAGGTCGGTGGCTTTAGCTTTTTCCTGGAAGATCAGAAACAAGTTTTTTTTTTCTTTTTTTCTTTTCTGTTTCTGTCGTTCTCCAATGGAAACTTGAAAACAAAAAGTGGTGCTCCGGTTTAAAACGGAATTGTGATTGAAATTGAAATTTGAAGAGACGTTTTTTCGATGCGAAGTGGAAATTATTAAATAATTATTTGTGTGCGGTGGTGGGGTTGGGATCTGCTGGTAATCAACACTACCCGCCACTTCGCCGGTAAGTCCGAGGCAGAACTCTGGACAGCAAACACACAGTAAACCCTAAAGTTACCCTATATAGTTTACTAGAGTATTTATCCACAATCAAAGGAGTGTTGGCAAAAAAAACTATAACGAAAGGAGTAATTTGTTAATTAAGATATTGATTATGCAAATTATACCTAAATCATTTATCCATTTTGAGTGTATTAATCTCAAACTCCTTCAATAAAATAAAATAAAATCACAAAACCTTTTATCACTAACAAGAATATTTATTTACCAGTTCAATTAGTTGGCACCTTGTTTTAGGGTTTAGGGATAATTTTAAATCATGAAAGTTTTCTATGTCAATTTTACGAGAAATACTTAGTTGCAACGAGATAGTACTGTTTAGGTGTAAAAGTGTTATTATACGTGTCATAAAATTGCTATTCTCGTTTCATGAAAATCTTTCTTCAATTTTACACCTAATAAAAGATAGTAAAATTTTATTTCTGAAAAAGTTAAAAGACATATCTAGATCCCTTTAGAAATAATTATAAAAAATAAAAAAAATTATTCGTTCTTTTATAATGTGCCATGCACTACCAACAATTTTTAACAGCTAAAAGTAATGAAAAGGTCACGATCAGAATTGAGGGCACAATAGAAACAAGAAGGAAAGAAAAAAAAGGGCCGTTAGAAGAGCGTAGGAGGCTACACAAAGGGTGGAAAAACAGCAAAGCAACCGTTGGGATGGTGGAGCAGCCATGCATTGCATCTCCTTTTTATTTTAGGAAAATACTTCCCTACTTACCAAGTAAGTAAAAGTTTCTACATTCCTGTCAATAATAATGTGACAAATGTGTAGAAGGGTTTCTTTTTGTGTTTTTTATGAAGAATTTTTGCGTATGTATGAAATTGTGATTCATAGTAAAGAAGAGTATCTCCTTACAAATAAGGAGGCAAGTAGTGTCCTTTATTTTACTCTCACGTGTGGGGACTTTATACATCACTATTAGATTAGATTAAACTGAATTAATTAACTAGATTAATTAGCTTGTCTTTCTCATCATGATTAATGAATCTATTGGGATCTTTGTTGAAAGGTCCGCCTGTGATTTTAAACACCTCATTTTTAGGAGAAACTTTCCCAAAACCATCCCTCTGTTTTTCATCCTCCTCCTAAGTCCTAAAAATTTATAGTCCTTACTATGTAGCTGTGTTTCTATGTTGAATTTCATAGCCATTGTTAGGGTTCATAGAAATTCATGGGATATGTCTTGCTCATATTTCAATGTCTATGAATATTGAGAATGGAAATAAAATTACCATGATACTGATAGAAATATAACAGTCATAATATAGTCGTCACTATCGTAGAGTTATTTTACCACTAGATTCAGAGTTAACTAATGATATAGTTAAAACTAGGAAATGAGAGTGAGTTAAGTCGTCTTTGCATAACTTATTATGCTCTGATTTGTTCTAAAACTTCCACTTTGATCACTTTGTTCTAAAAATTTGTTTTTTAATTAGGTATAATAAGGCCTTGATTAAGGTAAATACCAAATAGGTGCACTTTAATTAATTACCGACTGGGGACGTACGGGAAATATTTGTTTCTTCAATTACACAAAAGCGCTTTAGAAAAAAGTTACTTCTGTAAATGGTAAACCTATTAATTCCTAACTAACTTTTGGGAGAGGAACAAACGAGTCCCTCCAATTACACATGGAGAAGAGCACGACAAAGACTAATATGTTGAAAGCCTCCCTTTCTCGACCGGGTGGGTGCAAAGGCTTTTTGGATGAATTGAAGAGAGTGATGTCAAATGAATTGACTTGGCAAAAGGAGACATCATATACATCACTTATTGATATGCTCCTTTCTCGATCGGGTGGGTGCAAAGGCTTTTTGGATGAATTGAAGAGAGTGATGTCAAATGATTTGACTCGGCAAAAGGAGACATCATATACACATCACTTATTTATATGCTTTGTAGATAACGTAAAAATTAGCGATGTAATTAAGGTGCTTAATTAGGTACTTTACATTAAACTAATTCAATTCAAAACTTCACGTTTAAGTTGAAGGAGACTCCTTCAATAAAAATGTGCTTAAACCATCTCATGGGTTTATAAATACACAATCTAGACTCTAGACACCATGTAAGTTGTAACGTTCTCTTCTTTTTTTTTAAAGTTTCTTGGCAACCTCTTACATACCCACCACACAAGGACAACAAATGAGGTAAACTATTTCATCACATATCATATATTATGCCTTGATATTCCATGGTTCATTTCAAGTTATTTCTTCGGTTTGTTTTTTAATTTTGTCAAGTTGGAAAGTTGTTTTCATGATCCATCTCTCTCTCTCTCTCTCTCTCTCTCTCTCTCTCTCTCATAACAAAACTTAGTTTGCACAGTTTTGATTGATCTTTACATACATATGGACTCGATCTATGGAGAAATATATGGCATGAAATATTCAAAGATCACCAACCTTAATTTATAACCAAATGGGGTATGTCTTTTGTTTTCTTAGTCAGAGAAGTGAGAGTTAGACACGTTTCATTGAGTATAAAACTTGATGAATGATCTTACGTTGGCAATTAGACAATATGGGAGTTTGAATAGAGATAAGTCAATAAAAGGGAAGGTATTTTTAATTTCCTATACAAATAATATTCTGCTTTAATCTAATTTAAACTCTAGTACTGAGTCGGGAGCACATCCTCTATAGCCAATTTAACTAAGTCCATATCTGCAAATAAAAGTGAAGTTAAACATGCATGTGACATTTTTTTGTCGACAAAATGATATTTTAAACTAGATTTTAAACTACTTTTAATTGTTGGAAAAAGATTTTAAACTTAGTGTAAGATAAAAGACACATATCAACGAGCTCATAGCTCAGTCGTGAAAGTTGCCTGATTTACTAGTATACGGGCCTGAAATTTGACAACGAAATGTGACATCATGACATGCGTGGATGAAATTTAACCGAGTCTGACTCACACCCCAGTTCTGTTTCTTTTTACATGTCACACCCACACGCATTATAAATTAATGCGTTGTAACAGCTCTGAGGTTGAGGCCCCATATTATTATCCAACACGAAAGTTGCACTGGATTTTTAGGCACCACTACCTTTTGTATTTTTTATTTACACCCAACTTTGATCTAAAAAACCCACGAACCACTTTTATCAAGCTGACCAAAACAAAGTGGCAGGGTTTCTCTCATCTGGACATATTCTTGGATCCACTGAAAATTAAGTACCACTACATGAATATCTAGCTATTGAAGGTAGGGTCCTGTTAGCATTAAGGTTTCACTCGTTTAAGTGATTGTAGGTCGTTGATGCAAAAAGTGAATCTCACAACGCATCAACAGACTGATATTAGCAAAAATGAAAGCATGGGCACGATTTTCTTGCCTTTAATCAATGCCTAAGGAGCTGTAGTTTGGTGAGGAGCAATACCTGTCTCTCAAGTCTCTTACTCTGGAAAGTTTGAATTTAAAATTTGAAGTTCATCATAAGGCCAAAAGCTTGTATTAGCTGTGCGCCACATGTGTCCAGGTTCTTGCTGAAAAAAGAACAAAACCTGATAGTTTATAATTTCTAATCATTTTATGCTATATTGCGATTCTTGTTCTGGTGATATACGCAAATCCATTTATCTAATATTATACAGATACAACAATCTCTAAATTGAAACAATCTCTTAGCTGCTTGTTATGGGTTGGACTTTTGTTCTATACACCTAATGGTATCTTTGATCATAAGTAGCTTGTCCCTTTTGGCTTTTGCTTTTAAAATTTCTTATGAAATGAGGAAAATTCAAATTCTTGGCCAACCAAAATATATGATGTATTTTCTGATTTTTCATTTTGTGGTGCTCCACTTTAGGCCCCAGGCCTAATAATGACAAGATAACTTTTTTACGTGACATGATGATTTTAGCTGAAAATGACAAAATAGTGTTATTCTTGTTGCTACCGAGTTTTTCTACAAGCGAAAACAGGCCGGGGCAACATATGTCAATTGAGCATGGTATTACGGGCCTGCTTCATAGAATGTGTCAAAATGGGATCCATTTACAAACCCCACAAAATCAATAGGGGAATTTAAGAATAATAGATCAAAACCACCACCACGAAGGAAACAAAAAAGGGATTGAAATTCCTTTTCTTTTATTTTAAAAATATACAAATTTTATATGATGTGGCCTCCCGTGAAACTTTGGATTGGTTTTGATGGCTTAAATTTATTTTTAAATTTTTATAAAAAGAAGAATTTGAACTTGGGTGATCATAATTTAGTCCTGCCTCATTTTGGTTCTTAATTATTTTTAGTAAAAATATTATACAGAGGACTGAAAACGACAACAATTGAAAACTAACGTTATAGGAGCTTCTCCGAAGAAGAGAAACTCCTCCAAAAATGGGCGTATGCCACTATGAGCGGCGAGCACACGGTATTCTTTAGTAAAAGGCGAAAGAATAGTTCGCTTTGTGCTCACCGCATGGCTGCGTGATT